TACTCTATCCGCTATGATTTGGGCGTTACTCTTGCTTCCTTTCCGCAACAATTTCTGAAGTTGTAGTATCGTCAACGTATTTTTTCATATATCAGCATTCTGAATATCGGACAAATTTAAATCATTGATTAAAACAAGGAAAAGCCATGGACCTATAATTTTGTGCCCTGAGAAACATCCTTCAGTAAGTTTGATTCTTTGTAGAGGATCTGATAAAAAGTTGATCCAATTAATAACACTTCTAGGTAAATCCAATTTGCAAAGTTTGTCCAGTGAGATATTATGATCTATAAGATCGAATGCTTTACGATAGTCGAACAATGCAATTCTAATTGTATAGCTTCATTATACCATCGGTTCCTGTTATCCATTTGTGAATCATGTATATTAACGCGTAGAAAGTGGATGAATCAGGTAGCGCACCATATTGACACGGAGCGAGGATGTTTAGAATAGCTGGCTTTACCTAATCACATACAATGAATTCTTCCGTAACTTCCGACAGACAAGCTGTCAGCGAAATAGGCCGTAGATCTTTTTTGATATCTGCCACCTGTTTAGCTTTGGTCAAGGGCGATACATCAGCAATCTTCCAAATTGAAGAAAGCCGTTGCTCCTTTAAAGAGGCATTGATTATTTTAGTTACAGGGGAAGCAAGGACTTAATTCTGAATAGCTTTTTAATAACTAATTCGGAATTCCATCTGGACCTTTTGCATGCCTTTGACGGATTTAGCTTTGCTAAAGACATTTGTACACGCCATTCTGATATCTCGGGAAGCTCGACATTCTAACGGTAGTTTATACCGAGTTTTTTTGGCAAACGGTATTCTTCTAAAGGATCTAGGCCGACCATACTTTTGGATTTTTTTCTATAAGTGTGTTCTACTTTGGACTTATAAAAATTTGCTTTGCACCACTTTCTTTCGCGGTTAACAATATTTCTATAAACTTTATACTGACTCAGTTGAATCCGTTCCCTATTTATGAAATGCTTTTTGTCGTTTCAGGATCATTAATTTCAGGTGTTGAATCATCCAAGGGTAGTCTGCCAGATTTACGAATTTTCTTAATAGGCATCCGAATATATCTAGACCAGTGGTGACCGCATTGTTAAAAACATCTACCATCAGTACCATGTCCTCACAAGTATCAACTCAATGAGGAGAAAAGTGTGTCCTAATCATTTAAGTCGTTGAACGGCTCCTGTTCTGTAATATTTGTTCATGTTAGTAAGAACCAAATCAAGGACTGCGTTTCTTCTTATTGCTTTTCTGACAATTTGTTGTAAGTTGAAGTGTTTCTTAATTAAGGTGACGTCCAAACGGGGGCACATGCAGTTAGGATGTCTTGATTCAGTAATCCTGGGACATTGAAGATTTGAAGCAGATGGTCTCGCATAAGATCATTCTCAGTTCCTGTCTTCCTGACTAATGAGGATGGTAAGCTTCAGCAACTATGAGCGAAGAAAAACCTCTAGGTAAACACGACGATCGTGTAGTTCTGTAAACCTTAAATTATTCTTAATATATAGAGACACACCCCGCCGTGATTGCCAGATACTCGATCTTTTCTTAAAACAGTATCATCCGGGTATATCAACAACACAATCTATAATAGAAGGCCCTAGCCAGGTTTTCGTAATAAATGCCATAGCTATATTGTTCCTATTTAGGAATTCACGGACTTCTTCCAACTTAGGTATGAGTGACCTTACATTCGTAATCATAATTTTAGGGACATAACGTGATTTTGTTGAAACTTGAAAGCTGTTGTTCATGTCTTGTTATTCTACGAGAATTAATCTTATTTGTATTGGGATGGATTAACCTTATTAGACTTGGATTATCAACCTTATTTGTGTTTGGATGTTTCGGGTAGGTATGAGGTTTGCATGCAGTATTTCGTGTAGGAATAGACATATGCCTCGTTTACACTACACTTGGATACCAATTTTAGCCGTATTTCACGCATGCTCTTACGAAAAGCATGGGCTAAATGAAATAATTATTTTCTCACGACACAATAAATAGACCTATCTTATAATGACTTCAAACGCGGAAAATCTGATGTTACACGAAATTTGATAGGCTCCCCAAAACTATCGAGCCAATCAAACTTCGTGTAACATCAGACTTTCCGCGTTTGACATCCTTATGAAAAAGGTCTATTGTTATATGTAGTAGCCGAATCACAATGTTTCAAACAATATTGCAAATTATTCATTGCATATTCAATTATGTCACCGATTACCCCAATTAATGTTGTTTTAACGCTGTGCTCATTTATTATAACGAAAGGGGAGAATGAAAAAGTCTTCAAAAAACTGAGTTCATTGTGAAACTGACAGAACTGCGTGGGAAAGTGGTAGGAGTGTTTTTGGTTTTTGCTAGATTTAGCAAAGTCAGTCAATGGTCAGTCTTATTGATCACACCATCTCAGTGGTTGAGAAGTTGTCTAATATGAACTAGATTCTATACTACAACACTACAGCAAGAATAGATTATTATTTAAATAAAAAAAAATGTTTTTTTGAAGAAGATTTTAACGAGGGTTTTTATAATGCTTAACTGTCGAACACTATGATATACATTACAAGATTATTAGTCACTGATTAGCATGTTATATAAACACATTTAGTGAATCTGAATTGGTCAAGACATTTGAAAAAATGCAGTAAACGCAGCCGCAACTATAACAAAATAATATTTTTCCTGAATGGATACTTCACTGTTAAGACTTACGGCTTTATTGTTAAGGCTTGTTATGGAAGGTCCCATGGATCCGTCTGCACCATAGAGAGCAAGTAAAGGAAACCAGATACGTCCAAAGGCTTTCCTAAAGTCGTGATTGTGGTTCTCCCAGACATAAAACCAGAGATTCTTATTTATCTCGAAGTATGGACTGTTGGCCAAGATTCTCGAGACGTTTATAGCCGGCTCTACCATGATAGTGCTACCTTCAATTGATCCCACATCAATGTACACTTTCTGCCGGCGTCTCGCCCCTTGAAACTTATTAAGAGTCTTCTTTACAAACTCATAAGCCATGTCGTCGGGTATCGTTCCGTTCTCGGAGATCGACCACCAGAACGACGCCGACATACAAGCAGCAGAACCAAACGTATCGGGACGTGTCCACATCGCGTGACATGATATCAAGCCCCCAAGTGAGAAACCTATGATGCCAACATTGACCGCACCGATGGCAGATTTATAAGATTTTTGTGATTCGGGGATTAAGGTGTTTTGAATGAAATCGAGGTAACGCTCGCCATATGCCTTCTCAAATGGAACCCAACGGAAACAATTGAATTTTTTAATGAGCTCCGTGTCATTGCATAGTTTCTCTCCAAAACATGGTAAACAACCATTACAATAATTTGATATATTCCCACTCTTGCATTTTCGACTCGTACCATTGGATGGAACCAATAATTGCATTCTCTCTCTGCGGTTGTTGACGAGACCTATTATGACAAATTCCTTAAGGACTGGCTTTTGGACAACCATATTATCAATTTGTGGTATCAAGTACCTCAGTTTTTGACCATCGTTAAAAAACAATGTCTCGTAATTTTTGTATCCATTTTCATGAAAACTTGCAGGCGTGTATATTATGATGTTTCGACTCTGATTCAACTCTGGCGAGAATATTGTTCGCTCTCTTGTATTTCCTTTCTTTTGAAAGAACCAAGGATAAACCCAAAATACTGGAATGTCCTTCCAGTCACCCAAATGCTCTGTGTCTGTTGATAGAGGCAAAGGAAGCACAAAATTAGCTCCCAGCATATCCTTTGTATCGTCCAAATATACGCGGAACTCAAGTTTTACAGGTTGTTTCTCGTGTTTCTCTGAAGCAGCGACGGTAATGGGGAAATTCAAAAGAAATTCCCAAGTATCTTCCTCGGAATTTGATCGCTTCATCTGTTTGCCCTTTTCCCAGGTTAATCCAAAACCATTTCCGCGTAGCCACATTGTCGACGAGCCGAGCTTTGGCAACGGAATGTAAGGATTGCTCTTGTTGTATCTCATCTTGACCAGAACTTGTCTGGTGTTTTGGGAGGAAATGAAGCATACCTTTCTATAACACACACCATGACGGCCATTCAATTCACAAACCCTTCCGTCATTTTTGCCAGTTACATCACACATTACCGGTTTCTTGACAGAGCTTCGTCTCAGATGTACAGGACAATAAAGTACAGCAAAGAAAACTAACAAAGAAAGCTTCATTCTTGCATATAAACTACACGCTTTGTCGGAGACGACTGGGCGATTTTGTTTTCGTATATTTTTCGTATAATATTGGTTGGCAAATATGTTGAATTGCTATTAAGAAATTTTCGTGTAATGTCAGCAATGTCTGTTCGTTTTAAAAAGACCTTATTCAATGACCTTCTTATACTTTTTCAATGAAGTATAACACCAACTTAAAGAGAGCTCTGGTCTTATATGTCGTCAATCGTTATCGCATATTCACTATATTGGGTATATCTAGACTGCCAAGCCCCAAGGTTGTAGTTGACATACTAGTTTCACATTTGTCTGTGATATTGTTCGTACAAAAGAGCTTTTACTGATGTTCATGCTGCCTAAATCAGGAACCAAAGGTCTGATCGAAAACGAGGCTCCATGGCTTGTCCTGGGCCTCGTGATTAATGTTCGGCGAATCGGCGGCTTATTTTCAAATTTATTGGACAGAGTAAAATGTTTTTAATGCATCCGTTGAAGAAGGATTTTTGGCATCTTTGGGAAATCTGTTTCATTTAATAACGTTGCTCTAAATTGATAACGATAGTGTTGTGACGTCATTGTCGAAAGAGTCTATTAAAAACATTGAATCACAGTTTAAGGATATATATCCTTGAACTGTGATATGATGTCGTGACGTATACCGAAAGATTCGTTTAGCCATTGATTGGGAAATCTGATTGAGTTTAGACAAATTGTTTAGGCACATCCAGTGTATATCATACAGGTCAGTGAGTATATGATGATGACGTAGCAAACTAGCTGAACACAAGATGGCTGAAAATCCAAGTGCAAAAGATATTCAGTTAGTTTTCAAACGTTTAAAGCATTGTGCAACAAATAAGGTGAGCTTATTTTAACACAGAACAAAACTTTATATTCTTGCCTTCTGTTTAGAAATGGTTTCCAGTTATTATGAGTTATATATAACTTTTTAGACATGTTTTGATTGTGGACATCAGAATCCTACATGGGCCTCGGTGACTTATGGAGTTTTTTTATGCATCGATTGTTCAGCCGTACATAGATCTCTTGGGGTTCATTTGAGTTTTATTCGGTAGGTATTAAATACAGAAATGGACGAACTTCACTCTTAGCTCACAATGAAGTTCGATAAAATTCTCTTTATTAAATATGAAATAAAAATTTTTCTCTCGTTACATATTTCAATACTGTATACGTTTTTTAAATCAAATTTTTAAAGGACCAAAGGTTACCGGTCAGGTTAGTTCTGAGTCACTGGTTTTCTAAACTCATTAGATTCCGTCAGTTTTCGTTAAAATTCCTTGGTATTTAGTATTTTTTATCCAAATTAACTCTAGTGATGTGGTACTTCATTTATAATCTATTTTTCAAACTGTAATATCATTAAAATCTACACTCTAATCTAATCTATAATTCAATAATTTTACTCAATCTTAAAATAATTTTACTCAATCTTATAATCTTATAATGATTATATAGCCACCACTTTCAGAGTAATCCATATAGAACAATATGTGAATTCTCAGCCAGAGGAATATATCATTCATGGGGGTTATATATGTCATGTTATTATTTCTCTGAGTAGGAGTGTATAATATTCAATGAAATGTATACAATGTTGTGGTTTTGTATAAAAGTCCAGTGGTGTCTGATGTTTTGACTTAATTCTTTGCGTGAGGAAAACTCTAGGGTTAATATGGTCACATGCTATAAATAAAGCTATCTGATTTGACAATGTGTAGTTAATAGTTGAGATATTAAATATTGTGCCACTGTAGTTTTTTAACGCATGCTCCCATGAGAAAATAGATATAAAAGTTAAATGACCACCAATACTAAATGTGTTACTTGTGAGCAAAAATGATTGGACCTGAAATCAAATTTTTTGGATTGCATTAAATTTTTGATTTTATCATTTATTTGTTCAATTTGAAGCAACCATTTCATCTGATGCACACTTCTATTAAATGCTTAGCACTTTTAGTTATGTGAATCTCCCTATATATTATATGAGAACAGTAGTAACTAGGAGATTTACTTGTATTTCAAATGTTTTTAAACAATATTTGCCCAACTGAAAAAACAACAGTTCAATGAATCTTTGGGATCAACTTTCTTTGGGCATGACTGTCTGTAGTAAAATAGTTTAAGGATTAGAGTTTTTAAAAGGTTTACAAAGTATGAACATTATTGAATTCTCTGTATAATACAAGAATGGTAGAGTTTTAACCCAACAAGCTCTTTCTTTTTTTAGTTCAACCCAGTTGGACACAAACTGGACATGGATACAGCTTCGACATATGCAATGTGGTGGCAATGCCAAAGCAGTGAGTTCCTAAACCATTGTGTATTAACAAATTTGTCATATAGTTCGAACTCTTATTCACTTTGCTTTTTTAGACTGCATTCTTTAGACAACATAATTTAAATACCAATGATGCAATGGCAAAATATAACAGGTGCATAATTTGTTGTTATTTATATAATATATGAAGTATGGTTTTTTAAATACCAATAGGAATATGGAAGAACTTTTTTCTCAAATTCTCTCTGCTGACTTCTTTGTGGTGGGCTCTACAGCCATAAACAGCCACTGGACTAATGTTTTTGACATGTTCTCTTCTAGCCGTGTTGCCAAGATGTATAAAGAAAAACTTTCCTCTCTAGCTCAAAAAGCTCACAAACAAAATGGAACACAGGTGAAAAAAGAATTACATATATTTTTGCCATTCCTTTAGCCAAAATATTCAAATATCAGGCTACCATGTACTGAAAAGTATTCACTAAGCCGCATTAAATTGTATACTTTCGCCTTCTGCTTGAATATTCATCAGTTCACGAAGAATATCGGGCATCTTTTATTGAGCATCCTTTGTTATATTTTCAGGTCTTAATAGACACAGGCAATCCAGCACATGATAGTGCACATACCCCTGAGAAGAAAGATGTAGATTTCTTTCATGAGATTACTACTGCCACTACATCAATCACAGCCAGTGAACCACTCACAACAAATGGCACAAAACGACTCAATGGAGCAACACCTCCACCTGCCGTTGAAAATGATGTTACAGGTTTGAAGATTTTCTACTCTTAAAAATATGCTAGGTTCAGGTAGGTGTGCATTGGTTTGTACATGTGAACAGTGTTGAGATTATTTCAATATGCTCTTGAACATAAAAGTCAGCTCCTCCTACTTCTTAAGCCCTAAAAATCTTTATTTTTTTGTCATTATGGTTTTGATTCTGTTTATACTTGTACAAAACAATAGCAACAGCAGTTATAAACTGATACATGTGTATGTTCTTAATTTGTTCAAAATTTTCTTACACTAGGTGCAGTTGATCAAATTGAGAAGGATGCAAGTCGGTTAAGTATCTCACCCCCAAAACATCAAGGTATGTTAATAATGTTATTACTTACTATTATTCATTGTTCTTTTATCAGGACGCAGTATTGCAGTGTCTTATAATAATAAAATCACTTTTCATTAAATATGTAAATAACACATGCCTTAAAGCCTTGTTACACAGTGCAATTTTTCTTGCAACTTGCAGTAGTGAAGAGTCTTGCAGAAGAAAAGTGCATGAAGTGTAATAAACACAAAGGTTTCGTTGTTCCCAAATAAACATCTCTCAAAAGTAGAATTGCATTGCAAGTTGCAAGAAAAATTGCACTGTGTAACAGGGACTTTAGGAAGACTAAAGTAGACCACCTTAAATGTGATCCCTCTCAATGATTATGATGACTAGTAGATGATAGTGAATTTTACAAAACAATTTGTTGATTGGTTTTTAAGACTTGAGCACAAAGCCCAAAAAGTTTGTGCAAAACAAAGTGCAATGCCTAATTGCCATAGGAGAATGGTTTTTATAATAGTTGCTGATCTTGGCATTTTAATTTCACTTTATTTCTGAATTTAAAATCTAAAACATTCTCAAATAATTTGTTTGATATTCAAACAAGATGAATAAGAGTTTATAGTATTCCTGTGGTTGCATAGCTGTCCGATCTTAGCTTGCAAAACTAAGGGATAAAATATTCTCCAACAGAACCTCGTGTGTCAACAATCGGAGGAAGGAAAGCTGGCAAGAAGGTAAATGGTAGATTGAAAAAGGCATTAGTGCATTTATCATTAACTACAGACAATGCTTTATATTCATCTCTATGCAATCTCAATTTGTGTTGTTTTCAATAACCCACATGCAGCTCACTGTAACTATACTGTGTTACAAGCAGTGCATTGCCAGGTGATATTTTCTTTCTCATTTGTGTTTTATGATCTTTATAGTCTGCAGGCAAAAAAGGAAAACTGGGTGCTACCAAGGTACTAAATCGATATGTGACATAAATATCAGTTTGATATAGAACACTTAGCTCTGGATTATCATGTTTGCAGGTCAAAACAGATTTCAGTGCATTGGAAACAGAAGTGAATAAAGCCGCTGAGAAACAGGCTAAATCAGAGGAAGTAAAAGCATTTGAAGAGACTGGCGCAATCTCTGGTAATCTTGCTTATAAACCTAAAAACTTGAAGAAGGAGGAGGAGAAATTACGTCATTCTGATCCAAAGAAAGCTGCCCAACTTGAGCGATTAGGAATGGGGTTTGGATCTGGCAAAGAACCCAGTCATCTCTCACATTCCGCCTCGGCCGGACTCTCCACAGTTGAGCAAGTTAATCCAACATCTAGCTCACGACAAAAGTCTGTTTTGGACAGATACAACGATAAAACGGATGATTATTTTGATGGGTGAGTTTGGATAGCGATAACGATAATTTTGTTGATAATAATAATGATCGTAATTGTGCTGATTATATATATTGTTTCGTGTAATATTGATGTGATTGATGATAATGATGATGATTTGCAAGGGCAGGAGCATTGCATCGGCATCGCAAAAGCGTAGGTTTGATTCCTGCTGGAGGACCGATAGTTGACTCATTTTTCCATCAACTGTTCCTGGCTTGAATTTGAAGTGTGTATAATTCCACTCGAAATTAGGACCCTTTCAACCTCTCGTATTTACCTACATCGAGTGAAGTGCCAAAAATCATAATTAATTATAAAGGAATTAATTATGAAACAAAGTTGACGATGTTGATAATAACAGTGATGATGGTATTGATAAGAAATATAATACTGATGTGTTAATGTTGACGAGATTGATCATCGAAATGAATAATAATGGTACAAGTAAATTTGAGTGAAAATTAAGTCGCAATTTTGGAGTTGATTAATATTTATAGGTATTTAGTTAAGTAGAAAAAAATTATTTTCTTTGCAGTTTTGGTTCTGGAAGTTTGAATATTCATGATTCACCTCCAAGGTAGAGTTATTTCTATGTATGCTCTATTATTTTTCGTCCGAAACCTATAAAGTTGACCAGCCTAGTAATCCAGGAATACGGGAACAGTTCAAACTAATAAGATCTCTTTGAAATCAACTCAATGAATTTTGTTACTTTATAGTTATTCTCTTGATGAATTTTTGGAGACCGGAAAACCGTAAGTAATCGTAGAAGTTATAAAAGGAACATCTAGGCATCTAACATCTAAGTTTTTTCGCTATGGCCTTTTTTGTTCTGTCTATAGAAAGCCTAAAGACAGCTACAGATCTGATGACAGTAGTTACAGGTAGGATGACAATGTTAAAAACCATATATATAAGCATAGAGTTTCCTTAAAGGTAGGTAACGCTTGATAAGGTTTACAGCGTTTTCACGCGTTTCGTTCGTTGGGATGCGCGGACTCTGGTTTCCCATGCAAAGTCTCTCAGAATTGGAATGTTAGAGGGTTCAGTGTGTACGTGGTTATTGCAGTCAGGCTTTACCCAGATTTATGTTTACTCAGAGTATTTCACACAACTCTTGCAATGCAAACCCGGGATTTCAAAACCTCTGCGGTTTATCTCTATTAAGGCTGTTTTCCACTGTCGCGTTTTTCATACGCACGTACACGCACGTAAAAGTCTAAATCCTTATATAAGTTATCTTTAAAAAAACGAAATGAATAAATCGAAAGAACTTAGTTTTCCGCGTAGCTTAGTATGCATTTGCTGACCTAGATGTTAAATAATAAAAATTTAAAAACAATTAAACTTTTACGTGCGTGTACGTACGTGCTAAAAACGCGAAAGTGGAAAGCAGCCTTTACTCATAAACTCTGGTAATAAAACCTCATTCATTATCACGTTTACAGAAGTACTGCAAGGAAGAATTACAGCTCTGCAGCTGCAGCTGAGGGCGGTAAGATCCTACTTTGCTTTTCATCAACGACCAATTACTTCATGGTATAATATTTTTCTCACGTTTTCCTCACGCATCTGTGTATTGTGTTTTTAGATGGGGCTCAAAAGAAGTTTGGTAATGCTAAATCAATCTCATCTGATCAATTTTTTGGCGGCAAATCAGATGTAAGTGGACATGTATGTACACCTCATAGACATAGTTGAAATATTTTTCTTGTAGTATATTGTCGCACTGTTGAATGTGAACTTGCGGTGGTTTAAAAGCTTTGATTACTGCATGATACCATGCACCATCGTAGACTTTGTTTTCAAACTTCAGGACTTTAATATATATAGATGTTAGCTAAATAACGTCATTGCATGTTTTATTAATGCATGAAAGCCCACCTTCACGCTAAATCATGTACCCGGTCATGGTCACACTGACTAAAAACCGTAACACATAATTTCAGACGTCATATGACACTCAAGTTAAGCTTGATAGATTGTCTGGGGCATCAGCGATATCGAGCGCTGATCTATTTGGGGAACAGCAACGTGCAGGTAACCAACTATATATTTATGAGCCCATAGTCATAGAGATGGTACTTGTTGTCAACTTCAGATGTGGTGGGTTTCTCTAGATCTATTCGACTCTATGTTTTCAGGCCAAAGAGGGGGATCATATCAATCACCAGACATGTACCAATTGCGCGAAGGACTCGGACGAATGACTGAAAAGGTAATAATTTCACTTACCATCGTTTTCATATTGTTGCATTTTCTTGACATTTTAAAAACCGCACTGTTTTCCATGCGTGCTAAAAAGCACTAGTTGTTCAGAATCTGCAACATTCACAAAGGTCCAAGACTTAACCATCATTGTTTTCTTACAGATCAGTAATGTAGCATCTGGCGTTTTATCCACTATACAGGTATATATATGACTTCTAGACTACGTTCACGTGGGATCGGACGAATTTAGGACTGTGCCGATTTAGGAATTCGTCCACTATTCATTCACACGGTAAAAATACATGAAAATTTGACCGGTTCTATTTTTACGTGTCCACGTAAGGAAACCGGACAAGTTCGAGCACAGTCCAAAATTCGACAGGCCTTGTGTGAATGGTACAGTATGTAGTCTCAGGCTGAGTTCACACTAGATTGGACGAATTTGAGTTTTTTCTCAAATTTGTCAGGTTCAAGGGTTCACACAGTGAAAATGGAGGAAAATTTCATCGATTCTACGTGTTCACACGAGGAAACCGGACGAATTCGTCTGGTCTGAATAGCCCGAATAGTGTTTGCTGAGGAAGCTCTTTCAATTCCAAACTATTATCCTTCTAAGTCCGTAGGCAAACATTCTTAAATTGCATACTACATAATATTTAATTGTCATATATTTTCCAGGACCGTTATAACTCTGGTTACAATGGTTAACCCAATATTCAAATCTTCATATATTCAAATTCATGCCGCGGGGAGTCGCGTGAAATCCAGACGATGTCAAATGCAGTTTTGAAATTTTGAAAGAGGGTTTTGACTAGTTCGAATAGTGCAACTAATATATTATTCCGCTCTGGAAGTAGATAGGCAAGCCCCCAAATTTAACCACGCTTGTATATGCCATATGGTGCAGAGGGCTGCCGTTCGTATGATCCCGCTTGCCTGAATAGTTTTTGGTGTAGAGATAAAAATACAAAAGTGGGATGAGAAATGAGCGAGATTATACGAATAAGCTCTAAGCCTTTTAACTGCTTCAGAACTAGTTGTGAACCCAATGTTGCACTGATATGGTACTGAACATTTTTTGTCAAGTGCGGTGGCGATGATCAGATACTGATATACTGATGAATTAACATGAAAATTACATGAAAATTTCATGAAGGGTTTTGAGTTGGCGTTCAATTGATTTTAAAGAGAAATGTATTTTAGCTAGCATATCATCTGAAATTAATAAATCTACAAATTCGATCACAAATCCTCGTACATCATGTACTGTCTACTCATCTGGTCCGTTGTACAATTGACAATAATCATCAAAATCTACCCAAGACATAACTACCCAGTGCAAAAATGCAACTAAAAGTTGTACAGTGTACACAACCACCCCTAATTGGTGATAACTCTGAATCTATGCTGTGGCTTCCTCTGTGACCGAACACATTAACGGCAATCAAAAATGAGACATCTCAACTGATTTTCTATTGTTTCTGTTATGCGGTAAGTGAAATTCTTGGATGGGAAACCAGACTTTAAATAGTTTTTTTCGTTGATAAGTTGGAGTATTTAACAATTATTCGCCGAAGGCGAGGTGAATATCGGTAAATATTGAGACGAAGTCGAGGTTTTTTTCCAGTGAAATCATAGATGGTGAAATCATAGATAAATACGAAATAAAGCAACGGACCGCTTTACAACGTACTTTTTTACCTCAGAGTAAATTTTAGGCCATCTTTTCTGCTTCTTTCGTTGTTTTAGGTACAATTTTTTTTCAGAAATTACTAATTTCTTCAATTAGATGTCACTTTGACAAAACAACTCGCCGCCATTTTGAAAATACCGCTTAAATGTTTTTAAAATCAATGGCCAGAATTTTTAATAATCACCTTGTAATTATACTACCAATGCATAAAATTGTAATTTAGGACATCCCAAAACTGTACTAAAAATATTCATTCCGCAATTTTCAATAACATTCGCACATCAAAACATCGGGTTGGGATACTGTTGGGAAAGGGGGAGTGCATATTGTCAAAGGAATAGAAATATAGTGTCTAAATATAGGACTAAAGATAAAGGAATAGAAATATAAGTCTAAAGATCGAGCTATCAAAGGTAAAGCAAAGTAGTAAACAACGAAGTACTAACTGAACAACATACTGTATTTCATAATATTTATTTTCAATATCTGCTAACACTAAAATGTTACTCTATTATGTCCTTGCCACAATATCCTTGTCTCTATCCACAATAGTCTTCCCGCGGATTACGCTGCCTAGAATTAGAACATCAATAACACGGAGTTGAAAATTATAGTGAACACATTTCAATACACGGAGGCATCTGCACACGTCCCCCGTTGCTGCGGTTGCACGCAGTACAGTGCAGTAAAAGCGCTCAGTGACCGTAATAAAATGTTGCATGATGGTGAAAGCGACTGGAGATGAGGCAACAATGCAGGTCCTGACCATGCAAGTAAAGATTGTTCCAGGGTTATAAATGTAGTAGTTTGTTTCCAAGGATAAAAATTACCTTGGCGCAGCCTTAATGATATCATCAACTCGTAAAATCATCTCGGCAGCTTCAGCAGCTGATAGTAAGACTTGAAGTTTTACTTTATACGATTCTGTGATACCCAGCTCCACCATATTGCCAATAATCCCTGTGCGCATATCTAGGGAGATATTATATAAACAATGTTTTCTTAGCATCATCACGTCAGATCAGGATCGATACAACTCTGAAAACAAATCATATACCTAAGCCATATCGATTCTCTCCATCGCTGTGTTTTGCTCTCAGTTGAGAGACCAGGTGTGCACTATCGTAGCCAGCATTATCCGCGATTATTATAGGTATCTAAATATGAAAATATATAGTTAGAGTGACAGGGTATGGCATAATGTATCTGTGCTTTAGTAATTAGTACATGCAGATAGGTTCAGGTAAGCGTTACAACCCACAGGTGGCGGTAACCTTCAGAAATACATTTAAAAATACAAGAAGCAAAAGGATATGAAGCAAATCGGTAATCAACAGGGATGTCATTCGTATTTAATCGATTCAATTCAACTGAGAATTAACATTACTTACTTGTCTTAGAGCATTCGCAAAACTTTCGATAGCAACAGACTCTTTGCCTGGGGTCTTTGTCGCCAAATGACTGACAGCCTTTGCCATGAGCATCTCTGAAGCTCCTGAAACATACACACCATTCCTTATAATTCATCATACATTTCTTAAGCTAATGATTTGCAGTAATTGGACTACTTATTTCCTTTATATTGCACGTGTCATGACGAGATACACTCACGCAGACCATCTAAAACAACTAGGAATCTGATTCTGGAATAAATTTTTCTAGAAGCAGTTGTTCGTCTTTAACGATTCTGCCACGTTTGTACAGGCAAATAATTAGGAAAAGTACGTATTCTTCTATACCATACCTCCACCAAACACCGTCCTAGTTTCTTTGACAGTTTGAGTTAAGACGCATAGAGCATCATGAAGCGAGCGCTCAGCTTCTTCCAATATTTGCTGTGTTGCTCCGCGAATTACAATTGTACATGCTTCGTTCAGAGCACAGCCGGAGAAATGAATTAACTAAAACAACAAATAAACAAGATATTGCAAATAACAGCGATTCTGTGAGCCATCCACAATCATTACAATTATTATTATCAAACAGTCGTCATCACACTGTCAGCTTATTAATCAAAGTGATTAGCATCATCAGCATCATCATCATCCTCATTATCATCATCATTAGTTATTCTCCTCCAGTTCCTATGCATCCCTTCTCATTCACCATCATTGCATTTTCATCCTCCTCATCTTTTCTCACCCTTCATCATCCCATCTTATTCTCATATTATTATTATTACCACATCTCCTTGACATCCCCTCATCATCATCCATCTTATTCTCATATTATTATTATTACCACATCTCCTTGACATCCCCTCATCATGATCCATCTTATTCTCGTATTATTATTACCACATCTCCTTGGCATCTCAACTTCATCCATCCATCCTACCCTCTCTCCATCCACATGGCATCCCTCCTCATCAATTCCTTGCCATCCCATCATTATCATCACTAACACTCACCTGGTCTTCCCCAATCATAACTTCTTCAATAAGTTTACAATGACCAAGTTTCACAAGCTCTGGTTTTCCAAATGTTGACACAATTTCTGAACCCAAGACAAGAGCAAGCCTCTCCACTCCTTCAAAATCTGCATGCTCGATCGCCATCACTCCTGCATCTGCGAATAGCTGTTCTGGATAGTTGTATATGAGTTGTCTAGGGTTGAAAGATAATGAAATTTGTTTTAAACACAAAAATCCCTAAATCAAACTGTAAAGTTTACAATTGTGAATCGCACCTGTTTATGAAACAGTTTATATCATGCTTTAAAATATTTTGGACTTTGTCTTTCATTTTTTCCTAAACATAGTTGAAAAGATTTAATGGCATAATATAAGTAAAATCCAATCAAAATACATTGTTCAGTTTTCTTTAGCTACCTTTTCAGCTAGTTCCAGCTGTGCAATCTTTGCAGTTGAATCAACACGTACCCTTGAACCAAAGACCTATGAAGAAAATTGAGATTTTGTAAGAAGACGTCTAAATTTTTCACCTATTGACCAGTAGGGCCATGCAAGCAATTGACCACTGAACCTTTATTTTGTCAGCATCCATTGATGTATTTGCAACCAATATTTTAACATTTTCCATTCGCTTTGGTTGATTAACCCCAATCTTTTTATCAAGTAGAAAACCTTATGATAAGATAAAATAAATTCAGAGAAAATATTGGACACATGAAATGTTCACAAAACTAATTGACTAAAATTTCAGAAAATTCTTCACTTTGGCACCTTCATCTAAATAAGAGTCTGCCAGATTTCCTCCAAGTTTTTTTATAATTTGAATTGCTTCTAGGTTCCCACTTCCCTATATGAAAAATAAAAAATAGGTTTTACTAAGCAGGTTTTTCAATTGTAAAACGTAAGCAGTTTCACCCAAATTTTTTTCAGAAGATAGTGCACCTTTAGTCTCATAACAGCGTCAACAGCAAGTTTTGCAAAATGATCTTTCTGATGGACCAAAATTTTTGAGCTTAAAGTGGTCCTGGCAATATTCATCAGATCTTCTCGAAACTTCACATCATCTTTGCCATGATCTATGGTAGACTGTTCCAGTGCAGCTTGGGCAACTTTCACAGCCTTGCGCCATCCCAGTATGGTTGTCTGGGGATGAATTTTCGAGGCTGTTAATTTTTCTGCTTCCTACAAAAGGAAATTGGTAATATGAGAGTGCTGGCTATTGAACAGGAATTATAATAACTTGACAGTATTTTTTAAACTTTTTAGAGGCAGCCAGAAGAAAGGGGGGTTCTGCATAGCTTCAGAAAGGAATATCCAACAACAAAACATCACAACTGTGTGCGGAGCTCAGATCATGTAGAACATGCCACAGGTCCGTTAAAACAGTTTCAGCACGGAATTTCTCATCATTGCTCCATATATCATTCTGTTTGTCTCCAATAATCAGACAAATACTTCTGACAAAGAAGGTTTCTGGTCCCAATACAGATTATGCTTTTATTGGTTAAAACAAAACTTTGATTACCCTCAGGAGTTCACAAGCTAAAACAACAACACTTGTTGTGCCATCCCCAACTTCATCATCTTGAACTTTGGAGATATCTAAAATCCAAAAATGTTAACAATTTTCTTATTCACTTTGTAGGTTTTTTCATATGTTGCTCTCTGCCATGTTTACCTACTAAGACCTTGGCAGCAGGGTTATCTATACTGATGGACTTCAATATTGTTGCACCATCATTTGTGACCTGGATGTCACAATTCTGACCCAGAGATTGTAATATTTTGTCCTAAAAAAGAATGAAATAATGAAATATTCAATTCTTCAATATCTGCCATAGTAGACAAGACTTGGGCAAATCTGATTGAGAGAATGGTACAGTAGTTATCCAGGTAGTTACTAAGAGAATAGGTAACTTACATGCATAAAGGGTTAAGTTACCTTTTCTCACAAGCAGGAAATTAAGCTTTTTTTCTGTAACTTTATTGAAAATGTTATTTCTTACCATGCCTTTTGGTCCAAGAGTACTTTTAACAAGGTCGCCAATTGCAATTGCACCAACAAATGATGACTAATTATAACACAAAATGTTGTTCTGATTAAACTGTGACAAAAAATCAGTTTGCAACTAAATATAAACATATTTTGTCTGACAGCTAGTAAATGAAATTAAAAAACTAAAAAGCTGATCAAACCTGCCTTTAAGGTAATAATGGGAAATGATCTGGATAGGTTTGTAACCAATATGACATAATTCAAATTTTGTTACATTTTTATAAGGCCGGTAACCTATGTTTGGAAATTAAGTACTATTTGATGCTACACATACAGAAATTTAATGCACAAAAAAGTCGGGTACTCAATGAACAAGGCCAACGTTTGCAAAAAAATGCCCACTCTCTGAAATGGTCTCTTTTAGAATGTTTTGCTATGCAAACACATGACTCATTTTCCCCAACTATTGCCTTCAAGCCATGCCCTCATGGGCATATTGTAATAATAATTGCATTTCAGCTTGTTTCAGTTTGTTAGTATAAAGCATAACTAGGCCAACTTGTATGTACAGTACATCATATGGGACTACTGGGAGTGGTACAAAGCTACAAATTATCTTAAGGAGTCTCCCCATCACTACAAACCAAACAAATAAAACATAGATATACAAATACCTAACATACCAATCTGGCTGTCTCTGCTTTCTCTTCATCCGCTCCGGCTTTAAAAATTTGTACAGGGTTTAAGGAGACCTTGATAAAAACGGAAAAATACGCACACTTTTTCATAAAAGAGACTATAAAGTATAAACCAACCAAAAATTCAAAGGCATAAATCTGGAATAATATTTTATCGATTTCGCTACAATTTATAATACTGAGACATTACAATGTATTTTAAAGTTAACGGTGTTAAAAAAGTACTTTTAGCTTACCATTTTTTACAAAAAAATAATTTAATTTCCTTATACAAGTTGTGTACTTTGACAATCAAGCATGTGCAAGAAGGAGCGCCTGATTTTCGTATTTTTGATTATTGCGAAAAATATTTCGATAATATGGTGATGGGCTTCCATGTCCATAGCAAACATTTCCAGAAATTTATATTTCAGTTTTCAAAATTTTCTATACTCTTAAGGTTGCTCGGTAACCCTCGAGATATCCTCGGTTCAATATTCGGAACATTCCGGACTATGACGTTTTGGTCGACTTCCTCAAAAATCAAAATGCAAGTTTGTTCTAAATAATTTCGTAAATGGAGCTTGGTTAGTGCTAAAATACACGGTATTTCCTGTCATAAATTTTGTGCATGTGAAGTCATAGGTGTCTGAATTGTGTTCTCCATTAAAGGTTCATGTTTTTGAAAGCGTGAACAGTAAAATAATGGCCGGTGTGTCTGGAAATTATCAGTTTAAAATTGTGCTGTTGGGGGAAGGGTGCGTTGGCAAGACTTCGCTTGTTTTGCGTTATTGTCAGGATAAATTCAACGATAAACATTTAACAACACTCCAGGTTTGTTGTTTTAAACATGTTTCATGTATGTGGTAATGTTTAGACTTTATTTGTGGGTTTAAATTGGGCATAATTGTTAGGATATGTGCGCTGGCATTTCAAGATTAACTAAACTGGAACGACAGGATTAAAGAATATCATTTATCCTTGTTGTTTGTTCTAAACGTTTACATATACTGTATGTAATGGTGTTGTGTGGTAGTGTTGCAATTATAACAAATAATTATAACAAAAGTATAACACAATTTCTATTACTGATACCGCTATGGTGATTTGTAATTTTGTAGTTATTAAATACTATATGATGAGACATTTGATATAATATTTTTTATATAGCTTCCAAATTTTTAATGTGATATCAAATAAAAATATATAATCTAATATATTTAGCATATTTGGCATATGCAATTTTCAATGTAAGTCCCATAGGAGAGGTCATATTGGAGATGATATAATGCCTTTTCAGGTTGTGCAATATTGTCTTCAATGCATTGTTCTCACTATTGTGCCTACCCTCAACTAAATCAACCGCAAGGAAGTTTCATTAAGTTTAGTATTGTACCTGTCTCATTTGGCAAGATAAATGCTTGGGCCCAATATTAATCTATTGCCTGCAGGATCAGATGATGATGTCATATCCTTCCACAGCGATCATAACAATATATATAATTAACTAGTCAAACTACAAAAATCATTATATGCTTATCAATCAAAAATAATCGCATATCATTTGAATATTATATTCCTATTTATCGCTAATTTCACATAATTTTTCCCAAAGTATTATAAAATTGGCAAAGTTAAAAAATCCTTATTGGGGTGGTCTATAGAAGTAAACTCTTCAAAGATTGAAATTTCATTTTCATTATTAAAAGTTGTATATTGCTGTGCATTATTGTAAAAACACAGTTTTAAAATGCTTTTCCACTACACTCTTTGCACAGTTTATTTTCTTTGTAGTACAATATGTATATATTTATTTCTTTTTTTAAATCTAAAACTAGTTACATTAAAAAATTTTGTAGGAAAGAATATTAAAATAGTGTATATTGAATACATGTAAATTAAATTGATAAACAGGTTTCTAATTTTAGTATCAAAATAGTCATCTTTTTTGTAAACAGTTGGAAGCTTAATAGAAACAGTTTCATGAACAAGTTTGTTAATGTCTAAACAGAATAAGAACATCTTTATACATTGATGTGATATTGACAGCAATTGGTGGTGATCTTACAAAAAGTGCTTTTCAATTTTTAGGCTTCATATCTTACCAAAAAACTGAATATTGAAGGCAAACGAGTTGGTTTATCAATCTGGGTAATTTATACCGCATACTTGCAATTGATATATTGAAAAAGAAATCCATTGAGGATCATATCTGAAGAAAATATGATAAAAAAATGTTGTTTTGTGCTTCCAAATTCACAAACAGGCCCTTATTAAAACTGTTTAATTTTTTACTTTGTTTTCTTGCTTGGTCATTTAAGTGATTTCTTTTTTCAGGATACTGCTGGGCAGGAGAGATTTCATGCATTAGGTCCGATATATTATCGAGACAGGTACTGAATAATTTCAGAAGTATCTGTAACTATAGTAACTATAGAAATAATTGTTAATACCTATATAGTATTATTGCTAATACCTACATCTACCTACATAGAGTGAAGTGCCACAAAATTGTAATTGATTTACCCTCATCTATTCTTAGCATTACCACCTTAAAATACACACTATAACCATGCTTGCTCTTGTCAGCTACCTCCTGATAGTTTGATAGAAAAAGCCTAGTATTATATAAGCATATGCATACATAAAAGTTTAGTGAAGAAACAAATGCAAAAGTTTTCTAATGTAAATCTAATCCTTTGGAAACCTAATTTGAGGCTGACTTTTGATTGGCTATTTTAAAAAATTTGACTGACATAGTTTAATATATCTTTCTTCTTATCCAATTTAGCAATGGTGCCATATTAGTGTATGATATAACAGACGAAGACTCATTTCAAAAGGTATGTGACTTGAAAATTAGTTTGGAAGTATTTTACAATATGTTTCTAACTTCCACTCAATTTAGGTGAAAAATTGGGTGAAAGAACTACGAAAAATATTAGGGGATGATATTTGTTTGTGCATAGTTGGTATGTCAAGATTTGATGAAAAAATTGGTCAAAAGTAACCCTGGCTTTTCTGTTCTATTATTGTTGTCATTTGTAATTTAGTTAAAATGTTTTTTTTTAGGAAATAAAATTGATCTTGAAAAAGACAGACATGTAGATGGTGCTGAAGCTGAGTCGTAAGTAGAAATATTTTAGTTTAAAAAATTGTGAAATAGGTTTGTGTAAAAGCCATTCTCTTTTAGATATGCAAGATCGGTTGGAGCAAAGCATTTATTATCCTCAGCTAAACTAAACAAAGGTGTTGATGAGCTTTTCTTAGAGTTAGCCAAAGGTATGTTTATATTCTACTGATGAAGGCCATCAAAACATTGAGGTATCTTATAAGGATGCAAAAATGCACGAAATTACAAGATCATTTAGTAATGGGGGGACATGTCGCAGTGCTTGGAAGCTTTCGTCCAATTGGATAATGCTTTTCTATGCTTTCTAAAGAACAAAGCTATGCTATTGGTTGAAACAGAAATGTATTGTAAAGTTTAGCCAATGAAAATCATTCTTGCGAGGAGCTGCAACACTACCCGTAATGGGTGCTGTGTTAATCATTCTAGTAGAATATTAATTAATATGACTGCTGGGTTTGTATGTGTAGGGCATCTAAACTGAACAAATACTTAATAAAGTTTTTTGGCTAACAATCATTTTAGCAATGGTGGTCACACAAGATGCTTCTGCAAGCAATGGTCAAAGCAGAGGTGGGCGTGGCACTTCATCAAGAAAACGGGGTGTGGAAATAATAGATGAACAGCCTTCAGGACAAACAAAGAAAGGCTGTTGTTGAAAGGCTATATGTTTTGTTATCAAGTAGGAATTTGTATTATAGATTACAATAGATATTTCAACTGAACTAATTAACCTGTCTGTAACTATATATAAAATATTATCCACTTTGGTTTCAATGAAGGTGATGGATGGTTGTGAGTATAGCTCTTAAAGTTGTATTAAATTCAATACTTCCAAAAATTGAGTTATCATGAAAAGAACTGTTGGGCAGAGTTTTAGGAATAATTTTAAATAATTTTCAAGTGTCAGAATGAAGTATATAATTAGTTTAACCAGTGATCCATTTAAAACTTTTGTTTTACTTTGGTTTAATTAGTGATGGTCTGATGAGCATACTCCACAGGCTTTTTTAGCTTAGATATCTCAATGTCATCAACATGTATTGTAGTTGTAAGCCATGTTTGTCTTTGAGAGAGCAGGACAGGAGATTTTGAGATACGACTTGTTGTATTTGACGTCTTAGCCATTTCCTCCTGTGAAGATCTAAAAACGACAACATAGAAACATATGCAAGCAAATTGTTATAACAACTGCATGTTTAATTACCGAGTGATTTATATGCAAATAAAAATTGTATCATTGACTTACTTTCTTAAGTAAGTTTTTACTCAATTGTGTTTTTATATCTATTGTATTATCATTATTGGGTGTTCTTGTTTTTCCTGGTTTTTCAAGCCTTGGTCTTTTGGCAGGCTGTAAAAGTAATTGTTTGTTGGTGATTTAATGGTTGCAGAACATGATTAGTAATAATCGATGATTACTACATGAAATAGACCACTAATTAACGACACATTAGTAGGAAACATTGCACTTTTGATTCACATTGGGCCTATATGCCCTAAGCAATTTGCAACAAACATAGGCTAATTCATATTTTTAAAAACGACTGGTGAATCAAAATCTACAGACTTTTGTACTTGTTTCCTCAGGATCTTTCTTTTTTCTTCGTTTTTCCATTGCTTTGAAAGCTTTGTTTTTGTCAACATTTTCCAGATAAAAGTTTGCTTCTCGTTTTGCTTGCGATATCTCTGTTCTCATGCGTTGTTCCCGAACTGCTTTTTGGTAGGCTATGGATAGAAAAGATAGGGAATTAGGATAGATCTTTTTCAATGAGAGGGTACAGCCTTGGAACAGAGTTAGTCAACTTAGTTCGTATTTTATGGTGATGATATTATTAGGATATTGTTAGTTAAACTACCTATTTTTTCACTGAGGTGAGACCATTTAAACTTCGGCAAATATTTTATATTCCATATATCATCATGATAATAATTTCTCTTTTTTCCACCTAAATATACAAAGAATGTTAACCAAAGTATAATAAGCAAACCGCAAACATGAATATTACATTTTTCAGGGCTTGCCTAAATTTTAGAATGAAGGATTTACTAAAATTTCAAAGAATGTGAATGATTAGTTATGAGGCCAATACAAACCAACAATTGTATTATTGAGTGACGCTGCAACAGATTTTGCTACATTTCTGTCTTTGAATTCAAGCCAGCCCTCTGTGAAGCATTTCCCTTTATTTCCACCATATTTTTTACGTCGTTTACGTACCATAGGATCTGAAACCGCATATAAAGTTAACTGCTTGATTAATAGTTTTAATTGAACATTAATTGAACACTATCAGAAAAACATGAATAAGTAAATTTAGGATTGTCATTCTTGATACAAAGACAACTTTGGCATTATTAGTTTTATATTAGTGTAAGGTTTATAGCACCTAGGTTTTTAATAAATCACAATAGATTTGGGGATGGCTGCTTAAATGAACGGATAGCTGATTTGTAATATTTTCTAAGTTCTCATGCACTCCTTGGCCATAAAAATGAATATTTTTCTCATTACCTTCAGGTTGTAAAAAAAGTCTGCCTAACTCCCCATATTGTGCGAATATGTATCTAACTTTAGCGGGTTTCATAAAAGGCGGAAGACGGCTAAAATATATAATTCCCGGTCTTGTTTTACCGTCATTTTCAGATTTCAGAGCAGCCATATTTGTCTAGATGCCTGAAACAATGTTGACAATTTTGTGTTGACATGAAAACGTGTACCCCCCTGGATTAAGAAACTTTTTAGAGATGCATCAACAAATTGATGACTTCACGGGGGGGAGTAGTTATATCAAGGCATATCAAGGTAACACGTGCGCTTTCAGACAATCGAATTATTCTCAAAATGGAAGAACAAGGTAAAAAATATTTTTCGTAATTTTGAAGATACTGAATAAAAAAAAATTATTATATACTTTCTTGAGGAACAGGATCTTTGCTGTTAAGATAATCCCTAAAAACATACAGCCAATATAAAGATTACTTTAATGTGGACTTTTTTGTCTGGTTGCCTTGTTAGGATAACAAAGGATCGAAAGGATTCCTGCTGGACCACCTTAGTTGAACTTTTAAAACGTTTCCGGATTTGTTTTAAAATTATCCTGATCCTTTGTTATTCTTTTTTGACCATTGACATAACATTTTCCAGTAAATGTCATATAATAAATAACAATGTCAGTAAATGGCTAAATGTACTCACAAGTCACAATTTATAAGTATAGTACTAATAGATTTTATGGTTAAAAACAATTTCAGACCAAATGGATACAGGCATTGATATTAAACAAGAAACAAATGAAATGAATGATATTGATGATAACATGGAAGCATCAGGTGTGATATATGTGAAAATATATAATTATGATACAAGAGAATAAACTACAAGAAGATTACATCAAAACCTGGTGTATTTTGGTGTTGAATACTTTCCTCTGGCAGTGCAATTTGTTTGTGCATAGACAGAATATGATAATGTTTGATGTGTGTGCACGACAGTTTAAGGCCATATAATTAGTTTGAAGAGTGCCTTACAGACAGATTACTGGTATTTTAGAGTGTTTCAAGAACTCTTTATTCAAGTATGTTGCTATTTTGCATCAGCCCAGCACCGAAAATGAAGTTTCACTGCTATAATATATCCTGTTTGACCATTTTGGTTGCTTAAAGGAATGTGCTAATGAATCCCCCCTCTATAACAAGCTGGCCATGGATTGTCAACATTTTAGGCTGACTTCCTTACATACATATCACTGGTCGATTGTTAATTATGTGTGGTATATCATCTACTGCAGGTAGTTCATCAACAGCTGTGTCAACTTCAAGCAACGTAACAGGAAAAAACAGGAAGAAAAAGAAGAAAAAAAAGAAAAAGAAACCCAAAACAAATGAGGCTTCGAAAAATAGTGAAATAGATACAGAAGAAGTGGATGATGGTGGTGAAGCATCACAAACAGCAGAAGAAACAGAACCACAGGTAAAGCATAAAATATTATGTTCTTTAATGGATATTCAGGTCAAATCATCACTTGAATGGAGTTGAATCACCAACTAAAAAATGCAGTCAAATCACCAAATGGAACAATATCCCAACATTTCCAACTAAAAATCCAGCTCAACGTTTGCTCTAACTACTCGAGATGTTTGATTGACTCACTCAAAAACATTTTACTGTTTGCACCTGATTGCACACATTATGGGCCTTATGAAAGATTTCAACTGACTATATGAAAGTACTGCAACACAAAATTGTTCACTGTTATGAGGTTTGGAAAAAACCAAGGTCACCTGCAGGAACGTTTTCACGAGTCGGATGAAGTTTTTACCTGTCCTGCATTTTTAAGATCTGTAATCAGAAATTATTGAAGGAAATTATTGTCTACACGTAGGTCTGCAGAAAATTAATAAAGTTTATACTTTGCTCGCAGACAGAAAATTATTTTCGCTATCCCTGTTTGTAAGAACTCTTAGGTTGTATTCAACGAACTTTTAACAGGAATTGTATTGTTTAGGAATTAAATTATCTTGCATCTACACTATGCTGGTATCTAAATAGATCAGTATATATAGGATTTTCCACTGAGGGGATATGTATGCTTTTTCCAGGTTTATCTTCCAGGTGGACCCATGGAGGAAGGAGAAGAGTTAAACTTTGACAGTTCAGCATATAAAATGTACCACCAAGTACGCACTGTTTCACAGCCTACATTATTTACAATGAACTACATTTTCTTAGTCGAGAATGTATTGTGGAATGTTTGATTTTTAATCATCAAGGAGTCACAAACACTGTTCTTTTGCACATCAGGTTCAATGTGGAGCTCCTTGTTTGAGTTTTGACATCATTCCTGACAATTTGGGAGACAACAGAACCGAAGTACGTAGTAAAGATATATAATTGGACATTGCTTTCCAAATCTAGTAAATTGCAATGTATCTAGATTCCCCCCATTAATACTATATCATATCATTTATACTGTATTAAAATCAAAATTAAGGTAGCCTTATTCAGTTGCAATATACTGGAAAAGCAGATTGTCCAGGGTGGTTTTGGCTAGTACTCTAGTGAAGTTTTCTTCGTTAAGGTCTGTTTCCACGATCCAATTTTGTTGGATCCAATTCACTTCTAACGTATGGAATGAAGTCAGTTATTCAAAAAGCAGTACTGCGTTGGTTTAAGTTTAATTGTTGCCCACATACTTTGCAAATCAACAGACTATAAAACATCCACCAGAAGTGAATTGGATCCGACAAAGTCGGAACCACTCAAACACCCCCACCTACCCGTTTTTCATAGCTGATCTCTATATGGTAGCTGAACACAAGTGCTTAAGTGCGAGGCTGAGAGATTTGTTTACAGAGATTTGTCGTAATAACGAGCTGACTCCCACTGAGAGCTATGACGTCATATGAAACACGTGCATGCTTATGTTTCAGTTTCCAATGACGATGTATCTTGCCGCTGGTACTCAGTCGGAAAGTTCGAAACAAAATTACCTAATCGTTTTGAAAATGTCTGATCTTCAAGAAATGGAAGAAGAACAAAGTAATAATTTTTTATAATTCCTCATTTGGTTTCGAATCTACTTCATCCAAAGTGTGTTCTACTTTGTTTTTTCTCTTTTATTTTTTTGCCAAGGTGATGAAGAAGATGCCATCGACGATGAACCAGACTTAACAATGGGGCAAATTAAGCACAATGGGGCTGTGAACCGTGTTAAAGTATGTTCACTATGTTGTTTTTCGGTTATAAAGTGATGTTACATAATAAACCATTATTAGATTAAGTTTTTGTGATATCATAGACTATCAATATTGAGTATGAAGATTAATAACATTTATCAAGACTTTGATATAATCTCTGAGTTCATGAAGCGAGTTGCCAGTTGCCCTGTTTTGTTAATATCATTTAATCTGATTGCTTTCTTGTCAAATTGGTCTGTTTTCTAGTTTGCTAATATCCCAGGGCGACAAGTGGTCTCCACTTGGTCTGAAACGGGAAAAGTTCATATTTGGGATATTTCACGACAATTTATTGAAATCGACAACGATGACTCCGGAAAAAATGTAACGTCTGACCATAAACCTTTATACACATTCAGGGGTCATCAGGTAAGACACATGACTGCATGGGTGCTGTATAAGATCTCCTCTCCCTCCGTTTTCACATTCAAACCCCTCGCAAACCCATATCTGATCCATTCAGCTTCTTGGGAAGATTAAATCCCGCTATTTTACGTCGTCATTACTCTACGTAACAAACATTTTGATAATGAAATTAATAGTAAAAGTTGTTCACATTTCTTCATTCTAAACAAAGTTTATCCACGGTCTTAATCATTTCATCAGTAATTCTGTGTTTAATTTTGGTAGGAGAAAAGGGAACATTTTCTTAGAAAAAAATCCCCATTTTTGTTCTCCTGCGATAAAAATCGTGCTTTTTAACGTTTTTCCAACACACGACGACCTCTTTTCGTCCAAATGCTATCCTCACTTTTTTACCCGGCATGAGATTTCCCGACCGTAAGGGCTGCAGTTTTGCGCATCAATTGATGTGAGATATCTTTCACAGACCGAAGGATTTGCAATGGACTGGTCCAGAACTGTGCCTGGCAGGTAAGAATTTGCATAAAAAAATAACTGGATATTGTTTTCCTGGTCTCATCTCGGAAAATAGAAAACTGGAGAATCGTTTAGTTTAGTCAAACTGACCGGTTAAGTTTCAAAGAGGAAAATGTGAGTTTCTGAGCTCCCCACACTTTCTAATAGAACCATATCTTTACTACATACCGGAGACTGAAACTCTTTTTCGATGTTGAAATTTTCGATGTTGAGATCTAACGTGTGCTTAACAGGTTACTTACTGGAGATTGTAATAGAAATATTCATTTATGGAATCCCACTGAAGATAATTCTTGGCAGGTTGATCAGCGACCATACTCGTCTCACACAAAGTCTGTGGAGGACTTACAATGGAGCCCAAATGAAGCAACTGTAAGTCAAACTGAAAGCAAAGCTGAGACAAACGTATATATACCGCAAATACCGGGGACCCTGTATACTTGCGGGTAATCTATCGATTTCTTCGTACAAAAGTCCAGTAAGAGTTAAGGTTTGTTCACACGAATCCAATTCACTTCTGATGAATGTTTTATAGTCTGTTGACTTGCAATGTATGTAGGCAGCAAGTCAATGCAGTACTGCTTTATCAATAACAAACTACATTCCATACGTCAAAAGTGAATTGGATCACGGCCTTTTTAACTGCATAACTGGAGGGATTTTCCACTGACGGATTTTGCCCCCCTCCCCCAGTGAATGAGATATTTTCCTTTTAAAAAGCAATAAAAAGTTAAAAAACATGTGAAAACAAATGTTTTCTTGATGGGGGCTCCATTGTAAGCATGGTTATCATTTTAAGCATGGTTGTCATTTCGACCCCCCACTAAAAAATTCTTAAAAAGGCCCTGAATTGGATTCGTGTGAACGGGCCTTTATGTCACTCATATTTACACTGGAGAGAACTATATCAGTTCCTGAAGATCATCTGCTGTTACCAATAGTTGAAAACATAGGCAGAGCATAGAAAAATTCAATCACCTAAAAGCCATTTTGGATTGTTTATTTTAGTTTTATTACAAGAAAAAACCCAAACCAATAAGCTCATGCATTCTCTCGCGCTTCTTTTTCTAATGCTCAAATACGTCATTCTTTTTGAAATAATAGGTTTTTGCCTCTTGTTCCGTTGACAAAACAATTAAAGTGTGGGATATCAGAGCAGCTCCATCAAAAGCCTGTATGTTGACAGCTCAAGCCCACGACGCTGATGTTAACGTGATTTCATGGAATAGGTGAGACTTTCCCGGATGATTATACCAGTTGATCTGTTTGTTCGTCTTCTCTAAATCAAGGTAATCATTAATTTTCTCAAAAAATTTTTTCTAAAGGAATGAGCCTCTTCTAGTATCAGGGGGTGATGATGGTGCTATTAAAGTTTGGGATTTGAGACAATTTCAGAGGTACGTATAGATTAATCAGCTAGAATTCAGGGTTGGAAAATGTCCGGCAGCCCCAGCAGTGCCGCTACAAGGAAATTTTTCATAATTTCCAATGGTGCAAAACTCATAGTGCATGCATTGATGTGCTTGTTGAGTGTAGCAGCTATATGTTATTGTGACATTAGTGCTTGTTCTTTTAGGACTGTTTTCCACTCTCGTTTTTTGCACGTATCACGTACAGGCACGTAAAAGTGTAAAATCATTTAAATGGTACTTATAAAATCTACGATTGAATAGATGCATAGGGTTGGACTCTGTTAAAGGTTTGGCATGTTTTTTCTGCAATGAAATCAATTATATAACAACTTAGAAGATTTTAAGCTTTTACCTGCGTGTGCGTACGTGCAAAAAACGCGACAGTGGAAGCACCCCATTGTTATAAATTAAAAAACTTTGGCAGGAAATTTTGTATTAGTTCCGCAGGAGATTTCAATTTTTGGATTTTAAATTGTTGCCAGGGAGCTAAATACTTTCTGCAGGCCTGCTAGAATGTTCAGTAAGGTTCACTGTGGTTTGGTTTACTGCATGTTATTGCATGACTAGTAAACGTCACGACTTATTGGAGTGAAATTACGTCTTTAAAATATTTTTGTCATTTGTCATAGTGGCGAACCAATCGCAGTGTTCAAGCACCATACAGATGCTATCACATCGGTTGAATGGTCCTCAACAGACAATTCTGTTTTTGCCGCTTCTGGATCAGATAATCAAATTACTCTGTGGGACCTCGCAGTAGAGAGAGACGATGAGGGACAGCAAGGGAGGCCTGTTGATGTGCCACCACAGTTGCTGTTTATACATATGGTAGGTTGTATATGGTGATAATTGTAGTAATTATGGTGTTAGCCAGATTCATATTAGGGAAGGAAATTATTTATTAATAGAGTCGTCTGATTCATCCGTCTAAATGCGAATTTAAGAGGAGTTTCTCGTCCAACGTACGTACTCGTTTGTTTAGACGGGAAAATTAGACGGGAAAATTAGACCGGGAAATTAGACCGGAAAATTAGACGGGAAAATTGGACGGGAAAATTAGACGGGAAAATTCGGACCAAAAACGTGACTGGATTCACATCAGACAAGTTTCCCGTCTTCGATGAGTTTCCCGTCTCTCATATGAATTTGTTTATCATAATTGCGATGGTCATCATAATCATGATCGTATATTTGTTTATGTTGTTCATGTACATTGCAATCATTTCTTGTTTCACTAGGGTCAAAAAGACATTAAAGAACTGCACTGGCATGCCCAGCTTCCTGGGGTTGTTGTCAGCACGGCTGAGGATAGTTTTAATGTCTTTAAAACGATAAGTGTTTGAATTTTTAACATTTGCAAATTAAATGACACTGTATAATATTGAGTTCCTTCAAGCGATGCGAGCTAGGCTACGAGTTGTGATCATCTTTGGAAGTCATGTGTGTAAAAATCAATACGATATGAGACGAACTATATCACGTAATTTCACGCAACTATTAAGACTGCTTTCCACTTACGCTTTTTTTATACGCACGTACACGTATGGAAAATTTTAAATGCTTTTAATTTTTTATTATTCAACATCTAGGTCAACTAATGCATACTAAAATAGGCAGAAAACTAAGTTCCTCCGATTTATTCACTTATTTTTTTCAAAGGTAACATATATAAGGATTTAGACTTTTTCGTGCGTGTACGTGCGTGTAGTCTTGCTTCTATAATTATTGGCAGTATGGTCCACGAATTTCCTACTGTTTCGTAATGGGAGGAAATACGGGGAAAATATATTCGGAACGAAAAAATTCTCCGCGGACCGCATGCACAGTTCAAATTCCCATCGAAAAAAATCTTGCATACGGAAAATTTTTCTCTGAAAACTTTCCGTTTCGTTCCGAGGAAACTTTTCCGGTGTGTTAATTAAGTGTGCTGATGGACTATATATGGTCATGCATGAGTCATAGTTTGAACGAGGCACTTTGAACGAGGTTTGTCAGAAAGGTTCCAAGATGAACACTCGAATTAATTAATCACATGCAACCCAATATTACATTATGCTGGTTGGCCCTTGACTCAGTGACGTGACGTCATTTTGAGAAAGGTTTTCAGAACTTGAAATCCTACCCTTAGGACGGTTCAACTCTTTGCAACTCTGGCATGAGTACCCTCGTCCAATCACATCCGTAGTAAGTCAGAGCATTAGAACGATTAATAACATACCCAGGTAATATAATACCCAGGTCCCAGGCTCTTATAGACTGGACTTGGAAAAACAAAACAGTGAATTATTCGTGAAATTTAATGAAAACCCTATGTTTTAAGCAAAGAATACATATCCTTGGCCTAGGTACCGAACATTAATTCGGATAGGATACCGAACATTAGTTGGATAGCAGGAGCCGGTTGTATAAAAAGGTAGTTAACTTTTAACTATAGTTAGTGGCAGAATTGGCCAATCAGAATCTGATTGTGTTTTCTAGTTAACTGGGATTTAACTACTCAAAAACTAGGATTTAACTACTCAAAATGTAGTTAAGAGTTTTATTCAACCGGCCCCAGGATATTAACCCCTGGTTCATTTTGAATTAGGATGATCCGAAATTGTGATATTGCAGTATTGCGACATAATCTCTCGTATTGAATATGCATGATTGTAAAAATGGATAACCAGATTAGCGATAAACCTGGGAATAAAGTTTAGGATAATCCTAGTTCAAAGCAATTTTATTTGCTACCAATCCCTTAAACTGACTTCAACCGTAATGTTGTAATTTCAACAGCACCAATATTAGTGCAACTTTTAAATCTTATTTACTTCAGCGCATGTTGATTAATTTTTTCACTGGCGGTGTTTTGCATGCCCACGTTGGTCAATCCTATTTTGAGAATTTAATCACAGCACAAAGCTCTAATGGATAAAACCAATAATATACGCATTTCAAACACATAGCAATAAACGAGGCAATAAATTTTAAGTAATGTTATTTGCTTATTCTATTATAAAACAGAAATCGGTCGTTACTGATTTATATGCACTAATAAAGCATTTAATGTTATGCCTCTGTCGGACCTATAGCGAGGACAACTGTTTTTATATAATAGAACGAATGCTGAAGCATATACCTAGTTTATAAATAAAGTTAGTTGACATGCAGATTCCTTCAACTGTGGTCTTATATCTTCTATTAATTTTCATTAAATGCCTGTGCCATGACCTAAGCAAAGAATTTCATTACTTCAAACAAACCGGCCAACCGTTTCCAACCTATATGCGACAAGTTTGCTAAAATTTCTCCGTCATGAACGTACCAGGCAGGAGAGGGGGGTCAGAATTTTTTTCGTGATAAGTCGAGCAGGGCATGTACACTCGAAATTCAGCATTTTTTATGAAATAATTCATGCGAACCCTGTAGGTAGGCCTATATATGATTTCGTTTTATGCCATATCTATATATGCAATAAAGAATTCTTTCTATGGTTTTATGTCGGTCATTATTTCATAGCATGCATTCTAATTTTTCATCATCCCCTTGGACAGGTGTCCTCTTTGATCAGTTCAAATTGTTTGTATTGAACGTCAAGTGAATAAACATTACACATACCGTGTGTCCGCTTGTTAGCTCTAAATTAAAACTGAAAAATGAAAAACTCTTCGATGAATACTTAAACATTTCATACGCAACACTTTGCGTAGTTTTTTTTTGCAAAGAAACAAAGATAATTCTTATACAACTTAGCAATGAAATTTGTATTAACCGAAATATCAGCTCCAAAAGTGTGTCTATACTCGCCCAAAACGTAATTGCAACTACCCGTTTCCAGGACTCTGGAATTGGGTTATCGTGCAAGAGACTAAAACACGCGTTGATAAAGTCTGTGTGCATGTGTGCATGTCATGGAACTGTTATCTTTTTGGTCATTTAAAGCATCTAGGTTCAAGTGTAAAAATCATGTGCATGCAAGTTTTTATCGGTTAATGCATTAGAGATACGGTGTTGCATCTGTTGCATGGGTGTAGCTATATATGTATCGTGGTTGTCATGATTATATCTTGAAAGAGAGCTCATAAATGAAAGATAATGTATATGATCATGATGTATATATTAAAATAAAAAGAATGTATTATCTTTTAGATGAATGTTGCTACATTAGTTGGCTCTGGTTTAGGCGATGATTACAAGAAGTAGCTATGCCTACAGTGTTAAAAATATGTATGCTATATATATCTTATCTAACGTAACTATTATACGAAAATATGCACATGATTCATTGCTATATACAGACTAATGTAACGTTCAAGCTACTTTCTCATGATTTTCCCCAATCAATTATCTTAAAAATAGTTTCAAGATTCCTCCGAGCTTACTCATTGTGACTATCCATTGAAGGTCATTTGTATATTTTTAAATTATCAATATAACATGCTAAGTTATCGAAATCGCTAATCCAAAGTGAAAATTAGTCCGGCTGCTTTCATCGTGAATTAGGATGAAACGGCATCTTTCATATATGCACCTGTTAATGATAGATATCAGTTAATAAGACATGATATTGCCAATGCTTTAAAGCGAAATTATAGTGCATGCACGCATGCAATTGCTCGACATTGGGGCCTAAAATTTCTGTTTCAGTATTATGAATATTATCCTTATCCCCAAACGAAAACCATGAGATTAAAATGGACGACTTGGTTTCCTGAGGAAGCATTTTCTATACCACCGAGAATACAGTTAGAGTGAAGTTTCACTGGAACAATCAGTTCAATGATAACTCAAACTGGGCCTCTTCAAGTCAGTTTGGGACTGATAATAAAGCTATTCAGTAATCGATATTTAATTAAATCGCCCCTGCGTGAAATGTTTCTTTAATTTTTCTTAAATGATAGTTCAAGATCTCGTGTAGAAGCAAATTAATATCTAACAGTTAACACAAACGGATATTTTTGCTTTCTCTGTGGGAGGAAGATCTATAATCACCCGCCTTTGAAATGAGAATTAGTTAGTAATTATTACGTCAGTGGCATTGTGCAATTCAAATTGCATGCCAAACTGGGAGGATTTATAGACTGGATTGTTGTACCATCTATATTTGCCTGAAGTCTGGAATCAATTCCAGTTTGGACTATATAAGAAGACGCCTAAAACGTTGATATCCACTGTATTCGCAATGTGACCACTTTCGTTTTCGTCGTTTGAATCAGCTCTACATGAATAGAGCTGAATAGAGAGCATCATACAAGACATCTTGAACATGGTTGATGAATGTTTGTGGTTGTATAATCCACACCTGCATTTTACTAGGTACCAGTTTTCTTCACTCCAGTCTTTCGTCTGTATCATACCAAACAATACTCTGTCAACTCCCCCTTAAAGCATCGTACTTCAGTCCAATTAATAACTGCTTAGCACGCAACTGCGGATATGACAGTATTAAAGATAGGGCATCTGTTTTATTCTTTTATAGTTCATCCTGTGGCAAGCAAGTGAAGAATATAACGTTTTTGAGAATGAACAACACTACTGGTAAGAACACACACTAAATTCATGTTTAATGTGAGAGTGGGAGAATGAGTAAAAGACAGTTCATTTAATGTGTTTTTTTTTGCTGTTGGCGCGGGACGTTTTTACTAACTCGACTCTGTGTTTCTGTGTTAGCAAGATTGTTATTATTGTTGAGTTGACTGAATATTTTGCAGGCAAACAAAAGAATTATTATCAACAATCACTGAGGTTTACATGGATTGAAAGTTATCGAGAAACGATATCAAAAATAAAAAATGGTTGATTCTGCATGCGAAAACATGACTAATTTCTATGAGAGTTTTTCGTACGATGTAAAATCCTGGGCTCCACGATGGGACGTTTACATATTCGACATGTTCATATTACTAAAGCTCCTTTCAAAAGCGTGCTTGACTTTTGATTGCTAATAATAATTTGGAGAAAACAGGAGATTATTTACCCACTTCGCTTGATTTAGATTATTTGGAATTAAAGCCAAATGCATGTATATGTTATTGATTTTGTATTTTAGGAACACGATGTATTTTAATATTTGTTGAGGAAAATACGAAGACCAAACAAACTTTTTTAACTAATAATTACCTGTCATAAAACAGGATTTCGTTGCAAATTTGAAAACAATGTGAAACGAAGCACTCAATGAATAAAAAACGCGAGTAAATTTTACTAGACTAAGTACTATATCTTTCAGTTAAACTATTTGGAAATGTGTGGCCGCAGGTAAAATATCAAAACTTGAGGGGAGTGAAGGGTCGACCTAGTCTATCTCTCTATCGTACATGATTACACCTTCACCGTTTCTCTTCAACAAATCGGGTGTCTCCTTGCCACATCCCCCGACTCCCCCCCCCTCCGCTCCTTCAATCACACCGACCCTGGGCAGAGCCAGAGCTATCATTAAATGCATGTCATTTACTTTTCTTTTAGAACTGAACATAACTGCAAACAATGGCTCACTTCCTTTTCGACCACCGTGGCCCTGGCCCCATTTTTCACAGCTGGGTTGGATATTGGGTGTTTTAGTTACCCATTCTATCCTCGCAGTGTTCATCACTTTTAGCAACCTGATAGTTCTCATAGCGTTCTACAAGAACTCAAAGCTACGCACAACTACCAACCTCGTCATTATCTCTATGGCGACAGCTGATCTCTTAGTTGGCGCTGTAGTGATACCAATTTGGTTGTACAGTGGTGAATTACATTTTATGATTGGACCACCCTATGAAAAATGGCAACAGAAGATGTTTCGGTCATATTTAAACATTGATCAAGCCTTGGGGCTTAATTCTATTTATCAGTTGGTTCTTCTTCATGGTTTAAGATCGTATTCTATCGCGTTCCCATTGAAACATCGACAAATGAATAAAAGTAAGTAATCTATTATGGTGTTGCGAAATTAAAACGTAAAATTGAAACCATAACATCGATGAACTGTATAAGATTAACTCAGTTTAGGTTATCTCTATTGGTGTTATTGAGTGAAACGATAAGATTCATCCCCTCCCTGGACCTCTAGGGAGAAATATACAGGATTTTGAAGTGGTCTTCTAAAATGTCGGACAGTCGCTAGTTGAAGTAGTTTCTTCAAAATACAGTGATAAGATTTACCATCGAAGGATGACGCTCTCTGAACTACAAGAAAAAAAGTTATGACTGATTGAAGCATTCGTGCATTATTGAGGAATTAGTCAGTTTGGAAGATCTCCGCGAAAAATACGAGAACTAACATGTAATAAAACATAAAAAACAAGTCTCAGCCTCAGGTCTTCTCCAGTATTATAACATTGAGATGGCCTCAAATTGAGCACTTAAAAACAGTGCAAAAGTTCCTCTATTTTGTAACCAGTTAGCTTGATAGCTGCACTTCGTAATGAAGCTACTATCTTGCAGGACCCGTCGTAATTGCTTGTCTCCTGGTCTGGGCAATCTGCATCGCATTTCCTCCTTCGGTTCGCGAGATCGTTCGACCGTCCTGCCGCAACTGTTTTGTTTACATCACTTTGATCGCCAATATTGGTCTTCCTCTGGTTTTAATGACTACGGCAAACATAATACTTTGGAGAAGCGTCACAAAAAGCTCTCAAGCGCGTCAAAAAAAGGTCAGTGCGTGCAGTGCCAGTGGTCCACCCTTGCAACCTTTCTGTAGGTTAAGACTTACGTGTGACCGGTTTCTTTTTGGTCAAGTGTCAAATGTTGAAGGGTGTTATTAGTATATTTCTTACTATTATTGAATTCAGTTTTTGCACAATATGAGGAATTATCAAGCATCAGATCGCCATCATCCAAATCAGCTTTCGACTTTGCTGAATAAGGGTAAACATCGGGCTTGATTTTTCTTCATATACCGTGCTCCAACTTATCCAATAATTTATAAATATATCGGTGATATAGAAGAGAATGTTTCAAATCTACCACTGGTTGTGGTAGCATGAATCAAATCTATACCACTTGTGGTGGTAACGACGAAATGAAAACCATATTTGAGTACTCCAGTTTTACGTGCTTCAGTGTTTTACGAAAAGATGTAATCTACTAAAGTAAATCTTCATTTGTAGTAACAAAAAATCTCTTACTGAGAAATGGACAATAAGAAAAACAAACTTTCATATTGCTCCATGCACCTTTATTCCGGAGCAAACATCCACTTTAGGGGAACGTTTACCATAGCTCTTAATCTGCTCCAAAATGTTCTTGCTTTAAAGCAAGGAGAAACAAAACTGACAACGGTATAACAAAAGGCCCTGGATACGCGACTGCAAAGCTATAAAGTAGTGTTATTAGTGCTAGATGGGTTGTGTGTTCTCACCGGAGAAGTGTGTTCCCATTTATTTTTGTGAAATTTTTGTAGCATTATCTCCATCTCATCATAGGACACAAAAATCCTGGTGACAGTTGCCATCTTAATTGGGATCCTCTGTGTATGTTTTTTACCGTTTCTTATTGTTAACGTCATCGTCCAAGTGGAAAACCTGCCCAACTTCAATTTCAAAGCAGTCATGGCCCTAAAGTTTCTACACTTCTGTAACTCAGCCCTCAATCCTCCAGTATATGCATTACGTCATCCTGAGATCGCGCGCACATTCAAGGCAATGTTTTGCAAGGCCTCAACACGTGATGTAGGAATGAGTACTCGCGGAAGGATGACGAACAACGCCACCACCTCTCAATCATTGTCGACGATCTCATGATGGAAATCCTAAAAAACGCACCTTAAAACTGATCCCAGAAACTTAACTCTGAAGCATTAGTGACCCTGAAATTAAAGAAACAAAATCTTAAGGTTTATGCCTTTGTACAGTTTCCTTTGAAAACGATATAATAAGCAGAAAAAAGCAGAACATGTACAATTCATGTACTTTGCTATAACGAGTTTTTGGGAGATACGATGCAGCCTCGCAGTAGATTGTCCGCTAGTCTTTGACAAAACGTAGTAATTTATAAGGCTTACTTTTAAGACTTGGTTACTTTCTACATCTTTCGAGTGTAATCATCAGGATGCGCCTATGACTTAAGATTGATTTATGTACATTCGTCAATTAATATATTAACTGTTTGTAGAATATTAGTTCAGTTTGGAACACGAGCGGCCGTGTGGTTAGCATGATGTAGAAGAAGTGTTTTAAAACCATCTTATGAATGAATTGGTAGCGTAGTTTTAAAGAATAACATTATCGTTGTTGAGAAAATAAAAGTTGAAGTTTATTTAAACAGTAGAAGTCTGTAATCAGATGTACAAACATTGATAAAGTGCAATTTGAATTTTCTGAGTTTCGTAAAACAATCGGTAATTGGCTTCCACTATAGAATTAACCATGGTGATACTGTAACTGCGTCTTATCTTAATCCATGCAAGATAGTTTTTTTAGCAAGACACATTCCAACATTACTCTCCAGCAGAGGCCGAGAAACCGAGGAGGCAGATGGCCTCAACCCCACTCTTTGTAGGGGGAAAGTGTGCCCTTTTGAGTATGTCCATAGCCTGCCTTCACCTCTTAAGTCGTATAGTCCTCTCGCACGACAAGATTTTGTCAAGTGTGTTATTGTTTAATTACTTTACAGATCCATTATACGAATTATCACCTGTTTATTCGTTCCTCACCTACGACATCAGACACCGTGTAGTTTCTTGCAGTTATCCCTGGTAGCTAAGCATCAGGATGGCTTTAGATATGATAGTGCGGCTGCCCGCACCCTCAATGTTCTACTTAAGGCTAGTTTTCACTCAGGAAAATTCTCTTTTGGATCGGACAGGACAGGAAAGTTTCCTTTGTATAAACGCCGCGTGAGAACTCACCCACAAAGGAAATTTTCCTGTCCGTTCCGATCCAAAGGAGATTTTTCCTAAATGGAAACTAGCCTTTAGCGTGGTAATAAGCCTTAATAAGTTTTAAAGACACTATAACTTTAAAGCGTCACTTCAAGTACGTGCAAGATACTATATATTTGTGGCGAGTTCTACATACAATAAAACTAAACATAAACAATAAAATAGACAGGACTATTTTGCAAAGTTACATTTCACCAGTTATTAATTTTTTGTTATATTTTGTGCAACATTTCATTTTTGGCCCAATTTGTCAGTCTTCTCATAGTTTAAGAAACTTCCGTTGCATGTCTCTGATCTAGAACATAGATATTCTATTATTTTATTAGACAATATTTTAAAATAGATGGAATTTTTATATTTCGAAAAGAATTCCTACGGTGGTACGGTAGGTCTATAGCTGTTAGGTCTACGAGCATCAAAACAACTCTTTATATTTAAATTAGATTGAAATATTGAACACATCACTGAGGACAAAGTGGACTCGCTTTCAATTTCCGTTACCACTTACCCTGAAGTATCTAAGCCTCTCAACGTATTGTATGTTGGCTTTTGTCCGATCGACTGTTTAGGAATTGGCTACGACGTTCGGAAACTAGATTTCAACTAGATTCCTAAGCCTTAACCGGATTGTGCGGTTTCACTAGATCTCAATTTGCAACCGTGTGGGCAATTGCCTGAGATAACGGAAAAAAGTAGTTTCGAACTGAAAAAAAAAATAGAATAATTCTTGCCAAAACGTCGCCGAAAAATTATTAAATAGTCGCGGTAAAGTAGTTCACAATTTTCCCAAGAATCGGTGTTTCTGATAGACATGAAACAGTGATCGAATTAATCGACTGAGTCTTAGGCTAACGAAGGCCAACGTGAGTTCAGGCCTTCGACAATCATTTGCATAAATCCATTCACATTGGAGGAGGAGTTGGAGCAACAAAGAACTTCTTTAAATGATGTATAATATATGCTATTAATAATTTCTCCTCCCTAATGGTCTTGCGCAACAAAAGATTTCCGGCATCCAGGTTCTAGTATCCAAGGCCAGTTTTTTAGATTAGCAGCGAGTTTAAGATTCACCAAATCAACGCAACGTGAAGTAATTTCAAGATTTTCCCAACATTGAAATCCTACCAGAGGAAGGTTGAACTCTTTTTGCGATTCTGTCCGCGTCGTAGATTTGGTGCATCTTAAACTCGCTATTGTAGCTATAATCTCGGTTTTCATTGACACAACAACCCCGCGATCCCACAGGTGTTTTAGCCAGCCAATTGTTCAAACTGCTAGAATTATACTGAATAGCGATGCAATTCGTGCACAAAAGAAGTGATGATATTTTTCATGTGTTTCCTTATTAACTATAGATACTGTGTCAATTTAACAATGAAAAAAACTGGAGGGATACTCTACCACACCTTTTCAGTCGACACACCTCTGAAGAGTCTCATAAAAATTAAAATCCTACATTTTGTAGAATTCGCGTGCCTGCACCAAATTTTCAAGAAACTATTTGAAATGGTATAAATAAAGTATTTTCTTATACAAGTATATACATCTCAGCTAGCAACTTTTCCCCCAGAATATTTGAAATTGCTTTCTATTGTTTTCGCTCCCTGGGGATGAAAAAAGGACAATTGGCATCCGGGAATATTTCTTTTTGAAGTATGCCGAAATTAGAACCCATTCCTCCAATTGTTGTCACAATCATACGAAGATGGCTGTCTATTTAAGAGACGTACTTTAATACATTTGGTTTATTTTGTGGTTTTTGAACACAAAACAGCACGCTTTGGCCGTTTTATTGTGTTGTGTACAAGGCTACAACTCTCTGTTACCGTCGGTGTTTTTAATAGGAAATCGTTGTCATAATTCGCTGTGAAAAGAGACTCTGTTTTTAACCATTCATTGGTTTATGATCTGGTGGACCTCCCTAAGATCATAGTAAAACGGTTTGGCTGTTTCAGAGGTTTTCAATAGAGAAAGTCCAAAAAAATTAAGAGTCAAATAATGGGAACAGGTGAGCAAGTTTGCGTTGTATTACTGTGTTGTATATAACTCAATCTATGCCTATAAACAGGGAAATATGTAATGAGTTAATTATGAAATTTTTGGTTCAGTTCACTGCCTTTTCATATGGGCAACATTTCCAAATTGTTATTTGGTTGTGTTTAATCCGAAGTATTTTAGACATTAGGTCATGACAGAAGGTTTGAATTTGGAAATTTCACAATACTTTTAATGTAAATCAGACAACGAATATTTTTAATATAAGACGACGACAGGGTCGTCACGGCTGCAATATAACATACGGACAGCTATAAGATAATATTTCAAAATATTGTGAACCACTTCCTTGTGATGAAAATACGAAGATACATGATAAAAGTTTGTGTGATCACGCATTGTTTTGTTGTAAATTGAAGGGAAACAGTTTCGATTAGCTAATTTCCTTACAAAATTGGGGAAAAAAAATATTTTCATGTAATTATCTTGCCAGGCAATTGTGCATACATGTGTATCAGTCTATGTTCATTCTGTACAGAGTCAACAGGTCTAAAATATCCAGCAGATGGTACCTATTATCAAATAATTTCAAACCAGAGATTTGGAAACAACACTTAGAGGTTTTGTTCACAAACCAGTTTGCAAATTTTTTTGGTATTTGTGAGAAGAATGTTTTTGTGAGTCTTAACTTGTGTCTCTGATTTACAAAGAAAATCAGGTGGGAAAGTTTCACTCCCCACCCTAATCAATCTGCAATAGAGCCAGAATTCTAAAGTTGTTCTACATATATAAGAAATACTGAGAATATTTTATCTTCAGTTTCAGAACCTCTGGATGAGGATGAAGCAGAGAAACAAAGACGAACAATTGTTGCAAAATATGACAGGGTAAGTGAATAATAAGGAACTATTATTTAGGGCTATATTTTGAGAATAATTGATTTATTCTGGTTTACCTTTGAACAAAGCATCCACTTCTGCATTTTTATTTTTACACCTCTTCCACACCCAATTACATAATTAACTCCCTCGGTTAGGTGTGATTTATAAAAATTTCCTCAATTTTGATAATATTTTCTTTGTTTTCAGGGTTTTATCCAAGAGGAACTTGAAGAGTGGGAGGATGCTAGTTATATTGTTTACCAAGTCACAGATAGATATGGATTTATGCAGTAAGTAATCAAGTATCCTTTAAATTCAATATGTCATGTAGTTACAAGGTTTAATTTAACCTGTATATGGTTACTGACTACTGTATACTGTAGTAATTTTATATTATATTTATTTCTAAAGTAAACAACCGTTGCTTGATGACAGAGACACAAGGGTGAGTTGTAGTTAACAAATAATGCACAGCTTTATTATTAGAGGTTTCAGTTCCAGACAGCATTGTTTGTCATTGCTGATAAAACTATCCAGTATAATGAACTTTAGTCATTTAAATAGGATCATATTTCTTGAAAAATACCAGAGGCACTTAGAGACAGTCAAGCATATGATAAAAATTTAAATTTGTCTATCCGTAAATTATGTTCTTTCTGAATCTACATGTAAAACTGTTTTCTTCTGTGCTATTGGGTCAATATAGTTTGAAGTTTCCATTTAGAAGCTGTCAAAAAATGTGAATTTTAAGTATTTTCTACAAACAGAGGGCCTTAAATGGCAATTGTGCAAATTGGGTTCCCCTCCATGATTGATTGCTTCTTAAACATTTTAGAATTTAATCAAGTAAGGCCCTTTATGTGAACATTTGTCAACTTATATACAATAACTTGTGATCAAAGTGCTCCATTAACTTATTAAACTATCTGCAGCACAATGACACCACATAAAGTGATTGTTATTGCTGTTTACAAAATTTTGCCATGCATATGAGATGATTTACATTGACATGACTAGTTACTTGCTCAAGAACGGGAACGAGAATTGAAATGGAAGAAGATGGTGATGAGATGGGATAAATATTCTCGTAGTGATAAGGTATGTGCAGTGATGTCGGATACATTTTGATACGTTAAACATTTTCTCATATAATCTCAGCATAATTATAATTTGGTCTAAATTCTTGACTTATCATTGACTATCAATACACACATACTATCAATACACACATACATTATATACCTGTATCTAATCTCTTGGTGTTATATTTATAGCTTAGAAAAAGAATATACAAAGGAATTCCAGATTCAATGAGGGGAACTGTGTGGAAACAGCTACTGGAGATTGATAGAATACCTAATAAAACAATACTTTATGAGGTGAGATATTACCCGGCAATGATTTCACGCAAAATTTGTTATCATTTTGGATAGATTCCAGAGTTACAGCATTTACAATTCTTAGGAATTCCGTGCTCAAGCAAGGCTCAACTCACCAGATATACGACAAATTGATTTGGATGTAAACCGGACCTACCGTGACCACATCATGTTTAGAGATAGATATGGAATTAAGTATGTTGTTGTCTCATCCCTCCAAAATGCAAATTAAATCATCAAACTGAGTTGCAAATTTAACTTTAATTTGACAAAAAGAACTTTAACAATTGTCACAATTAGAGATGTTTTAACATATGATAAATAGCTATTGCAGAAATATGGTATTCAATAAATTGATTTAGGGAATTTTTCAGTCATACATTTTGGTGAAATGTAAAATATCCCTCATCTTTAATATGGTAGATTGGTTTGCACCAAAAGTGACATGTATCCAAATAAAGTTAGCTTCTTCTGAAACATCAATTAAACAAGTGGAAGTCTTGCAGAAGAGAACGCTAGACCAAGGGCTTCCTTTAAGCTTTAATTTCAATATTGATATATGTTTTTTTCTTTTACAGACAGCAAGATCTATTTCATGTTTTAGCAGCTTATTCCATGTATAACCAGGTAATTTTGTGAGACTAATTTTTATTGACATACATGAGGTTAAATTCTAAAATCTTAACTATGGTATCGAACCTTGCCACAACTATTATTAAACCTTTGTTTATTCTGTGCAGATTAGTGATGGGATCTGTGACTATTCCATTGAGATATCGGATGAGAATTATTGTAGCAGTAAAAAATGCATTAATTAAAAACATTTTTTAATTTAGGAAGTTGGATACTGTCAGGGAATGAGTGGAATAGCTGCACTACTTTTAATGTATTTAAATGAAGAGGTATTATTTAACAGTTCAGTTTATGCAAAATATTGCCAAAATCAATTGTTGATTTCGGAAGGATACAACAGACACGTGACGTGTGTAACGATTTTTCATAAATGCATTCTCCAAACAATGCGTACGGTATCATTTAATTGTAATTGCCGTAAGTAAGTCAACATGGCGTATGTGATAGAATGTTTCTATACGAATGTGCAAGTCAGTATGCGATAGAGTGTTTCTATACGAATGTGCAATCAACAATGACCGTTTTAAACACGGGAAATAAAGACAAATTTGACTGAATTCATCGTTGAAAATGACTCGTTCACGACAATATTTAAACGACATAAACGAAATAGGTTTTCTTAATTAAGGCTTAAGTTGTCTATTGCGGACACGAGTAAACCTCGTGCCAATGTTTTTTCCTTCCGATATTTTTATATTTGATTAAAAATGGCAGAGAATTAAATGTAGCTAAATTTGGGGATGAGCTTAGCTAAATATTTTCTGAATAACGGAATATGCAGGTATCCAATCTCTATTTTTGGATGCGGTACAATAGATATGGGTACATGACAAAATCAATATATTAATTTTTTTTAATATTTAATTTTTTCTATTTGGCCTATCGTTTTCTAAGAACAATGGCCACGCGATTCTCGATGGTTTTGCATATGAATCCCCCTCATTCTCATAATCAATTCTTTTAGGATGCGTTTTGGGCTCTGTCTGTACTCATCACAAATAGCAAGAAACACTCTATGCATGGTATGTGTTTGTGTATTGGGAAGGGTGCTTACTGAAAACATTGAACAGTGAGATTCAGATTTCAGAATCTTGAGGATTGAATCAGAGAACAGTAAAACACAGGGGGGGGAGGGGTGGGCCGTGGGGGAGTGGTGGGCCGTGGGGGAGTGGTGCTGCGTTGAAACGATAGACACTGTATGGCAAATATTATGCAAATGTATAACATCATTTTGAAAGGAATTAATCTTTTCGTAGGATTTTTTATTCCTGGTTTTCCGAAACTAAAAAGATTTCAGGAACACCACGAGGCTATTTTAAAGAAATTTGCACCAAAACTTTTTAAACATTTGGTAAGTTAATATAGAATACACTGAGCGAGAATTTCGAAAAATGCTTTCAAGAAATTACCCCCCCCCCTGTAAATTTTGGTTAAACTAAACAATCATTTCTAGGAGAAAGAAGGGGTGTACACAAGTCTTTATACTCTGAAATGGTTCATGCAGTGCTTCCTGGATCGAGTAAGGATTATGTAGTGTTTATGTAGTGTATGATCATCATCAGATAAAATTAGGTCTTGTATTATCATCGCTTGATGAACAGATAAAATTAGGTGATGTATGATCATCGCTAGATGAGTAGATAAAATTAGGCCGTGTATGATCATCACTAGATGAGCAGATAAAATTAGGTCTTGTATGATCATCGCTGCATGAAATTGTTCTCTATATATACTAAAACCGTTCGATTTATCCGGTTTAAACAGTGTTAGTTTTCTCTGTGGCAGACCTAGATTGGAGGTCACCGTTCATGAGCCCCATATACAGGAAAGATATATTAAGAATGTTAAAACTATATACAGGAAAGATATATTAAGAATGTTAAAACTGTCTCAAATATGAGTGAATTCAAGTGTATTCTGCTAATATTTTAGACGCCATTTCCTCTGACGTTGCGACTATGGGATGCGTTTTTACTGGAGGGAGATAAAATACTCACTGCTATGGCGTATAACTTAATGAAAATACATAAAAGTAAGTGCAATCAACATGTGATTAGCCGAGTGGATCGACCATGATCTCATGTTGAATACCACCATACATCAACAATGCACCACGTGATTTATCTTCGAAGGTAGTATAGACGCGAAACCAGGACCTCTCATAGAACCTCTCATATGTTTGCAGTAGAGTCAATTCTCAGCATCTTATTTAAGAATACGAATTAGACCACTTAGATGTAGTAGACCTTCATGTTTCAAATACGTTTTTCAGCTATGTAGTTCGGTTCTCATATGTCACTGACAGTTGGCTATTATCAGTGTTCATTGATGAATGAAATACTTTGTTATTTTGAATGAATTTTCTTCGTCACCGGCCACAAACAATCGGCGACATATGAAAACCAGACTAAAGGAACTCCACATTTTGGATAGTTCCAGACCAGGGTTGCCAGATTACTGAATAAATTAGCAAAATATTATTACCAAAGACGTTGTTTTCTTTGTTTGAAACAAATAAATCAAAGAGACGACTACAACAATGTTTGACGACTTTTTTTCAGGACTCTGGCAACCCTGTAATCCAGACTAATATGGATTATTCTAAATTATTTTTCCAGAAAAATTCGTGAAGCAACCAATGGAGGACATTGTGGAATTTCTTCAAGAAAAGATGAGTGAATACCCTTACAATATTGATCAAATAATGGATCAGTTGCAAGAATCACGTTTTGAGCTTAAAAAAGGAGGACTAGAATCGCCTCCTGCCGCGAGCAGTGAAGAATTCCCTTCGCTAGCCCCGGGCTCTTCGCTCAAGCGCGGCACGTTTGAAACCGCATCCGCGCGTGCGCGTAAGAGTCGCCAAAAAGATCAAATTATCGAGGTTCCTGCAGGGAAACAAGTCCTTCCTCAGTCTCCGGTTTCGGACGTTGACGGAGCTGACTCGGGTAGACATTCTGTTGCGAGGACAAATTCTAGTCGACGGTCGGAAACGTCCAGGATTAGTTCCGATGTAAGACGTTCGGAAAGTCTCGGACGATCGTCGAGAAGTGATGGTAGGAATTCCGAAAGCGTCGTAAGTCAGTCGGAAACTATCCCAAGACACTCGGATGGTAGCGAAACTCCCTCAGAAAGTGTCCAAAGTCACCCGGGAAGTCCTGAAAAGGGTTTGGAAAATATTCCAAGACGCTCAGAAAGGCGTTCTGAAAGACATTCAGAGAGTTCCGGAAATCGTCCAGTATTTCATGAGGTACGCTACGTCAGCCCGGAGGCCACAAAAAGAATCGATGTATCTTCGCCGGTCAAGGTTGATGATCCCCAGCCGTCAACACCCACGAATCCCGTACCCCGCCACCCTTTAACACCCACCGATCCCGAACCACACGCCCCAGAGGTTCGCCGTAAGCCCGGCAATGTCGCCACCACTCTAACAAACGCTGAAATTGCCAAATTCAACCAGGATCTTAAAAACTCGTATCTTCGCTCACAAGGACAATATTTACGAGGACACTCAGGAAGAAGACAGAATGGCAGCCGATCTGTTCCACTTGAAAATATGTCTCCAATGTCGCCTCCAGCAAGGCTCTCTGATAGCGAACCAAACGAGCTGCGACGAAACCCCGAGACCACCACGATGGTCTTAAATTTACCTGGGAGCGTGAATATCGAGCAAAATTCTAGTAATGGAGGTTCCCTCTCAGAAGTTCGTACCCCTAACGGAACTACACCCTTAGGTCATGCTCCCGTATGGCATCATGACGGCCCTGAAGGATCGAAGCAGTATACTTTGACTCAGTCCCCCAACAGACAAATGACCTTTGTCTAAGTAATGACAATGTTTTTCCCGACAAGGGCGCGTCGCTGCAGGCCGAAAGTATTATATCCGGTGAAATCCGGAGGTTGTAGGAAAACAAAATATTTTTCAATTTAGGCATAAAATGCGATATGCACGCATGGAATATTTTTTATATATAGCATGCCTGAAGGCCCGCTTACACTTGCAATTTTTGGTGTGATTTTATCTGCGACTTTCTTCTTTTGGTAGATGTGAACGAGTGGCTAGTTACGAATTCTTTGATGTATGTATACGAGCTCGTATTTGAACATCTGTAATTCACTCGTTCACATCTATCAAAAGAAAGAAAAAAATCGCAAGTTTAAACAGGCCTTAAAAGAACTGAAAATAATGTCATGCCATTTTGTCCAATGGCATTGTTTTCTCACCTCGGCATTCCAATTGCGTTAAGATCAGTTTTTGTGTTTATCCGCCTCCAAAGCCGCTTCCAACCGTAGCACGTATACTGAAATTAAATTGATCCACATTCCACAAGATATAATAATAATTATACTATACGATATTCGCTAGTTGTACAGATTTTAGACACTCCAGTTAAATGGTGCCATTAATTGAATTTTTAAAGATCAACGACTTAGATTTACCATGTATAATGTACGCGCAAGATGTTGAGTTGGGCAATTTTAAATTGTAATATTTTTAGAGCACGAAGTTAGTGAATAAAATTAGGATTCGCATTGTAAGATATTAGGCGACAAGTACCACAAAATATGCGCGAATAGGGATTGCCAGGCTCGTTTCCAGTTACGCGTTTTTTCACGCACGGTAAAATATTACATCTTTCGAACGTTAATAAATTGTAAATTCCGCAAAATAGGTAAAATTGGCACTTAATGTATTGAATACAGATATGAATATTTCAATTGTTCGCTCTGTGTCATTTGAATGAATTCAAACCATTCCGTGCCTATGAAAAACGCGTGGTTGCAAAAAAGCATTTATTAGTATTAGTAAGCCAATGTAACATCTTACCCCTGCCCGTTGTTAAAGCTGGTTAGCTTAACTCTGGGTTAAAGCAAATCTTTACATCAATTTTTTTAATCTTTTGTTTACAAAGTTGAATATCTTTTTCCATAAATATTTTCTGGACCGACAAAAGCCATATTTTGTACAGGTTTTAGAACGAACAGCGGTTCAGAAGCACCTTAAGTGGATTAAAATTTAACCCAGGTTTAGTGCTAACCAAGCTTTGAACAACTGGCCCCAGATGTTTAAATATAATATAGCTTTTTATTTTATTAAATTCACTAAATTCCCATGTATATTCAGTTTCTCAATTATATGGGTAGACAGGGTAGTTCTATATCAGATTCTATCCCTAAACGTCCTGGGGTCCGTGGTATAATAGGGGGCGGTTAACATTTAATTACAGTTAGTGGCAGAATTGGCCAATCAGAATCGTGTATTTTCGAGTTAACTACGATTAAACTACTCGAATTCTAGTTTGAACGTTTTAAACAACCTGCCCCAGATTAAGAAATTCTGTTATTAACCATAGATATGAGTTACTTTACAATTAGTTCCTGAAGGTTTAGAATGCTGCTCAGGCACATTTTTGGCACACTCTGAATATCTGTGCTCAGGTACATTTACAAAATTGTTTTACCCGACCCCAAAGGAATAATTTCCAACACGGCAAGCCAGGATATTTTCTTCTACATCAAGCATATAATACCGTTCTTTTGTTGTCATGAATGATCGCTTGTTAATCTAGTTTTAATACAGAGGTAAAGGAACAAACATTTTAATTGAAATCGTTAATCGTTATATGGCATTGGTTTTCTTTGCTCGTTTAATGGTCTCAGACCTTCGTGATTTTGATTTGCCGACTTCGCGCAGCACTCGTTAGTGCACGCAGGACTACACGAGCTCGAGCATGGTTCTGCACATTGTTGGGCGTTAAGCCAAGATGTCGATGGCGTGAACGTCGTCTCTTCACTAGTTCCAGTCTCTTGTGCGTACGATTCACGACCTGAGGGATGAGCGGGGATACAACAGGCGAAATCACAATCTGGTGTACACTGGAGTTGGCATCTTTCCTCGCACACAGCTCCTTCTAAGTAATTCAGAAAAGTTTAACCAATTTAAAAAGTCACTGGAAGCATATTCTATTACGACGTATAAGGCCTCTGTTTAACGTCGCATCTTGATCGCGTCGAATGCAATTCAAACAATAGATAATGCCGGATAACGAAGCTTAATACATATGAGGTTAATCATCTCAATCTATTGTTTGAATTGCACTCGATGCGACCAAAATGCGACGTAGCTATAGCCTAAGTCTTGGAACAAATGCAAAGACAAAATTTTCAAACAAATTAACTAGAATATATAGCGTGATCATGACACTGCGACGAAGTTCTGAGAAAATTGGGCAAATAACCGTAGCTCCATTTGCACAACACTCGGTGTTTCGGCAAGGTTAAAAAGGGCGTTAGGGCACTGTGCCAATTTCATCTGTGCTCGATCTTTGCATTGGTTGCCTGAACACTAATAAAACTAGGTACCAATTTTAGCCGTGCCTTGCCAAGAAATTAAGCGTGGTGTATAAACGAGCCTGATGGAGTCTTGGATTTCCCCGTTGGTTCGTGTAAATAAATGGTGTAATATTTTAGCATCTAGAATAAGATTAAATAAATAACCATGCATATGAGAAGACTTGGAAAACGTGGCAAAATGCCAAAAAGTTAATGTGATAGATGCATGTTGCAGATCACAGACAGTAACTTTTCACAACTAAATAGTACATTCGGGGGAGTATTTCTAGGTAACCTTCATAAAATATGCCCATTTCTACTCGAAAGGAAGTAGTGATATGCCTGATCAGTTCCCCGAATTAAAATTGAATTCACGCGTATAAATAGTTGTATCAGCGCAGAGGAAATATCAGACGAACCATAGCATTTCTGGTCATCTCGTTTTTCCAGATAGTGGCCCGTTTGTATAAAGAGGTGCTAAAGTTAACCAGTTGAAATTGGGGATTAAAGTTTGCTGCGAAATAGGTGGTTAAAATGTTGTTCAACCAACCTCCGGGTTAATTCTTTAAGTCAAATTGTTGACTTACTTGTTTGTTGTCCAGTTACAGCACACAGAACAGCGGCTAGTAGAATCAGTCCTCTATATTTTGCCATCTTTTCATACCTAAAGTACAGAATCCCCAACTCGCTTTCGTTGATGTGAAACAAAATTCAGTTCCGGCCAAAAACAAAATACTTTTTCAATATTTTATTTTCTTCGTACAAGGAAAATATTCGACTATTGTGAGCTATGTCTACCAACTGGAACCAATTCACAGGTGCTATGATTAATTATTAACCATAGTTCTGAAGTAGTTATAGAAAATATAGAAACTATTGTCAATTTGTTTGTACATAGATTTGGCTTGGATACTATAATGAACAATGTGGTACTGACAAAGGTTTCAGCATTATGCGTTTTCTATTGAGGTTGAAAATTTGTTGCTAGGTAACCTTTGCCATTATGTGCTTGATTGTCAATTTGAAATACTTTCTCGATTATTCTCGTATATGTCATATATGATTTTGGAACTGGCTACAAAGGTTGGAGCAAACGTCCAAAACTATTGACTTTAGGTTTTCGAGAATATCGTTGTCTCAGTGTTTCAGCTAATGCGTTTAATAATAGTACTGTTGGTATGGGTGTGGAATTGCCGCTGGCCTTGGGATCGCCGTTCTTTTATCCCAACAGCATTTCTGATTGCAAACCGGAGCACACGAGTTTGGACAGGCGCCTGGGCACGATGATTGCGTCATAGATGGTGGAGGTTGCATTGCGGTGAAGGCATTGTTAGCACCACAGCACTGAGATGAACAGGCTGGAGCACACGCCTGACTACATGGTGAAGCACATTGACCAGGCTGTTGAGGTTGTTGACCAAAACCTTGTTGTTGTCCATACGGAGCTGAAAATGTAGAGACTGTTAGGGGCTGCCTATATTTGGAGGAATCCCGCAAATTTCCGCCTACTTTTGCGGAGGCATTTTGTGCAAGTGCAACATATATACTAATTTTTCAGCTTACCCGGTTGATAAATCAGAGTAGCAATATTCATTTCAAAAAATATATCTGGTGTGCAGGTACTAAAATCACGAATCGTTGCAAATCGCCTGCATTATAATGCTTGTATATATGAAGTAATACAATTAAGTATTCCGGCACATGGCTCCAATCATGATAAGTCACGGAAAAAGGTTATATATCACATCAATGACAATTTTAGAGACTAGACTACTAGACTGCCATGCCAATGCTGTTCACAACAAAATTGTCTCAAGCACGGCGTTTTTATAAAACTTCCTATATAAGCGCCCTGGTCTCGGGTATGTGTAACAGTGTAAGCATTTGTTTCGTTGTAGCTTCCTGTTCCAAGCAATATCCTAATCCTAAATATCTGGAACAAACGAATGCATTTTATTCTTGCGAACTGCAGGGACGGTTGTTAGAATATTATTTTCTACTCACCTTGACCATAGGGTTGCTGCATCGGAGGTTGCATAGGTGGCACAAGTCCACCGTTTTTCTTTCCTTTGCCTTTCTTTCCCTTTCCTTGCTGTAATCCAGGATTATATCCTCCATAACCTCCAGGTTGTTGAGGTCCGTACGGATTCTGAGTGTAAGCTTGACCATACGGATTATTTTGTTGTCCATACTGGTTGTTGGGCTGTCCATATTGGTTAGGTTGTCCATATTGATTAGGCTGCCCATATTGGTTGGGCTGTCCATATTGGTTGGGCTGTCCATATTGGTTGGGCTGTCCATATTGATTAGGCTGCCCATATTGGCTAGTAGGTTGTCCAAACTGCCCGTAACTTCCTGGTCGCTGCTGTCTGTAGTCATTCTGTTGACGTTCTGCAGCTTGGGCTGGGTTTAGCTTTCCCCAAGAATCATCCTCTGGATGACCATCTAAAAAAACAGTAATAAACAAAGTTCGCTATTTTCAATTTTAACGAAAAAGCAATCTCAGTTTGAAATCACAAGCACAGGGAAAACCAAAATTTTTGGTGGCGGCAGGGGAATAATTTCAGCAAAAATTGCACCCAACTTATGAGTTTAAATTGCCCAAGCCGGCAACCTGTCACTGATTTCAGTGAAAATTACCTGACTGAATTTTGGTATAATACGATAAAACTCTTGCGATTAAAAGTTGCCCAACTTTTTTAGACCAGCTGCCCCCTGCCATGCTCGCCCCCGGCCCCGTGTGTTTACTGTATCGCCTCGCTCTCGTTTTGTGAAATACGCACTCTTCTAAATTGAATAGTTTTTAAAACGCAACACTGCAGAGAAAAACAGACTTCTGAAATACCATATCAAAAGCTAATATTTACGAACCTGGAAACCTCGGACCGCCTGTATGAAAAATTAACTGATTACTTCATTTTTAATAGGTTGCTAAATCGTAATTACTACAAAGTGAACGATTTCGATTTGCGAAGTCTGCCATTAATTATAGGTTAGCTACATTTTTATAAAACCGGCCGCGCACTGTTCAAAACATTTCACAAATATTGTCCACTCACCCAGATATTTTCGGGGCACAGCTGTCGTCACTGACACTAATATTGAAATGATAACACAATATTTCATATTTCTAAAACGAGAAAATTTCACATGATTAATTAAACACGATATTCTTTTTTAAACATTTTGGCAAAGAAATAATTGAATATCGATGTGTATTTTTGTGTCTTTGAGCTTATGGCCTCATATATCAATTTAACGATTATTATATACATATAAAATTCTACCCCCATGGCCCCCTTGCATTTCCATGTTTGAGACATTTACTTGGAAAATAACAGACACAATACATGAATTACGACAGCTTACTGAGGAAGTATAAGTTTAGCAGACTAAATCTGAGCTGGAACTTCGCGTGAGATCCTTTCTCACGTAAACTACGATAAATGGTCATTATTGTAGAAATCCTCTTATGCTTGTTTACCTAATGTTTTTCTTTACGTTCATACACAATCTGCTAAAGCTTATATTATAATACCTGCAATCTGTCCTCTTGTATTACAAGAATATCACTGGAAACAACAACAAAATTTAGGCTAGATCAACGATTATATTCCTCAAATTTACTAAACTGACAAACCTTGTTTTTATAATTTTTGTATTTCTTCCAACTACGCGATATAACAATCGTTGTCTTGGGGCGATAACCTGTCAAGCGTTTTAAGCCACATGAACTGACCTCATTTAACAAAAATCTCGTTCAATTTTTTCCCTCGAAGAAACCCGTTGCTATCAGATGGATAAACCTAATTGCTTAACTACATTTTGAAATTTTGAAATATTTCTGTCGAGAGATTGATTGGTGATTTTTTTTTTCTTGGCTGGGAAAATACGAGTTGAATGTCTTGGATTTGTCTGAGGAATTTTTAGCATCAAATGTGGTATAACAACTGCCTAAATAGACAAAACACTTCTCAAAAAGGAGGAATTTTTACTCTGCAATTAAGAATTTTAAACCACAGGAAGAAAGAATTTCACAGTTTATCATTTCGTTTATCCGGGCACTGACTCTATTAGCTATTATGCTGTGTGCCGAATTGCGTGGATTGGATTGATTGACAAACTCTTCGTTGACTTAAAACAGTCTGATCAAAATGTGTAAATGCTTGACCTGATTCACACCTGTCCTAAGAATATAGTGATAATACCTACAGTTTCTGTCAATCTCGTCACTAGTTGCGTTCCCGAGAATTCCTCATTCCTGAAAGAGATATTGCAGTCCTTCGTCTTCGACAAATTTTTGACAAAATCACAATCTTCTCTGGTGAATCGACGGTGAACTCTAAGAAGACTCTAAAAGTTTTATTAAAGTTTTATTAGAGTTCACTGGGTGAATTTTTACCATACTCGATATACACTCTCTTGTTTGTTTGGGTCAACGGCGGTCATTGGGTCCACAGTACTAATTTGTTGGCTCTATCTTCAGCCTTTTAACAGTCAATCTCGCCACATGAAATTTCTCCAGGATCCAGTGTCAAGATAGGCCCACAATATTTCATCTTGAACCATGACTGGCACAATGCCTACACTATATATATAAAGTCCTGCAGATATCTAGATCCAGAGGATGTTTTTATTCCTGGGAAACTTCCTGGTGTCACTTGTGTAAAAGACAAGTTAACTTTTAACTGTAGTTAAGGACAGAATTGGCCAATCAGAGTCTTGTACATATCTCTGAGTTAACTAGGATTTAACTATAATGTAGTTATAGAGTTTTATATTACCGGTCCCTGATGTATTTCCTTTTTGTGCTGAGTTTTGTTTGAGAATTGCCCTTGAGGTTAATTATAACAACCAAGGGCCGGTTGTATGAAAGCCGGATAGCGCTATCCACCGAATAGTGGTTTTTTCAACCGTTCTAAAAATGCTCGAAAAGCGATAAAATTTCAGCATCGTAACCAACAATTATTAAAGATGATCCTCGATTAAGGAATACAAGATTTAATCAAAGTTACACTAAAAAACGGGCGATTTTAAAGCGATTGAAAAAATCACTATCTGGTGGATAGCGCTATCCGGTTTTCATACAACCGGCCCCATTTCTATAGCCAATCTCTTACCCAGACCGTAAATCAAATGACTCTGCATGGGAACGAGATTGAGTTATGGTGTGCGTTTAGCCCTAACCTGCATGGCTACGGTGCATTAAATGCGATACTCGTAACTCGTATACAGTCACTTTTTTGCATTCCGTACACATTCATAACCGATTCATTGGTCCTGGTAATAAGATCACAATTGACCATATTTGTGACCAGGTCATCTGCTCTGCATGGTGGCAACCAACTTCATAGGTTAGTTCTGGGGCATGCGCACTCTCAAAGCGTTCTTTTAGTCTTATCTTGCCGAAAATCTGACCCAGATCCCAACATTAAGAGCAACAATATACCTGTAAAATCTCTGTCAATAATAGTTAGGTACTGACGGGTGTTCAAGAATAAAAGATCAGATATATGACAGATAATAACGACGAATCGCGACATTTAAGGATAATGTGAATTCGCTTTGGAAAAATGGTATTGAGTTTTTGATCATTTTTATTTGAAATAAACTACTCAGGCTTTTATTGGCAAAAAAATCTCGAATTACTATTTTATTTTTAAGCCGTAATTAAATTAATGACAATCGACGATGAACGTCTTTTTAAAAAATTCTTCCAGGCCATAGCTAGACAGCATTCTGTTGGTATATAGTCTATAGATATCAGTGGTTTCCAGCAACCATGGGCCCATGGCCTTTGCATGTTTCAATACGTTTGTGGACAAAGAGCACACTGATGGCAAGGATCGTAAATAGCTCAGTTATATGACTTTGTATTATAAATGCAAGATTACTACATACTGTAATAATGTAAATAATAAATACCGGTCTAAACCTGACTATTCATCAACCACCATAAGTAGTGCAACCATCTATATTCTATTTTACTGAGTTCCCCTTTTTGTTTTAGATGTCAACCAGGACGCAGTTTGCACTCTTTTTTATCGCCTTTCTACTTATTTCCTGGGACGTCTCGTGCAAGAAAAAAACAGGTATTAAGAAGAAGCCAATTTTTTTTGGTCGTCATCATCCAGATTTCATATACTGCATGGACAACAATTTGTTCCCGAGGTTCTTCAAGTCAATTTGTCCTGGCAAAGGAGAAAAATGGCTGGCTACCAGAAAGAAAGTACAAAGTAAGACTTTCCTAATAAATCAGGGATAAAAAACTACGGTCTCCTCTCTACAAGAAAGCTATATATAATTGTATAATATACATTCCAAAATAACCATCAGGGAGCAGTGTGAGAGCGTCTTTTAAATCAGCTGTTTTATAACAACGGCCTGACGTAAAGTCTGTTCAAACGATCCAATTTAGTCGGATCAAGTTCATTCTAAGTTCATTAGTCTTTTCACTCTTTTGACTTGCAATGCATTTATGATATGCGAATCAACTAATCCAATGCAGTACTGCCTTTATCAATAACACATATTACTCATTATAACATTCCATACGTCTGAGTGAATTGAAACCGACCAAATTAATCGTGTGAACACACAGAGCTTAAAATAGAGAAAATACTCCATAATTTTCATGGTGTGATGAAACAGCGAAGTTTGAAAAACTTTGAATGGTCGCTCGGACGTCATGCCCAAACTAAATCCAATGCAGTACTGCCTAATCGTGTGAACATACAGAGCTTAAAATAGAGAAAATACTCGATGTTTCGACCTAACGTTTACTAACTTTTATGACGAAGTCCTTTAGGCTCAGGACGAAACGTGTAGAATTCAAACCTTTTTTTCGGAATGCTAGCCAGCGTGCAGTACGAACTCAAAGAGCGGCCACAAAAAAGCACCTATGAATCGTGAGCGGAACTATGGTTTCCTGGCTCCTGTCAAGTATTTTTTCAACAAACGAAACGTGACATCTTTGCAGTGTTTTAGTGTCATCCTGACGATAGCATGGGCTTGTTTAGTTCCATTTCCATAGGATACTGCAAAATTATCTCACGATTCATTTTTCGAGTAAAAGGGATCGTGTAAACTGCTCTGAACACCATTTATCGGGTATCTTATAGATAGTTTGCGTGCACGTCAAGAGTGGGCCATTAAAAAATTGAAAAGAAAATTTTCATGGTGTGATAAACAGCAAAGTTTGAAAAACTTTGAATGGTCGCTCTGACGTCATTCCCAAACCATCTGCTGATCGAGATGATTTATGACTTATCTTTCTTTCATCAGAAAAACTTATCAATCCTCTGTTGAAGCAAGACACAGCAAACAGTTTTGTTAAAAAAGTCGGAGTTTCAAAGTCATCTCCATCGGATGATATTTATGTTCAAGAAGACTTTTACAATGCATATCGTGAGGAATGTTGCACTAAAGGATGCAGACTTGAGGAAGCCCTGGAGTTCTGCAATACATTGACTTGACTGTCTTGATATGCTGACAGCGCATTTGCAAAGTATGACGTGTTTGCATGCAGGCAGCTGTCAGCTTTCACATTTGCCGGCTTCATGCGTTGTAAGAGATTGTTTTATATATGAATTTTTTCGCCGCATTGATTTACTGCCGACTTGTTCCCAGTTTGACATGTGGTGAAGATACAATCTTGGACCTATAATACAGTTAATTAAAGAAATGTTAAAAATCAAGTTTCCGTGGCACCCGTGCGGCGTTCATTTAATGATTACCGAAATTTTGACGATTGTAGCCATAGCACCTGGACATGCAAATAAAAAATTTCAAATATCGGTAAGCGTATTTGACCAAAACTAACAGCTGCTAATGTTTGATTTGGCCACTTGTTGAGAATGTTCGTGATAAGAATTCCTTTTAGTATTCACACCTTTACATTTCCTGTTATTGAGTATATATTGCAAGATGGTCATAGAAGGAACAGTAGATGTCTGCACCCATTGCACGCGAGTCCAAAGGCTGCACAGCAAAGGTTCAAAGGCTAATATAATATCAAAGTATTTTATTGCTACAACTACAAGGTTAGAGCCTATATATAAAGATTTCAAAGCAAGGACGAGGATAAGTAAAGCCCACCGGAAACTTCTATCGTTTTTCTTAACATAAGTTTTAACCAACTCATGGCCAGGTGTTTATAAACTCTTACTTTAGGGGATAGAAAGGTGTTCTTGATCTTGGCCTAACGCCCAGGTTTCTACATCAATGTGACGTCAGGGTGACGTCAAATGTGGATTTGGAAGTGCACAAATATGTGCTGTTTCATCATGAAATAGTGAACATCCTTATGTCTCTTAAACCACAATTTTCTGTATTTTTAACACCTTCGTCAAATTGGGCCTACACATTTGATCAAGGGAAATAAAAATGTGGAAAAAGAAGGAAAATCGTGTAGCGTGACTAGCGTCTGTCCCGTGTGTCCAAAGAACCATTGTCATGCGGCATTGAAATCAACAATTTTAGACAGAACCTTTCAACAACGCAAGGCGATCAAGGCTCGATGATATTAAGTCAACAAGTCGTCTATTTCCACTCCCTAATTCCGTGTTTCTTTGTTTATTGGGGATAAAATGTGTCCATGTCTTTCATTCTTGGGGAGGGGTTTACTTTAGCTTTGCCGGCTGTTTGCAGTCACAATCGTATCTATAGCGATATGTTGGAATGTGAGGAATTTCCGATAAATTTCTGTGAATAATGCGAATTATTTAATTTGAGATCTTTTTCGCAGCGTCGTTACAGACAGATTTAATCAGCTCGTGGGAGCAAGGAATTCGCTTAAAGCAGCAAAATTTCAATTTTGCTAAAAGGTTGCAACCTCATTCAATTGAGTGGTTTGTTTATACTATCATCAACTACCATCAGTTGGATGAGGAAATAGCTTTAAAATATTAGCAATTATGTTTCAAAATTAACCTAATTACGGCATGTTACGGCGATCAAGCAAATTTTAGGTTATTTCAGAGGTTAACATAACAAAAAGAGAAGATAGAGAATCCGCAAATTCTTGACCCCTTTGGGTCAAACAATGAATAGCTAAGATTCTTCTGATAAATTAGAACATTCTGACAGATACTAGAGGCAAAATTGTACGCCCATAAAAATAGTTTGTATTGTAGGAATTCTTATGTAGAAAACTCAATTTAAAAGACTGACGACGATAAGATTACATTGTCTAACCTGCATATAACTACGAATAATTTTAAAATTGTAGGGGAAGATTTTTTTAATTTTGTAAATGGAGCAAATAAGCGTGAAGGTAGTGAGAGACTCAGTGAACTTTGAGTTACGATTGAGATGATTCATCCAATGACACGAAAGCAATAAGATGACGTCATAATAATGGCTGTCACTGATTGGTTAATTTCCAGCAACCCGGGGCGTGCGATTGTATTTTACTTGCGGGGGTGTTTGCCTTTTGTACAGCGCTTGGGAAAAGTTTTCATGGGCTTTTTGTTTTGGTGAAAATCGGTCCGTTTTTTGGCTAGCCATGCAGGGTACACGCAATAAAGTACCCAGAAGACGTGTGAAGGAACTCATCCACGATTTACTGAGCCATGTTTTGGTCAAGAATGGTTTTAACATCGAACGATTTGCGCCAAATCCTCACCCAGATATAAGCCAACTGCATGTAAGACGAACTGTAGATGCATTAATCGATGATTCAAGCGAATTATTTACAAACTTGGGAGACCAATTGCACATGACATCTGAGAACATTCATTTGATTTTCATGGGAATATCCGATGAGATTTTTGTCACAGGCATAAATTGGGGACGAATTGTTGCTTTCTTAGCCTTTGGTGGTTCTGTTATGGTGCATTGTGCTAACAATTCTGAGCTCGTGCTATTCTTAGATGAAATATCGGAGTGGATGACAGAATACATTGAGGATAACTTGAGAGTTTGGGTCGAAGAACACGGTGGTTGGGTAAGTGTAATATGCTGTATATAGACTGTATATTATACACCAAGAGTTTTGTATTAATATAGTCATTTGAGACATCGAAAAGTATTTTGTAATACAACAGTGTTGCAACATACGAGGCAACATATTTTTGGAATATTACAATCCTAATATTAGTTCATTGATATAATTTTTCAAACGAACCACTGTAAAGAGAGGTTTAACGGGAATATTTTGAAATATTCTGTAAAGAAAGCAAATTTTAGGGCTTCAAATAAAAGAGATTATATTTGTTTACAAAGTATGTCAAATGTCAAAATTTTAAACTACAGTCATACAAAACGCTTGTCATAATAAGAATTCGACTTAAGGCATTATCTTAAAACCTGATTTGCGTGTCTTTTAGCACGAATTTTACACAATATTTAAATAAGGTCAATATTATGTGCAATTCAGACTGGTGGCAATTTACATGCATGTGCCTGTACCTAAAAATATATTCCCATCTCTAATAATGGAATTGATTTTGAATGGCATTTATGATGATTCATGATTTAACTACAAAAGACATGAAGAAAAATGTGTTTTTATTAAATTTCTACAATTTTATACAAGGAAGTGGTGCAACTGTGAAAGAAATATTTTAACTTCAATATTGTTCAAGTGTCAGCAATGGTTTTCAAAACCAATTAAGGGTATTTTAGATGTGGAATTACAATAAATATTGAACAGCAATACAATTCCAAAAAAACTCTTACATAGATGATAATCTCATTACTCCATTGCAGGATGGATTTGTCAATTTCTTCAAACTGCCTGGAGGAGATGACTTCTTTCAAAATGAACTTGATTTTAAAAACTGGAGTCTTTATGCACTTGCTGGCTTTAGTATTGGTGCTTTGATCATGTTTGCCACAAACCAGATTAATCATTCATGACCTAGCTGCCTTTTAAAGAACTGAAAGTTCATGTTGCAGTCTTCAAGATAAACTTATCTTGTAGCTCAAAGCATCTGCATTCAGTTTTGGGGTAAAACATTCTCATTGAAGCAATTTGGTTGAAAATTTGTAGCACAGGTTTGCAGCAAAATATACAGCAACTATTGCAGACTAAAAGTGGTAGAAAACTTTGTTTTAGGGGTTTTGTTTTGTCTTCTGAGAAGAACTTGTTCTTATTGTGTTCTTTAAGTAAGCCTTGTTATTAGGCAAGTGATAGTTTTAGTTATATACATACATATTTAGCTGGCCACTCTCAGTATCCTTTTTGAAAAATTTGCTTCAAATTTTATTGCTGACTTGAAATACCATGTTTTGATATTAGTTTTGCACTTGAAACTAGTTTAGTACCATATAAGGCAATCTTTTGTTCCTATGGAACATTTTCTATGGGTAACTTTCTAATGGTGCATGCCTGTAGATGTCTGTGGAAAATTGAATATTTCAATGCTGCAAAAAAGTTTGGAGTAATTTCAAAGAACAGGTTTGAGCCTGGATACCACCAGCTCACTGCTATATTTAGGCTTTCAAGTCTTTCATTTTCATTTATGCAACTCATACAAACTCATACATACATCTGTAGGTTTGTCTCCTTTTGGGAACAGCCAGAAAACACTGATTGCTTAGTGTCAATTCATGCTTTCTTTTGGGGGGATATCAGTGACGTAAGAAGCATAATACTATGGGGGGGGGTGTCACGTAATCCTATATTCATGTTAGCAGACTTATATTGACTAATATAGACATGGATCTGAGAAGAGAAAATCATGCACAACATGAGTATACGAATATGTACCCACCCCCCCCCCCAATTATCATGCTTACTATGCCACTTGGGAACATTCATAATTAATTGCTTACTTTGTTTTTAAAAGTTATCTGAATGCGACCATGATTACACTCTTGATGGACTTTTTAATCAGACTCAATATTAGACCAATGAAAACTGTAACAAGTTTTGTTTTTGTGTGATCAACTATTGTACCATGGTGACTCCATGATGACAGAGTTTCTTTTTAGAGTTTATAGATATCATATATCACACATGCCACAAAATTTTACCATGCTACAGCAGCTACATACACTCATGCAAGGTTTTGAACATTAATATATAAATACAAAAGTTTATGAGTTATGTACACACTTTTTGTGTTGTGATTTCTTATCAAATTACAAGCCACACATACATATATTTAGAGACAGGTTGTTTTGTTAGCTAGATAGGCAATGGGTGTTTATATCATGGATTATAATATATATTCTTTATAAATTTCAAAACGTTAAAATATTTAATGCTTTTTGGTATGTGGTACCAGGTTATTATTGACATTAGGTTGGCTATATTGTTGTTGATTACAATCCTGGGTATTGTAGTTACTGTAATGAAGTGTACTTAATTTTATTTTGACAGATATATTTATATGTTTGTCATTGTAAACTGTAAAGTATGAACATTCATATTTTTGGAAATATATTACACTCAACATAAACATTTGTGCAGTGATTTTTTAGGAATTGCAGCTTGAATTACCATTCCCTAATATCATAATATACATGAAAAATATATTTGAAAATTACTGGTTAGCAATTATTTAGCAACATTGCTTTGGCAGACTGCTAAGATTTTGCTTATACAAGAACATCCACATTAACTCAACCTACTGAGCCACAATATACTCTAGTCCAAGGTTTGCAACCATGAAAATAACAGGGATTAGTTTATTTTTTTATTTAATTTTCCTGGCAAAATGGTATTGCAAACCCTAAAAAAGGGTATGGAACCTTGAGAATGTATATCAAACTAAGATACTCAAACACAGAAACATTTCCATACTTTTTATTCAACAAATACTAATTCTACTTTGTTTCACCTGATGATTTTGTTTTCGTTTTTCATTTCTTTCCCGTTCCTCAAACAACAGAGGAGGTGAAGGATTTTGCAACTTTATTTTACTTTGGTACCTTGTCTTAACCTTGGGAGACACCCATGGTTTGGGGTTACTATAAGATGGCATGGGATATGTAGTCCAGTCATAGTAACCAGTAACCTTACCCCCTAAGTACCCAAAATGATTATTCTTTGATTTCTGATGCAATTTTGCTTTCTGTAGCCAAAGTTTATAGGCTTCTTCACATTTTTGTTTACGTTCTAATTCATTTTCCTTTTTTGTTTTTTCTGATAGCCTTCGACTTTTCATTTGTTTTTTTCGTTCATTCTCCTTTTCTTCTAACCACTTTGCATAACTTTCTGTTGCTTTTTCTTTAATATTTGCTTGTTCAATCTCTTGCTTTTTTTGTAAATTCTCACTCTTGACTCTTTCTGCTGTTTCTTTCTTCATCTTCTCACTTTGTTTTAATCTTAACCATTCCTTCCTATTCGCTTCTGCCTGACGTTGCTTTTCAAAATTCTCATTAACCTCTTTAGATTTAATTTCCTTTTGTACTGCTTTGTTTCTCATAATATCGTTAGCACGTTTTTTGTCCTCGACAACCTTAGCAAGCAGCCACTTTTCCCATGGGCTTAAACATGGCTCTGTTTTCGTAGACGTTTCTGAACTGTCAACTGAACTACCATATTTATTGTCGCACAATTTTGTTTTTGTTTTGCTTTTTGATGTCGTTAAAGGGCTAGATGAGCTAGTAGTTGAACTTTCACTTGCGGATACTGACTTTCGTTTTCCTTTCTTAACTGTGGTTTCTGATTCTTCGTAGTCAGAGCTATAACTATAACTTTTATCGGAAAGTTTAACTTTACTTACTGAGTGACTAGATTCACTAGAACAACTATCATTTTCGGACCGTGATTTCTCTTGAAAAGACGAATCTTTAACAGATTTTCTACCTTTATCGTATAGGGGAGAAAGCAAGGAGCGTGTAGAGTCACCAATCTGTAAAGAGTCCATTGAAAATGCTGTATTATTTAACTCTGAATCATCCACTGGCGTGCTTGCTCGCTTTGGGGAAACGTCCATTTTGTTTTTCAAAATTTGAATTTGTGCCAGTGTTTGTGCCTTGTGGAATCCGTATTCTATCGCCGTATACTCGGAAAATGTCGGAATTCAGATTATCGAGTTTACTGGGATTACCCATTGGGATTATCCATTACCTGATTCCGAATGAATCCGAATTCCGAATGGTAAAAATGGTGGTGAACGGTTTCTTTTTATATAAATGCCTGCAGTAGCTGTGCATGGGCTCATTGGGTTGTGTAACAATAAACAAAAATTTACATAGCGGGACAAAATCGTCAGGCTGGCAACGCCACTGCTGTCTGTTGTGTACCATATATGTACAGTCCATATATATATATATATATATATATATATATATATATATATATAATAAATATATATAATAATATATATATATATATATACAGTAAAGTGAACTCAATTATTTTTTATGAAGGTTCGTTGTAAAGGTGCACAATGGAATGAAACTCTGCGAGGTTTGACCTTCGTCTCACTCTTGTAGGAGACCAATGGCATGTGATCTTGTAAAAAAACGTTTGCGGCGTTTTTCTAATTCTTTTGTCACCCACCTTTTCACATTTTGTTTTTTGAAGTTAAGATGCTTTTTTTTAAGTCAAATTTTGGTCATTTGGTGGGGGTGTTTGAGAAAGGGAGAGTGGCAAAAGAGTGGAGATAGTTGCAAAACATTGTCGCAACCATGCTCGGCGCACAGGAACGTTGCTTACCACTTGGGATGCTGTTTCGGTTGAACATTATTTAAGCATTATAATTAAAGCATGGAATAATTGAATATCCGGGGGCGGTTGCATAAAGCCCTTTAACTACATTTTGCATGGTTAAATCCTAGTTAACTCAGAAATACACAATTCTGTCATTATTAAACAGTTAAAAGTTAAATGGTATTTTATACTGGCCCCTGTTATTTAAAGGGAATGTCAATTACATTTTTTTATTGTCTCTGTGTTGAATAGTTTATCAAGTATCAAGTGTATGAATTTTGTAGTTGCCTAAAAAATAAAGTATTTTGCTCCATTTTTGATTTCAAAACATTACAAGCTCCACTTCCTTGAATTACAACAATACAGCAAAACATTTACACATTTAAGAAATAGAAAACATTTTCCGTGTTTCTATACAGTTATAGAAACACGCGTGGGAGTTTGGGAGAACGAGAAATAATCAGTGGGAAAACGAGCCCGTAGGGCGAGTTTTTCCACGTTATTTCGAGTTCTCCCAAACTCCCACAAGTGTTTCTATAACTGTATAGAAACACAGGAAAAAATGTTTTCTATTTCTTTTATAATATAACTCAATAAAAAGATTTTGTACAAATATTATGATTCGATTCAATTACAAATTCTCATTACATCGCTTCGCTTGTCAAGTTCGGCGGGAAAATTCCCGTGTTTCTATACAGTTATAGAAACACGCTTCTCGACCAATCAGCACGCGCGTACTATAAATGTTATATTATAATTATAAGATGGAGTACTACGGACGGATTTCCAGTAATTCTCCCCAGTCTCCTATTTGAGACAACTCGCGCGAAAAATAGAAGCAATAAAAAAAGCTGTTGTAGTTTGCACAAAATTCAAACATTTTTGGACACAAATAACACATTAATCTCGCCTTCAAAACAGTAAGTGACATATATATCGAGTCGACATTACTTCCTCTTACCGTTGTCAAATTTTGTGCTCCAAATGCTATGTATAAATGTGTATAAAGGTTCCATTTCTATCCACAATTTGTCATGATGGAATTGTAGAAAGAATTATTGTAGATCATCTTAAATCATCTTGAACTACGTCGCTGTACAAGTTGATTTATTTGAAATAAAAGAAAGCTAATAACGGACAATATAGCATTAATAATATATTTCTACTTTAATAAGTGGTCGTGTTATTAAACTTCAATGCAATTTATTACAAACGAGTTACAGTACAACCTATGTATTGTCTATTGTATTTCAGAATCGATTTTCATATATGTTATGCAATTTTCCTTAATTTAAGAAAGTATCTACAAAAGATGCTTAATATTACAAGTGTATTATATAATAGCCTTTTTTGCTTTTATAGATTTCAAGCAGCTTTTTAACAATAATTTAGGATTTGCCAGAAATTATGGCAGAGTAACAGATTCTATATTTCAGGTATTATGATTAATTAAAGAAGTCTTTATTTCAATCCCAAAAAGCGGAATTGTCATCATTTATGTCTAAGTGTGTACATGTGATCACAAAACATGTTTTAATTAGATTCAAAATGTAACTTTAGTGTCTCAAACTTTAATGTTTATCAGCGAAACCTCATAATAATACTTGCAAGTTTCTCCAAGTTTCTTGCAAGTTTCGAAATTGTTGTATGCAACACACTTTTGATATAATTGTAAAATTAAAATATATCAGTATCACCAATAGCCATAGGCGTACAGGCGGAACTTCGTTTGGGGGGGGATCGCCTGATTTTAATCATACAATGTGCCCGAGTTTTAACTTTCACCAGATTTGTAACAATAAATTTGGCAAAGTGCCGGATGTGCTTTCAAGAAAGTGCAACAAAAATGGCCAAATAGAATACACATATGTGATATATATTACAAAATTTGGTTTTAAAAATTTTAGCTATGCAACTCTTTTTCAGTTTGCCCAAATTTTCAGCTAAACTTTGCCCAAATTTTTTTATTCTTGAAATTTTGGGATGGCAAGTGCCCCCTTGCCCCTGTCCTGTACCCCTATGCCAATAAGAGGAAAGTAATAAAAGTGGAACCCTACTTTGTTGCTTATCATTCTCAGTCATAACCTTCATTTATGTTTTGTAGGAATTTCTAAAAATTATGAATTTAATTGGAACATTGAAAACAAACAACATTGGATTCTATACAGAAAATTCTCTACATGATACAAACAATTCATCAAATATGTTTTTCAATCAGTCACCGTTTCCTCGAAGGCCTGAGAAAGAGGTATTGTATACCTCTTATTCCAATGTATTAATAAAAAAGATCCATGCAGTGCTGGGGATTTGCCAATACACAACTGCATTATGCTGCCAACTGCATCATGCTACCATCCATCTTTAATAAAAAAATAATACTTTTCAGCCACTGCATGCCTAAGTCATCAAGCTACTGTGTTACTGTCTGTGTCTAGACATAGAGTTGATTTAGTCACTTATACCTTGTTGTTTACCCTTTAGCCATTGCCATCTCATTCAACAAGTCAGCCAGTCTCACATCTAAACAACCTTTATTCAGCTCCTGCAGGTAAAAAAAGAGCTTGAGAAGATATTAAAAACACATGATCATGATGATTTGCGATCAATATTAATTTGTAACATTTTAGTTTCAGCACCTGGTTCACAGCAAAATTATTTTGGATCTGGTCTTGGAAGCCCAGGTAAATGACACAAAAATAAATATATTTATGCAATGTAGACTTGATGTAGACTTGTTAACTTTTTTTGTATTTAACACATTGGTCTATTGTGTTTTACATTTACTACAATTGTGCATGGAAGTCTGTCTTTTCCCTTTGTTTCTTTCCACTTATCATTCTAAATGATATATTTGTTAGGTGGTTTAACTCCAACATCTGCAGTTCCTGGTGCACCAGGCAGTAGCCGAGGTCTCACAGGATCTCCACAAGTAAGAGCAGTCATCCCAATAGGAATAAGTTGATTTTAATTAGATCTTGTGCAATTTGATCCTGTCTAATTGTTAAGCTATACTGTTGAGACAATTGATATTAGCATGAAGACAAGGAATGTATAGACAAAGAATGCAGGTTTGATTCCTGCTGGAGGACTGATAGTTGACTCATTTTTCCACAAGTGTGTATAATTCCACTTGAGATTAAGACTCTTTGAACTTCTAGAATTTACCCAGCTATAGGTAAACATTTAGTTATACCAAAAAAGGCTAATACCACAACTAGGAAGGGTATAATTGTACAACCAAACTTTAGCTTTATTTTACATTACTTCTAGTGGAAGTTTCATTATTTTTGTTGATTGTATGTCAAAATTAGTCTGTAGTTGGGATCACTCATTTAATGTGAAATCAGATGCTTTAAAGGTTTTCACTCAAATTGATTGTGGTGATTAGTTTTATTCACATCACTTTCTCATTTTCTTGTAGTTTAGTAGGAGTATTTCTTATCCTGGTTACCATGGTCAACTGTCAAATGCCAGTTCAGGATTGCAACATTTAAATAGTGTTAGTTCAACAGTCTCATCAACTCAACCTGGCAGGTATGTCGATGCCTTGTCACAATTATCATCACTGGCACTTTTAGTCATACGTATCGTCATATTCATCACCACCTTCATTATATCATCATTTTAATTAATCGAAATTGAAATTTCAATTTCGATATCAATATATCGAAATTTTCAAATACCGCAACAGCCTATTGGTGATCATGATAATTATTATTACTTGTCAATATTCATGATTACCATAAATATTATTGGTGATGATGATCAATAATCTTGATTATTTTCATTACTAACCTCATGATTCATATTATTACCACCACTACCAAGTGTCCATTGTTCGAACGTAATGATTGTTACAATCATCATTGCATGGTCATTACAATAAACATTACCATCAATCATCGCAATTATCATTATACTATTACCGTGACTATTGCATCACTACAACCATAAACCATCCATCATCTTATAATTGTAGTACTTACCACACATTTCTGGTTTAGTAGAGGCATTCTATCAATGGGTCAACGTAGTTCAGGTGTAAGCCTACCACCAGCTGGAAACTCGCATATTGGTGCCCAGGCAGCATTCAATTCCCTTGGCTCCAAACCTTCTAGTCGAGCACCTGGTTTGCCTGTCTCCACTATCGGAAGGTATAAACATTTGCTCTGAGTGGAACCACTTGGTTAGCGAAAAATGCAATTGCAGTGGACCATTCCCTTTTTCAGCTGGAAAGAGCATTCAAAAATTAGTAAAATTGGAATGTTTGGCTGTGAAATATTGGAAAATATTAAGAACACTTTTTTAATTTTTTAGAAAAAGCCCTACACGTTTTAGAAAGTTGCTTTTTTTCGTAATACAAATTTGTCAACTTCACATGGAAATATTTTTCACACTTCAATATTTATTTGACAAAGAAAGTTTCTCATCTTACAACTTTGGATTAATTAGCAACTGGTTGTGTGCAATTTTCATGCAACTTGCAATACAATTTTAATTTAAGAGATAAAGATTAGCGAAGAGTCTTCACAATGTAGGTGTAAGAAACCTCCATGGAGTATAATAACACAAATGTTTCGTCGTTGTCAAAATTACATTTCCCAAAAGTAGAATTGTAGTGCAAGTTGCAATAAAAATTACACCGTGTAACAAAGACTAAGCGTATGTGTACAAGTACAAAATATAAGCATAACCTAAACATATCCACTTTTTTAGAAGTTCTCCTGGTACAATAGCTCAACAACAACAACAACAACAGCGGTCATTTCTTGGCAGGTAAACTGCTTTAACATCTTCTTAAATCTGCAACTCAACAGAAGGTTTTCTCTGCAATAATCCCGTAGAATACTATCAATCATGTTCCGGTTAGGGTCCAATTAAGTCCAATTACATCCGCCGCACAGGATACTTTAACTCTTGCTTATGTGAAAGCCTTTCTCGCAGCATATTTGATCATGCCAAATCCTGTTCAAAATATAGGATCCAAATCGTGTTTAATAGTAATTGATCGTCAAATCCTCTCAAAGAAACTATTAAGGAAGTACTTATACGAGGATAGTATTTTCTATCAGTGGGACGATGCGAGTTGTATGTTTATAAATTGTAGTAATCAAACAATCATTGCGGGGCGTCGGAGGTTTCCACCTCACGGTACTCACCTGTGGGGAAGCTCCCAATATTTGATTTGGTATACTCATACATAGTGCTGCTCAAGGGTAGCGCTTGTACGCAGGGTGACGCCAGAGGGGGGGCAAGGGGCTATAGCCCCCTCGTCGGGTGACTCTAGCCCCCTGTCAGGGAAAATTTTACAATTCGTCGGGGAATGAACGGGAGGTATATTGAGTCGCCCTCTATTGTTTTTAGTTCTCCCAAATAAAACATATAAACTGCTTCAAAATTTAACTTAGTATTTTACATTGTACATGGTTTGTAGCATAAAAATTTTCATGAGAAAGTTCGTGATAAGACTCTGAAATGCTAATTTCCAAAGATCTAGATTCTAGAGCAATCAAATTTCAAACATTTTCTCCCTCGGCGCCAAGCATACGCTTCAAATCTAAGGCATGGGACTGTGGCAATACACCGAAAACTGGGCTTCCTACAATTACACGTTAAATAACAACCAGGAGTTCAGCCTCAGCCCCCCTGTCGCGGCCCTTAGCCCCTGTGCCGGGGAATTCCTGGCGCCATCCCTGTTGTACGCAATGTCCGATGAAAACTTTAGACAAAGTCGAATTCGATCCAGCACGACCCTTTTATTAGCAATATTGGATGAAACCGACCTGACCTTGTCAGGGGGGCGTGAACGAGGGTATAACAAAGCAATTTATTTTTGTTTATGTCCTTCTTTGAGAAATTAGCTGGAAATTCTAGAAAAGTGTACTATTCTAGACACAATTAAATGGCCGAACTGTGGGAATATAAACCCCTCTTGCGTCCACGGCCAAGATTGAGGTGGGCTGGGCGGTGGACTCCACCTCCATATGTAACATATGGGTATTTTTTATATAGTTCGGGACACGGTGGTTTGGTCAACTCCACGGGTAATTCGCTAGCAAGTGCGTTTGGTCCTCCAAGATCTCAACAAGTGAGTCAAATTATTCTCTTATCTTCCATCTCCTCAGATTATCCAAATGTTTCGACAACATGGTCTAATTCATTTCCGCCGTCGATTTCTTGTCAGAATGTTTTTGGCCTGCCGGCATCGTCAATGATGAGTGCATTCTCCTCGCCTGGTAAGAAAAAAAAATTATGTAATTTCTAGGTAGGAATAGTTATTCTTAGGCATGAGGTACACACGTGCGAGGGCATTTCAAAGCAGCCCGCAACAAATTGTGACATGTCTATTTCGAAACTATAAACTCGCGTCGAAAGCAATTCAAACATAATGAGATGTAGTTTAGCTTCGTTTAGCCGCATTATGCATTGTTTGAATTGCATCCAACCCAACCAAATTGCGACGAAAAAATTAAGCCGTAATATCACATGCATACTTACACTTTGTCTATCACGTTCAGGCACAAACCGCAGTCATCAGCTTATTTTAAATGAATATTAAAACCTCATGCGTAGTTTTAGCATGTGGACAGGAACGTCGATGGCAACGTAAAAAGGGCAAATAAAGGCGTGACATGTCCTTATATAGGTGCATCACGCCATTTTCACGTCGTCTTTGACGTTCACGAGCGAGAGCTGGTACTGTGCGAATTAGTACGAGATGAGAAAGTGCGACAGTAATAACCCTTATTTAGTCCTGTCCCGGGATATGATTTGGGATCCAGATATATAGAGTTAAATTCCAAATTGTGTTTAAGTTTTTTCAAGATAATATGGCAGAATGTCAATTCGTTTGGATTAGGACAAGAGCTAAGAGTTTTTTGTTTTCGATTGCTTGAACCTCGCGAGCTATGTTGGAAAATTAATAATTTTGATTGACATGTTTACGAAGAAATGAACAGCTTGTGTTTCTTAGCTTCCCCTACAGAATCCATATTTTGGGAGATAGTCTAATTGGTGCGCTTCGCGAGTGGCGACAAATAGGCGCGAGTCGCGACAAAATAGGCGCGAACCGACCAAAAAACGAGCGACTCGACCAAAAAACGAGCGACTCAAAAGAAAACGAAAACAAAAACACAAACACACACGAATAATTATAATAACACATAATTTTTACGAATAATTATAGTGCACCTTTACTTTCTTGTGACAAAATTTTGTGCCATGGAGAAGAACAAAAAACAGAACAAAAATCCAAACAACTTAATGCAAAGACTATATATAAACACAATGCGGATAGTAAAAAACAAATTCTGAATTGACTAGACATCTTGAGAGTGCAATAATATAGGATTCAAACAAGACACAAGTTAAGACTGTCATCTTTATTCTGTCTGAATTCTGTCGAAAATTTACAGTCTCTGAGTCTCACTGACCCATGCCTATTTACAGTCTCAAACTGTGTCTTGTTTGAATCTTATATTATTGACTTTCAAGATATTATAATAACACATAATCGATATTATATTATAATAACACATCGGGCGAAGCCCTCGGGATATATCTTCCCTTGGGGGTAATATTTCGTCGAATTCCCCTCGCTCCAGGTCTATAAATGATAATAGTATCCCCCACATAGTATCCCGCAGCCAAGGGTGGGCCTGTGAACAAGCTAACTCTACCGTGGCACACCAGTAGAATCGATGATATATCAGCGAAGTATTTTTTAAAGATTTTCATCCAGGGCCTGACCGTCCAGTAGGAAGGACAGATTATAGAGCAGTTGTACAGGAACATCAAAGCCTAGTTTCAGCTTTTGCCAAGAAAGGTTGGTTTAGTTTAGTTTAGTTTATAGAGATTAGATTAGATTAAATAAAGATTAAAAATCTGCTTGATTATGATTATAATAAAGAAACGCTTTCGCAAAATCCAGCTTGTGCAAAGGTCTGACACACCGGAAATTGGTAAGACTTGGTAAATTGGTAATTCTCAATATTTAGGCTTCAAACTTGGTGAGAAAAAAGATTTTTAAATACTTAACAAAATCTGTCTTGCACAAAAGATTTGAAGCTTGCATGCACACGGCAAAAACGAATCGTCATAATAACTTTGTGTATACTTTAAGCCTCAGATAGCCTTAAAGTTATTCAATATTTCAGTATAGTTTTCTCTTTGATAGCGATACGGAAATGCACAATTGTGAACCAGTGATTAGATTTTCGGGTTGAAACTTCATAAACACCAATTTCTGCGGTGTTTGCTAGCCTGCTTGCAGACTAAATTTAATGCTTTTGGTTGCTACACGCCATGCTTCAGATTAGCCATTGCGCACAGTTGGCCAACCAGAAACATACTTCGCCCGCAAACTACGTCACTGCCCAGACTTTTATATGTAGAAATTTATAGTAAATATAAATTTAAATAATAAAAACTGGCTTTGACCTGAAGAACTGTCCCAATATAAATGATATATTTCATGTTTCGCCTTCAATATGGGATTATAGGATGGTCCTTTTTAGAATTGTTAGGTTTGATCTAACGAATGTGTTTTTAGTCCTGTAGTGTCTCTAAATGCTAACAAACCTTCCCCCCACTAGGTCTAGGTAACGCGGATACAATCTCGTCAGTAGCAGCTATCAACAGTGGTTTAGATCTCTCAGACTTCCCTGTCCTGGCCAACCGTCCTATGTCACACATTCCTCCCAGTGTATCGTCGCCATCTTCAACAGCAACTTCCAGTTCGTTTGTTGGTCGTGCTAGTTACGGTAAATATTAAGGGGCGAAAACGTTTGGTCCAGTGTTATTTTGAATCTGGAACGGCAAAATTTGGTCGTGTATAGCGGTTAGAATTGCTTTTCCATGATATAAGCACATATAACTCAGCAGTGTATTTAAACGTTGTGATGTTAAACCTCCTGAATCACTAGTAATCAATTTGTATCAGAAAACAATACGACCTATCTGACCGTTTTGGCCGTATAAAGACCTCTCTGTAGCCCTAATCTATAGCTTTAATCCGTCTTAAGCAGCACCAAACCCGGATCTCATTGAACTCTAAAAGCCGCATCTCCAATGCTCTCGTGTCGAAATGCGAACAAGTTTTAACTGCTGATAATTAATTTCATCCAGGTTTAGTGTCAAAGCGAGGCGAGCCTACGACAGAGTTCACAATGCTTAATGAAGACTTTCCGGCTTTACCAGGAACCATAATTAAATCAGGTATAAGTAATGAGATTACTTGCCGACCATTATTAACCAGGGGTTGCCCAGATTACTGAATAAGCCTGATAGTCTTAACACAACCATTGTTAAAAAAAATCATGGGCCACTTATAATTGAGTTTGGCTTATTGCTTCAGTAATCTTGGCAAACTTTATTGTTCATTTGAAGTGTTCATCACTTTCATGATGTTAATAATTTTTGCTTCGGAATTTTGTGACAGAAGTCTCGGGCGAGTCTGCAAATCAAGAGAATAAACCAGTAAGAAATTCCCTATTTCTGTTTATATAATTGTATTGTGTACGACGACATTGAGGGAAAAAATGAATGATGACAGATGAGTGACAATATAGTGATAAACATACTGTAACCAGCTATTTGGGGAAACTGTGCAGCAATTAATCTTTTTAGGTTTGATGGTGTTTCTGTATAAGTGTATAGGAAGGTTTTTTATGATATTCGTGAGGTGCTTATCTTTTCCTTAATCTTTTTCTTACAGGCAATTCAAAGATTTGGTAAGTAGACTACACTCGTCGCAGAGGATGTACCTGTAATATTTCCTCATCACGTCCTCTGCTTTTCGTCTAGGGAACAGTTCCTCTTATGAGCAAGCGGTGAAAGATGAGATGAGGTCATTATTGTACTTTTATGACATTTTATGACAAGGCTCTCTTATGTATCAGATAGTGGTCACGAATATAACTGTTACTTTTTCAAATTCACCATGGTTACAGCTACACATGCACACTGTCATAAAGTTGCATGTTGCTATGCTTATATTTTTTTATCGGAATGAGGCAGTATCTCCTATATAAGGAATGTCTCTACAGATTGTTTATAGCAAACACAATTTCATCAAATTATAGTAATTCGTTGTCTTGCTTGCAAAGGATAGATAGTCGAATTAAGAACTCTGCTATAGAACAGGGGGTCTGACCCAACCTAATTATTGCAGCGCAGTTCCCCACCCACCCTACGTCTCATATTTTCATAATAAGTCTTAAAATTCACTGTTCTTATGGTCACCACAATTCTTCTATTTAGAACGGCCAGTCAATCGCAAAATACTCAACCAATTAAAGGAAAAATCCAAACGTCGCCTACCGGTAATTTAAAAAAGTTAAACCGAGAAATTGATGACCGCGTAGACCAAGTACAAGATTTTATGATTCATTATTGTATAATCGTTTGCAGGCACGATCACTAATATTCCCAAACACATGGTCACGGATCAGTTTGGAATGATCGGATTATTAACATTCATCAGAGCAGCGGAAACGGAGCCAAATTTAGTCACCCTTGCTCTTGGAAGGTGGGATATTGTCGTTTTATGATCCAGTTTGTTTTCGTATGGTGATGACTCTTGCTGGAAGTATTGTTATTCATTGTAGCATAGCGTTGTAGGGAACATTTTTTCAGTATGTTCCAGGTAATGGGAGAAGATGTTTTGCACCGATTGCGTACTCACCATAACGTCTAAACTCACCATAACTTCTTTAACTTGCGCATCACCATAACTTCTAAACTACGATCAATCCCAAATTTTGGTACACTTAAAGATTGTCTTATAATTTTTGGCCGCATGTTGAAAATCCATACACACTTGACCTGAGCCAAAACAGCTGCGAGGAATGCATTTTCATTAATTCAAATAATTCACTTGACAAGAATTAAACCCGTGGGTGTGTGATTGGCGTGATTGTTATGTGGTAGTGGTATAAAACTTTCGTTTCTGAAGGTCATGGCTTTGGGGAAATGACAATTTTTTACCTATTATGTCCTCGGAAATAGTGGGAGACTACCTACTCTATGATAATCACGTCCAAGCTTACCAGTTTGGTCTATAATCCAGTGCATGGTGTATTTTTCTTAAATTTTAATATACACCACTTAGACGATTTCTTTTGCTAATGTAGGGAATTAGGCCAGGTTAGAGGTGAAATTCTGTACACATGGAAAAATGTTTTTTTGTATTCAAAATATGAGGTTTTACAAATAATAAATGCCAGAACATATTTTGCATGTGTACGTTATTTTTACCTGGAAACTTGGTCGAGTTGATTCAGTGAATCCAAAAACTATCAACTGCATGGCATGACTCTATATCGTTCATACATTAGCTGTATGGTTAATACCAAACCACTAGACCCTGTCATATTAGTAAGCACAGTTGCGTGCGAGCTTTTTTATAACCAAGTATATCAGTTTAGTGCTAAAATTCATCATTTTTTTTAATAGCGACCTTACGACACTTGGTCTCAATCTCAATTCACCTGAGTATGTTTTTGTAATAAGCAAATTTTGTTGTTGTTTTTTCAAGTATCACTTATTTGAGTTGTGTCATTGCAGCATATTTTTGTTCACAAAAACGTTCCCTATTCTGTAGGAGTCTCTATCAGACATTTGGCTCTCCTTTCTCAGACTCTCCTTGTAGACCACATGAGATAGGTAGGTTCATGGTTTAACAGGTTTTCGTATGGGACAGTAATGGAAGCGAAATTAACGGATTTTTTCCCCCGAAAATCACCGAAAGTTTCTAAGGCGATTAAAGAAATCCCAAGTGAAAATCTCGTTACACATGCAGTGTCTCTCTATAGCCACACCTCTCGACCGTATCTCTGCATTGGTTAGAGGTTGTAGGGTAGGCTGAAGGTCTAGACTGGCGGGCGTTATTTACAGAGCGTGGTGACATAATTTAAAGCTAATCCTGTTTTGACTTTTTTACCGTTTATTTTTTTCAAAATCCACAATTGAACCACCGAAATACCAATTCATTAGTTCCAGTGGGACTGGTATATTTTCCAGTTAATCTTCAAATATCGAAAATAGCACCTCGTTTTTCTGGTTAGTCGCGCGTGACGCGGAATATTTGATAAGTGTTTATGCACGTTACATGTTGAGGCGTACAGTTGCCAGTCATTTAAAAAGTCGTGGGTTTTTGTCGCATACTCAGGTTTCCACCCACAAAGATAAATTGACAAGTTGCATGGGTTTGGATATCAAAAGGATATAAAAGGTTAAGCCATAGACAAACGCTCTCATCTTAGCCGTGGTGTAAAGCGGGTTACACGTTAGCAGTAAGAAGCGGCGGACTTCATATTTGAGCTCGTCTTTCAGCTGCAAGTCAATGTGAATATGGTTAGAAGCTGACATTTACGAAATTGCTAATTGCATGTGATATTGATACTATATGGCCACATACATGATGTCAACATTTGCGTCTAAAAGCATGGTTTGAATAACACAATAGTGTTTTATATCATCATTCCATCTTATTTTAGATTTCAACGTTCCTCCAGAGTACAGGATAAATTCCTACATCAGAGAGAAGTTGGCTCCGTTTAAACTTGTCCGTTATGGAGAAGATGTGTTGTTTTATTTGTATTACACGAACGAGGGAGATGTACTTCAACTAGCAGCTGCGGCAGAACTGTAAGAATTTTTATCTTTTAATTATGCTACACGTTCGAAATTGTTTTATCAAATATACATATATGCCATCGAGGTTTATAGCTGTGTATAGGCATAGCAGTGGCTCTTAAATAGGCCCAGCAACTGCCTGGAATATACAAGAAAGCGTTTCGACGTTTTGTATTGGACGACTACGTTTGTATGTAACGTCGAGAATTTGGAAAAAAACTAACATTTACTACACATTATTAGACAGCATATTATATAACAGTTATTTGCTTGCCCCCGTTTCCATTCAAAAAAAAATTAAACCGTAACTTTACTGGAGAAACGGAACTTTGGCATTATGTATAGCTTTACGGTGCTAAACTACTCTTCCTCGGAAGACTCGTCTCTTATATTGGGCAGAGTTACCACCAGGAGAACAATAAAAGAACTTTATTTACACATCATGTAACTTTATCAATTCTTATCTGTCTCCCTATGAGTTATGTGCCCTTGATGTTGAGCAAGACTCCTATATCTTCGTTCGACAAACAGCAAGACAATTTTCGATGCTTGACTAAGGCAGCTATTCAATATCATTGGTTAATTGAAACTCTTGCATGTGCAGCTACAGATATTGCTTATAAATATCCTCTGTTTCCTTAAACATGCCTATGTAGGTCTTTGTCTGTCTGTCTGTTTTAGTCAGATATAGCTATATATGTGTGTGTGTTTGTGTTAATGTATATATACAAGTTTTGCCAAGTCAGTGCACTGTGGTTATATTGGAGGGAGGCTATATAAACCTTAGTTTATATAAACGTCTATATAAACGTCTGTCGACTGACACGCAACGCCATCGCAAGCGTAAAATGAATATTTTTATGCATTTTTGGCGTATTTCTCATGTTTGATGACTAACTAGCTGCATGTTATAATTCGAGTGCATTCTATTTTGACACAAGAACCGGTCACTTGAAACAGTACGAAACCAGTAATAAACTATATTTTGGATACGTCTTTTGTTATAAGATAGACTTATAGATATCCGAACTTCCCTATAGATACCCATAGTTCTCTGGATACCCATGGTTTTTTAGATATACCAATAGTGCTCTAGATACCCACAGTTCTCTATGGATACCGATAGTTCTTTAGATACCCATAGTTCTCTCTGGATACCCATAGTTTTTTTTAGATATACCAATATTTCTCTAGATACCCACAGTTCTGCCTGGATACCAATAGTTTTTTAGATACACATAGTTCTCTCTGGATACCGATAGTTCTTTCCGAACTCTATAGATACCCATAGTTCTCTGGATACCCATAGTTTTTTAGATGTACCAATAGTTCTCTAGATACCCATTGTTCTCTGTATACCCATAGTTCTCTAGATACCTATAGTTCTCTGGATATCCATAGTTCTCTAGATACCCATAGTTCTCTGGATACCCATAGTTCTCTAGATACCCATAGTTCTCTGAATACCCATAGTTCTCTAGATACCCATAGTTCTCTAGATACCCATTGTTCTCTGTATACCCATAGTTCTCTAGATACCTATAGTTCTCTGGATATCCATAGTTCTCTAGATACCCATAGTTCTCTAGATACCCATAGTTCTCTAGATACCCATAGTTCTCTGGATACCCATAGTTCTCTAGATACCCATAGTTCCCTAGATACCCATAGTTCTCTAGATACCCATAGTTCTCTAGATACCCATAGTTCTCCGGATACCCATAGTTCCCTAGATACCCATAGTTCCCTAGATACCTATAGTTCTCTAGATACCCATAGTTCTCTAGATACCCATAGTTCCCTAGATATCCATAGTTCTCTAGATACCCATAGTTCCCTAGATATCCATAGTTCTCTAGATACCCATAGTTCTCTAGATACCAATAGTTCTCTAGATACCCATAGTTCTCTGGATACCCATAGTTCTCTAGATACCCATAGTTCTCTGGATACCCATAGTTCCCTAGATACCCATAGTTCTCTGAATACCCATAGTTCTCTAGATACCCATAGTTCTCTAGATACCCATTGTTCTCTGTATACCAATAGTTCTCTAGATACCCATTGTTCTCTGTATACCAATAGTTCTCTAGATACCTATAGTTCTCTGGATACCCATAGTTCTCTAGATACCCATAGTTCTCTGGATACCAGTAGTTCTCTGGATATCCATAGTTCTCTAGATACCCATAGTTCTCTCTGGATACCCATAGTTCTCTCTGGATACCCATAGTTCTCTGGATACCCATAGTTCTCTGGACACCCATAGTTCTCTCTGGATACCCATAGTTCTCTATATACCCATAGTTCTCTAGATACCCATAGTTCTCTGGATACCCATAGTTCTCTAGATACCCATAGTTCTCTAGATACCCATAGTTCTCTCTGGATACCCATAGTTCTAGGATACCCATAGTTCTCTCTTGATACTCATAGTTCTCTAGATACTCTAGACGCTGGATACCCATATAGTTAGTTGGATACCCATGCAGTAATAGAATATCGTGCTACCTAAGTTGAGTTCATGTTTTTCCCAGAATAGAAAACCTACACTAAACAATTCGTTAATCTTTACTCAACGTTGATTTGCGAGTTGTAAGCTCAGTGATTTCCTTTAATTTCAGATACTCACGTGACTGGCGCTATCACAAGGATGAGCGAGTGTGGTTAACCCGAGTTCCTGGTGTCGAGCCTTTACAAAAGACTGAAGCTTACGAAAGGGGAACTTACTATATATTTGATTACATGAACTGGAGAAAGATTGCAAAGGAGTTTCATTTGGAGTATAAGAAACTCGAGGAGAAACCAGCATTACAGCCTTTAGCTACGCAGTGAGTACACGTAGGGGAATAGGAAAGTCGGGGTGTCGCGATTAATTTTTTTTCAGGTTCATATATTCTAAGTGTGTAGGGGTAAGTTTTCGAAACCGAAACAATATTTGTTGGTCAAGTATCAAGGAATGGAAAACGTCAAGATCAAATGAGCGCTCGTTATGTCGAACCATTGTTTTTTTCATGCTTGACTATCGGACCGGGATGTTCTCATTCCTTGACATTTGTGAACTGATCAACCTAGATATTAGAATGGTTCTAGGATACCGTGGCCTATGGTTACGGGAAGCGTTATTTTGTACAATGAATGGACCTTGTGCATTATAGATCAACTACGATCTAGGTAACAAGAAGGAAATAACTCACCACAGCTAAAAAGAGCATACTGAAACTGTATAAACTATAATTGCCAAGTTTTGGCGCAAAATGTCAGGTATTACGGAAAACATAGCCATGCGAAGTTGGAAATTTTGTATACTTTTTTACTACGGCCGGAAGCGTTCAACTAATTTATTTACACACTTCCGGCCGTAGTAAAAAAGTATACAAGATTTCCAACTTCGCATGGCTATATTTTTCCGTACTTTACAATATTTTGCCGCCAAACTTCGCAATTTTACTAAATTTAGTATGCACTTTTCGGTAATTTCCCTTTTGCTGCCTAAATCAAAAATTGGTCTATTATTCAAAAGGTCCATTTCCATCGATATTTGTGTATTTTTTGTTCTCAACCTTCTCTATTAAACTATAGCCTTTTGAGACAGACGAAATTTGTATCATCATTTCAACAGCAACTGCAAAAAAACGCGACCCGTAGTCGTAGACCGTAACCGGCGTATCTTATAATTTCTCTATTAATATCCCAGTGTAGTATAATTTCAGTATTGAAAAATAGCCTTTCAGCATATTCATTCTGATTGGCTTCTTCGTCAGTATTGCATGGCAGTAACTGTTAGCCAATGGGTCACTGCTCAGACAGTTCTCAGCAGTTATTATCTTTTCATTGCTTTTCGAAGACATTTTTGCTGAAAATTCTTAAAAATGGGTCTGCCATTCGCATTGAACAAAGAAAACAACAAAAATGTGATATAAAATTATTTTGAGGTAATGTGAAAGAAGCAATATATTTTTAGAAAAGATGTTCGTACAACTCAAAAGTGCCTGGCTGTATGCCATGGCCACAACAGGGAGGAGCAAAAACAATAACACTATTGTTTCAATCTATAATAAACTATTCGTTTACATGCACTATATTCGTCATAAAATGCGAGACATTTAGTATCACCTTCAAGCGATTCGATCACCTTTTCTGCCTTTTAATGTTTTAGGTCGTGCGATACACATGTATATTAAAGTCTCACGTCAAGTTTCGCGTGACTAAAACACGGCAGTCTACCATTTAGGCAATTAAAGGTTGTAAAATAAACACGGTTTATAGGCATAGTTTCATTGATTTATAAAGTTTTCCAATACTGAAATTATACTAAAACAATTAGTCCTCTCAAGCTTGAAGATTATAACCTTTATTACAAGAATATAGGCTTGTAATCACTGAGCCCAAGCTAGGCTACAGTTTCATCATTGTTCACCATCATCGTTGTGTAACAGCACATAGTGGTCAACTTTCAATGGAAAGTGACCTCCATGGACCGCGGAGGGGGGGATCGGAGCCTTTCCCCAAATTTGTATGAGAAACATTTTTAACTGTAGTTGGTGATTTAATTGCATTTTCGGAGCTCCGACAGACTAGAAAGTGTCAGGCCCAAACAATTTCCCTATTTGGGTTCAAGAAGGAAGCTCCTCCTCCTCCTCCGTGATCCTAGAATTCTATTCTTATCCCCTGGCTTACCAGTTAACACTCACTAAATCGTTCCTCTATCAATGTCCATCGTGAAGGTTGACCAGATTATGTTCTTACTTCTTAATGCACCTTGAAAGTCTAAAAAATCGCCACCGCCTCAAATATCGTTTTCTATATATTGTAAATTGTTGTACAGAGCAAAATTTGTATCACATCACTGAAGAAATAAAGACTCACTTTTAAAGGTAAAAGTCGGTTTATATATTCTTTATAATGTCACATGTTGATTCATACAGCTTAATAGATCAACAAACGGATTATGTGCATGTGCATGCGGGCAAAGATGGCAAAGATAGTTTGTTCCGATGGATAAACTGTTTTTTCCCCGCGTCGACATCCTCTCCAGTAAAAAAAAATCAGTTCAATATGTAGGTAAACGTCTATAGTGCTCTAGTTGGATGTTGGCCCCTGCGTTATAGTTAACATCGAATGTTGTGACAGAACTCATCTTCGAGTTAGGCATGGTTCAAATCATGACGAAATACTGTAGTAGATGATCATGAGTGGAATTTCTTGATTTGAGTTATTGGCAAGTTACTTAAGTACGTATATTCTTGGTTAAAATCATGCCGAATTACTACATGTAGTACATGCCTTTGAGTGGAAAGGCTGGAATCTCTTAATTTGAGTCATGGCAAGTTACTTAAGTAGGATCGTTTGTGTTCTTGGTCAAAATCATGACAAGTTACTGTAGTATATATGTCTTTGGATGGAATCTCTTAATTTGAGTCATGGCAAGTTACTTAAGTCGGATCGTAGGTGTTCTTGGTTAAAATCATGACAAGTTACTGTAGTATACATGTCCTTGGATGGAATCTCTTAATTAATTTGAGTCACGGCAAGTGACCGTAGGTGTTCCTAGTTAAAATCATGACGAGTCACTGTAGTACATGTCCTTGAGTAGAATTTCTTGATTTGAGTCATGTATATGTGGAGTTACTGTATGTAGTAAGTGTTCTTAAGTCGGATTTCTTAATTAAAGTCTCATAGTTAGATCATGGTTAAGATCCTGACGAGTCCCTGTTGTTTTAATTACCTATAACTGTAATTTACCTTAATTCTCCCTGAAATTAGCATGCCAATGATTCTATCTCCTATACAAAGATAGTTCATGTATGTTCCTAAATGGAGATGTTGGTTTTAACCCGTGACTTTAACAGCCCTATAAATCAAACCGAAAAGTTGTTTCGTGAACAGCCATCTTGTCTCCAAATTTGGTAGTGTATGTGACTAATGTGAGTCAAATGTGGTATAGACATTGTACAAATTAGTATACATCTTCTTATCTCTGAGATTCTCAGTCTAGCGGTCTGATTTGGAGAATTTCTCGCAGATTTGGTTTAAGTACGGTTGGATCAATCTGAAAGAACGTGCTTTTCACTCGCATAGTGTACCAATATTTGTCGAGTTATTTTGTCTCGTTGGGATGTAAACAAAACGTAAACATTAGGAAACGCAGGGGCGTTATGTCACGTCTACAAAGTCTATGTTATCATTCAGATCCCATCCCACGCACTGCTGAGGTCAGAAACCTTCTAAGAGCCTATTAGAGATAAAGCCCAGTTTCCGATTGGATGTGAATGTTGTTACTTGTCTAGGTGGTCGAAGTAATAATAGTGGTATAAGTAATGTTTCTATGGTGTGAGTAGTCTTATTTGATCGCAGAAAACTAAGGACAAATACAGATTCATGCTTAATTGATGATTACCTCGATAATTACTAACAAATCAGCAAATGGAAGCTAGTCGCTCGATCTTTTTGTTTTCATTAACTTATTTAACTACGCAAACTTTATTCTGCATATCATTCCTAAATTGTTCTCTGCTGAGGTAGAATAGCTCTTACGTCATTCTTTATCTACCAGATCGCTTCGAGAGGGGACCTAAACAAAACTGTCTTTGTTTATGCTAGATATCAGTTCTAAACTGTTTTCCACAGAGGTCCAGTTAAGGTCGTCCTTTATCGATCAGTATGCTACAAAACGATTTCTAATAATGAGTCAGAAATGTATGGTTGTGTGAACTTGTGTCAGTTTTATACTCGCTTTGTTTTCAAACCGGGGCTATCTCGGCAGACGTTGTTTGACGTCAATTCCGCCACGTGCTTGATAATCGGAAAGTAATTACATTCACATCGGCTGTCTGTAAAGTTTATCAATGTTGTTCATTTCCTGAAAATTGGACACCGTCTGCTGTGCTTCCTACGAAAACACATCAATAGATTTTCACACGGTTTGAAATATAATTTGATAATTTTGACTTCACAATTTATATGGTTAATCGCAAACGACTTTTCACAAAACATCGTTTCTAATGTGAATTAATCGACAGAGGTTAACTAGCAACGTCAAGGTCATCTAAGGTGGTTATTCGTGATGACGTCAGAAGATGTCTGGATCTATGGTTCGGTATATCTCCACAAAACGTCAGCATAAAAATCTAAAGTGCTGAAACTTAGACTGCTTTGCCTTTTCATTGTCATGGAAGAAAGGTGGGACAAGTAGAGTTTAAGTTTAATTACACGTCATTTCTCGAAACGTTTGACAGAAGTATGTTGAATTTTCATTAGAGACATCTTCAATATATGAGGAAGTTCAAAAAATAATGAAATCGCAATCGATTTCGTAACTCGTAAACAAAGCCTCGGGTCAGACCAGAATTGAAGAAAGCTAAGTTCAGGAATATTTTCGCTGTCCGAAAATCCTGTGGAATTCAAAATAAGTAAATGAGTGAAATCTGTCTTTTGTATGCTACGTAATTCATTGCAGGTTTATGCAAAAATGCTTTCTTTCGATTGCAATTGCTGTCATTTTTGTTTCTTGACACGTGCACAGCTCATACTTCTATAGCTACCCTGTCACACAATAAAGATGATAAGCATTCTGAAAAGCGGAACCTAATGGCAGTCAAATCATATGCAAACGTAGAAATAGATTAAATAACACTTTTAAAAACTGTTATTGGTTGATTTACTTACGTAAATTGATATCGTATATACGTATATTGACCTTATTTTCTTCCTATTTTAGTTTCTACCATAAATTGGTGGTATTTTCAGGAATACACTCATCTTTTATAGCTACAATGCTAACCAGTTAATTTAAAGCAGCTTTTAAACAGAACAGAAACATAAAAGCGGTTCTAGTAAGAATGCCTATTAAAGTTTAGTTTAACAAAAGCAAGAGAAGGATAATTTGTATGGCAAGAAGGGGGAATGGTTTTTTCCTTCAGTGGAATGACGCACTGTGAAATAGATGGTTGTCTTGTGACGTTATAGGATATATCGGCCGTTATAGGATATTTCGTCGGCGGTTCCGCTGTTCTCAGACCATAATACTCATGGTTATTTTTCAAAATTGCGCCAATATGACGGACCTATGACGTACATGCATGAAAACCATCTAAAGCAATATTGGTTTAAAACATAAAAATGGGTTATGGTAATAACTCTATTTTCTCAAGTCTTTCCCATTCGTGTTAAGAATGTGTTATGTATAATAAAAAAACATATAAATCAAAAGAATTTACACGCGTGTCTCTGTGGTTATGCGACTGTGCAGTTCTATAGCTTCTGAACTATCGATTGCGCCATCCATAAGCGAGCCATATTTGTTGATTGCATTATTCAACTGTAAAGATTAAGTCAAGTGGATGTTATGCTACGCATGCGTATTCGAAGCATTTACTACGAGTATAGTAACTATTGAGAAGTGCGTAGGCGATATATTATGTAAGATTTCAAAAATATAGTTATCACGCCTGCTATCTGTTTCGAGAAAGCCCTATTTATCACCTTCACGCTTTTGAATAATAAATGGTTACGGGGCAACAGATGGTAGTCAACTTCAGAAATGTTGACACAAGCATAAACGCTTGTGTTTAGTAAATAAGTAATGTATTGCCAAATGACACTCTCCCACAATGACTGTCCACTGTAGTGACTGTACGATCGGTCATATACTAAATTTAGTGTGCAAGTTACAGTAATATCCTGCCAAAAATATAAAGGGTTCTGCACCAAAGAAAAAATATACAGGTTTCTGCACTAACAAGGCGTTAGTCAAGCTACAGATTCCATTAGCTATTTAGATTTCTCGAAGGGGCTCCTAATTTTTTACATGGTGTGGATTTATGTTTTCCTGTCCACGAGGTTACTCCTTTTAGCTTTTCAGTTTACTTGAAGTCGAAAGAATCATTTTAGTCAGGCTTATCAACAATCAGAACATCCCCAGCTGAACAGTTACCGAATCAACCGCGTATGATAACACGACACCACTAGAAAAAAATAGACGTTTAGATTTGTAGAGCAATCCAGTTAGAATTTATAGAGTTTATATTCCTCTACCTAAAGAACCATGGGAAATCATCCCAGCAAATCGAATGTATTGTTGAGCCGTTTGAACCGGAACTTGCTAGTTCAACTAACAATATAAAGCGGTCGGTAGGGAAAGCGGATATGTCCGACTGTGTTCCGGTTTTGCGCCGAGCTCTTCATTCCGATATATTCTGTGTTGCCGAAGTTTCGAACCAAACATATCGGTTTTTACTTCAAAACAAGCCTGGTTTTAGGTGAAAGTCACGCAGATTGATAAGAAGGACGTACTACGTGTTTGGTGATGTTTTGGAGGCGTTAGATTAAAAGATCTTGACTGAATTGAACGCCGAAAGGAGACTTTTAAAGCCATTTTGTACTCGGATCAAACGTAATGTGTTTTGTTGACTAACATTCGACGCATTCAACCCTGCAAGAAGATCGTGATTTCAGCTACCGAGTTTATCGCATTTCTGTGGACATTTTTGGATATTTAAAGTGCTTAATAATTCATCGAAAGTTGGCATTTTAATAATAGCTTGCACGCTATTGCTTTTATAGAAGGGAGTATATTTTGTTTAACAGGTCGAAGTTACAAATAAAGGCTGTGTAATATAAAGAGTTGGAGTACATTACTTTTGTATCATATTATGATATAAAGACCCAAGGATTGTCTTCATGATAACTTGGAGGACACGATAACGCTTTGTACAGCTGATAATTTCGACCATATTTTGTTTAATCGCAAAGATTACTGGAACGATTTAGCAAGAGCGTTCGCCTTTTAACTTCTTGGTCTATCCATATCTTGTGACAGTGTGGGTGAATTTTGCCTCGTAAATCGTCTGGATTCGTTTCTATAGGAAAGGAAAAACAGCATCCAGTTTGTGGATAGTGAGAAGTGTAACTTCTACAATATATTATTAAACAATTATCGTGAGTTTACAACGAGAACTTCATCTGGGACAATAATTAGTAGCGCTTCTACTACAATTATGTTTACGTAATATGACCGATCGATTCGATTTCGAAGACCGTAAAATGTCTGTGAGCTTTATTTCATCTTGAATTTCGTCGTTTTTAATACTGGATTTTACCAAGAAAGTACAAGATTATTAACGCCGAATTATGGCATTTCGAGGCCAAAGATGCTCCAAAAGTATCACAGTTCAAAAAGAAGGTTATTTGCACATTAAGAAGAATGTGTCTGTTTTGAAGCCCAAGGAAAAGGTATTATAAATTTATTATGCCTTATGCACGTATTAAAACGTCATTGTAGATTTAAGCTATTGAATATATTTAACTGCCAGAATCAAAATAGGTGCGTCTTTATACATCGTGTGGTTTGAATAAACGAAGAAAATCCGCCAACTTATCAATTGTTAAATTATCCATGTACATTTTTGTAAAATGGTTCTTTTGTTTTGTGCTTCAAAATTTCAAGAGCTAAATATAAAACAACATTTTATATGTTTTAGATTATTTTTATTTCATACATGTACCTTATGTTTTGAAACATTTTTTGTTATTTCTATACATAAACAAGCTATTAGTTGACTTCTGTCAGATAAAATCTTGTAAATGTCAACGCCATAGTGATATTTTGCAAAAGTACGCCATTAGCAGACTAATTTCATCAAGGTATTCAAAAAATTTCGCATTGCAACCGATTTAGACTTAGTATGTATCATTTAAATACTGTAGTTTTCAATTTTGACATTAAACAAAGCGTGATTTTATTGTTTATATTTCCTGCTTTATTTGGCAATATTTCGGCGAATCAAAGTTTAATTTGCAAGCGTACGTGTGCTAGGTCAATTTGGAAAGTCGCTTTCAAGTAGCCATAATTGTTACATATTGCCTTGTTTCTTGTAAACGTGACATGTAAAGTCAACAGGTTGTTAAAATCAAATGATTTTTAACACATTAAGCCTCCTGCCATTCTTAGAATTTAAAAATATTCAAGTCACAAGGAGAGGATTATATTCAGATGTAATGCAGCACTTTGCTTTTACCATATAAAGTGACAAAAAGCATACATGTAGGGGGCTTTAATTGAAAGGTGACTCAATCCAGCTTGAATGAAAAAAGGGTGAGGATAGAGTAGCCAGATTGTTGTTGGATTTACCTTCCTCATTCAGGAAGGCAGAAAAAAATGCATGGCAACAAGACAACTACAGATCAATTTGAGGCATGGTATGTCAGGGGATGCAGGCTGTTTGATTGTATGATTGACACTATTCTTAGATGAATTTAAAACCTGGCATTTTTAGTACTTCTACATGACTATTTACGTCTTTAATTTAAAGCTGGCCTTAGAAATGGCATATTTAGGTTTATATAGTATAGTCTGGTGAGGTCACACTATTTTGTATTTTGACTAACCAGTTATTAATATGAACCTGAGACTTGGTTTTTGGTTGCAGTTTCAACTTTCTAAAACAATAGGAACGTTTGAACGTCTTATGCCATGTGTCTGGCAAACTAGAAGTAATTTTATACTGCCAAGCTGGAACCATGCATCATCATAACAACTTGTTGCTTTTAGTAGAAATATGGTGTTTCCATAGTTTCCATAAGAATATTTTATTGATAGTTTCAAAGTTCTTTCAAATAAGATGTTGTCAATCAATCCTGTCGGGCACAAAAAGCCTAATAAATCAGAACATACAACAGACCATCACAAATAACAATGCATCATGCATCACTCCAAAATGTAACATCGACAATGTAAATAACAATTATTTCTGGTTTACCAAACCTTTGAAAACCCTATACAATAACCAGGCTATCAAATCTTATTTAATTTAGTATCAAACTTTGAACTCAATTTTCTCATTAGTCATGGCAGCAGAAATATGTTGTCTTGCGCAAGTCATATGGAGATGGAATTTGCTTAGAATGGTATGAAAGTTATGAAGCATTCATATCACACAAAAATACAACAAAAAGAAAACTTGACGGAATTGATTATATTGGACCAGTTGACATGGGTAAAGACTATACCTATGCATTTATTTTGTTTGGTGGTGGACAAAGCCAGCTTCAGATGGCTGCGAAGAATGAGAATGAACGTTGTGAATGGGTGAAAGCCCTAAATCAATGCTTGCAAAATGGTAAGAAGTCAAACCCAACTGCACCACCATCAACACACGAGAGCAGCAGCAGCAAGAATGGTTAGTGTGGGATCTTTGTTTCAAAATTTTGTCTTTATATTGTCTTTATATATGTCTTCAAAGATATAAGAGTTCAAATTATGTATCACCAAATGTATTTGCGCTGATGAATTCCAGGATTTACAGAGCAGAAGCTTTGAGGAAATAAATGCATGTTGTGTTCCTACAAACTGATAATTAATATTGTTTAATTAAAATTTATCCAGTATTTCCAGTTAAACTAAAAGACTACATGTGTTGTGCTGGTCAAGACAACTTCAAAAACCTTAGTCATGATTTTACCATGATTGTGGGTCCAGAAGTAATTGCACTCATAACAGTTGATACTCGAGGTGAACAGAAAATTGTAGCAAGTTGGTTGTTAGAAAACATCAAGAGTTATGAGAGTCGACCTTTAGAACAGAACCCTTCGCAAAAATTGCTGTCCATTGATACAGGCAGGTGAGTGCAGCTGTGCAAGACATACTGTTTCCATCCTTGTCTAGATGATTTTGGGTGACGTATTCCATCCTGAAGGGACTTAGGGACTTGATAGTTTTAAAATCAAAGAGGCTGTACAAAATTGTTTGCAAACAGTTCTTTGCCTAAATAATTTCAAATTTCACGTTGAAGAATTAAAAGAGAATACATTTTAATCGATATACTCGACTTTCGTCTATAGCTATCTTAAGCTCGTGCACAGTCCGAATCAACAAAGTTTTATTTACATTTTGAACTGCTGCATTTCATAATTATATAGAATATCGAAAACACCCTTTTGGTTCGGTATACGTCTAAGCAAGGATGAGAGAGAGTTTATTTTCAGAAGAATTCGAAGTATGCGGAAATTGTGGATATAATCCACAGTCGATCTTCCTAGATTTCTATGAAAAATATCTTTAGAACACCCGGATTAACTTGTGTTAGTTAATACATGTAACATGATTTGTTGTTTTTTAGGCGAAGTTCCACTGGTCAAGGGACATTCAATTTCTATACGCCTTACGGCGATCAAATAAAGAACCTAATTAGCCAAAATACGAAACGAACGTATCTTAGGAAAATGAGCTCACAAGACAGCTTTCATGTCGAGAACGATTTGTATAGCTCAAGTCCTGAGTCTTCTCGAGGTTATTTCTCCCCCAACCAGAGATCGCATAGTGCACCCGTACCAAATACCCGACGACCAACGTTCCCATCAAGGGAGGGCTCAATACCATTCCACAAGTATGACCCGCCCACGAACTACGCACATTATATCGAACAAAAAGATGGATACGTTGATATATTTACTGACCCTAGAAAGGTCGAAGAAAATCGCATGAGACTCAACTCACGTTCAAGTCTCAGTTCGGCAAGATCGCCAAAATCTAACGATACTCCTTTTGGATTATACGATCCTTCAGAAAGCCACGAGGGCTATATTTCGGTGCTGCCAGACTCTGAATCGGCCAGCGGTTATATTGATGTGTTACCGGACACTATACCGGAACACAACGATCATACCTATTTAGACGTTTTGAATGAAGAAGAAAGCAGTCAACATTATATTGATGTAATAGGTGACGGCGACTTGGGGGCTACGGGCACCAACGTTTCTGGTGATCCATCATATATAGAAGTCTTACCAGACGACGAATCGACCTCTAAGTCAACTAATAGGTCTATATCACGCGGTGATTCCGACGAGATCTACATCGATGTTGATGAAAATCGAAAAAAATTTGAATTACGTGAGCAGCATTTCGAGTCCCATGATCAGGGTTTAGTGACACGTGAACAACAATTAGACTCACGTGAAGAAAATGGGGATACTCGTCACGAGTCATCTAAAGAAAATGTTTCGCAAACTCATGATTCGCCACAACCTGAAGTTCACGTGACATGCCATAATGATTCACGTGATGTCTGTCACGAGCTGCGGCAAACACGCGAGAGCACAGCAAGTGTAAATTCCCCGTCTCCAAGATGGCCACAAAGTGTGACCTCACAGACAAGCACAGACTACAGTAGTCTAAGCAGTGAGTGTGATGTTTTTCAAGAACGAGAGAACGGTATTGTTGTTGAGGTCTTCACAGAAGAATCAACGAAATCTGATGGTCTGCCGACAAACCCCGATGCCATTCCGTCAACTGTAGTAGTCGCTTCGGGAAATTCCGATACACTGCCGTCTAATGAGGTTTCCCCCAAGTCGGACGACGATTCTCTAATGTCAAAAGATTACTTAGCTTTAAATCCACCTGTTCCTCCAGCAAAATCTGCCTTAGTTGCCTCAAAATCCGCCACTCTTCCGACAAAGACCGAGGGGCTCCCGACGGACAGCGATGTCAACGAAAGTAGGACGAGAGCAAGAAGTTGGCATAGTGATGAAGCAAACAATTTAGTTGATAATTCTGGCGATTCGTCGTCTACTTCCGAAAGCGAACACATGCGTGATTTTAGCGACGACGATACGTCGGACCATAGCGAAGTCTCTCCGAAGAACCTTTCCTCATCTGAGAAGCGAGACCGTAGTCACACCGAAGGAGATTTGATTCTAAACCCGAACCTCGCGGGGATGGACCCTGCTTTGTTACGAGCCTTTCAGCAGTCCTTAACCAACCCTCAAGCATTAACGCCAACCTCTAATAGACACCCACCTCTAACGAGAGAGATCCCCTATAACCAAGACCAAATAATTTTTCAACTCGAGAATCCAATACAAGGGGTTAGTCAGCTTCCAAGATCGGAGAAAAAGAACAGCAGTGCAGTTGAAGTGAAGTATATTTGCTCGAACTGCGGTTGGCATAAGCGTTCAAAAAAACGATCCTCGTTGAGACCGAGTCTTCGAAGTAAGGTTTGTCCCCAGTGTAATAATCCCGTGACCAAACAGGATGCAAAGAGCCCTAAAAGCAAGGAAAAAATGGGGCTTTTTGATATAATCAGAGGAAAAAGACGAAGTTTGGAGGGGAAAATAGATAAAAAGGACTTGAATTTCATAAAGCCTGAGCGTCCTTCGACAACGCCCGAACCTTCTTTTTTGAAGAGTTTTCGGACTACCGCGTCTGAGTTAGGCCTTCATAGCCCTAAGATGGATCCTAAGCGAAGTGGTCTTGGCATAGCCCCTTCCCCCCTACGGGCAATAGCCGCTGTTTCAATTGAGGGAGAAGAACGAAGTTACGATGATGGCATATCCGGGAAGAACCCATTAGCGACGAGTCTTAGCGATAGTGGTCTGTCCGAAGGTGTGGCCTCCCAAAACAGGACTGTTTCCTTAACTTCAACAAAAACGCCTTCCGCGCAAGAGTGTAACCCTCTAGAGAGGTCAAAGTCTTCCCCACCTCTAATTTGTGGAAACGAGACAGGCCAGGATACCTTGACCGCTGATGCACAGGATTGTGAGAAAGTTCCTCGTAAGAATTCTGGATTGACTTTACCGACATTACCTGAAGTTGAGGTATGTGTATAGCCTTTCTTAGGCCGGGGACTGTTTTACTGAAAGATAAATTTGCATTGCATATAAAGTAACACATATAAAGTATAGGTCTCTGGATTCTTTAAGGCCCGTTATGATAGCTATGAACGAGTGAATTAGTTAGGCCATTCGTAACTTATTACTCGTTCACATCCATCAAAAGAAGAAAATCGCAGCAAAAATGGCAAGTGTAAACGGGCCTTTAGAAAGGTTTCTGGTAGTTTGTAATCACGCTTTCTACTAAAACATTATCAGCTGACCAGTACCGTCTTTCCACTATGAAAGCTCCAGATATTTAATAGCAGGAAGCCCTACACTATTTCATATTCATAGTAACATAAATACATATATTCCTTGAACACGAGGCACCAAAGGCCTTATTTTCCAGTTTATTTAGAAAAAGCTTTGAAAATGTGCAGCGAATTTATTCAATATCTAATTTCTCATCGTCTGTGTGTTTTGAGTGGCATTTAAAATAGCCAAACTTAGGTTCTGAGGAACATTGGATAGTTGCTCCCAGTCGGGATTAGAGTTACTGTAGATATACTTTTAATGTTTTTACAAACCAGTTCAGTAGTTTTGATTTGTAAATGTTGAGATTACTTTTGTAAAATCATGCAATTTATCCTGTGGATGCGATAGGATTTTGGTAAAGGGTTTTATTATGTCCGTCTGCATGATAACATAAATTATGAAGCTTGTACAAAGTAATCTGGGTGAAGTTAGATTTACAATTAGGCCCAAGTGCAATAAATTCTAAGGCAAGTAAATGTTTTTTTCTAAATTATTTCACTCGTAGGATCAAGCATCTTCAGACCAGCCATCCTGTCACACCCCGGGCACACCCCCACCGATGATTCCGCCCAGAACGCGCGCTCCACCCATACCCCCACGTCAAAGAAACAGTCCATTGGGTATCCCAACCGAGGAAAACTTACATAAATTACGTCGAAGTCAAACGGACCCTGCTTTCTCGCAGATGGTCTCATCACGACAGGTTAGAAAGATTTCCTCATTTGAAGTACATTTTAGGGCGCTTGCGACAATGGCCTTGGGATTAAGCAGTCACATTGGCTACAAATAAAGTAAAACTTTGTCTTGTGCATGCTCTCTAAAATAAGCGCAGAAAATGCAGATCTGCAACGAATAACGTTAAAGTTATGTCGAAAAAAATTTTTACCACCTTCCTGGTTTAGTGATTTCGATGAATGTTATGTGAGCATTTCCATACACATAACTTGCAAAAGGCGAGAAATTTGTTGATATTTTCGATAACATACATTGAAATCTGTTTTGTTGCAGGTTTTTTAAATTTTTTTACCGTACGTACTCGACAGATTTCTTTTGTACATATGTACGTATATATACTGACCAAACAGAATCATCATCTTTCACGAGTTCATAGTTCATAAACGTTTTGTATGGACAATGTCGATTGAATCAGATTTGACACAAATTATTGTAATTGAAGTGTAATCATTTTCAGCCTATGCCTGCTGGTCACTATCGTGTGCTGGTCACTACCACTTTTTCAATGTCGTTTTACTGCAATATGTATTAGTATAATTGCAACTGGATGTGAAGTAAAACCATTATGATTTCAGATTAAAACAACTGCAAACGTAACTTTAAATATATTTTAAATTGAAATTTAAAATCACAATTGATTCCTTGTTACAGCCGAAAGCAAAATATCGTGTCTCTCGCACTATGACAGATCCTGGGAACGATTCCAGTGGTTCCAGCGAGAATATTCGTAACGCTGTATCACTTGAAGACCTTCAGGAGGATTGTAATGAGGAACTCGCAATGAGAAAGATAGTCTCTCTGTCGCTAGGTGATGGTTTAGATAACGATGCTCCACCTCCACCGTTGCCACCAAGACGAACGTCCGTCCAGCCACAGACCTCCCCAAAAAGAGGTACAAAACGTGAGCTATATTCTTCATAGTAATCACTTGACAAAGGCTATTAGTATTTTTGCACAAGTGAATATAACAAATCCTACATTCTGATTTTTCAATAAAATAATACTTAATAATTTAATAATAATTTTTCAATAAAAGAATAGCGACCTATATAATGAAAATTAGCCAGTTCTACGATTAGAGTTCTTTTGGACAGAGACAATTCAAAAAGATTGTCCTTTGTAAATATTGAACCCTAAGTTAAAGGCAAGATTCTAGGCGCACCGAGCATTATGTCAAATCACAAATACCGCAAAAATTTAGCCTTTTTTGGGGACATCCTGTAGAGGATGTGTAAAATATAGGAATATTAGCTTTTGAATGACGAATGTTATTGGATATTCGCTTTCTATTCGATCACAAAAGATCAAACATCATGAATATTTAGTGTTGCGGTTTTTATAAAACACCTTCGCTGTGGAGGTCAACTATTTTTGAAGAGCTGTAAGCATTTTTATTCACATCAATAAGAATCGAGTAAAGAAATACAAAAATACCCTTACCATTTCACCAGTGGCCCCATGCATGTGGACCTTAGGGAAGTTGAGAGTACTAGCAAAGATTTCTTGACTATGATTCCGTGCATTTAAGGAATGGCTACCAGTAGATTTATTAAATGTTTTTATTGTTGCAGCGTCAAACGAAAATGAAAGATTGTTTGGTAGCCCTGATTCACCGAGAGTCGAGCCCCGTCAATCAAGTGAGGTATGTATGAATAACGACATTATATCATGTATACTGTGGCCATGTTTACACTATGAAATTTATGGCCATGTTTCGTTATGAACTTTATTTACCCTCTGCCAGAGAGATCAATGACACACACCACCCCACCCCCTTCCAAGTGAATCCAACCCTGGCCCCATGGACCTAAAGCGTCCAGACGGGACCCTGATATATATATATATATATATATATATATATATATATATATATATATATATATATATATATATATATAACAAATGGAGCACGTGATCATCATGTTCTATAATTTCTTGTTGTCTAGATAAATATTCGCTATGGATATAAAGTCTCTAAATATGAGATTTTCCTTAAAGATCGAAAGAAAACTTCTATATAACTTAATAATTCTATAGCCTTAATTCGAGTAGTGTGAATAAAATGATAAACTTCATTTAGTTGAAATGTTGTTAATTTAACGTAATCAGTAACACAAGGTTGCGTAGCAATCCTAAATGAACCTTAAATTGTAAATGAATCCGGCCATAAAAAGGTTTTTTAACGATTAATTTAGTTTACATTTATTTCGCTTTAATATAAATATTTTATGAACTTCTCACCTTTGATTTATAAAAATGTTCACCATTATTGGAATTGTCGGCTGGTATTTGAATTCTATGTAATTACAGAAAGAAACCTAAACTTACTAAAATGTTTATTGAATCCTAAATTAATCTAACTAGTCTATTTATTTACAACTTTATATAATGATATAACTTCTTTGTTTACTCTCAATGGCACTTATGACGGATCAGAAAAGATCATCTGTTAATGATCCGGTTTTACAACAGGATGAACCTTAACCAAGCTATAATTTAATTTTTACTGCAAAGATGCATGATGATTAGAAATTATAGCCATGCACTGATTGGTCGAGTGACCACAATTTTTTCAAAATGGAGTTGTTTTGTCAGTGACAGATGAAGAAATAAGTAACTTTGAAGATAATACTGTACCTAAAGGCACAAAAGAAACAAAACACGTCTATCTTAATCCCCCGTTAAATTGAAATGAGAATAATCAAATAAACTCTTATGATAGAAACTGCTTTACCAAACTGCTTTATCGCCTTGCCGGTGTTTCATAAACATAAACTGTCCATACCAATTGACCATAACAAAAAAGATGGCGAAAGTACATTTTACCAGAATGCATTGCGGTCGGAAATCGTTTAAAAAAGCGAACTGACGTCTTTTAAAGGACAGGCATAAAACAGGAAGTTATTTTCTTCGCTGTGTTAAAATTTCACGTAATTAGGTGTTTTTCTTGCCATCTTGTTTCAGTCAGTCATTCTTAATGCCTGCAATGCATACTGATAAAAAAGGTACATGACGCCATCTTTTTCGTTACGGTCAATTGCAGTAATTCATTCTCAGAAGCGCAGAAGATGCACGCTTTCCCGCAGCATTTTTATCCCACCCTTTCTCCCTGCCGCCCTAGTATAGCGGTTAAAATCTTGTCTTGTACTGCACTATATTGTAATGTGACTGTGACTTTCAGGGCACTCAACGCACGCTTCCGAACGTGGTGGCTCTTCAGAATGGAAGTCCAAAACCACCTCTTGCAGCAAAGCGAAGCTTGGACATGAAACGAGCGGACTTTCAAGCCAGAAAACCAATCTATAGTACACACGTAGGCGAGTAATAAACGTATCCCGAGTATTCATTTTAGATCGGGATTAATGTGTTAATAATATAGGGATGGGGCGATAATCAATCCAATAATTTTAGATCACATTGGATCCCTTGGGAATATTCTCTTGCAAGTCACCCTTTTATATCAAACCATTCTTACTATATCAAACAAATGCACTTTCCCATGCAACTGAAAATGTAGTTCACAGCACCTCTTCTTCTAAATATTTACACACATACGGTTATCCCTGTAATAAGGTTTTGAATATTATTAAGAAATGTGTGTGCTGTCGTGAACTATAATACAACTTATTTTGAGCAAAAACGATTAAAGTTGTTTCCTATGTAGAAACAATGTCGCTACCGGTGTTTCGCCAAAGGCTCGAAATTTCTTCACCGAATAGTGATAGGTTCAGTTTGTTATAGAACCCGACGTTTCGGATCAGGTATTTCAGCTCAAAACTCAACTTTTTTAGCAGCAGGACTACATTAGCGATGTTATTTGCTTCATAATCTGACGGCGAATTTAAACTGCAAGTGGTTTGACTAATGTTAGGAAAACTCGGGGTTGCTATCCAGTTCATTGAGATCAGTGTTTTAAAATTATGAACGGATCAATCCCCCAACCAGTTCCTTCGCTAAACAAAAAGCTATATTTAATGAGTTAAGTATAATGTAGTAAAATTGTATCAATGTAATTCCTAGAATGCAAAGCCAAATTTCAGTGAAATGGCAACTATTGAATAGCAAATATGTACACGTGGTGTCCCAAAAAACTTACCTCATACAGTCTTTTTTTTCCATATGTAGTGCATATCTCAGATTATTTTACTCCATGCATGTAATACAACAACCTATGCAATCACTTTATTTTTTGTTTTGTATCAAATTTTAACAGAATGCTGACCAAAATTCTGATGTGTTGACCATTTTCAAAAGCATTTTCATGTTATTTTCCTAACTGACGTTATTTTTCAATAGATTATTATATAAATCCGTCAATTTATGAATGCATGCATGTGAGGAACGACATACTTCAGCGAATTTCAGAACCCTTGTCAGCTTGAATTATTCTAATGAGCTCGATCAATTTAGTATTGTATCAAAATATAAACCTCCTTTATCATAACTAAAATAAGTCTTACAAAATAGCGCAAAATGCGGTACAGTTTTTTGGGAAGCCCGGTATATAGTATATAGCTATTAGTAATTACTCTAGCTTGCATGTCTAAGGTATAGAGTTGTGTAGAAGCAATAGTCAGCTATATTTGTAATAAATTAAGACCGATGTTATCAATGCGATTATCATGGTAATAATTGATATTGAAGGATATAGCCTTGAGATTATTACAAAGCCTGTTTTCTCTGATCAAAACTGGAGGCGGATGGTAAGCCCTGATTCCACGGGCAAAATTTTTATACGCAAAATGTAAAATACTTCGCCTGCTCCTTTTGAGTTGTGAGCAATCAAGCAGAAGTAATTTACTCAAGTAGTCACAATTCAGAAGAAAGAGGCGAAATTTTTCGCACTTCGCCGAGAAAAAGCGCCCGTGGAATCAGCCCCTTGGAACTAGCAGGCTCGGCCGCCTCGGCTAGTTACGAGATCCGTCTCGATAAGCGTGGGGTATCTCTATATCCCGTTCCGGCCACTTGCCTCCGTATTCTAACATATAAAAATGTTTGTAAGATACAAAAGCTTTTATTGTGACAAAAAGAACAATCTAGGAAAAGATAGTTCCCTTTTACTACTTTAGAGGTTCTGTTCTTTGTGTTTTGTATTCACACAACGGTCATAAACATGAACGTCTATACATAAACAACCCTTTGTGGATGAATGAATCAAACCACTTAGCTTTTAAATTACCGGAGAGTTGGCTTTATATAAATACCCTTTCACACAGCGCCAAAATTCCAAATATGCTGCCATTTTTGGGGTACTATTTTTAAAAATTGCGACGCAACGATAAATTAAAGGTAAATTTATAGGTAAGTATAAAAAAAACGCTTGCATGAGACAACCTATCAAAATGTAATAGCGGGTAAGTTTTTTAAATAGATTTAAATTGAACTACTTCCATGACTAAACAAAGTAAAATTTGTTTTGTAAACAGCGGCTGTTTCCGTCACGTCTGTGTCTTAGATGAGTAGATTGCACAATGAATTTAAAACAGGGTTTGGGGAAAAACGTGATGTTTCGTATCCATGGCAATTTAAAACAAATATTCTACGCGTCAAGTATTAAAAGAAGCAGACTTAACAAAACTGCGAGTTTTTGTCATAGAAATACATATTAAATTCTGTAATTTTTGCTTCTTGCCGGATTTTAGGGAAAGCTATTCTGTCCAAAAAAAACGGCGTTTTTTTTACAACCTCGTGAATCTTTGAGCGTGACATCGTGAAGCAGCATCAACCGTCCGTGCACTGATGCTACTTGTCGCACCCCCTCATATCCCTGTGTACGTCAGGTTATGACGTTTCAAGAGCCTCACCACTTTGAGCTTCACGTCCTTCTAAACTACTTGTGATTGTGAGGATCTTTTTATTCAGTTATAGAAACTTTGTACTAACCTTGGACCCCTAGTTTGTATATTGGAATATTCTTTGAGAGCATAAACGACGGGGGAAGATTATATCTGTTCTTCGATGGTGTGACGTAGCTCTCAACCCTTGCGTCTGAAAGTAGCCTAGTTTTAAGTCTCATGGTTCGCGACTTTGATTATCTCGTCTGGAACAACCAAGTTCGTTAGGGGGGGAGGAGGCTTCAGCACATGAGCACAACATTGTTTAGCCCAGTTTTTATCAAACGGGAACAACTTGTGCCTTTCGCGGTGGAATGGCAATCACTTCATGTGATTTAATCAGTGGATTTAATACATTAATATTAGTACTTCATGTATTTCAAGGCAAAACAATAAGTGCCATGCATAAAGTAAAAGAGGGATGTGCTCACTTAAAACAAGTGCTCATTCGATGCTTACGTTATTGCTCTTGTTATTCTTTTGGTCAATTATTTCTAATTTACTTCAAGGAAGTAAAAATCTCTGCTATAATTTGGTTGCTAGAAATTATACATTTTCTATGCGATATCTATCATACTATTAAATGCATTGTCATTGCATGGGTTCCCATTTAAAGTAAACCTTTGTAATTTTAGAAACGGGGTTCTTTTTGCTTAAACTTACAGGAAATTAGTTTAGACGTGTTTAGTTTCCTCAATCATGCATATTGTCATGCTGTTAATTTAAATTTGCAAACACAATCGATTGCGCGATTAGCAATATGCAAATGGCAACAAAAACCGCACGTAATGCCAGGAAACACTTCATTGTAAGCAGTCTTGCAATATACAGCAGTCAAAGGATTTCTGAAAGAGACGAAATAGCGTTGCTTGGTAGCGCCGCAGATAACGAATTTCGTGCAATCTATTCAAAGGCAAACAGAGTCATTGTCGAACATTCGCACAAGTGGGACGCATCAGAAAGATCGTCAAGCCTAACTGGAAAGCTCTACAAAGGATAGTTGACTATATGGGTCTATACGAGGCGTTTCGCGACAAACCTTCGGCAACAAGATATGGGGAAATTCATCCCACAGCAAAATTCGACGTATTACATGCCACACTTATCTATATTTTTTGTGCTTTTGGTTTTTCATTTCTTATCCTGCTACCGGGGTATATGCTGAAGGAGGTAGGATTTTTTCCCAGCTCTATTCACTGTCTTGTTGCAGAGCTAGAGAAGTATAGATAGAGGTGATGATCAATCACCTGTTCATTTCAACTAGCGACAGTATTGGAATATAATTGCATGCACACAGTCATATGCAGTAGTCGCAGCAAATAAAAGATCATGAAGTCTAAAAGAAGCGTCTTAATTATCATTTTCAGTCTATTAATAATTTTGTAAGAATTAATTTTTTTTTCTTAGCATTTTCGAGTGCTCTTTACAAATTATAAAATACCTCAAAATTATAATTGCATCGCAAGTTTTAAGGAAAATGGCATAGTGTAACAGCGCCTTGAAGTCCACCAACAACATGAAATATCGCCGACTAATGCCCCACTACTACGCTACAAGGTTTGGTACGGACGAAATTGGTACGGATTTTGATAGCTAACTGAGTTAAGCGATCACCTGGCATGTTCTGTATAAAATATTTCCGCAAAATAAAACATACGTAAGGCGTAACTGTCACATGCTATGCAGGAATTGTAACGGCCCAACGTAAGGGTTGAATTTTCCCATTTGAAAACCATCCGGTCTGTGGAGTATGTATTTCAGTCATTGACATTGTCTACCTACTTACCGACACCACTACCGAATCAAAAATTGATCACAAAGAAAATGAACAAATTTCTACAATTTCAAGACTGATTACTTCAGCCCGACTTCAGTCTGTCCTAAATAAAAACGTTGGGGCATCTTCAGAAACGACCCGTCAAAACTAAATCCGAGTCACGCGAGGTCAAACAAAAGTTTTTGGTTAAAATTTACGGATATATGTAAACTACGCCAGGTTTCTATAGAGAACCGTCAGGCATGCTTATAATGAAACCCCGTTAGATATTTATACGAAAACGTTAGCAATATTCACATCCGCCAAACAATTCATCGGAAAAAGCGAAATGTCAAACAACGATTTGCATATGACTAAAGCTAAAAGCTTTAAAGCTCAATAAGGAAACCAAGCTATTCCATGCATATCGAAATGAAAAAGTTATTTCTAAGACGCACCAGTGCCAGTGGCAGTATATAGCTGTTTTATATCATTATTCCTTTCTTAGTTACTTCGCGGTTTGTCGGCAAATTCATTTTTCCGATGAGGTATAAAGGTGAATCAGATATACCGAATTATCAGAACAATTGGAATTCGATAGAATAATTGACTAAATTATATTTTCTAATTAATCTTATGATGCAAAAAAAAATTTATGTAGATTTTGCATCAATGTATAATTTGGTCAGTATCAGTTTAGAGACTTCGCAGAGTATTTTTTTCGACACGCCTAGGCCTGGGGTTAATGCTATTATCAAGCTTTAAGACAACCCTTATCCTCGTCAAATCAGTTGCTCTTTACACCGCAAAGCATTTCCCTATTATAACCACAACTACAAGGGTATTTACGCTGAGATTATGATTATTGATGGAAGAGAATGAACTTATATAGTATTTCGCTCTGACGGTTATCTATCAAACAAATTTGTTTACTGGTAAGCTCTCGAATGAGAGCATGAAATATATTATGGAAATGCATATTCGTGCTCCTAATCAGACAATACTAAGAGTATTATGAACTCTGTGCTTTTTTTAGCTAATCATATGCATAGTTAAAAAAGAGTTTCTTTATGCTGCCAGTCCTATACTCCTATCTTTTGATCTAACTTCACAAAGATCTTTCGAAAATAAAGCTTCTTGTTGTAATTATATAATCCTCGCGAGATAACAGCATAATTTATTTAACAAACGCTCCCGCGTCGTCAAGGACATTCTTATAAAGGTTTCTCTCATAACACAAACGGCATGTCCTGTCCAGTTCGCCCCCCGAAACGTCCCTTTTCCTTAGGCTTTTGACTATCCTTCCGTAATCACCCGTGCAAGGTGTCCCGATAGATGACAATGATGATCGTTATGATATTAATTAATACCTATTTGCTAGATCAGATTGGCAGGGGCAGGTTGTAGAAGGTAGTTAACTGTTGATAATATAAATGAAGTAACTATAGTCTATACGATTTGACTATCAAAAATGTGATTAAGAGTTTTAAAAAACTGGCCCCATGCAGATGTCCATCAACTATAACTCTTATGTAGTCACCTAACTAATCAACACCGCTTTTAATTTTATAACTGTGAGGCCTAGGTCAAACGTCGCTCTCATTTTTTCATGCACCGGACCTAATGCAAATTAATGACAAAGTCTTTGTTTGATCTCATTTGCATTGGGTTCGGCGAATGAGAGGAGCAACGTTTGACCTAAGCCTAAGGCATTTCCTTTCGCTGAAAGCACGAGCCTATAAATAATATGCCAAAATTACAGTTAATGACAGTTAGACAATGACATTAAAATTCAACTTAAAACACGAAGGTTTAAAATGTTCCTCAATCTTGTTCCTAAGCCGCAAAATACTCCTTGATCTAGAAAGAGTTAACCTTATGAAGGGTTCTTTTGGTGATAGGTGATCACTAAACGATTTACTTTTTCTCTTTTTAGCGCATCTCTGTTGCAATTAGAATATTTGTTAGCCTTTTCATTGGAGCTGCTATTTTATGTAAGTAATAAAACAACTATAACTTTAACATGTGTCTCAATGGCGTTTTTTTATTCCAGCTAAAAAACTGAACATCATTTTCAATTTGGTCCTCTTATATTTATAATGATCTTAATTGTATGACCTTACAAATTTAAAAACTGTTCCATTAATACTGTCGCAATTCTTGTGTTTGCAGTCCAATACTTTTATTGTTTAATATCTAAGGTCTTTTATGACGATGAGATGTGAAACAGTTTTACAACACTACAGAGATTTCCAATTTTTGTACTACCATGAGAAGGAACCATCCATATATATTAGCTCCACATGATCACTGAAACAATTCAAAATAAGATCATATTTTCTGTATTTTTTAGTCTCAAATTATGGTATGCAATGGGAGAAAAGTTCTGTTGACACAACCACTCAATACAAAGCGTTTATGAGCCAAGAAATAAGCGCATCAGTTGGTGTTAATATTGGATTACGAGGAATTAATGTGACTTTAAAAGGTAGTAACACAGCCCTTGCCACTGTATATGCCTATATGGGTTTCGCAGATGATGCTGGAAGTATGAAGTCATTAGAGGAATATTTTTTCACTTAGGACTGCCTCTTCATCAAACGTTTGATAACAATAAGACAGTTGAGCATGTGGATTACAATGAAAAGTTTCGTTGGAACTCCCCTTGGTCACAGGGACGTTCTGGATTCGGACCACATGGTAAGCTAAACTCATGAAGGAATAAGAGCATCGTTTTGAAACGTTTTCCACCGGGAGCAATCTCTAAAGATTCTGTTTTTAATTTTTTAGCGAGTCAATTAAACAATGATTACCACACAGCTCTTGAGAGAGGTGTTCCTTATCCAATACTATTGATTGCTGAATACTTCACATTAGATGGAGAAAGTGTCCGATGGGGAAGGGGATTCCGAATGGCTGGATTCTATACGCATGCGTTGTTATGGTGGGTAGGGCTGAAAGCTTTAATTCAATAATAATAGAGCGAAAGAATATACAAAAATAACTAAGTGTTTAGGACACTGCATTTCTCCACGACAGTTAAGTTTTTAGTTAGCATAAATTCAATAAGTATTAGGGCAATAGTCCTAATCTGTGTCTGATTAATCTGTGTGTGATTTGATTAATGAGGCTTGTGTGGCCACATTTATCGAGGCTGTCATGTACACTACACAACAAAGGGCAAGATAGCAAAATGCAACCATTACTAATGTATGTTCCGTGTACAGTGTACTTATATCATTTTTTACTTCTTCATACAGGATGGGTTTCACTTTATGGGTGGTCACCAATATTCTGTTTCTGAACGTGATACGATATGGCGCTTATTTTCTCTCTCTCACTGGTGTCATCGTTCTACTAGCGAATCTCATCTACGATTCGCTACATCTTGGACCAGAACTACTCATTCCTTTTCCAGATGGCAGTTTGAATTTCACATACGGCTGGTGTTTCTGGCTCAGTTTTTCGATAGGTAGAAAAAATTACATTTTACTCTGAAAAGTTTCATCACTTACTGTGTCACTGCTAATGTTTATTCACAGCCTCGGGGGGGGACGTGCTTCCTTCGAGGTTTTTTTGCACATTCAATGTCATGATTCCACTTTCGAAAGGGTCAAACACGCGAATGCAATTATTTCCTTTCTTATCCGTTTAGGCTTTTTGTGTCTCGTACTCGGCGTATTAATCGTCGCTCTTGACTACTTTTTTCCTGGACCGGTGGCAACTTTCTTCAACATAGATATTGTAACGGAGTTTGAAGATATTGTTGAGGTCGAGGAGGATATCAGTCCTGGGGACGAACTACCTGATGCATCTTCTGATACTTCTTGCAGGGATGGAAAACACGGAGAAGGGGAGGATAGTAAGGTAGGTTGAATGGCATAGGAAGCTAGGGGCGACGAATAATATTTCGGGTATAATAATAATACCCCATAATACAGTTAGAAGAACATGTTTTGAAATTCAAACTGAGTATTTTGTATAGGTTGTAAAACATGCATACTTCATATGAACACAATCAATGTTCTTTACCCGACAGATTTCGTTGTGCAATTCCTTAAACCATACTCTTCTCAAATTAGTTTTAACCGCCCATTTCCTCGAAATCCTGCATGTATGAGATGAGCTGTGAGCAGCAACCATTTAGAAGGATTGGGCTAGGAACGTGCCCAGAAATTACGTTTCTAGCATTCTGCGAAGACATTTTGAGAAAGCTCGGCTTTTACAATTAGGAAGTTAACAACTACCTACCTTTCAAATAGAACTGCCTGCATTTTTGAAAATCATTAATTTGCAAACATGTACTAACTGTACTAAACTTACGCTTGATGAAATTCTAGAAACGTATCCACTTCGTATCTCGTTCACGTTACGCGGGTATCTCAGCCAGCTGGAGACGAAAGAAAAAACCCCTTAACCAAGTGAAGTCTTTGCCCTTCCTTCGACCGATGCCTGTTCATAATTCGGGCGTTCGCAGAGCATCTTCAGTAAAAATCAACATTGAGCAGCTACACGATAACGAGGCGTATGATGATAGCGGGGAGGACATTTCTGGCGGACCTCAAGGTTCAAAGGAAAGTGATATTCCTGGAGAAAACAGTGCAAATGAAGATCTTTCAAAAGAACATCTGGTGAGAAGTGAATCGCAGAATGACAAAGGAGAAACAACGTTGTTTTAATACACTCTTTTTGAAAATGCGACAAGAAAAGTGTGTTAAATATATTTTAAGATTTTTTGCACTTCACTCGCGATGTTGAAAACATTAACAGTTGAGAAAAATGAGTATTGCACCAGCGTGCATGATTTCCACAGTTCCACTCGAAATTAATTAGAGACTCTTAAACTCTTATGAATTAAGTATGTCTACAGTTTTTGTAATTCAACTGCCGTTATACAGCATTAAAATTGTGAATAGTTTACGTTTGTTGCTGCCGCAGCGAGCGAACCTGAAGATCTGAAGCGAGCGAGCAAGACAGAAGATCCTAATTCACAATTCGGGATGCAAATCAAAATTTGTCTTTAACGCATTGCATGACGGTACCAGTGGCAGGGACGGTTGAATGATATGCTAAATATCATCAAGATCATCATAATGAAAATTATGATTGCCATGGTAACCATCATTTATCATGAATAATATGCTAAATATGATCAAGATCATCATATCAGTGGACGGTTGAATAAATTTTTTTGGGGGGAGTGGGCGAGGGCTGAGTTCATCGTTTTGTCTAACCGGCCGTAAAATTTGCATCACCGTACCAAAAATATGAATACAGTCCATACAGGTTATACTCCAGGTTTGACATGCAAACAATAACACTTATTTACTGCGAACGAAGGAAACATTATGTTTTGTGGACTCGAGACCAGTCGATATCTCACGAGGCGAAGCCGAGTAAAATATCGATGGTCGAGGGTCCACAAAACATAATGTTTTCTGAGTTTTCGGAAAATAAGTTTTTTATTATATACCACTTGTCAAAGAAAAACCAAACTACAAGGTAAACAACGAAATATCTATTCATAAAAGACATAATTTCAAATGGATAAAAGTTGTTATTTCCCATGAGACAACACGTTATCTCACTCTGCAGGGGGTCGCGCTGGCGACATCAAAATTTCGTCACTCTCGCGTGATTCGCTCTCGACCAATGAAACGCTATGAAAACAAAACTTTGACAAGTGGTATATAATAATATTGTTTAGACATACAAGTCGCGAATATAGCGTACATTAAAATCAAATTTACTTGAGGTTGCAATTTGACGACTTTTTTGTTACATTTTTGTATACATTCTTCATGCATTGAAGTTAATAAGTGAACCAAGGCAACCAGGTTTAATTAATGAAAGTAATCACCAGTAAACACCAGTAATCACCATTCGTGAATGTGATCTTTGGGTGGTGATTACTTTCATTAATTAAACCAGAGTAGCGATAATTGCGATGGATTCTTCATGTATTTTGGGGATCGTATACCATTCCATGTTTACACTATCTTATTTATATTGAGTAAATGGCAAAATTTCCTTTAATTTGACGCATTGTATAACTATTTGGGTGCCAGTTGATTTTGAATATAAACGAAACATAATAATTTTCATCACAACAGACTCTATATCTCTATAGACATAGGGCGACACCTCACACTATGGTCTGCCAGATTAGACTGTCACCTTGGTCTGCACTAAATATTCCAAGCAATTTTATTATTCTTGTGAAAATTCGTAGCGTTTAGGAAAAATTAGCAATGCGTGCTATAAATAAACTTGCAGTAATTTCTTTTCAGTGTTAGCCTTTCCGTCGTAAAGGGCCGGGTGGTTTTTAGATCAACTGTCCTGATTCGCAAATGATGCATGACCTTTCCGTAAGGAAATTGGAGAAAGATCGGGAAAGGTTTATCAATAAAAAAGATAATGAATATATAGACAGAATTTAGCCGACAAACCATACTCGTTTAAAAACAGACATCACTGACATGGACACCATAATCCATATACACGCTTAGCACAATAGCCCATGCACCATTTTGTAGTTTTTCCTTTTGCAAAAATTAACAATGCATGCAATAAATATATAAAAATTATATTCATGCATGTAGCTATATTCTTTCTGTATTGCTGTTTCCGTCGTAACGTATAAGCACTCATGGTTGCAGTTTTTAGACTGTCTGATTCTCTACAAACGCGCACGCAATGTTTACCCTCGATCTCGTGCAATCAATGACCCGGCTTGATTACAAATAGAGGACGAATATTCTTAAACGTATCATTCAACCAAAAATACTGAAGAGTGAAGAAACATTTGAAACTACTGCACAATAACGTATAAACTCGTGTATACTGAGGTATATGTCGTCCTAAATCATAATGTTTACGCATTGTTTCATGCAGTCTATCTTGTACAGTCTTTAATTTCATAATTATTATATTCTTTAGCATCAACAACAATGAAATTTGCTTTTGAAGTTCTGCTGTTGCTGATTGTTTGTACAACATTGTTATCAGCAAAACCTCACTATGAAATTGAGGAAGGACGCGGTGAGGTAAGAGTCGACGACATTACTTGGCCTTGGCTTAATTTGTATAATACACAAAGGACAACGGTTAAAAACACGGTTTAAAAACTTGTTAGCTTAGTCTTATATAGCTGCATTTTCAGTAGTTTAAATTACCCAATGCCTCATGCCTGCATGACAGCAACGGACACAAAAAGAACAAGCATGCTCTCAAGTCTTTTTTAACAATCTATATCTTGCATGCCTGACTATATATAATGGCGCGCAAATAGCAGGTTGAAAGTTTATATTTCTCTTTAACAGAGTGAAAAGGACCAGAGAAGTGTTCAGAATTGTTCTGGTGGGTGTCCATCAGGACAAGAATGGTGAGGAAAAATGAGATAGTCTGTAATTATTCTCAAATAATTTTTTCAGTGTCTGCCTTCTCGTGTGTCATCGAAGACGTATTTTTTAAAAAAAAATTATTTTTTATATGTCTAAAAGCTGCATGTTATTGGAAGAGTTTGTCCCAACCCGCTACATGCATGTGCATGTTAAATTACTATGAAACTGATATTTCAAACATCACCAAAAATTATCGCAGTTAATTGGCGAAATTTTCCGGCTTCGGTGCCGGACAAGTGAAACGTTGAAGGGAGAAATCGACACTGAATGTCTTTATCGCCTTTTTTCCACCACGGGCATGCACAAGCAAAATCATTCAGTAAAAGCTGAAAAACGGATCATTATTATTATCAATATATAATTGTTGTTCCTAATTTCTTGTTTTTGTTATATCTATTTATTTATTTTAGTATTCCATGCTGGGGATCTGAGCCTAGTTGCCTACCAATGGGCGTGATATGTTAAATAAATTTATCATGCAAAATATACTGTATAGAGCTTTACTGTAGTCTGTATTACCATACTGTCTTACTATGCTGTATAACTATTATAAAAAATAAAACATAAACTGATTAAGCGCTAATATACATTTGTTGTAATTCATGATGTTTGTTCTCAAAATTGTAGAAAAACCAATCGTCTCGAGATTTCAAAAACACTTGTTTGTACACAAATTGTGTACAAAATTAGCTTGTGCATAAAATCATCGAATCAAAGACAAAGGATAAAAATCGCATGTATTTATTCATATATTATTATATATGCATGCCTATGTCTATGAATATGGCGGTTAGTCAAAATATCAATATTAATCAGTTTTCAGAGTGAACTCTGTCACTAAAACTGAAAAATGTTAGTAAGATTTTAAAGCTGAATTTCACAAAACAAGAAAATTAGTATTTGCATCAGTTTTGTTGAGTATGGCCGGTTCAGTTGCAGTTTTGCCCATAAAAGTGATAAAACGGCAATGATTGATGGTATAATTAATAAATGGCCACCAAAATGAAAGAATAATCAGTTCTATAAAGCGATAAATGTATAATTGTTCGTGCTGGGTGCTGTTTTTAAAATCTTTTGTGTTTCAAACTTTTCCTTATTATAATGATTCCGGTTCTGCATGTGATGCTACCATGTCCATGTTTATCAATTATCATAAAAGATACAAAAAAATCCTCGCAAAACCAATTTTGAATTCATAAGGGAAAACTAAAAGGTGTGCTTTATTAAAGAGTATGAGCAACGAAAATGATTTTTTTTCACGTCAGGGAACTCGTCGAATAATGGAAATAATATATAGTAATGACATTCTTGATACAGCAAATAGGACATCACAAGCTGACTAGAATCTCAAAACATTATAAAATATCACTCAGTTAAATCATGTCGCATTTACATCATTAATGAAATATATGGTAGTAACATCAAAGTTGTTATGTTGGTTGTTATACACAAGGGCCAAAGCAAGTGAACATGATTTCAAACACACTGTCGATGAGTCTTTCAATCTGTCATATAACCGATATAAGTCAATGAAGAAAGTGTAATGATGCTAAATGTACATAAAATACGATGTGTCGGGCTAAATCTGTCCCATTTATTGTAATAGATTCTAGATAGTTCTGGATGTTATATAAATATCAAACAGTTCTACCTCGCTACCATGCATGCAAGCGTTGTGGTTGTTGACCAGATGCAGTTTTTTCCTCCACTCCAGCTTGCGATATCATCCCGTCATTGACTATAGAACATATAAACACATCACTAAACCCAATCACCTAACAAAAATACAACGACAACATCGTGTTCATACATTTTATCCTTCCATACACATTTTGCAGTATTTCATTTAGGAAAAATTAGCAATGCGTGCTATAAATATACTTGCAGTCATTCCTTACGATTTTTGGCACTCTTGTGATTTTCGAGTGGAATTATACACACTTCAAATTCAACTGTTCCCGGCTTGAATTGGAGTAATTTCTGTTTTATATATTCGTTTTGTATTACGTATATATATTACGTCGTAAGGGGCTGGGTTGTTTTTAGATCAAGTTTCCTGATTCGCAAATGATGGAGAGGGAGATTGGAGAAAAATCGAGAAAGGTTTATCAATAAAAAACTGAGATAACTAAATAAATAGACAGAATTTAGCCGCGACAAACTATACTCGTTTAAAAACAGACATCACATGCATGAACACCGGCCACACTTAATTGGGCAGAATAGCCCACCATTTTGAGTGTGCAAAAATTAGGAATACATGCTATAAATATATGTATTCATCCTTTCTGTATATTACTCTTTCCGTCGTAACGCATAAGTGCATGGTTACTTTTAGACTGTCTGCATGATTGGCTACAAACACGCACGCAATGTTTTCCCTCGATCTCGTGCAATCAATGACCAGGCTTGATTATAAATAGAGGACGAATATTCTTAAACGTATCATTCAACCAAATATACTGAAGAGTGAAGAAGTGTTTGAAACTACTGCACAATAACTGATAAACTCGTCTATATCGAGGTAGGTCGTCCTATAAGTATAAATCAAAATGTTTACGCATTGTTTTATACGCTTATTTTTTTTTAAACCAGGTGGTTACTCAGCTGTCTTTCATACTTACTAATTATTATATTCTTTAGCATCAACAACAATGAAATTTGCTTTTGAAGTTCTGCTGTTGCTGATTGTTTGTACAACATTATTATCAGCAAAACCACACTATGAAATTGAGGAAGGACGTGAGGTAAGAGTCAACGACATTACTTGGCTTTGTCTTTGTATATTTGTTATCAGATAAAGGCCAAGTTCCACGGTTGAAAAACCTGTCTTAGCTGCGTGTTCAGTACGGCAAGAGCCGTAGCGATGGGGGATATTCGAAAAAAGCGTCCTATCGACCCTTTTGTATACATACACAATTCCTAAATCACAGCATTCAGTAAAATCATCAATCACACTGGAACGTATTCCATTATACATGATAGCTACAATTATATCCGAACCATATTTTAGGCAAAAGTTTACCCATAGCACCTTGTTTTTCCTCTTATTAATTATGCGAAAGGAATGATTAAAAAAATTCTGTTTTGACTCGGAATTTGTGGTCGTTACAACCGAAACGAAACGCCCCCGAAACGAAACATCCTAGTTACGGCATATCATGCAGTATAAAGTGCATGCAAGTATCCAGTTCTACCCTACGGATTTCTTTTGTAATTGCAATTTGCAATAGCTTACAATAGAAATCCGTCGAGCAGAACTGAATATATTAATATTACTCCCCCCCCCCAATTATCGTTCTACGTAGTTACGCCCTAAACAGAAGAAGGCTAGAACTTTCAGAGAGCTAGGCTAATAGCGTGTATAAAACTGAAAGTTTATTTCTCATTAACAGAATGAAAAGGACCAGAGAAGTGTTCAGAACGATTGTAGAGAGACCGGGTGTCCAATAGGAAAATACTGGTAAGGACAAATTAAATATTCCGTTATTCACAAAGATTTTTTTCCCTGCATGTATGCTGTCTGCGAGAAGTGTCATCAAAGACGTATTTCAAAAAGTGTTTATATCCTAATTTTTCTGATTAAAAACTTGGAAGAGCCCCCACTACATGTGCTAAAATTACTGATCTGATATCCCACAATAAAAACAAAACCAAATCTGAACAAATACCTTAAAAATTAGTGATATTACCGGCATTGGTGACAAGCGATGCCCTACTTGGTATCGCCTTTCCACGGGCATGCACATGCAAAATCATTTAGTAATAATCAATGCAATACTGTCTCTGTTATTTATGTATTTATTTATAGTACGTGGTGTTGGACAGACTACATGTGCATACCAGTTAATGCCATGTGTTAACTGATTACGTCCTTCTCTTCAGTATGTTAAAAATATTCACTATGGTCTATGTTGTCAAAATAGTTTTAATAGTTGAATATGGTCACTAATGCCGTCTATCTTTCATCAATAAAACAGAGAGTTTAACTTTTGCGTGTGTGTAATTTGGTGAAGTAGCTACGACTACTTACGAGGCTTAGACGCCAAAAGAAATAGACGGGTTTAGGGGAGTTTAAAGAATCAACACACCATTTATACAGAGTAAATTTAAATTTGCCTAAAATTAAAAAAGGACGCCGTTGCAATGTTTTACACTAAATAGCGGGAAATTCGTCAGCGTATTTGACGCAAAAAATTCCGCTGGTGGAAAACCGGCTTTATCGGTTCCGTGTGAACGATTGATTATGATTGATTGATTATTATTAAGATACTTGAATGGCAGTTCAAAAACGAACTGAAAAACACAAGTTTACAAGTATCAGAAAGGTAAGACTATTTACATATTTAGAGTGATAAAATACTCAGGAATACAATTACTAACATGATAATACCATAATTACAAAAAGATATTAAAGATTAAAATGAGTTCCATTTACGTATGCAATACGGCAAAAAGCGAACAAGGCGGCACCGCGCGGCTGAATTTCGTTCGTTCACAAATTTGTCCGGTCCCGTAGTCTTAAGGCGGATTCCACTTACAGCGAAATCTTTCGCTAGCGAAATATTTGCATATTTTCTTTTGAATTGAGAACAGTCAAGTCGCCCTAATTTATTTATGCTGTTAAAATTCATTAACGTTCTAACGGATCCTAAGGCTCACATCAGTACGATAGCACACCAGCTCTTACACTATATTTTTGCCCCCTGCCGATCGGTAGGGATGGAGACGGTATCCGAGCGAAACGATCGGGCTAGGGGTGAAACGGTGTTTCTTTTGAGTTTGCTGTTTTCGGCGCAGATAATAACTCTACGAACCATGCTATTTTAACGGTACCTCCTCCATCCCGTGATCAACTGTCACACGTGAGTCACTGAAGTGAAACCGTGGAATAAACGATACGAACATCAAAGTACACACACACACAAAAAGAAGAAAAATACCTGTAAATGTGGCGATCATTAATGAATTTACCTTTACCCCAAACACCAATTCAACGACCAAAACGGGTGTGAAAAGAACTGTGCTTAATCCTGCAAAACAAACTAACAAAAAAAACCCAGCGAGATTAATAAGACGCTTCTCCCGTAGAGTTCACAACATCGCGTGAAGTCGTTAGGGAAAAGGGAGGGATGGGTCACGCAAGCAACTAACAACTAGATCAGGGAAACTGGGCTCATATTTATACTCACCGCGGAGGGGGCAAGTAACCGACCGGACCAGCGTCCTAAGACCCGAGACACTACGATACGAAGACCCGTATAACATTAACTTCCTTTATTATTTAATAATAAATACATAAAGAAAATATGTAAATATTTCGCTAGCGAACGATTTCGCTGTAAGTGGAAATCCGCCTTTAAAATTGCGGCAGGTTGAAGAAGTTGTGGCTGCGAGATTCACTCGCTAATATTTGGCCGGAATGCCTTTGACTATTTGTATGTGTGGAGTCCAGAGATGCCTCAGAACTCAGCTAAGAAAGGTACAAAAACCGATATGTTATGCCGAACATTAGCCGTGTTCCGACTACGAGCTTGTAGGCCTAGCTTTGAATTTTGTAGTGTACGTACTACATACACTTCGACGAGTCGAGGCTAAGGAAATTATTAGAGCAGGTGGCTCTGGTTATCCAGTGAGAAACACCTGGACACAGTGCGTTGACACTACGAAAGTCTAGTTTGTGCTAAGCATTGGCTGGCCGGGTCGTGTAAACACGGCGATTATTGACACAGGCCTAGGTTATGCAGGGTGTTTTAACAAACTTAAATGAACGGCAAATGCAATTTTTTGATATTGGAGTAGATGCCGTAGATGGATCGCTGTTGAATGACATGTACATTTGAGTTGTGCGGTACGATATGGAGAAAAAAGAGCTATAATACGAGTTCAATTATAAATTATGATGAATCGCATACTTTCTCTGCAGATTCTGTAGAAATTAAAAAGTATTGAAATTCAACGCTCATTCATTATTTGTGGCCTTGCATAGTCAATTGCTATTGTTCTAAGCATCGTTTAACAAAAGGCGGCCTCGACATGTTCGTGATTAATTGCTTTCCTCATAGCTTTTTCATAGCTTTATTATAAGCTCAAGTGAAGCACAATCTATGGAACAAGAAATTTACTCTTATGGAATTTTATAATAATAATAATAATTTTAATAATTTGTAAAGCGTTTTTCACATTAAATGATCAAGAGCGCTGTTATATTACAATATAGATATAAGTATATGACTAAAAATATATTAAAATTATGTTAAAACTAATCTACATATAGGCTAATTTAAAAAGATGGGTTTTTAGACTAGTTTTAAAAGTACTAATAGATGTAATGTCACGAACATCTTTCGGTAACTCATTCCAAAGCTAGTCTAGGGGCGGCCACGCTGAAAGTGCGATCACCAAGTGATCGCAAGGATTTACCACTTGGGAATTCTGGCAGTAAACTGCAATTCGATCGTAAAGAATAGTTTCCCTCCTTTTTAATGTTAAGTAAGTCTTTAATATAATGTGGAGCCATTCCATACAAGGCCTTAAAAGTAAGTAGTAAAAGTTTAAAATTAATCCTGAATTTGAGAGGCAGCCAATGTAGATCGTACAAAATGGGCGTAATGTTTACGCCCATTACATAATGTTTTACTCTCAGATATACCAAAAGTCTCAATATACCACCCGAGGTCGCCAAAAATATGCCACGAAATCTCGCGATATATCCAACGTTGGAACAATGTTCCCATATATTTGATACACCCTGTATAATGTTATTTATAGCGTCGACGGTTGATCGAGAAATATAATATAACATTCATCATTATATCATGAACTAAATCCTACTTTAATAACTGCAGCTAAAACTCATGCAGTTCAAATTTAGTAGTGGCGACCACGCTGTATTTAGACCGACTTCTAATGCCACGTATCTTCCGCATTGCATTCTAGTTTCGTGCGATGATGAACAATAAAAAGTTTTTAAAGTGATGAATAAATGTTGGTCCATTATTAATATTCAGTTCAGCACATGTTTTCTCAACACTGTTCGTCATTGCAGGGGGTCCGCAACTGAACACACCAATCTTACCAACCTATTTGGAAAGAAATGAAACCTTTTCTAGCATGTCTGCTGAATGTCTCCGTATTCTAGAATTGAAAACATCGTATATCATCGTTTACCTCTGGATGGTTACCTCATTATGGGAGGGCTCAAAAAATTGAGCGATACCATACAAGGACCATTGACTGAGGATGCGTCTGAAGATCAAGTACGAGCAGACACAACCAAAAATTCAGGTGCATTTGCCGAGCTGACACAAGTACTAGATGATCGAAGCCTGTCGCTTATTATCCGAGACGCAGTATAAATGATGGACGAAAGGCCCTGGGAATCCTGCATGAACATTATTTATCGAAGGGCAAACCACGTGTTATATCTCTATACACTGAACTAACCTCTCTTACGAAGTCGAGCGAAGAATTTGTTACAGATTATATGCTGCGGGCAGAGATAGCATCCACATCTCTAAAAACTACTGGGGAAACTATAACTGATAGTCAACTGATCGCGATGATCATCAAAGGATTACCTTTGGAAGCCGTACAAAGCGTTTTCTGTGGTAACGCAAAGAGACAAAGGACAATCGTTTAGCGAGTTTAAAGTCTCCTTGAGCAGTTTTGAGGAAACCTAAAAGCTCTCAGAAAAAGGCGATTGAGTCCTTGAGGACACTTGGAGTCCGACAAAGGAAAAATCGTTTGCTATGGGTGTGGAAAACCGGGACATAAAATTTCAGAATGTCGTTTACTGAGAAACCGCTGGTGCGCTGTTTGTAAAAACAACACCCCCAACACGGAAAGATGTCACAGGAAGAAGACAAGGAAACCTATGCACAAACAATATGCTTGCGACAAAATTCGTAAGAAATAATCATTATCATGATAGTGCGTGCACGATGATCAGTCATATCTTTTCAGAGTAGGTTGTGATACGAATAATATTTATTAATTAATAGTATATTAGTTGATTGTGGGGCTACAACACACATAATACATGATCTTGGCAAATTTGTTAAGTTTGACACGCAATTTAATCCTGAAAGGCACTTCATTGAGTTGGCAGACGGGAAATGGTCAAACAATTTTGCGCAGAAAAGGGGTGATGCTGAAGTGGAAATCTGTGATGTTGAAGGTAAAACACATAAGGCTCTTCTTAAAAATGCTCTTTATATTCCTTCTTACAAGCAGAATATTAAATATAATCTCACTTCTCAGTCCATGCAGCAGTTAGTAGGGGTGCCACTGCGAACTTCTCTCCTAATCATGCTATATAAATTATATATAGTTAGTCCAGATGGTATAGAATTTAAGATAGAAAAGGAAAGAAAGTTATGTTACTTGAACAGCGTAATCTCATCTGACATGTCAAAACAGGCTAGCAAGTCTAAGTCTTTGAAAGATTGGCATAAAATTTTAGGACACTGTAATCTCAATGATGTTCTAGCTTTGGAAAGTGTAATTTGAAGGCGTGAAAAGAAAGAGTTTGATTGCGGAACATGTGTGGAAGGAAAGATGACCCAAAATAGGAGCAGAAAGCCAGACAGGAGACGGCTAGTAATATTCTGGAGTTAGTTCACTGTGATTTAGTTGGCCCTATAGACCCTATAGCAAGAGAAGGTTACCGGCTTACTTGTGCTCTAAAATGAGCAATCAAAGTTCAAAAATTTGAAGAACATGCATATGCAACTTCATATGAACACAATCAAAGTTCTTTACCCGACTGATTTCGTTGTGCAATTCCTTAGACCATACTCTTTTCAAATTAGTTTAACCGCCCATTTCCTCGAGATCCTGCATGTATGAGATGAGCTGTGGGCAGCAACCACAACTTTAGAAGGTTTTAGGGCTAGAAAGGTGCCCAGAAATGACATTTCTAGCATTCTGAGAAGACGTTTTTGAGAAAGCTCGGCTTTTACAATTAGGGAGTTAACAACTACCTACCTTTCAAATACATAGCAATGCGTGCTATAAATATACTTGCAGTAATTTCTTTTCAGTGTTAATCTTTCCGTCGTAAAGGGCCGGGTTGTTTTTAGATCAACTGTCCTGATTCGCAAATGATGACCTTTCCGTAAGGAGATTGGAGAAAGATCGGGAAAGGTTCATCAATAAATGAAGATAATTAATAAATATAGGCAGAATTTAGCCGCTAAACTATATACTCGTTCAAAAACAGACATCACATGCATGGACACCATGCACGCTTGGTAGAATAGCCCACCATTTTGTAGTTTTTCCTTTTGCAAAAATTGGCAATGCATGCAATACATATATATATATATACTCATGTAGCTATATTCTTTCTGTGTTACTCTTTCCGTCGTAACGTATAAGTGCATGGTTGCTTTTAGACTGTCTGATTCGCTAGAAACACGCACGCAATGCTTACCCTCGATCTCGTGCAATCAATGACCCGGCTTGATTACAAATATAGAGGACGAATATTCTTAAACGTATCATTATTAAACCAAAAATACTGAAGGGTGAAGAAGTATTTGAAACTACTGCACAATAACGTATAAACTCGTGTATATTGAGGTAGGTCGTCCTAAATCATAATGTTTACGCATTGTTTCATGCAGTCTATCTTATACAGTCTTTAATTTCGTAATTATTATATTCTTTAGCATCAAGAACAATGAAATTTGCTTTTGAAGTTCTGCTGTTGCTGATTGTTTGTACAACATTATTATCAGCCAAACCACACTATGAAATTGAGGAAGGACGCGGTGAGGTAAGAGTCAACGACATTTCTTAACTTTGTATAATGTTATCAGATAAAGGCCAAGTTCCACGGTTTGAAAACCAGTCCTGTCTTATTAGCTGCATGTTCAGTAGTCTAAAAACTCTATATATACCCAACGCCTGCATGTCTCAAGTCTTCTTTTAATAATTTATCTTGCATGCCTGCTTATATAATACGGAGCTTTAGCAGTGACTCTGTGGCAGTGACTACGAGTACGACTACGACTGTGTCACAGAGTAAGTAATAGATATCTATTATTAAAGAGCTTTAGATTTGACTATACGGCTCCCGCTACGGCTACCAGATTCGTCACTGTGGCGCGAAACAAACGTATGCATACGCCATCTCGTGCTGGCATGATAAACCACTGCAAACCATAGGCAGCCCAATGGCGTTATGGTTTTATTTGATTTAAAAATGTACACTTTGATGAAATTCACACATATATATTTCATTTATTTACATGCTAATATACTTAAATCCTGTCACTTATACAACGGGCGACTTGCGTGTCAAGTGGCGACAAATGTGTGAATTTCATCAAAGTGTACATTTTAAAATCAAATAAAACCATTCGCCATTGGGCTGCCTATGTGCAAACACAATAACAAATGCATGTCTATCCCGTCAAATATTTCGGAAATTTTACGCCTACTATTTCGAGTACACTTAATGAAAGGCCACGGTCACGAAAAACAGTTCTTTCAAATTATTTTCTGGAAAAAGCGAGAAAATGTCAACTATTATTGCTTTCTAAGTCACGTAGTGAGGACTACGAAGTTTTCTTAAAATGCCGTAGTCAGATCAGTGAACGACGGCTACGAGTCTGTGGTGTCAGTACGAAGTAATCGGAAGTATCACGAATATCACGTCCATGTGACGAATCTCGTAGCGGTAGCGGGAGTCGTTGTCAAATCTAAAGCTCTCTATTTCCTCTGTGACCATGTGTAGTCCTCTGTGACTACGAGTACGAGATTAGTTATTCTCGCGCGTTGTTTGCTTACCCCATCAGCCAAAACTTGCCAAAACTCGTAGTCGCCGATCTTAAGCTTTTGAGTACGAGTTTTTTGATAAATTTCGTACTCGAAAGCCCAACGACTACGAGTTTTCGGTGATGGCGTAAGCAAACAACGCGCGATAATGACGAATCTCGTACTCGTATAGTCGTACTCGTATAGTCACTGCTAAAAGGCAAAGCTCCCTAATAGCGCGCAAAAAGCTGAAAGTTAATTTCTCTTTAACAGAGTGAAAAGGACCAGAGAAGTGCTCAGAATTGTTTTACTACCGGGTGTCCATCAGCACAAATCTGGTGAGGAAAAATGCGATAGTCCGTATATATTCTCAAATAATTTTTTTCGGCCTTCTCGTGAAATGTGTCGTCAAAGACGTATTTTAAAAAAGTGTTATATTCATTTTTTGTTTGGAAGCTGTGATTGAAAGAGTTTGTCCACCCTACATATGTGCATGCATGTTAAAATTACTGAACTGATATTTCAAACCACGGTCACGGGTCATGCACGCTCCACGGGCATGCACATGCAAAATCATTCAGTAAAAGCTGAAAAACGGATCATTATTAATATAATTGTTGTTCCTAATTTCTTGTTTTTGTTATCTATTTATTTATTTTAGTGCTTATTGCTTGGGAACTGAGCCTCGCTGCATACCAAAGAACGTGGTATGTTACAGTTAAATAGATTTATATATGCAAGATATGCTGTATAGCTTTAGCTACTGTAGTCTGTATTACTATACTGTCTTACTATGCTGTATAACTATTATAAGAAATAAAACGTAACTGGAATTTGATTTTTGCGAGTAACGCGGATTACTGATTAAACTGAGCGCTAATATTTGTTATACATTCGTTGTAGCTAATACATGACGCGTCTATTCTCAAATTGTAGACAAACCAATCGTCTCGAGATTTCAAAAACACTTGTTTGTACACAAATTGTGTACAAAATTAGCTTATGCATAATTAAAATCATTTGGGTTCGTTAACTTCGTTTCCGATTTCCAATGCCACGTATCAGCCGCATTGCATATCTAGTTTCGTGCGATGAAGAACAATTAAAAGTTTTCAAAGTGATGAATAAATGTTGGTCCATTATTAATATTCAGTTCAGCACATGTTTTCTCAACACTGTTCGTCATTGCAGGGGGTCCGCAACTGAACACACCAATCTTACCAACCTATTTGGAAAGAAATGAAACCTGTTCTAGCATGTCTGCTGAATGTCTCCGTAATCTAGAATTGAAAACATCGTATATTATCGTTTACCTCTGGATGAACGTCAGAAATACTTCGTAACGTTGAGTTAAAGTTCGGTCTTCCGAAATGAGTGATAGCTTGAAGGCCAGTGAAGAGAGAACGACCAGAAATCTTCTGAAAATGACGTTCGCATATGTACTACGAAATAAAAGCAAAAAGTCCCAATTACAGTATATTCGATTACAGTTCACTTTTGTTACGGTTTTTCCATTTGTAAGAAAAATGTTTTCGGTTACTGATAAGTGATCGGGGATCACGTTACCGAGTTTTAGCTTTGAGCGGGACTTCGTATTTTAAGACTAGTTGTTTATGAAATAGATAGGGCCAACATTCGAAAAGGTCCTCATCTTACCAACATTGTAGTTCGAAGGTCAAACTTTTCGTAGAACTGTGTTATAAAGATATGAACGGTCACTAATCCTGTTGTGTCTTTCTCTTCCACCTCGCGTATGATGTCCGTCAGCCATTCAAAGTGTTTCTGGGTGCGAGTCACCCATAGAAAATACACCTGGAGAACAAAATGATTGTTAATCATTCTAATAACTGCATGTCTTTCCCTTCAGAGTTGAACAATGAGTTTCCCCTTGCCTTATTCCTATTACAAAGTTGTTTACGTGTACTATACCTGCTTGCAGGCAAACGTGGACTTTATTGTTCCCTTGTGAGCAATATCTTTCAAAATTGAAGCAAAAGGAGTGACTCCAATTCCTCCTCCAACCAATACTGAGACTTCATAGCGATACCAGTCCTGATGACCCTCTCCGAATGGCCCGTCCAAATATAACTATCACAAACACAAAACTATGGATGATTTCAGAGCACTCGACAACCAAATTTTACGTTAGCGCAGTCCACTGTTGTCTACACCAGACGCAATTCAGCGACTTGGCGAGAAAGTTTGAAGCTGTACGAATCTTTTATTTCCTAAAACTTTTCAGACTTTTACGATTCGGAAGCAAAGCAGATTGGACTAGTGAAAGTGTTATATTAATTAAATTAAGTTAAATTTTACGACTTTTATCTTCCTCGAGGACTGAAATCGCATCGCGTGTCCAAATCACATTTGTTGTGTTGATTCTGTATAAATTTTTCTGTTTATCTTGGATAGTTCTAACCTTTCTTCTTTTTCAACAATCGTTGAATTATCCCCAAAAGGTAGAATAGCATTTCTTACCTTAGGGAATTTCCTATCCTGTAAGTTATCTCTGTTATAAGTACTTCTCAAATTCATCGTCCACGGGCCCACAGCGCGGATATGTAAGCTTAGATTTTCTTCATGAGGTGCAGAGGTCAATGTGAATGGGTGATACTCCGAACCTCCCAGATCAAGACAGGCGATTCGCACCCATTGACCAGATTTATAGTTGAAATTCACTGGTCGTTTGAACTGTAGATGGGTAACATCTATATCGAAAGATGTTAGTTATAGAAACTGAAGAAGTATGTCACATTTTTTCCATATTGCATGTTAGCATATATACTAACGCATTAATTGGAAGACAGTCAATTCAGAACTGCTTGATGCAAATCAAGTAATTGCATGAAGCTTTTTACAGGTCGCAGTACAAGATCCTTGCAATGCGTGTCATAAAAGGACCTTAAAGCTCTGTTCACACGGTCCAATTTTGCCGGACCCAGTTCCCTTCAGAAGTATGGAATGTATTCTGTTAATGATTAGAACCAGTACTGTATTACCTTTAGCAGATTTGTTGCACATGTACATTGCAAGTCAACTGACTGCACTCAATTTACTGGAGGACACGGCCAAAATGTGTGCCCATACCAATTTTAACCATGCTCGGGTATTTGTTTTCGTGGCCTGAACACTAATGAAATTATGTAGGCCAACTGGTATAATGGCTCATAATACTTCCTTCAGAAGTGGATTTGATCCGGCAAAATTGGATCATCTAAACAGATTTGAAGGAGAAGTACAATGCAGCTTACCTGAAGGTAGAAGCTCAGCTTTAACCACTGGGATCTCGACTTTTTTTCGCGACATACTTATCAGTTTGTCAATCGCAAACAACGCCGCTGGAGCGATGAAGAAGACGTGAAACAGAGGGGCTTGGACAAGATGAGCGCTACCGTGTATGATTGTTAGCGCATACAATGCGAAGTAGAGTTGATGCGTCCACCAGAAAAACTTGAAGACATTTCTTCGTGAATATTGAGTCGCAAAAACATACAATACGGCGATTACCACGCATAGAAACACTCCAGAAAGACCTTGGATTATTAGGAGATGTCATTAAAGGTTAATTGCACATTTACACATATGCGATTTCTCAGAACTTCGACTCATGCTGAAGGCAAGACGTATATTTAAAAATGTAAAATGTCATGAGCGTACACCCGACAGATTGCTCCTGCATAAACGTCTTTTTCATTCTTCAATTTCAGAAAATTACTGAAATACATGATAAAGTGCCCACACAAGTGAATCTAGTGATCTCAACATCGGAGAATTGTTGTATTGGGAACAGTGGCGTAGCCAGAACGATAATTGGGGGGGCCCATATTCATATATTCGTGATGCGCAGGTTTGATTTCTTTTCAAATCAATTGTCTTTACAGTCTGTTAACATGAATATATGAATATGAGCCCCCCCAATTATCGATGCTGGCTACGCCACTGATTGGGAATGTCCCTCCGGGGACATTCTATACGTGAATGTTTTACTCTGTGCATGATTGCATCGGATCGAGGTAGGATGAATATGTGATACATGACTGTCTGAACCTAACTTGAAATATTGCATCAGTAAAATTCGTACTGTATAACATTTCATACCTGTGACTGTTTGCCAGCAGTAATGAGTAAATGTTGGTAGAACGTGAGTCCTGAAAAAATATTTTAAAAAACATTTTCTAAATCAGATCGATACTTTTCAATCGATATCATGTACACAGTATATTATTATATACAAAACCAACCTGTGAAAGTCGTTTCGCAATAAACAGGTCATAGTAATTGGTGACTGGGTCGAGAAATGATAGAAGTTTATCGCATGACCAATAACATGCAAAGCTGGATAAAAGAAAATTTACAATCAATTAAGCAAAGTGAGAATTGGAATCAATGTGAGGGTTGCAATAAGCACATTTACCAAGGGCGTCAATCCATGCAAAAAATTTGGAGGAGAGCGAAATCGAAAAGACCTGTATAGTAACGGCGGAAAAGATTTTTCACAGAGAGGGAGCGTTTCAAGGAAGATTATGATTCACACTGTTTACCACTTTTCGCTTGCTGTCTGCCTAAATACCTGATTTTTATTTGAGGCAATGGGGGCAGATCTTGTCCTTCTCGTTTGCCTGGGCGTAGGACATACGCAGACGTTCATGCAAACTCGAGGTGTTACTGTTTTCCAACTCGCACCTACCTGTGAAAAATAAAGCCAAGACTGCGACATATTTATGAAATGCTATCGCAGAGTCAAAGGGTATCCAGTTCATGGCTTGCGTTTCGCGTAGGAAGGTGAGAGTGTTTCTGCTCATAGTTAATAAGAGAGTTGAAAAGGTGATTGACATTGCCGTTGCTGCCCCACGGGTTACACTAACACCATATCCTGCAACACGACGAACACCTGAGGTCTCTTTAAGAACTGAGTACTCTGTGAAAAAGCAGAACATCATAACTTAGAGATATGAATGAATATTGCAGGGCCAGTTCAAACGTTTATCCCTTTGTCTGCATGACCAGGGGCCAGTTGTATAAAAGGCTCGTTAACTTTTAACTGTAGTTAACGACAGAATTGGCCAATGACCGCCAATCAGAGTCGGGTATTTCTGAGTTAACTAAAATTTAACTATGCAAAATATAGTTAAAGACGGTTTTATACAAATTATAAAAATTCAGTTATAAAAATTATATTGTTAATATAGAAATTGTTAAAAATTGTTCACATGATGATAACCAGAAAAGGAATTTATTTAGTCAATACTCCAGGTTTGGCGGAAAGAGAACAAACACAAAGTAAATGAATTGCCAGTGAAGTTCCTATTCAATGTTCTACTAGAAATGTGTTACTTGTTTGTATAGATATTCTTTATGCACCAGTAAGGGGATAATCCCCTTCCCCATATTTACTTCTAAGGGCTATACCCCTGTTCTGCTCCCCCTGTATGGCAATAACATCATTCTCGTTATTTTTATAATTACCGGATAATCGCCACTTTCTGGTATCATTGTGACAATCTTATTTGATCAGTATAACAATACTGATCACCATCATCAACACTACTATTACTATCACCATTTCTGTCACCATCATTACTGTAATTTCAACAATAACAAATAACGCTGTTCCTCATCTTACCATACGCTGTGTGTGTGAATGCTCCAATGACCAACAACGTGTAAAAAGTGAGGATAAATATATGTTGTCTGTGGTTCTCAATATAGCGTGTTAATGTCACCCACTGTCTGATATGGTATGGAGCTAATTCAACGTTCATTTCTTGAGAAAGGGTGAAACCAGATCTGCCAGGAGATGCTGCACCTATTGGTGGAGATTTTACACCAAGCCTGTTGATAAAAATGAAGAATTTTAAAAGTGTAAGACCTATCCAGTAATATCATTCGGATCAGCGAGGAGAGGAGGTTCGTCAAGAGGTGGGGAGAAGGTTTGTCAAGAGGTGGGGGGTAACTACTTATGCATAAAGGCATCGCTACAAAATGCTACAAGAGGTAATGGTTGCCTCAAGCGGTTTACTGTACGAGTAGACACCGTAAGAAAAGGTTTCCGACCAATCCGACGATGTAGTAGGTTCTAGAAAATTTTCTCACTCGTTGAGGCAATCAATGGCAAGTACAACAAAAGCGTAGACGTGACAGATCTATTCAAGTATTAATACCTTTGACCGGTTACGATAGTTCCAAGTCGTTTTCTCGACAGAGTTTCAGTTTGTCTCTTCAAAGTGTCGATTGGCGCACTCTTGCTCTTTTTGGGTGACTTCGCGTGGGCAGCAATCGTGTCTGTTGCACCTGAGGAGTGGAATATGTTCGGTATATTTAATATTCTAGATATCTTCGAACAAATTAGGCTATGATAGACTTGGGCCGGGTCGATTATACTAAAGTCAAAGCACACCCTAATGCAGAAACGTGAACCTACCCTTAAACACGTTGTTAACCTCGAAGAGCAAACCGTCCTTTTCATCTAAATCCATCATAATGGCACAGAAATCTTCAAAACATAGAAACTGTTTTTCGTCTTCTCCCTCAAGCTTGAACATTGAATCAACGAGTTGGTCTAAGTGAGTGGGGTCCACGCTTGCACTGACGACATCCATAAATGACCTGTAACAAAATATGGGCAAAGCTCAAGGTTGGATTTATGTTAAAACTCTTCACGAGGGCATCTGCAACATACCTCTGGAAGCAAAATTTCGCCCATAGTCTATACAGCAGGGGCGGTTGTATCGAGCCTATTTAGCTTATACGGTGGATAAGTTTAAAATAGAAAGCAAGTCTAACGTTTTATTCAACAAGCGAACTAAATGTTTTTGACCTTAATAGAAAGATAGTGTCTACAAGCAAATATTCAGTGCATAATATTTAAGTTTACTGATTCCAGAGAATGTAAAAGTGTTATTTAATAGACCATTTCGATAATTACGTCACAACATTAACGTTTTAAATTTAGAACCACCATAAATGAGATGGATTTCAAGTTTTACTCTCACGAGCCACGTGCAAAGATGCAAAACATCGTTCTTCAACACATAACTAAAACGACCGGAAGCCTCGTTCTCAAGTTATGGCTTATTTCCACACTTATTATGTCAAAATGAAAGGTTCCTTTTCATGCGTGTGTCGAAGAACAATGTTTTGCATCTTCACACGTGGTTCGTGAGATCGAGTGAAACTAGAAATCCATCTTATTCCAGGTGGTTCTAAATTTATAACGATAATGTTGTAACGTAATTATCGAAAGGCTTGATACAACTGGCTCCAGCTATGTTGCTTATTTGAAATAATTAGAAATATTTCTAATTTACTTGACCGAATACAATAAAATCTTGTTGCCTAGTGCCGAACTAAAACTTACTTCATCATTCTTATAAAGGCATCTTTGTCGAGTTTTCCCTCTCCTGTCACATCGTACATGTCAAAGAAGAGCTTGAGCTTGTCTTCTGGAGTGCCTAGTGAAGTAAATAGTTGAGATTTGTAATGAATAACATCACCTTTGCATCATTATTATTAATAAATCACCATTTATCAAAGAATTATATTTCCAACTTCATACCATGGTCATTACCACAAAGTTACAGCGGCGGTTGTATTTTACCATCGTTATCACTCTAATTGTTACCTTTTGCAAAGATAAACATGATGTCAAGAAATTCTCGGAATGATATGTAACCATTACAATCTTTATCAGCCAACTGGAACATTTGCTCAACGAATGGTGAAGTTGCCTGCATGCCCAAGGCGTCCGCGAACTCCGTCTGTGACAGCTCGCATGCTAAAATCTCCTTTATTTCGTTGGCACTTAACTTGAAGTTCCGGCAGTTCTCAAAACAATCGAGATCAAATGCCTAAGCCATAAAACAAATGATAAAAAATCGGAATTTAATATAGGCAAAAATTTATCCATATGCTAGTGTGGTCCAGAAATGTGGTGGGTCTTATGTAGGTAGCATTCTATAATAAAATCATTAGAAAGACTATTCAATTTTCTTGTATGTATGTTCATTAGTTGATAAATAGTTTACTGAATGCAACCCAGATTATATTGGTGTACTCACTCTTGCAAATGCAGCTCTAAAGAATTTCTCCAGTTGTTGTTGTCTGGCCTCGCGTGTGACTGCAGTTGCAAACAGTTCCCTTCCTTTCAAATAGTGTTCTTGTACATCAAGGTTTAACGATTCTTGGGCAATGAATGATTTCAAATGCCGAACAAAGTTTTCTCGTTCTCCAACATCATTAAATGTAAGCACCTAAGACAATAATGGAGATTTGACCAATGAGGGTTGAGAAAGTCGCATGCATCTTTTGACTATTATTTCGCCTTCGTTTCACATGGTAAGAATGCTTCATTTTTACTAAACCGATAATTTCTCAGGCTTCCGGCACTTCCTTAACCCTAGAAAGTATAGAGCAATGATATTTACCAAATCATATTCTCTTTGTACTCTCAAAGATAAAACACTCTGTTCTCTATCGCTCTGTCGAACAGCTGTGACCCACGTCATATGTTTCAAGTTGATTATTCGTAAGATTTGGTTCCTTTTTGATAAAACTCTGATAAATGTTCCAGGACCAAGTCTGACACTAACTACACGAGAAGCCGTGGTGCCTTCCCACTCGATTGCTATAAAGTTGGACAAATTTAGTTAGACTCCGCCGGGTTTTATTTTAGTATTACCACTAGAGCTGGGGGAAATCTAAAAAAAAATTTAGATTATGTTAAACTGATCTTTTTGTTGTCCTGTAAAGTTCAGTATTCACTATTTGAGTATTTCCCTACTTTTAGCTCAAGAGAAAACGTAAATTACGTAACCAGATTATTAAATGGCTACAGCCAGGACCAATATTAGTACCGAGTGCTCGCTGGTGAAATAATCTAACGGGAATCATACACTATATACATGTAAAATTATTTTGAAGACAGAAAAATACCTGCGAATCTCCACTCGTCATCACAGTGAACGCTTTTTTTCATAGTTTTCTTACGTGAGAGGGATATTTGTTTTTGCACCTTGTTATTTCGATATTTAGCGAGACCTAGTAGAACACCGCCTGCAACTGTAACGAATTGAAAATCTTGTCAGACTTATCATTAGAATGGTTGAGACTTAGGATGATCTTGGACAAAATTTAAGATTAAATCGGAATATTCCTTTTTATCATTCAATCGGTAATATTCCATTTTAAGGGTTTGTAGTTAGGTAAAGGCTTATTTAGACAACACGATGAGTTGTATCAATTATCATTCTGACGAATGCAAAAGAGTGCCTGTGCCACAATCTTCATTCAATTTTGTTCAGGTTAGAATTTAGAGTGTCGCGTTTGTTCGTTCATACGTTCACACACGCCAGGGTACAAATCGTATACTACAAATGGCATGGTGTAAATGGGCCTCAATTAAGGTGTACAGATATTATAGCCTCTATATTAGCGGATTCTAGACATTGAATGACATAGATAACCCAGGCCAGATTGGTGGTATAATGAAAGCCTTGAAAGGTCCACAAAAACAGAAACATGTGAACCGTTCACTTAAAAATAAAGTTTTTGTTAATTTTCTTGCACATTTTTGGACCAAAATGTTTTTCAATTTGTTGCTGTCTATGACTTGAGAATATTTGGAATAGAAAGAACGTTCCACGTGTCAAATATATAAATGGAAATAAGCAAATATTACGGTAAGCCTGATTTGGTGATTTATATCAAATTTGCAAATGTGGTTATGTAGATGTAGTAAAAGGGCCATTAAATTCAGACAAAAGTAAAATATTAAATCAACTTTGGAGGCTCTTTCCCATGCACATTATTTACTCCCTTTTGTATCTTTTGGATTGGGTCTACCTTAATCATTTTGTCTCCCACCCAAATCACGAGTCATTAGGGCCTAGAGCAAATTGTCATTCGACCTGTCCACTAGGACTAGGACATATTTTAATTGGTCAAAAATTAAAATTACTAAACTACAATGTTGCCATATTCTATACTTTGTTGCATATGCTGTATTATGATGTATTAGATGTCCATTTCTGGTATGCTTTAATATACTTACTAAATGGTAACAATCCAACCAGGAGAAATGTCAATGCAAAAGAAACTTCACTTCCACTGAAATAGTCATATGTCTTTAATGGTTTACAGTCTTCTTTTAATGGTGACTCCTTTACTGGGCATTTTGCTGGCAAATGCAGAGCATATTTCATATTAAAGTTAAGTATTATATCAAAGACCATTTTATCAAGAGAATTTTAATGGTATCAACTATCAACTGTGAAAGTTTTGCATATATTTTATTCTATTACCTTTTGTAACAAAAAAGACATCATCTTGCAACTGGTTGTCTTTTATGTTTGTTACAGTTTTAATAACATCTTTAAATGTTGTTTTCTTAATTTTATCCACATCTTCCTTTGTGAAATGTCTAAAATGTATGAGTGGTTCAAAATGTTGAGTTGACTTTGAAGAAGTTTTATGATGGTCTTATAATTTCAAGATGACTCTGACATTTTCTGTCTGAAAAGGTGAAAAGATAATTGCTATCAACTAAATGTTGAGTTATTTAATGTTGTATATAATATATATACCCTGTTTGTTTGTAGTTCTCATACCAAAACCTATCTCCATCTCGTAATCTGAGAAATTGGTCTAAGATTATCTTTGCAAACAACTCTCCTGGTCCACTTTTTCCAGACTCCAACATTCCTCCAACCCAGATATCAATGTTGTTTATGTCGCTGTCATAAAGCTTTGAAATCCTTTCAAGCACCTGGTTTGGCATTTGATAGTAATAATGCATTGAGGCTTGATTGGCATTGCTTAATTACATTTTAGTACCATACATTCTGTCACCTAAACCTTTTGTTTTGTCAACAGAGATTTCTAAGAGAATTTCACTACCAAATTGGTCTTTTTGGTTTTGGTTTTTTTTGTTCAGTCGGGAAACGTATAACAGCCGGAGTTGATTTTATCCGATGGGAAGATGAAAACATATTCAAAAAGAGCATTTAATTTCAAAAAGAGAGAACTTTCCTGTCCTACCTTTGCAGGCACAACTTTAGTATCATTGTTAATAGCTTCGAAACTACCAACAGGATGTAAATTGAAAGCCTTTCTTGCAGTGTTGTAGTCAGGTAAACCATGATCTCTTCCACGTTGAATCGTGACTGCTGCTAGATCACGTCGTGAGTGCTCCAAGGGACCATAGGCGAATTCTGGTAAAATAAGATGCAGAAGTGATAGAACTTTTCAGTATATACGAAAGTCGAAGGTGTTCAGATGTTCCAGTTTTTCTTTGCGGACACATTGGAACGTGTAACGGATCGGGATTCCGCTATACTTCCAGTACAGCAGGCCACACCACTGGCTTATCCTGGCCTAGCTAGACTCTAAACTTAAATTTTGTAGTGTTAACAGAGTTCAAAAGAACCTGGAAAATCTAGGGCTATAAAAACAATAAACCTCGGTTTTCAGGCACAGAAGAACGTACACACACCCGGCTAAGGTCCAATTTCAAACTAGCCTATGCATGTCTAAGACAGGCCTAGACTCGTAACACATCTTCATACTACGTTTGCACGGTAAAGAATAAATTTAAAACCGTTCCGAGATTCGTCAGTTTCGATCTTTTGTTAACACTAGAACTACAGAACGGAACAAATTTGAAACCACCTGGCCCTAACAGAGGTGAAATACCGTGTATTACACTCCAAAAAAACGAGAGAGCGGGTTTTAAACAGTCCGTTTAAACAGGTTGAAGAGGAGTAAACGTAACCTTATAATTACAGTGGATGTTAATGCAGGACACACGTACTTTGTAGATCTTCAACAAAAATACTGTCTTCCCTCTCTGCTTTTTGATTAACCATTCCATAAAGTATTGGTTTCACATGATCGCTGTCTTTTTTGTCCTCCATTTGAATGACTTCCTACAAAGATTCAATAAAAACGAACGTCGTCCATTAATGCGACCAGCAAGCAGGAGAAGGCACTTGTCACAAGCTCATGCAACGAGAAATCACCTCAGAATTCCAATATTTATTGCACAGTCGCCAACGGTTGTATTTATTTCCAGAATAGTCACAGTCGCCAGGGTATCTAAAAAGTGTTTAAGTTTGTTTCAATTACAGAAATGTGTTCTTGGTGAGAAACGTGAGTATATAGGCGGGTATAGATAACTGCATGGTTTTGTTTGTCTTTCTTGAAATGGGGCGGTGTAACACTGTAGCTGTATTGGATATTTATATTTTAAAAGTTGTGTAAGTCGTATAGCTAGACTGAAAAACGTAGTCGTAGGCAAGGATTTTACCGGCTTTTCTAAAGTTTTAGCGCAATAGTTTGATATATAAGCTGGCGAAACTTACATCTTTACAATATCCGATGGCACCATGGTTTCGGCAAAACGCATCGCAGCTGACTGAAACATATGGCTGACTCCTGGATGAACCGAGTTCTTGTAACCTGTACAAAGATATTTCATTCAAATGTGATTACGGTCTAAAAAATATGCAAGAAAAAACCTCTCGACATTTCAGCAAAGCATTTCTTCATATACTATAACTTTCCTGGCGAGGAAAATTTTCCCATGCATGCTTCGGCCCTGCTAAGAAGGCTCCGAAATGATGAGATAGAAATGAATGGGGAGAAAACAATGCCTATGGAGAAGAAGCTCCTCAAAAACTTTTCTAAATTTATCTGCAAGGCCATAGGCTTTTATATTTAGTTCGAAACCTCGACGAATTTTTGTAGCACAGAGTTTTGGCATTTGCTTACTGAACTACATTTGATGAGATATGAAATATAAGCAGCATGAAAAATATGATTGGGCACCGGCAATCGTGGGTGACTTGTGGGTTAAACGTACTAGGAAAATTTCACTATAAGAGAGTCCTCCTTTCGTACCTTTGTAGGGGTAGTCTTTCTGTAATGTTTCGTTGGTATGTCTTGGGCTTAAGAATGCTGGCAGCCATTCATAGAGAACTATGTGCTAAAATAGATCATATGATGGTGTTATGACAATGATAACCATGCTGTAGTAGTGTAGTACCCCTCCAGTACTAACAAGCTTCAAGCTTTATTCTATTTAGTTTTCACGCTTGTAAACACGTCATGTTAACACATGTAGTTGTGTGTTGCAGTGTTCCGGCCTTAAAAACGGTCATGCAAATATTTTCTACAAACAGACTGTGGCGGAGAAAGTGAGAAGACCTTAGTATTTTTAACAAGCAAACATAATGTCACTTGTTTATGGAGTTATTCCATACTATTTCCAGTCTTCATTGAGGCTGGTTCCTTTCTTTAAAACACTGATCCGTACCTGATAAGTTGCAATGACCCATTTTCGTGCCTCGTTGAATATTTTATCGTCATTCCAGTCAGGATGTTTCGTCTTTATGTCGTCTGCCATTCTGTTATGATAACGAAACCACAATATTCCGAGGGAAAGTAAGAATGGATTCTCGTTGCCTCTGTGGTTGCCCAGTTCTAAATATATAAAAATGTTCTGTAATGCTTCTGTGGTTACTAGACAGCGTAGGATACAGTCTTACTTAGACTTTCACTCGAGCATATATGTATATAGGACACTAATGATCTGTGGTAAATTGTTATATGAATCATATAGAATGAATATTCCAAACATCATAGTTAAGTGCAGTGCTTCTTAGTCCGGTGTTCTTCAATCTTGCATAATAAACTGTGATTTGTGTGTGTGTGTGATTTTTACATGCAAATATACCTGCGTGGAACTAATGGTGACCTATTCTGGGGTTTTTTACAGTGTTCTTACTTAACAATCTTTTTGCATCCTTTATCTTATGAATAGATGGTATAGCAGGATTACTCATTGGCAATCCCATGCTATTTTCCATTGGCCAGTCGCCCATTTTGTTTGCTGTTAATTTTCCATCTTTTAAACTACGTAAGCTGTCTGTCCACGCCTTCGATGTTCCGTAAATCGCACCACCGTCTAGCCATGGCGTGGCTTCGTTGATCTGATTAAGAGATTAAATTTAGTTTATAGCTACTTTCCCCCACTGTTTCCAGTGTGAAAAATTCTTTAAATCGTATGATTAAGCTTAGGATTGCATTTGAGATCTGGATTATGGTCGGTTTTATAGCAGGTTAGTTTCGGTGATTAGATTATGATATTGGTGGTTAATTGATATAAAAGTTAATCCAATCCTTACCTGTTGTCTCGGTGTATTTGGTGATTGTCCACTATCGGAGTGATAGTTTGATCGAGAGAATGGAATGTATTCATAATCATACTTCTTTTTGCCTTTTGGAACATGGATGTTCATGTACTCTGGGGGACATCCTGGCTGACTGGTGTCCACGATCTCGTGAGCAACATGTTGAGCTATACATTAGAAAGATGAAAAATAGAAAGATGATTTCGGTAATGATGCAGTCCCATCATTGATAGTTTTTTTTTCATTCATTGGTTGATTGAGTATCATTGATTGACGTGCACGTTATAAAACAAGTTAATTAAAATATAATTATATTTATACTGTATATGAAAACCACTCACCAAAAAAGACCATCATTACAGAAGCATTACGGAATGATTTTCGTGATCTGGTGGCGTCATCTGACATCAACGTGCTACTAATCATTAGGGGATTGGGGCGATCTGCTCCTGAGGGTTGGTAGACACCATCTTCGTAAACAGGAGGAGATACTCTTGACAGAGGGGAGCCTTGAAATTATAGTAAAAAAATGCTTTATTAGAAGATGTAGATAGACCACGCATCCTAAATCATCACAGACTGTTCATCGGCTAAGTTACAGCTGCCATAAAGAATTTAGAATTTAAGAACAGCGGCATAAGTATAAAGTATTCTCCTGAAGGTGATTGTATGATGGTGTTACACTTTGGAATGTTGAGTATTAAAATCTTAACGATTTACGGGTTTTCTGCTTCTATGCTGTATTGCCATGGTTCATAGAAGAATTTATGCTGGTCAAAAATCAGTCTTTGTGCAAAAATCCGTCTTTTAGCAGTTTTGCAAAAATACGATATCAATTGCTAATTCGTTTCCAGAACCATTGCCCGTATGCGCAAAGTCGCTTGATCATATATTTTCATCTTGGTCTTAGAATTGATTAATCGTCGGTAGTATTCTACACTAGTTTTCGCGGGTCAGAAGTGTTCATTGTAAAGTCTTATTTACTTGTCGTTCACCATTGAAGCTGTGTATGGTTGGATGTTGTTAATATGGAAATGCAACACTCATTTACCATGAAATGATTGTGTTTTTGACTAAATGCCAAAAAAGCGAAAAAAACTTGGTTATATTGCTCTGAAAAGCGACAGTACCTAGTTCAAAAGACTCAGATTTTGAAAATACTCTTTGCTTGTATAACTTTGGTGCTTGAAGCATCCGGTAGATGAACTGCACGCTATTGTCTCCGAATTGATATAGTGTATATATAATTTTGTTCAGAGAGATTTCCTCTCGCTTCTAACTGGTAGAATCTCAATTATATTGGTCGTAAAATTCCAATTAGGAACCAAAACAATGTAGAGACCCCTTCAACAGGATACGAAGAACATTTTAAATCTAAATTTAGGTTGAGATGACGACAATGAAACAGCTATCATTATAATTCCTTTAAAGTATTGTAAAAAACACGAGGGAAATTATTCAAAATGCTTTTTATTTCATCCCTAATTAGTTCCTGGGTTCCCATTTATCTGAATTAATAGAAAGATTTAAGGTACAACATTGAAAATCAAGCTGTTATTCCAATGGAATTTTCCCATAGGAATCGCTGTTAAGTTATTAAGATTGCCCACTCAATGAGTTTGAGTGTGAGTGAGCTTTAAGAATACTGGCGTTTAGCTAAATTCTAGCAGATTCAAAAATGCACGATTCTTATTGGCCAATCCTAGAAAGCAACCATTTTATAATTCTTGCATTGTCTGAGAAAAAAGGAAACCATCAAGTTTCTTACTCACCAACGGTTCCCCACGAAGGGTTAGCGAGATTATTAAACCATCCGTCATACCGTTCATACTCTTTTGCACTGTCATCACCCAACACAACTAAACATCAAGAAGATTGACATTACTTATATTTCTACGATCACGCATTTGCATACTGTATGCGTATATATCAATTTAGAACTTAAGATTCAATCTCAAGTTTACTCGATGAAGCGAAGTAAGTTTATTTCACCTGCAAACAGAGCGCCAAGACACACCAAATGCAACCATCTTGGAGATTTCGACATGTAGTTGCTCTGCAAATAACAAGCTAGTTTTGTAAAATACTTGAGTTGTATTATTGAGAAAAAGCCATACAGTTTAAATGAACTTTGTTCAGTTCAGCATCAGGTAATCAATTGTCAAACAATAAATGATGTGAATTTGAATATAATTGATTATATAAGCTAAATTTAAAACAATTCCTAAAAAAGCTTTGTTTTTGCAAAGGTTCTTATTAAAGAACATCGTTCTGGTGCCATGGTGATTTTGACATCATTTAAAACATCTGATGATGAGAGTTCTTTGTTTTATTTAGGTTCATGTCTTCCGCTTTTTATGATAAGTTTATATAAATTTATCATTTATCTCCAGTATCGTTTTCTCATATCACAGTAAAACTTCTTCATAAAAAAGGTAGTCCATCGCGTTGTATTGGAAACTCGGAGATCATCGCATTGATTTACCATCCCATTACAAGAGGAGGCTTACATTAACTGTAGCCAAACTGAAGCTAACTTTATAAAAACTAGATGATTCTATCATAGAACAAACACTTATTGGGTAATCTCGCTGATTATGGGAAGACATTCCTTTTGATCAGCAGAATCTTGCATGTAGTATTGATTTAAACTTCCTAGTTCCTACATTAAATCCTTAAAAAAGGCGGTTATAGTATATGACATTACGCCATAAATTTCATTCGGTTCTTCAAATATGTTTTAACCGATACGATCAAACTGTTTTTATATTTCGGACGGTGCCCCCCAAAGATCCATTCCATGACGATTTTTGATTTTCACCGCGTCCATGTTGTTTTTGTCGTTAATGAATTATAAATGTTGTTCTAGAACCTTAAAATTTCGCAGTTATGGCGGTAGAGTGCTAACATATAAGTGGCAAATAGTATCGTCCAAAATATATTTTACTGATAACTCAAAGTTGATTAAAATTGTGGATTTTCTTATGCACGCACGTTTTCAGTTACAGTTTCGTGAAGTATTAAAACCCCAAGGCACATTTGTCACATGTTGAGAGATAAAATATTAAGTAATTTAGTAGCAATTAGGTGTAATGGTAAACGTTAATCTACAGTATATTTAAGCTGCAAACAGTCTCAAACTATCTCTTTGAGGTATCAAATCGCTATAGTATATATATATATATATATGAGATTGTAAAATCGTACCTTATATGTTCCTGTCGTTATATAGCGAAAGCTACTCTCGACCCAAAATGTAATATCGTCTTTCAACAAGCTTTGTTATATTGGCCTTGTTTTCACGCCAGTCTGAGCTTTGCATAAAAATCCCAATTCAAGTATCTATATACGAATCTACGTTTCTCCAAGGAATTTCGTTAGGAGTATCCAAGCTATCTTTCTTCATTTGCCCCAGTGGAGGTCAGCTTGAATTGGAGGCCGCGTTGTTCAAAGTTTACTCCTATATATAAACTTTAAGAGGTTCGGGTGTTCATCAAAGATCTTTTAAGTGAAATATAGTTTCCTGTTTTAAGACAGTGATTTTTAACCACAATCTGATTCAGGTATACGTATCGTTGGGAGGTTTTAATTTTTTGCTGGGGGTGTAGACGTCTGTAGAAGGCGACCAGGAAGTACTTTAATTCCGGCATAATCATGTAGGTTTTACTGGATATCATTGTGAAAGAGGTGCATATGGTATGACTTAACTATAGAGTTGTATGTTCTGGAATTTCTGTAGGTGACTGACACATGCTGGATGTGCCTGTCCGTATGATACCAATGTCATTATTAACGAAGGCATCAATTATGGCACAATTTACAATTTTGGTACTATATGTTCGATTATATTAAGCCAATTTTATACTTGCGTGGGCAATTTATTGGATTGGAACAATTATGTAGGCCGCTCTTGTTCTAGGAAAATTTAATGTCAATATCGTACGTGTTGGTGATCATGCAAATACTAAGTTACGAAATACTCAATTATTTTATCCGCTTTCACGGTTATTTCATATACGAATAACATTTGATTCATTTCCAATGCAAAATTTCATTTCTTCTGATTGATTATATTCAGACGCCGATCAAATGATACGTTTTCAATAAACGACTCACTGATCTTTATTAAACCCGTCGGATGAGATGTCGGCGACCTCTAACATGCTGGCATTCCCCTCTTATTAGTCCACCTTATTGTAAGCTTTTACTACGTCCGTTCTTAACACCATACACATGTTTCAACTCCTTTGGTTATACTTCATTAAACCTGAGCAAAACTACGTACAGGTAGCTATGGATAACAAAAGCCTTCTGTGTCGGTTACGACTTCCCTTAGTACACGGAGGTAGAAATTAAATTTTAATAAAGCTCTATTGACGAAAGCAGTTTGGTCGAGTTTTGTTTGTTTTAGGCAGTTGTTATAACGATTTGGCTGCACTAGTGCCGGAGACCCCGGCAGTCTGAGTGAGGGAGTTTATGTGAAATATCATTTTGCAGCAAATTAGCCAACTTTTAGTTTTCAGTTTTTAAAGTTAAAAAAATGTTATAGTTATTTTCATTTTTTGTCCTGGAGCCAGTTGTACAAAAGACTATAGTTAACTTTTAACTGTAGTTAAGGATAGAATTGGCCAATCAGAGTCGTATATTTCTGAGTTATAGGATTTAATTATATATGCAAAATGTAGATAAAGAGTTTTACAACTGGTCCCTGACACCCTGTACAGTGGGTGTCTCAAGAAAAACGAAATCGATTAAATATTGACTTACTTGCCGTAATGGATTAAATATTGACTTCAGCGATTTGATTTTTAGATAGTAAGAAAGGGAAGTTTTTTAGCTTTCTAGAAACATCTTTTCAATGTCATAATAGTACGAAATTCATGACCAAATAATCGTGTGGTAAACCACAGCAGTCGAAAACCACTGCCGGTTGGAGTGTACACGCATTAAAGAAGACAAAGCTTATAATAAATTTGCTTTGTTTTACCTTCAATTGCAGGAAAAGTTTATCTTCGTTCACTAATTTTTATTTTAATAATATTCGATCATTTCTCCATCTTATGAGCTGAAGAAAGATGTCATTGTCGGGAAGCTAAATAACCTCTATTTCATACTGCTTTTCGATTTAAATCATTAAATTCATTATATCCCGTCTGGTGATATCCATTTTATTGATATTGGAATACCCTTAGTTATTTTAGGGCGAATTTAAAATGGAATTGAGGGGATAACTATAGTTTTTTAATACATGTAGTGTTAACAACAGTATATTGCGTTACTCCCAGTGTCTGACATCAAGGACGAATTAATGAAATGATCTTTTGTTTCCGCTAATATACTTACGTTTTTCTAGATATTTTTATGAAGTGGTGTGGTATTTTGAGGGTTTTTTTTCTCCGCATGCATGTGTGTGGTTTTACTTTACTTTGAACTTGCGGCAAAGTCACGACTGTCGCGGGTTTTAAAGTGATAGTTACTTACATGCAGGCATTCCTGGGACGGTTACGTATGAAAATAGCTGAAGTGGAGGAGTATAGTTAATGTGAAAGTTTATGTTGAGGATCGCGTGGCTAAGTACAGCTGATATGGCCATCGTATGTCGTGTGAGTTATAAGATAATTGTAAGAGTTTTTTATGATTGGCTCCACTATGTCACGATTACATTAAGACAAAAGAAAGATTAGTCACTTAATAAGAAGTCTTGTAACGAAGGTGATAGGGACTTTAATCTACCCTATACTGGCATGACAAGTCTCACGTTTACGCAGGTACACGTTTGGACAAGTCGTTTGATGTCGTTCATATCAACAATAAACATAGTAAGTAGTTTATCCTACTCTTCATTATCTGTCATTGTCTTTAGCGGTAGTTTACATGATTCCCTTCATGCGAATCACTTTGGCGTATTGAAATTAGTAATACCCGTCTAGACACCAGTCCTTTTTACTTCCTACCAACACCTAACACGCAGTACGCGGAAAATCTGAACTAGGTTGCTTTAACACCCATGCAACCACAGTATAAAGGTCTGTTCACACGATCCATTTTGCTTCATAATCGTTGTTGGCTTGCAATGTATGTCAGTAAAAATCTTTCCCCCGTCCCCCGCCTGCTGAGGTTTAGCGCAGTTTCCGCTACTTTAGGATTATTCTTTTTCACTAAAATACTTATGCAGGTAACGTTGGAAATACCTTTATTCCGTCTTCCGCAACAAATTTGTTTCTGTTCGTCGCGTCTGCAACTCTTTCTTCGACTAAACACCAAAAATAGCTCTCTTTTGGTGATCAAGATGCGCTCTTGTTTGATTACTTAAAATACTGACGGTTTTGTAAGGTGAATGTAACCTCTGTCTTAATTTGCCTCCGTCTTAATTTGACTGTTTTTGTGTGTCTTTCATATGTTTGTATGCAAATTTGTATATTTAACTTCCTAGTTGTTAGCTGCGTGCATATTAACACACATTCGCCAACGCAGGATATCATTGTTTGCTGGAGTATGGTTGTTATTCTGACAAATTTTATGTTACGTGACTGAATTTTTACATCTAAACAACTTGTTATAACTTAGGTCACGAGCTGCTATCTGTAAATCTACCTATCTTTAGGAAGAAGCTTCACGATTTCTGAGCTTACAGCGAGAGTCTGTAAAGTATGTTTTCGAGGGGACCAAATTTCCGAACAGATGTCAAAGGAAATTTCTCCTCGCTGAAAATTTGTACTGATACTGTGCATGTATATATATATATATATATATATATATATATATATATATATATATATATATATATATATATATATATATATATATATATATAGGAAACAATTGTAACTACCATGGCCAGAAGTAAAACTAAAAGATTTTATTAAAAATATACTAAGCTTAGTATATTTTTAATAAAATCTTTTAGTTTTACTTCTGGCCGTGGTAGTTACAATTGTTACAATTGTTTCCTATATGTCTTTGCTACCGAGCAGTGTGGGAATACTTGTTGGTTATATATATATATATATATATATATATATATATATATATATATATATATATATATATATATATATATATATGTAAGTTGATAAGATGCATGTCATATTTCCTGGAAAATATTACTCACAAAACGGCAAATTTTGGCGGGCCAAATTCCTGGCACAACAGCCTTCATTAACACTATGCGATCTTCGTGTGGTCACAAACGTTTTGAATAAGCAAAAATTTTTATATTTTAAAAGTATATGAATAATTATTAGAAAGAATGGTGATATAAAAAATATTGAATTACTGCGTTTAGACTTGGTGCCTGGTACTGGTGCCCGAAGTACAAACTGGCTCTCAAAGCAGATTATCGAATGCTACCTCTGAAAGGTGGGTCCCTTTCTAGGGCACTGTGTCTGAACGCCGCATATATATACCTGTCATAGGGATACCATGCACTTGCAATGAAAAATATTTAGTTTTATATAAACGTACACCCAATAAGATGCCATTGACAGTTTGAACGTGGTAAATCAACTTAGTACATAATGATAACATGAAGTAAAATGGTTCATAGAGATATGCAACGTTGGCTAATCCGTTATGGTGGTGCGGGTGCGGTTTACAGTGGATCGAATCTACAAAAACAGAAAGAAACATGTTTGAAATAATGTATATTTACAAATTACAAGCGTGTAAACGTCAAAGTCAAGTCAGTATGCAGGCAGAGGCTTTTTTAATATAATGATACGATGAGTATCTCAATTGACGTGAAATATCTAATTCAAATGTTTGTTGCCACGTTTCCTGTCTTAATGCTATTCCAAATATACCTATTGGTTAAAGAACGAAATTCACTTCCATTTCTGTGACGTCTACTGAAACTTACTTTTTTTCGACGTATTGTGGATTGGTGACTTTTACTGTCACCCCCCGTCTCGGAACGTTGGCGTACAGGTTGTCATCATCTTCATCGTTATCGTCAGCAGGGGGTGGCGGCGGTTTCGCCCGGGGAGCTGCACGTGGAGCTCGAGGGTTACGGCGAGTCAAACCCAGTCCAGTGCGGGTGCGCGGTCGGAATTTTGTGATTGTCTGAAAGTGAGGATAATGATTTAGAGTTATGTCAAAACTGCGTCCCATCCAGATTTTAATACAGATCAGTAGTCTGTCTCATCCCGGTCTCATACCTCAATATTCCCATAAACTTCTTCACCATCTTCAGCTCTCGGCTCACCATTAGCATTGGCATTTGGTTCAACAAGCTTTATATCTTGGGGTTCCCCACTTCCTATACCTTCATCGTCATCTTCATCGGACTCACGTTTCGACTTAACTAAAACAGCGTCCTCGAAAGTCGTGAGAATATCGATGTTGAAGAATGAAGCGGTCGCTGTCGGGTTGATTAGATCAATTATGTAGATCACCACAGCCAGGATTATACAGGCTAAACCTGGAAATGTATGAAATGGCATGATAAGAAAGAATTTAGGACTAAGAGACGTATACAGTGCATGTTAATGCAGTTTATTGGATTCCTATTTTAATAAAATAATTTGCTATCAATTTATTTTTCAGAGTCCAGACAAATATTTTTATGCATTTGAGGAAAAGCTATGCAAAATAAAAGCGTTTCTATAAAAAATGCGAACAGGAACATTGCTTTAAATAACTCGAAATGCTTTATAAAGACAGGATAACTCAGATTTGAAACTGCGCGCGATTTATTGTTGGCAATCCTTTTTATTTTATTTTCTATGGCCCTGATACCAAGTGCCAATCCTTACTTAACCATTATAAAAAACAACGTAGCACTTTTTAAAGTATTTCCCTTTATACTGTAGAAACACTGGAGATATCTGATAATCCTAGCTTGAAACCCCACTTGTAACTTGTTGAACATTGTAACCCATGCATTAAATGTTCAGCACAAACTATGAATGATAATATAAATAGTTGGACGTCTACAGAAAATAGTTTACTGTTGAACTACTGAGTCAGATTTGGAACTAAGGGTGCTGTTGTTACACTATGCAATTTTCCTTGCAACTTGCGATGCAATTATCATTTTGAGGGATGTCAATTTGTAAAGATTGTTCTAATTGCCAAGAAAACGTTAGCAGATCGTAATAAATGCTAATAAATGAGTAGAATTGCATTGCAAGTTGCAAGGAAAGTTGCATATTGTAACAGCGCCTTAATAATAAACCTACCTGTAAGTAGGGAAAGGTAAAAACACCAGCCATATGATGGCTCCAGTATAGCATGAGAATTAAACGGTATTTTTAAGTCTGTACCCCAGCGCAGTGTACCATAGATAATGTTTCCTATCACCATGATGCCACCAGTTATACCCAGGAATAATGCTCCGTAAGATATCACCACGAAGAAGAGAATAATTGTGATCAACCATGTCGCAAAGGCTGTCCTAGAATATAGTAAAGATTGTGATAATGGTGACGATGACAATGAAGAGTTTTTTTAGAGTTAAATTATGCACATACCATAACATAATATGGGTATAAAACCCGGCCATACGATATGATCTTCCCCATCGGATATTCTCCCCATCAATAGTGAAGTATTCGGCTATCCATAATATAGCGTAAGGTAGACCTTTGTATTGGGCTTCGCGGAATTCACGATTAATATTAGCAGCTGTAGGAAAAGGGTAGAATGTTTAAGAATAGATTTCATGTTATATCATAATATTAAGATTTAAGAAATGGCTTTTGTTGAACAATCCGGACAGGATGATCAAGCAGAGCGAATCAGGAGCGAATGCCCTGGGACGAGGTTGAATGATAATTGAACTGATAGAACTACAAAAGACCTTTTTAGGAACGTTTTTAAACTTCACAGTTTCATGATTGCACAGTTATACTGCCACTCCCAGTTCAACCAAATGAAAGGCGGGACTTGAGGGATTAAGGGTTGTGTACTGGAGGGTACAATAGGGCGTAGAAAGCATCCAGAGATTGGGGTTGGGTTAAGGCAGCTAAAAATATGTATAGGGACGGTTTGATTGCCAAAGCTACAAGGAAACCACTAGTGTGGTTTATACTTATGCTCTACAAAAAGATTTAGGCACGTGTAAGTGGGCATACGTAGAAAACAAGGGGAGCTTCCATCTTAAAATAGTATTTATGCATCAGTTTCCCCCCATAAGGCATTTTTTTATCACAAAAAGGCACTTTTGGTCCCGTGAAATTTCTGGCGGGGGGGGGGCACGTGCCCCCTGTGTCCCCCGGTTCCTACGCCTCTAAGGTACAGGATTAAACAAACACTTTTTAGTGGAAAACCGTCTCAGTTGTGAGATATCCATACGTGCATGTTTATTCGTATTTGCACTGTTACCTATAATAATCGCTTTTTAAATGATATTTTTACTAAACACATGCGCATAACAAATTTGTTCCAATGATTGACGTAAAAAATAGGATTCTGCAAATCTGTTCAATTAAAGAATTCGGGGAGATTGGGAGTGCTCTGGGTCATATTATAATGTTTGGCGTTAAAGATTTTATAAAGAACCATTGGAGCTGGTAGAATCCTACAGGACAGTTAGATAACCGTCCTAGAAAGACCTACATATATCTAGAATGATCACTTCAATTCGTCCATTTTTACAATAGGTTTAAAGATAAGAAAATGCAGAATGCTGTAACGCAATGGAAAACCAATCCCCAAGGTGAGTTCCAGTGAAATCTCTCGTTATAGTCCACTTTTTCAACTGTCGTATTGTCCAGCTTGACATTCACGTCAGGTACACCTAAAAATAATTAAAATCAAGGAATTGAGGGGGGCAGCAAGGGGACCTGTATCTGATTATCCGGGGCAAGTGGGGCAAATATGCCCTTTTTATTTAAAGGATTGGGCTATAGTTTGTAAAACTGCTTTAGACAACGTTAAAAATGCAACGAATGAGCTTCAAGAAAACCTGCAAACAAGTGATATGACAACTAACAGACAATATACAATATACCAACAGACTAACAGACAATATGACCGAAAGTTCAACAAGCTCAGCTATGTGTTTTGCAAACACTCATTAGCGTACGCGTAAATACAGAAGTGTCCTTTCATGAAAATCTGCCCCCTTCCTGAATTCGCATCGTTTCGGCGTTCCTTAATTCGAATTCCTTGGGGTTGTATAGGCACCATGCATCTTTGAAAAACGCTTACGAATGCATGGTATAAAAAATGACCATTGAAGATAGGAAGCTAGTCTAGTCTGTTGATTGACGTGTAGTTTACTCGACAAGAATACTGGCTGATAGAAGACGTAATGTGATAAGACAGATGCTCCTTACCTTTCATTGTGATGTTAACGCCTCTTAAACCAATCTTGATAGCGATATGTGCCTCGATCTCTTTCCCCGAGAAAGCCTTGTACAACGTCTTCGTCTCAATTTCAGCGTGTTCCCATTCCATACCGAAATTGGAAACTAAAGATGGTATATAGTTTTATCAGAACGTTTTTCTAATCTAGCCTCTTAATCTTCAAACTGCTCTTACTCAAGCCGCTACAAAGATTTGCCGGTTGTCCTCCGCAACCAAAATCTAATCTTCCACCTTAGGTAAATATTTGTTCAAATTTTAAGTCTGGTTTCTTAAAAGCTAATTTTTAGATAACCTGTCCACTATCTATTGAGAAAGTTCCTTTCAAATATCTTCAATCAACGAGACGGCAGTGCGGTAGCTTCTTCAAAAATCACCTCATCACAAAGGGTAGAGCAACTGATATTTTCAAAAGCATACTTCTAGACGATTCGAAGGCCTTCGTCTATATCATAGGCCGTTGCCGAACACAATTTGTCAGGACAATTTTTGAAGAAGCTAAAAATGCCGCTACCTGGTTAGATTGAGGATGGATCAAATCATCCTCCATCTATCCATTTATATCCCTCTTTTTGCAATATATCCACTATCATTCCGGTGATACCACCGGAATATCCATTGTTATCCTAAATTCATCCCTAAATATACCCTTTATCCAAACACTAACAATCCACATAGATCATAGATCACTTACGTATTATGACTGCACCAATGAACAAACTGACGACAATTCGAATAGTCACATAGAGACGCTGAAATAATTTTAGACAAAATATGAACGATTATTACATCAAAACAGTCACCCACACAATTGAATGGGCGCTAATGACTATAATTTAAAAAATATGTTTTTGCCGACGAGTGACGACAAAAAAGTGCTGACGAGTCTATTTGGCAATTTTGTAAAATCTTAAATCAGAATGACTAAAAGAATAAACTGTGTCTAAACGTGGCAAACGATGTAGCAGATTATTGCGAGAGCAGAGTGCACGTATTTTCTTTCGAACAATTTCTTTGTATTACGAAATACATGTAGCTACTTCCCGCTTCAATACAATTATTTATAAGAGTGATTTCAACTTCCTACGCAAATTATTGCCTTTCATGTATCATTGCAAGAAGTACGTGTATTTATAAATATTTAAGAAAATTTCAACAATTTTAATCAATTTTAATTACTTGTGTTTTTGCCGTAGGATGCCATTTGAACGGAAGGGGATTTTTCAAAGCTCTTTCAAAGATTTCTTTTATTCAGTGTTAATGGTAATAAATCTTCATTTTGAAACATGCATGATGTTGTGAGGATACTTTGTTACATTGTAAGATTCATTAGGATTAATAAACCCGTTCGGGTCGTCATAAACTGCAAGCATATTAAGTTCTTTGAGAGTTGGCATGGCGATATATAATTTTGGACATTTGCTGGTGGAAACACTACGTAGATTTAGTCTTGCAGAGCCTTCGGTCCGCAAGTCCGGACCATCATCAGTGCAAATATATTGGCATGAAGCATGTTCTTCACAATAACTTCGAAATCAATAACGTCAAGCATGTTACAAGGATGCGAGGTGTGATTAAAAAACATCCGACAATTCAACTAATATAACGAGAATTCCGCCTCCGCGTGGACATCTAACCTCCTGGCTACCAGGAATGCCATTTTCAAAGAACCAAACTCATGGAAACCCACGTTATCATAAGTACTTTCCATTGCGCTCAATGCAAACTCAATATGTGCTCAATATACACATGACAAACAACAAGATTATTTCCAGTGGTTTGCCTTTTAGAGTTTATCACCACGTGCTCCAATGTCAAATTTGGTGATGACCCAAAGCGATATACCACTGATGGCAAACGAAACAGGAAATTTGAGCGGATGTTGTTGCGAAAACCATGCGCGCGTGATGTTTTTCACATTTTTCCATTGTTTCGATTTCCAAACTCAGACGATTGCGAAACAGCAGTTGATATTTGCTCGCTTCCTTTTATACGCCTTCGTGATTTGTTATTGATCACATATATTGGCTTTTGTTGACCATTTACACAACCATGCACTGTTGGATGTATAGTAATAAACCGCGCCGCAGACTATACAGTAGCTGTGTACAGTTTTATAGTTCAGTATATCTAAAAACTAGCAGGCCTTGTTAACGTTTTTCTTTTAACTTTCACTTTTTTCTACCACTGTGCATTCTTGGAGGGGAAAAATATAATAACTGCGTCATTGTTTAGAGGCGGAAAATATGATGACGGCGTCAAATATATGTAAGATAATAGTAGTATCTGTGATAAATTCTTATACACGATAAAAATATTGAATACTTCATTTTATATTAAATGTTGGCTGCTTATATCTTGTCATTCTAACAAGAAATTTTCAAGGAACAAATTTTACTTCATTCAAAATTGATTTAACTTCGTTCACTGCTTATGGTGATAAAGCAATAATTCTGGCATTATATAGTTCAAGAATACGTTTCAGCTGATAAACAAGGAGCTATTCTATAGATTACGTTTTAAGAATACGTTTCAGTATAGTATCATACTTACCCCTCTGAAGAAGACACTTAGGTCGAAACGTCGGGAAGTGTCTGTTTTAGACAGTTATATCAGTACTACATTATCATCGATGCGTTCTTCCAAGGATGTTTCAACTATATTGTTATCTCAAATAGCTATAGGCTATATCATGCAGGCAATAGCTATTTTATGTAAATTTGTACACGAACATATTGATTGAACTGTATAGAATCTCTCAACATGGCCTAGTGTGTGTTGCATGTTGACAAAATTTCGAAGTTTGAAAAGAAAAATTTATAAGTCTAAATGTTCGTATAAATGCACAAGGACGTTTTTTGATTCAGGCATGATAAGAATTTTTAAAACTTTATCGCGTCGGGACCTGTTATAAGGAGGGAGGCCGAAAGGAACCGAAACTAATCCCTAACCTTGACCTGGTTCCTGGTACCAGGGTCGGGCGCGTCTATTAGGAAAACATGGCTCATTTGGAAGATAACACCATTTAAAAACAATGTAACCTGTGACCAATTCACGGTCCTTGGCAGTTTATATGATATTGCTACGGATTTTCATTATACTTTTCCACTTTCATAAACGCCGGTAATCTTTCAATTTTACCACTCATAGTTTCGGAAATCATTAAGTGTCTATTTATACATCCATATTTCAAAGAGTTTCTTTAATGCAAGAAAAAGAACCGAAAAGATATTTTTTTTCAAACATTGTTAGCATTTATGAAGAACGCACCACCAATATTAAATGCAATCTGCCAGTGATTCTGAAATGGCTTTAATTAATCTAAAGCATATTTCTCCAGGGATTTTATGACTGTTAAAGCCGGTGATATAGTATATGACCTTTTTAGGCCGAGACTGAGGCTTGATGGCAATTTTCTGTTCTATCATGTGGACAGGGTTAGCTGATAGTTATATTTGCGTTTGATAAACATGATTGTGACAAAAATAAATTACACTTTTCCCATGTCTTGCCAGTAAGTATCTTCCAAATATGATCGAGTTTTGTGATTGGCTTTTTGTAACAATAGTGAACAGTGTTTATGATTCGTGTTTTCTTGTTATTATAAATATAAACCAATAGCAAAGTTTGTTTGCATCAGTGGGTAAGTACCGTAGGTTCCTATTCCCCTTTTCCTATATTGACTTTTCTATTTTTACAATTTAACAATGCACAATAAATCAATACAATGTGTTGGGTACGGTAGTAATATGATACCCTCTCGTCTCGATTCCTTACCTCTTTATGCCGGAAGCCAGGCAGTACAACCAAGAATGAAAACGCCAACAAAACGAAAGCTAGAATCAACCCAACTTCTAACACATCTACTGTTACAGCAGTTTTATTTTCTCCATATGCTGTTTGAAATGGTTTAGTTCGAAATGCGTCGTAGAGACCCATTTTTACCAGAGAGTTTCAATATTTGATATACACTTCCTAAAAAAAACGACAAAATGCTTAAGCAAGCGAAAGCCTGCCCGCCGCCCACCCAATGAGTCACCCCGCTTTGCGAAAATTTCTCGTTGATATAGATACAATTTATATTAAAAGCGAAATATCTCATGTGATGTCTTGTTTATAGATGTTTCGTAGATGTCTTGTTTGTCACAATACAGTGGTCCAGGCAAAATTTACTAAATCTTAGTACTAAAATAATTCATAAAGGAACTTTAACCCAGGGGTTTACTCAGTGAAATTACCTACGCAGAGATTACCTTTCGCATCGGTCTCAAAATACCTATGGCAATGCTTATGGCCTATGATTAATTATTATGACCGTGGATTTTGAGATCTCAATTGTTCATAAAATTAACCCAGGACGCCAGTAAACGTTTTCACAATTTTTTGGAAGATTTTTATAAGTTAAAAGTGAAAAACACAAAGATGTATTCGATCGTGCTCAGATATTATACAACCGGTTGCTACGCAAGCCTAGTCCCCCCTAGAATGATTTTCTGTTTGATACAACCCTGACCACTAAAGATTACGCTCTACAATTAAACAATTATAACTTATAAGGTCGATGTTTACGTCTCAAAAGACTTTAAAAATGGGTCTTTTTTCACCTAAAAGACCTTTTGTTGACTAAAGATATCTTTTAGTCTCACTACTTATTACTCGTAACGACCTGTTTCAAGTCACAACACATTGACAGTGATCTCATTATTCCTACACTTAAAATATATTATTGATATTATTGAATAAATTAGAATAATTACCGGTATTGATTATTAGTTTATCATATATATTCACATTCCACAATTTTTTATAACCTCCTGGCGGCGTTAGTGGCGTACAGGAAACATGCGGACAAGGCAGATATTGGAGTATTTTTAAAGATCTATTGGCCACGATTATATCATACGATTCGCAGTCTTAACCTAGTTAGATATACTGTAACCAATGTAGTTAGATACTATAGCTAAATACTACATAAGTATAGGCATACATTTCAAGACATATATATGTCAATAGTTTCTGCTCCAGCGTAACGATAATCATGGCATCTTGTTGTATCTACATATTTGTATTTCAACCCATGCATACAGCTAGCGCCAACTCGAAAGAGGTCTGACAATTTGTCATACTTTAAGTCGATTAATAAATAGAACATGCATTGTATACATTTTTTCAAAATCATTGTAATGGCATCCTTCATAGCATGGTATCCTGAGACAAACAGTGAATTTTCTGTAGTCGTTGCTGCAGACGAATAAACTAGGAACACTAGTTATTTTTTAAGAAATCATCCTTCAATTTAAACATTTTAATTTGCAATTGCTGTCGACAATTTCCATACGGTCAAGGACACAATATATATAACGAGATTCATTAACTACATTCTACAACTATGTATATATACATGGTGACTTTAAACACTACAGTTAGTAACCTACTTCTTATAGTATAGCATATTACCCCTTTATGCGTCAACAATTATTAAATGTAATTTTACTTCACCTTAATCTTTGCTCGGTCGTTGAAGTGAAATGCTCGGAGGCGTTGTTTCACTTGTTTGCTAAGTCTATACTCTTTTGAAATGCACGCGATAGTTGCAAAGTTTCCGGTTGTATTCGAAGCGAAACATATATACAGTAAGACAATAGATAGATACTGACCTGCCTGATATCAGCTGAATTTTCGCTTTTTCTGAGAAAGTATAAACGGTTAGTTAAAGAATTCCTGGTATATCAAATCGATCAGCAAATTCCTGTGCTGCTTGTTTTCGTTTTTACATTAGCTTCCTGGTGGGTTATACAGGATATATGTTCGGTCATGCATTGGTAAACACAGCTTACTATTGGTTCATGAGATGAAACATGATACATTCCGCGACTTATTTACGCCCTGTTTCTTCCTGGTAAAACAAAACGTGCCGAAAACCATTGCTAAAAGTCAAGTCTTTCTGGGGTTACTAGTTCACTGATTAACGCTGCAATCATTCAAGAAGAAGACTGAAGTAACTGCCTGTACAATGGTAGCATGCGTTGGCCTTAAGGCCTGTGTATTTACTTTACTCGCGATACATTGCAGTGCTCAGTCAACTCAGTCAGTTGACTCAGTTCAGAATACGACAGTGACACCGAGTGCCAAACCGAGTGCGTCTTCATCAGGTATGCTAGTTCATAGCTTTAATTCATATTTAACCGGAAAGAAAATTTGTCTATGGAAATTCCTTGTTTTAAACCTTGTGTGTCGGTACAAACTTTAGTAAAGTTATTTAGTCTTAACTCTTAAACACTCACTGCCTTGACACTTGTTCTGGACAATTAATATATGAGTTACTATTTGCAAATTACAATACACTGACATTATATGTAGCATTTGCATGAAGACTCGAATGGAGTAATATTATTGGCATACTTCATGAAGTTGGCTTTATAGCAATTCAAAATCATAGTGCATGCATGTCATTGAAACACTGCCTGGAAAATATAACGAATATTTGGACAAACTGCTTTCATTTAAACCATTTATAGATTGTAAATGATATTTTAGTTAATATCTAACACAAGAAAAGTTGAACATTTTTCTTTTAGGGCTAGTGCTGTATTACATTGAAATATTATTTTTTGTGAAGGACGGGTCATATTATAATCATAGTCATAATCATAGTCACAGAATTGTAGAATTTAATCAATTCTCAGCTAGTGTCAAATTATTACATGCCTCGCTGTTTTTCAACATAGTAATTGTCCCCCCTACATGTTGTGTCGACCATACCCCTAGCGACGCAAGCAAAAAATCGACATACGCATGAATCGGTTAGTTTCAAAGTGAATTTGCTCCATTTTAGCGACTTTTGACTCATAAGACCAAAGGTTTATGTAGGCGGAAGGCTGCATTTGATTGATGTATTATTTATTCATTTATTGTTATAATCTTTGTGGCCCATAATGCTACGAAGAGTGGCTCATATTACCACTAATAACTGACGGGCGAAGCAATATATGTCGGCTATTGATATATAATTTGAGAAATGCATGTGCACATATAATGTGATATGAGCAAGCGTATCAAATTACAACTTAATTCCTTTCGCTACCAAATTACAAGAACCTGTATGCATGCATATACTGTATAATGAAAATAATTTACATCACACTGATAAATGCCCGTTGGCTATTTGCTTTAACGATATTACCAAAATTAAACAAAAAAGTACAACGTTTCTCCTATTTCTATATTATCGTTTGCTGACTCATGATTTCTTAATATTTACCATCTTGTATCGTTGCCCACATAAAGTTTGCTTATAAATAATATATACAGACGTTATTGGATAGATAAATCAATATTATTAATAAGGAGGATTATCAAACGAAATTAATAAACTCGTATGTTGGCAGACAAACCATCTTAGCATACTTTTAACAATTCTTGCTAAGAATTACTACAATTGCATCAGCAAACTGAAAGTCAAAGAGAAACTATTAAGAGTGATTACTTTGCTCAGAGAAGTAATCTGCTCGTAATTGGATAAAAAGGGAAACAATGATCTTTTTTACTGTAAATAATTCCGGGTTCACAGTATGGTCTAATGCTCTTTCAGACGTGGGAAAAATAACTCTTGCATGATATGCGTACTAACGTACTTGGGACTTTTATTATTATTATTAAAAGCATAGGATCCTCTTCGCATAGAAAGACAGGATCTTGATAAATCATTCGATGTACTTTAATTCGGGTGTACTGTCTGGAATTATTTCTACTCTAGAACATGCATGGTAGTGCGTTTTTAGCCTCCTCCGCCGGCATCTCTTATATATTATATAGTTATATTAAAGTAATATTCTTATTTGTCTTGGGCTTGCTATGTCAGGAAAGGGAGGGAAAAGATTGAAGAGATTTCATACAATATTACTTCAATACATTTGAGATACCTGCGGAGGAGGCTTGTGTGTTTTGTGACTTCAAGTGAAACTGCAGTTTCCTGCTATACTCGTAAAAAAATACTCAATTTCAATTTAAAATATTGCTGATTTGACTATTTTAGCCGCTTGAAGGAAAGCCCCTTATGTATATATATGAACTCCTATACTATAGTCTCCTATAAGTCAATCGTGGACCACGGCGACGAATGATTCGGTCGGGTATGCATATCTTAATTAAAGCACTTCTCGTATTTTTTGTTCTTCCGGTGAGCATGACAAATATTTGAAATTTACGTCTGCTAATCGTATATGGTCAGTTTGATAGCTTGACTTTATAGTGTTAAAGCGTTAACCGACCATATAACATATTGATATTGCAAAGGTTCGCTTAAAATATGCACTTCCTGTACGTTAGGCTTATTTGTGTTTCCTATTTTTTAACAATATCAATCCTTGTGGAACTTTGTTTATCAATATCATCAAGAATTCGAGATTTAGATTCTTGTAATCTTGACTCAGTTTCAATGTAGCTAACCTCCTCACCTGAGCTAGAATATGGCTGCAGTTTAATATATCACACCCACGGGCGGCTAATGCTGGCTGTTATACTTCGTACGGAGAAAAATCTACAATCAATTTTTAAAGTTGCGAAAACGAAACTTAATTGCCACGAGTATTTAGTATGAAATTGATGGATCAAGGTCAAGGGTTCTGTGTCGTTGTCGTCAGCTCGTGAAAGCCGTTCTGGTTCTGGTTCTCCGTTTAAATGGGTCTTCTTGTCAGATATATAATTCGGAGATATTTGAGGGCGCGTCCAGACGACTGTTTATAAAAACTCGTTAGCCCCATCTCTAGAATTCATAAAAAAATTCTGCACTTATTAGTTCGTCAAGAATCTGCTTTGAAAAGGCTTTTATCCCCTCTTTTTTCTTAACCTGCTAAAGAAATGAGCTGCATACCTCCACTGCTTCTATTAAATTTTAGCATTCCCTGTCCCTTTCCTGTCCTTTTTTTCACAAGAAGCATCAATGTAAGGGGTGAGGGGGGGGTTATTATATGAAAGGGAGAGAAACGGTAAGCTAATTTTGACGAAATAAATTTGCATGCATACTAACCAGGTGGTAATGACTATTCTTCATATAGAAGATCTTAATTGGATTTCTTTTGCATAATTCTAACATCCTGCTGCTAAGACGATAAATCAATTTCAATCAACTTTTGAATATGAAAAAACGCGATTTAGAAAAATATATCCCGCCTTATCGAAACTAACAGGAGAGCTTCATATCGTTGTACCACCACAGCCTTCCTTTATAACGATAAGGCATCTTTCTGCTTAAATATTCGACTGATAAGTTTTAAGACTTTTTTGTGCTGGAATTTTTGGATACGCGTGTTTGAATTTGAACAGTATACAGTTCAATTCCAAAACCGACGGGATATATTTTGCGTATTTTGGCATATTATTTAATAATATATAATTAAGTCTCATTTACAATAATATGGGGAGAGAGATCTTTCTTTTTGGTTCGTTTAAAAGGTCTTGAATCGACCATCATAGTAACATAGATATTTCCTCTTGTGGTAGCAATGGCAGCATTGAAAGTATACTTTCTACGCGACATTAGTATATGCGTTGCCAAATTCCTTCGTTAATCCAACCTCTGTCACCAGATATTTTCATGTTTAAACGTGTCCGCTATCAGTGCACTTTAAATAAATTCGCCTGTGGCAAAGAATGCGGAAAGAAAGAGCCCTTATATATATGTATTGTCTCCTAGACTGCTCTGTTTGGGTAATTCAAATGTTATTTGCCGGCGATTTAACTTGTCAAAAATGTGTCATAAGACCGGCTATTTTGAGATTTGAAGCAGTATTTTAGGAAGTTAAAGTGTGTGGGCTCCAGACATTTTTCATTTCCCAAAGTTTATTTGAGCGCAAAAGAGGTTTTAAGAAAATAAGTGGGAAGTATACAAAAAATAGGGTACCTGCGAGGCTGTGTAAAACCAAATCAAGCCGTTTACGGGGTAATTTAACGGCATTGTTGAGCTAGGACATATTTGAGAAGGCAATTTGTCGAAAGACTTAAGTAAAGGCGACTAGACTTCGAGAGCGAAGTGGGTCAATATCGTAGGCGTAGCTTATTTGAGGCTTAACGACTCCGATACACAGAGGGGGGGTGATGGTCGCCGATAATGTTCCACCGATGTTAGAAATTACGAAAGCACTGATTGGAACCGGTTGTATTGTACCATCTATTGGGGAGTTGTCGAAGGGTGACGGCAACCCTATGTATAGAGTACGATACGTCCAATATATGCAAATCTAACCTATTCATATAACTCAGACACAAACCTCAGCCGTTTTTTTGTAGCGTGTGAAACACCTACAGTTAGTATACAATGGACCTCAACATTTAAAAAATAATAATATTTTTTATATGTTTTTCTAGCGGCAGATTTATCATCATCAACCATCGGCATCATCAACCCGTCGTCAACTGCTGGAAGCGTTGCTTCTTCTCAGACTTCCTCTTCTATTTCGACTGCACCAACAACTTCCACATCCACTGCCAAACCAACTACACAAAGTCCAAGTAATACAGCATATTTAATAAATTTAAACACACGAGTTAAATATAACCTAAAGATATAGTTAGACTGTTAGATGGTACAAATAGGCAGGGTGTCGGGTACTGATAGATACGATGATCACAGACAAATGTTTCCTTTACTTAATAATATATACGAGTTGTGTAACAGTGATTGATTGATAGGATGGAGGTGTATATGTGGTGTGGTCACGAGAGCAGAGAGTTATTTGGGACTTTGACACTCTGAGAGTATATACTATACATAGAGCGAGACTGTGAGAGGACGTAGATAATAGCCCGTGTGCTATGACTGCTATCTATCGGTGTGAGTGATTGGATCCATTCGGGACCTTGTTATAGGACATCGTGAGCGAGACTGTGAGAGAACGTAGATAATAGCCCGTGTGCTATGACTGCTATCTATCGGTGTGAGTGATTGGATCCATTCGGGACATTGTTATATACTTTTAGTAATTTTATTTTGGTTTGAAAAATATATACATTTGAAAACTCGTGATTGTCAAGGGCGTGCTGTTAGAAAAGAATAATAGACATGGATTAAGTTAAGATGAAGAAGGAATTCTAGTGAGTTGGGGAGTCGAGGAGCATCTCACTCACTCAGGAGAACTTTAAATTCTAGGGTCTTTGTAACGGCAGATCTGAGGCGAGTGCTGAGGAGAGATAGTGGCCAAGAAAATGATATTTTTTTAATTGAAGATACAATTTTGAAAATTTCATATGTTACTACTTTATTTAGTTCCTGCAAACAGGGCTGAACACAAAGCTGACTTTCCTAAAATCTCGAAACGTACTCATGAAGAATCTGAAATTGAGTATGAAGGTTATGATGGATGGTACAATAATAGGGCTCATCCTGAGTGGGGAGCTGTTGGTACGTAGTTATACCTCTTGCTATTGAAGTCTTTTCTTGCAATTTTCTTGCAACTTGCAATGCAATTCTGCTTTTAAGAGATGTAAACCAGTGAACGGTCTTCAAAATTAGATGTATAAAAAACGTCCATGGAATGTACTAAACACAAAAGTTTCGTAGTTGCCAAATTTACATCTCTCAAAAGTAGAATTGCATTGCAAGTTACATAATGTAAAATGTTCACGTGATTTTCTTTGCGGGTTGACACCATCCTATATCTTTTAAACATAAAACATTGAACCATGTTTTTAGATATGCCGCTGACCCGACGAATACCATCGCATTACGAGGATGGCGTTTACCAACCTTCCGGATCACGTCGCCCCAATCCCCTGACACTCAGCGACAAACTCATGAAAGGTGATTTTGGACAGGGATCTCACCAAGATAAAAGTGCTCTTTTGGTTTTCTTTGGTGAGTTGTATTTAGATAAATTGATGTTGAACAAATGCTGTTCACATTGTTGCAACCGGATTATATATCTGTACAAATAAAAAACTAATAAATAATAATAGTTTATTTCAATCAATTTTTTACGATACTGGCTACCAGATGATCTTAACACGCTGGAAAGGACTGGGACAAGTGTTCAAATAAAAACCTACTTTATTTAAAATATACCTTATTTCAGTTTCGAATCCTGAAAGATTAATGACCTTAACAATCTCGAACATTTAATGATAATACTTTTGAGTCAAGAAATCGAAAATTAATTTGTAAGAAATGAGGTGTGTGCCGTGTGGTTACTAAACGTCTTTTTCATGCTTTCATTTCCTTGTAAACGAAATGACACTGCAAAAAAGACATATTAAAGATTCAGTAGAAGTAGCTATGCTAATATCTTGGTTTCATTGAATGCGAAATCAATTGTAAATTTTCGCGCTGGTTACAGGACTAAACGGTCAAACAAACTGCTCTACTCTTGCGTATTTTTTGTAGCGGTAAAGAAGTAGAAATTTAAAAATTCGTGTCAATCAGCCGCTCTTTTTTTATCATTTAGGTCAGCAAGTCGTGGAAGAAATACTCGATGCTCAACGACCTGGCTGCCCTCCAGAATATTTCAATATCGATATACCTGATGATTACCCAGGTTATAAAGATACTGAGGGTAGTCCAAAGATTATTCCTTTTTTGAGATCCAGATATCATATGGGCACCGGATATTCGCCTAATAATCCAAGACAGCAGGTAATAGAAGCTTTATGGAACTGTTGTAAATGTCGATAATGATTGGTGATGATCATCGATGGTGATGATCATCGATGGTCATTACAACAGATAAAGATGGATGACGACTGATAATGATGATCGATTATAATGATCGTTTATAATGATCGATTATGATTATCGATGATGGCCGATGGAGGTGATAGTGTGTTAATAACGTCTTTGTAGAAAAATTCCGCTTCTTTCGTTGTAGCTGAATGAGATCACACCGTGGTTGGATGGTGGTCTAACATACGGCGTGGCTAAGGCATGGGCTGACGCTTTGAGAAGTTTTAAAGATGGAAAATTAGCGAAAAGCAAAGATGGCAACTGGCCTGAAGAAAACGAGATTGGGTTACCTATGGCGAACCCGCCACCACCTGCCAACCATAAGTTGAAGAATGCCGAGCGATTTTTCAGTTAGTTTGTTTATATTTGTCCTTGGATTATAGCATGCTCTGACTGTTCTCTTTGCATTTGGCTTATTTCTTTCAGCTTAAAAGTTTACAATGCTAATAGTATATTGTACTCTTGGCTTACATGTAGGCTTGCATGAGTTTTCCTATATACACTCCGAATGTGCAATGGAAGTGTTGAAAAATTGTTGCATCAAGTAAATAAGCAGTTGATAAAGACATTTTCTTAAGAATTGCGCATCTTCTTGTTTACCGGTATGCTTGTTCCTAATTGGTAAATCAGTCACTGAAACGAATAGCCATTGGCCGACAGGAAATTGTTAAAATTTTTAGCGAATTGATAAATATTTCAAGGCACTATCCTTGATGCCAAATTTTTTCAACACTTCCAATGCAACGACAGTAATGGTCATGGTAAAAGATGAAACTTGGATAGCACCTGGGATACTCTGTGACTATAGAGACTCTGGTTATTTTTTCAAGAGATTTTTCAAGATATTTTCTGGCAACATCAAATCAATAATAAAATGTCCTTACTCTGAATCGTCAGACAAAAAGAATAGAACAGACGAAGCAATGTAGTATAAATAAAGCTAGTTCAGTTTATGTGGGACATAAACCCCATAAACCCCGTGACAAAATCTCAAAAAGTTTCTTCCTTGCTAGAACTTGGTAATCCTCGAGGAAATGAAAATCCATTCCTGTTGACCTTCGGGATTTTGTGGTTCCGATTCCATAATATAATGGCGGAAAGAATTAAGAATAGGACAAACGAGAGCGATGATGAAAAATTATTCAACGAAGCAAGAAAATGGGTAATTGCTGTCCATCAGGTAATTATTATAAATTTATGTGTAGTTTATTGTGTACCACCGGCTTTGTTTAATTATTTATAAATTGTCCAGAGAAAGACATTACCATCGTAAATACACACTAGCCACACTCGCTCTTGTCAGCTACCACTGTAGCTCAGTGTCAAGAACATTGCACCGGCATCGCAAATGCGTATGTTCGATTCCTGCCGGAGGACCGATAGTTGACATATTTTTCAACTGCTTCTGCATGGCTTGAATTTGAGATGTGTATGATTTTCATCCAATATTAGTGGTCTAAATATTGAGCGGAAATTATACAAAAAACCCACAGAAGTGCCACAATATCACGTGAGCATATCTTTGCAATTGCAACCCCAGTTATAACCTTACCAGTAGGTTCAATTGATTCTTTAATCCTACCGTTAAATCATGTCTATTTCAATTCGTAATGTAATCTTTTCTCCTACAGAAAATCGTATTTTATGATTGGCTGCCAAAATTCCTCGGACAAGATCCTGAAGATTTCAAAGCAAAAGATAATTACAGTACATTCATTATTATTACCGCTATTTGTTTTGTAAAAACTCTAACTTTTAATTCAACGCAGTTTCTCAGGAATTATTTCAGCACCAACATATACATTACATAAAACTCCTATAGTACTGCTTAGTGTAACAGCAAGCGTCAAAATAGAATTCCCCAGACCATGAAAATGTGCCCTTTTAGAAGAGATTCGAGACGGACTGTCCCTCACCCCTACCCCCCCCCCCTTCCTCACGCATGTAAGGTCGCTATGAACACTGAGGGATGCTCAGCTCAGATGACTTTTTTGTTTTTAGCTTACTCCTCAGCTGTCCATCCAGGTGTAACACACGTGTTCCAGTCAGCGGCTATGAGATTTGGCCATACAATGGTCACACCTGGTGTGATGAGAAGGTACTGGAAACCGAATAGCATTCGGTGTTCTGTATAAGATTTGTATTTCCCGACGTATTTATTTGTGCTTGTAGGAATAACGCGTGAGATCTGCTTTCCAATACGTTCGCTTTGCGTACGCAGGTGAAAGGGAAGCCCGTAAGAACCTGCTCGTGCGGACGAAAAAGAAAAATAATCTATTCATATTAAAATTCTAAGGGCCTGTTTACATGGAGCCGAGTTACCCGGGTAACCGAGTTACTCGCCTTGCCTGGACAAAACGGTACTGTGTTTATATGGAACCGGGTAACTCGGCATTTGTTACGGTACATTGTAATTACATGACGTATTTACTATGTAGGGCGCGAAATTTCAAAAAGGTTTTTTGCAATGGTGGTAAATGAAACGTAAACGCGCATGCGTGTTTGGCGAATATTCTACTCGCCTAGCCGAGTTTCCCGTTGCAAAGTGTTTACATGGTATAACCGAGTAACTCGCCTTGCCGAGAACCCGGCACAGTTTGCCGAGAACTCGGCACGCCGAGTTACTTGGATGCGCCATATAAACAGTCAACCGAGATATCCATACAATATATAGAACAGGCGAGAACTCGGTCCTGCCGAGTAACTCGGTTAGCCGGGTAACTCGGCTCCATGTAAACAAGCCCTAAGGGGCATTTCGCAGCTCTTGGAAGCTTTCGTCCAATTGGATAATGCTTTTCTATGCTTTCTTAAGAACGAAGCTATGCTATTGGTTAAAACAATTAATAAGAAATAATTATAAAGTTCAGCCAATGAAAATCATTCTTGTGAGGAGCTGCGACACTACCCCATTCTAATATGATTTTCTTGGAACTATGAACGATTCCATGAAACTTCCATGAATTGTATGTCTGATAATGGTCTTATTTCGAAATTTAGTATCATTTTCTAAAAACGTTCACTGATTGTATGTTTATTTCTAAAGAAGTGAGCAAATTACTTCGTGGTTTTTTTAGATTGAAGGGCAAATGTGGAAGATTAAAAACAACAAGGCACTCAAGTGATCTAGAAGACAATTCAGGAGTTGGAAGAGACGGGGTTAGAACCTGTAACTCCTTCTGGAACCCACAGGTACTGTGATCTGGACTGGCCATTAGTCTCAGACACTCTTGGGGATACATCAAGAATGTTGACCCGTGACACATAACCCAACACGCACACACGGACTTTGAGTTTTTGAGCACAGTTAATAGAATATACAAGGTTTGTAGACCACATAAAACTACAATACAACTCATTATATAACTATGTTGAGGTAGATTTATGCAAAAAGTTTTCCTTTCTCGTCACATGTCTATTGTATTTTGCTTAGATTAACTAATAGCAATCTTATAATTAACATATTTTCAAGTCAAGGTTGATGTGCTTAGTAAGACGAATGCCATTGGTAAATTTGGCTAAAATACAATAGCCAGGGGACGAGAAAGGAACCATTTTTTGCATAAACCTGGACAATAACATAGTTAATGAGTTGTATTGTACTTTTATTTAGCCTCCAAACCATGTATATTCTATTAACTGTGCTTTGAGCCGTTTTTCTCCGAATTGCCTCTTAATAATGTTCGCACCTGGGAATTTGAAATACCTGTAATATAAAGGGATGCAGCAACCCCTCGCAATTTCAAACGAATCAATTTGTCGAGGCTGAGCTAGCCAGAACTAAGCTTGTATTAGATTTGGGGGGGCGCACCGGCCCTCGTCCGCCCGGCCTCCGTCGGCCCGGCCGGTCCAGTGTATCTGTATTCATCTACTGCCGACTGGAAATTACTGTTCATTGGGAATGCTGTTAGGAAATAAATATGGTGGTGGTTTTGATTTCTCATTCAGATGTGAGTGGGGTTTTAGAAAACCGCCACTAAATAAGGTAAACAGTTTAGGTGTAACACGGCATTATATCTTTTTTTCAGATCCCCATTCAAGAAAAAAAAAATAATAGTAATGAGCCATTAGACATTGATGCATTTATTCTTGGCATGTCGTCTCAAAACGCGGAAAGAGAAGATAACATCATCACAGAGGATCTACGAGGTAACAACCTAGTCACTCCTTCTCCTTGCATGGTTAAGGCCCACGCACACACCTGGCGCGATTTCCCAACACCGCGACACGACGCCAATTTTCAGAACGTAAAGGCTGTTTCCCACTCCAAAGTTATACTTAAAAGAAAATATATAAATTGTGTTCACGTCTGGTGCGTGTGGCTTTTACGAACAGTGGTTCTTCTAATGATTAGCTTCTTCTAATGATTAGTAACACAACGACATCGAAAATTTCATCAAATTCTCTGATCCGACTTATCCAAAGTGCTTGTGTAATTTGCTATGCTGAATGGTTTAAGGTTAACTCCCCCCCCCCCCCACATGTATCCAGTCAGACCGGTTTTTCAAGTTTTTCTGTCCATATCTTTTTTCTCAACTCATTTCCCTACGAGGATGTATATAAGTGGTGCGAAAACTAAATTCAAAAGTCTACCGCAGTCCTCCGGCCACATCTCTTAAAAAATACTAAAGAGTCCGCAATATTTGCCCCGACAAATCAGGCACTAATAATTTCACATAATACTCAGGCTGTGGCTGATTAAGAAGAATTGTAATTTTTTATGCTGAGGAAACGTTTTTAAAAGAATGAAATTTACGCAAACCGAAAATTTTATCTCGTATAAATTGTCGACCGTAATACCAGGTTGTTTTCTTCAATTGCCAAAATATGTCACCGATTCATTCAAATGGTCATTATGATTTGGCGCGTAAGGCCCCTTCACTGTTCAGCAGTTTCGCCTCGTATTTAGATCGATGTTAAATATATATTCACATGCCCAAGGTTTTGTTTTTGGTGGCTTGGATTTTTCCCGCCGCGATTTAATGGCAGTTAACATTCAGCGTGGACGGGATCATGGTTTACCTGACTATAATACAGCACGGGAGGCTTATGGACTAGCAAGAAAAGAGAACTTTAGCGATATAAGGGCGAATGATTCTTCTATTTTACCTGAGGTATGTGTAGGGAAAAATTGAAGTAAAAATGTTTCCCGGAAAGAAAACAATTTCTTGGAAATTTGAATCTGTTATAAAAACGATTCATTTCACATCAATTTATTTTTTCTGTTCCCGATTTGTTTTAGTTTGGTTGAGTTTAATCCTATTTGTTTCAACTTTAAGCCTGGTTTCCATTTTGTCGCAATTATTGTGATGATTTTTTTAACGAAACAAATTGAGACTAGTTCTATAGCTTCACATGCGTGAGAACAACGCAAAACTTCAAACTAAAGGGTTTCCTGTTTCCATTATCGCCTGTTTCTTCAGATATATGATGCGTTGAAAGATGTGTCAGGAGGTGATATCAACAACATCGATATTTGGGTTGGTGGTCTACTGGAGACATCAAAAAGAGGTCCTGGAGAATTGTTTTCTACAATTATTGAAGATCAATTCAGGCGAATTCGCGATGGCGATAGATTCTGGTTCGAAAATAAGGACAATAAGTATGTGACAACTTATACACTAAATAATGTCAACCCCTGGTAATGGCGGATGGAAAAAGAAAGAAATTTCCCCTCAGAGAAAAAATATTTGAGTTTTAGGAACTACATGGCTCTGGCTGAAAAGACAGCATTACTCCCAGACTTGTATTTACATAGCGCAGCCGCCCCACCTCCCACCTGCCTTCACGGCCCACCTCCCACCTGCCTTCACGCCTCAAGTATTCTCACGATATTAAAAAAGGATTGACAACTCTGCCAGATCTGCAATGTGAATCTGTTACACTGGAGATTTTTTTCTAAATCCATGCATATGATGGAAAGAGTATGGTGCTATATAGATTGATTGAACATATAAAGCATTTCCATATTAAGCGACCATGAATATAAATATACATGAATTATTTAATTACAGCCTCTTCACCGACGAAGAAATTGAAGAAATTCATAATATCACTTTATATGATATCATCCTTATGACAACGGATATTTCGGCTGATGATATTCAGAAAGATCCTTTCTTTAGTAAGTGACTGTGTCTGTGTCTGTCATGGTGCTGTTTATTAATACAATCACTCCCAAAGAAACTTTCATTAAAATAAGTCACTTCGCAGTTTTAAATTCTACAAACGTGTGAACTGGCCTTAAGTGTGAAATAAGAGCTTTTGTTGTGGATAAATACAATTTAAAGTATCCATTTAATAACCCTTTAATCGGCGGCAACCAAGCGTCCTAAGCTCAATTTATTAACAAGATGCATTGGCGTTAGTTTAGTTAAGGCATTAGTGTGCAAAATCTGCTTTCACAACTAAAATCGCGAGTGATTATTTCCAGTTCACAAAATACGTGACGCTCTTTTTTCAATTTTTTTCTTTCCTCTGTCTCCTTTAGACGTTGTGTAGCGATTACCAGTATACCCCTCGTACTCCCTTTACCATTGTAGACTATTAGCTAAACATTGCTCTGATGAATGACGATTTGAAGTATTCCTTAATTAGCCAGAGTTGAATTCGCAAGAATGGAAAGTCTTGCATGTTATCATGTTGACTCAACAATGTTATCGTCCTTACGTATATAGAAGCTTTGTATAAAGTCCCGTATTATTTTATTTCAGCAACCGGAAGTCCGTGTCCGTTAGGAACCCTTACACCTAACGACGTTGAAAATTGTACGATCCCGAAGACATTTGATTACTTCCAAGGCAGTGAAGCGTCTTTTGCACTGACATTCACATTTTGCGGATTGTTCACTGTTGGTGAGTCTTGAAATGTTTTATTCAGGTTCTGATTTTTACTGTATAGAAAAGAATCCTCTTTGAAAAGCAATTATAGGCTAAATAAAACTTTGCATTCTAAAGTCTATTCCCTCCTTAGCCAAACCTCAGCCTTTAACTTCTTCAACCGTTTGAGTTTCTTCAAGAGGAAAATCGTGATCACAAATATTCGTGACCACTATCGTCCTTGTAAGCTGGTCTTTACAATGCACAATGATGAAATATATTTACGGGGAATATCTAAAAACATTTCTTTTCCTTTAAGCCAGTTGTAGCTTATGAATATCGGTAGCGAAAATCTTAATAATATTTAAGGCTAATGCCACCATCGCCATGTTTATCAATATCTTTTGCGGGACCCGATTTTTCGCGCGGTGGACCATGGGTACCGTGCCTATAAACGGGAGCCTGGTAACCTAAGCTGTCCAGTAATGGTTCTCTCTGATAGCACCAGCTATATCAATGGTATTATTTCATTAGGTGTAATCTTGACGATGCTGGCCCTGGCGAAACGACGTCAAAAAATGCTGGCTGAGAAAAGAAAGATGAACCGGCGTAAAACACAACGGAATAGCAAAGCTGCCGAAAACGAATTTATTGGTAAAAATTTATTCCTCTGAGTAAGATTCTTTTATTAGAGAGGCTTGTATTAGAAAGGTGTCCGCATTAGCGCTTGCATTATGGAGGGTCCGTATTAGAGAGATGTCCGTATTAGGGAAGGGTCCGTATTAGGGAGGTGTCCGTATTAGAGAGGGGTCCGTATTAGAGAGGGGTCCATATTAGAGAGGTGTCCGTATTAGAGAGGGGTCCTTATTAAAAAGGGGTCCATATTATATGGAAGGGTCTGTATTAGGGAGTTCGTATTTTGAAAGGTATTCGTATTAGAGAGGTGAACGTGCTAGAGAAATGTCCGTGTTGGAGAAGTGAACGTGTTAAGAGATGGCTGTATTAAAGAAGTGTCCGTATTTAAGATGTATTCGTATTATAAAAGTGGTAACCTGTGCTGTATTGTATACATGTTTTTATGTTTAGCGGCTGAGTGGAGGCGTAATCTTCCCGATAGGACAGTCAAAGTAAAGTTAGGGCCAGGCAAGATCATCAAGGTTTCATCTGAACGAGGCCAGCTGCTTCGCACTGTGGATCTCAGAGGGATGGAATGGATTATCGTTTTCTTGCAAAGCGACCGAGAACAAACTATGTTGTCTGCCAGAATGGACAGGGAATATGATATGGTAAGTTGAAGTTTTTCGAACAGTTAGGGCAAGCAGAGGAAAATCAGGAATATGTTTGGAAAGAAACGATTGCAAACACCATTTCCATCTGTAACGCCTTCTTCAATCCGAAACTAGAAATTTGCGATCATGACTCCTTCCAATCGTTCTTGGCTCTGCGTGCTTTCTTTCAATCCTGCCTTAAACGTTTACTACTGTTAATATTTTGATACGATAAGCGTATCAGTGAAAAGCAGGAATGGTCCTTAGTGGACTCCTGGCACCGGATGTATGAAAGTCGGAGAGCACTGTCCACCGGATGGTGATTTTTTCAATCGCTTCAAAATTTCCCATTGTTCGGTACAACTTTGATTAAATCTTAGTATTTCCTAAATCGGGGATCCTCTTTACTAATTGTTGGTTTCAAAACTGAAATTTCATTGCTTTTCAAAAAATCACTATCAGGGGCCGGTTTTACGAAGGCTGGATAGCGCTATCCACCGAATAGTGATTTTTTCAACCGTTCAAAAAATACATGAAAAGCAATAACATTTCAGCTTTAGAACCAAAAATTAATGAAAAGGATCCTCAATTTAGGAATGCTAATTAAGATTTAATCAAAGTTATACCTAATAACGGGTGATTTTAAATGTATTTAAAAAAAACAGTATCCGGCTTTCATACAACCGGTCCCAGGGATGTTCAAAACGATTATTCACTATTATTAATGTTATTATGTTTCTTCGTCTTTCTTGTCATAACATTCGTTCACCTCAATTAATGTTCTTCTTTAGATTTTGAAGTTTGACAGTGAAACTCAAAGAGGCGAATTCCTACAAAGTTTTGAAGGATTCCTGAATAGTCATGAGATCAAGACTAACAGGAATGAAATGAAAACGCAAATGTTGATATCATCCGCGCACACAAAAGAAGATCGACAAAAAAGACTTGAAAAATTCTTCCGAGTTGCATTTGCACACGTACGTAATTAGTATAGAATATCGATTGTCTGATATGACCTGTAAAGGACATAAAAATATGCCATGATGAACTTGACTGCATCGGATCACTTCTTAGTAACCATGTTTAAGTATGTATTATCGCATGGTTTAACCATATTAAACTGAGAGATATCTCACTCTACTAACATGCCTTTGTATCGAATTCTGCCGAATCTAAATGTATTTGAACAAATTTCAGGCTTTCGACATCGAATACCAAGATCAAGACTTCTCCGAGCGAATGGGCGAAGCAAAGGAAGTCCTTTCATGTGAACTGTCGAGAACAGAGTTCGCCGAAGCTCTTTCTCTGAAACCTAAGTCACTCTTCGTGGAACAGATGTTTGACCTGGTTGATAAGGATCGCAATGGATACCTGTCTTTCCGAGAATTCCTTGACGTCATTGTTATCTTTGCTAAAGGTACTAGAATATGATGTTATTCTTGGGTGGAATTAGGTCGGAGTATACTTGGAAATACTGTATGATTTCCGCTATCATAAACTTTCTTATACTATCACTTTTAGGTAGTCCGGATGAAAAATTGAGATTGTTTTTCGATATGTACGATGTTTCTGGTAATCAAACTATGGGTCGAGATGAATTTAAGCAAATGATCAAGTAAGTACTTTAAACAATGAAAAAGATTTTGAAGATCAATAGAAAATTGTATGATGATTAAATTCAAAACTATTGCACCGGTTGATCGTAACGGCAAGTCGGTTGATTTTCTTTATGGTAGAAACCATTTTAATATAGTGTCCATACTATGGAGGATTTTTAGTGTTTTTTTTTGTGTAACCTTTAAAGAAAGACAATAGTTTAAACACCAACTACGCAGCTAGATTTCGGAACTAGAATTCAACCTGCAATAGATCACCTCACTTGAGATATCCAAACAGCTTATTGTCTTAAAGAACACTTTTAATGGGTTTCATTAAGCTTTTTAATAAATAATTCGAGTCGCCCGACTATGCAAAAGAACAAGTGACACGAAATTGCGCATATTTGCAACCAAAAGCACGAAGCCAACACATAGAAGTAAAGAAACTCACTTCAGCCTAAGATCAGTTTGAGATATTTTTCAACTATAGGATATTCAAATTTCGGACTTTGCAAAAACCACTGTGTAAAAAGTATACAAGGGTTTTGTTGTTTTCTTCAGGTCGTTCATGGAACTGGTAAACGCCGATGTGGAATCAGATCAGTTGGACGCCCTCACTGACTCTATGTTCTCGCAAGCTGGATTCACGACAAAAGATGAACTGACTTTCGATGATTTCAGAGCTGTCATGGCTGAGTATAAAGAAAACTTAGAAGACGCTCAGCTTAATTTGTCTGGTAAGAAGAATAGGGTGATGAGGCTTAGGGTCCATGTTGTGATGAATAAAACAGTGAAGCCAAGCCTTTAAATTAAGTTCGGCATTTTTGGGACAATCGTTGTATAAACAAGTCAGTTTAGATTTCATTTGAGGTTTTGTATCCTGGATTAGTGCGTGAGAACAATAAAGAACTGTTATAGTTCGGTATTCACTGTCAGTTGGGTTGTTTGGTTTCTGATGTGTCATGTATTGTTAACTGTTTACAGGAACAGGAGTTGATGTACCTAAAACGGCAACGGCGGATAAGAAGAAAAGAGAGAATGCTCCGACTCGCGCACGAAAAACTGTCATCAAACACCTTAAGTAAGTATTGACTGGTGCTGGAACAAGCTTCGCATGACACCTCAGCCTGTTGTACGAAGGCTGGATGGCGCTATCCACTGAATAGTGTTTTCTTCTACTGTTTTTGATGATATGGAGCCTGCAAAATGTTTGGATGATATTAAGCCAACGGTACAAAGCGTAACTTTAGGCAGCCTCGTTCCCAGGCTCTTTGAAGTACTTGAATTTAGGTCTATAAAGGTTTAGTTTGGGTTATAACAAACTATAGACTATTTTAGTGGTATGAAAAAAATATTTTCCTAGAGCTATCCAGTGATCGTACGACTGACCTTTAGGCAGGTGGTGTTTGAATTTTTCTAAAATTACCAGGGCTGTAGTTTTCTAACAAACATACATAAGATCATCTTGCCTCTTGGTAAAGTTCTTTTATCTTATCACTGAATACATATTTGTAGTTAAATAGCAATTAATAGCAATTTTATTGCTATAGTTTATAGTAATACCCAATTTCTCCAACAGTTTACAGCATTTTTTTATTTCTATTTCAGCACGACACCTGCTCGTACTGCAAAGCGAAATCCGACAAGAGTTAAAATTGCCACGAAGAAGACAAAGGATTATGATAATGTGATTGTCAAATACTGGACACACTTCGCAAGATACGTTTCAAATCATTTGTCAGATATCTTTATTGCTGTTTTGTATACCTTGGTGCTCATCGCTATCTTTGCTGAAAGAGCTTATTGTAAGTGATGAGCATAGTCCACGGTGCTATGATGTGAATCATTTCTACACCTCTTCAGTATATCAAGTGTTGAATTCCCAATTTCACCCTTTTTAGAGTCTATTACATAAGGAAATGGGAAGAATCTAAAAACACATATCTTGCAAGCACTCTTAATTTAAAAACGTATTCAACAAGAACCCATTAAATTGTCCATTGCAAATCTCCTCCACTCGTTCTTATTCCGCTTCAAAGTATTTTATTCAATTATTTCTGTCCAGTGCTATATTTAATTCTTGCTTTCACCTGATGGGATTATCGCAACGTTTGACAAACCAAATCTTCTTTCTAGACTATTCTGTCGAACGGGAACACGGTGGCTTACGACGTATCGCTGGTTATGGTGTGACAGTAACTCGTGGTGCTGCAAGTGCAATGATGTTTACGTATTCCTCGCTATTGGTGACAATGTGTAGAAACCTCATCACTTTCCTGAGAGAGACATTCGTTGGACATTATGTTCCTTTTGATTCTAATGTTCTTTTCCATAAATATATCGCACTCTGGGCACTGTTCTTCACAGGTATGAATACAGTTTATCCCCATGAAGTGTGGTGCAGTCTGAGCTTGAAAACTGGACAGTGAACAATATCCAGGTGGCAGTTGTTCAAAGCTAGATTAGCGCTAACCCTGGGTTAAATTTTAATCCAGTGTTTTAGTTTATGTGCTTCTGAACTACCGTTCGTTTTAAAACTTTAGAAAATATTACTTCTGTCGGTTTAGGAAATATTTATGAAAAAAGATATTCAAATTTGTAAACAAGCGATTAAAAAAATTACTATAAAGATTTGCTTTAACCCAGGGTTAAGTTAACTGGCTTTTGAACAACCGGCCCAAATGTCATAGACTGTCATGTTTGAGTAGTAATAAATTATCAACTTTTTTCTTTCCAGTCCTTCACTGTATTGGCCATTCTATCAACTTTTATCATGTCGCAACCCAACCACCAAATGATTTGACTTGTCTCTTTAGAAACTACTTTCACAGGTATTATAATGTTATTTCAGTAGTTTGAATTTCATACAAATAATCAATGATAAATAATCAATACGTGATTTATTTCAACTTTGTATTATCTAAATGGTCGTTTGCTCTCTTTTAGATCTCACGAACTTCCTAAATTCCATTATTGGTGTTGGGAAACAATCACAGGTATCTTCCTATACTTTTGGCTTCCACCTGTATGTACAATATAGGGAGTGTTAACAGACTAGGAGACTGACGGAGCTATCAGTTTCGACTAACAAGAATTTTTAACTGTTATCACCGATCAGAGTGAGTACAATCGCTGTTTCTACAAAACAAAATCTCATTCTTAGGTCTGACCGGAGTCTTCCTGCTTCTTGTGGTTGTGGTTATGTATGTATTCGCAACACAGTACTCAAGACGTCATGTCTTTACATCATTCTGGCTCACCCATCAGCTATACATCGTTCTGTATCTCCTCATGGTCCTTCACGGCAGCGGTAACCTTGTACAGCGGCCGTTCTTCCATTTATTCTTCCTCGGTCCAGGAATTCTGTTTGCGCTTGATAAGCTGGTCAGTATGTCACGAAAGAAAGCTAATATTGCGGTGATGAAAGCAGAACTGCTGCCCTCGGGTAAGAAAACATTTTTTAATGGTCTTTTAAAGTGGAATTCAAGTCCGTTCTGCGCATAGGTTCTGCTCATAACAAGTGTGGGCCCTCTGATGAGAAAATTCCCTAAATTTCGCATGTTTCTTATTTTTTCTTAACATAAACTCTAGTTCATATTAATTTACAAGCACAACGAACCTAAATAGTGTTAGATATTCAGACAGCACATCGTATTTTAAAAAATAGTGAAGTTCAAAATGTAAACAAACCGTTTGTTTACATACGGACTTGACTTCCACTTTAATAATGCATGAACGTTTTCTCATATATGGATTTCCTTTAGGTAACAGCTGAAAAGGGACGCGCATGCTTCCTTTTTCTCATCCTTTAAACAATTTCAAATGTTATTTTTAAACAAGTTGCTTACAAATTTATAAGGCACAAATGCATGCAAAATCGATTCACGTTTGTTAAATTCTTTCAGAAATCATCTGTTTGGAGTTCAAGCGTCCACCAAACTTCGAATACAAAGCAGGACAATGGTGTCGTATTGCCTGTGTCAGCCTGGGCGGTGGGGAGTATCATCCTTTCACCCTGACCTCAGCCCCGCATGAAGACAATCTGAGTCTTCACATTCGTGCTGTGGGTCCCTGGACCATCAACCTTCGTCAGACTTACGACCCCGCCAATCTTCAATCAAAAGCATATCCACAGGTTTGCCTCGTGATGTATTTAAACAATTGACTACTTGGTCTATTTTATGCTAATATTACCATAGCCAGCCCGGTCAATTCGGTTACGTCATACTATCTTATGTATATAATTAAGATAGTATGACGTAACCGCAGTGACCGGGCTGCCAAAATCAATACTAGGCATGTGAGTTATAAAATGTGATCAAGCAAATTTTGTGCATACTTTCTTAAATTCTGTAGCAAGTTTCATAATAGGATAAAACTTTTTATAATCAATTTGGTAGATTTATTGAGCTTTTATTTTAGTTATATTTGGACGGGCCATTCGGAGAGGGTCATCAGGACTGGTATCGCTATGAAGTCTCAGTATTGGTTGGAGGAGGAATTGGAGTCACTCCTTTTGCTTCAATTTTGAAAGATATTGCTCACAAGGGAACAATAAAGTCCACGTTTGCCTGCAAAAAGGTTGGTAATGGAATACATAATTATAGTTTATACAGAATTATATAACGTACCGTTATAAACTACCCTTGTTTGCTTTTTAAAAACTGCTTTTTAGCTATGATTACATCAATTTTTCCGCACGATAATTCTTTGTGAAACAAAACAATCAGACAAAACAAAACAAATCAAACTTGAAATGGGAACTTTGTTGGTGCCAAATTCGTTGAAAGACGAGGATTCGTTTGCTGAAAACGAACGAGTCAAGAATTGCGACACTGAAACGTCCTATGACACTGGTCGACTGTAATTAACAAATGAAATTGTTTCAGGTTTACTTCATCTGGGTAACTCGTACACAGAAACATTTTGAATGGCTGACCGACATTATCCGCGAAGTTGAGGAAAAAGATCAGAACGATCTTGTTAGCGTTCATATTTTTGTCACTCAGTTTTACCACAAGTTTGACTTGAGAACTACCATGCTGGTGAGTGGAAATTTTGTTCTGTTTGTCCCTAGTACAGTGGCGTAGCCAGCACGACAATTGGGGGGCCCATATTCATATACTTGTGATACACAGGAAATTATTCTTTTCAAATCAATTGTCTTTATATGAATACATGGCTACACCACTGCCCCAGCAAGATGTATTTAGATGTTTACAAGATAAATTTTGATGTTTTATTATGTTTTTACTCTCACTCCTTCTCGACTGTTAGGAAGGGCAATTTCTCAAGTTTCGTCTATGTATTGTCTTGTCTAAAAGTACACATGACTGACCATGAATAACCACTGAATAGGTTTTAGTTGGGGCTATGATGACATGACAGATTTATGGTCATTCGAAGGATATTGATTCAGTGATTATCTTCCTAGTATATCTGTGAGCGTCATTTCCAGAAGATCTCAGGCAAATCTCTGTTCACTGGATTGCGATCTATCACTCATTTTGGACGTCCTGACTTTTTATCTTTCCTGGAATCTCTTTCATCTACCATCCACCCTGAGGTAGGAACTTGATTCCATCTAGTATTATGGCATTTTTCTACACAAGTTTGTAAATGAAACTAATGGCATGCGCAAATTGACACATCGTGTATTCGGGCGATTCCCGATGATCTACTCATCATGATTTTATCACTGGCCTCTGGCCCACAGCAGACCTTTATAAAATTTTCATTTTTAAGTCCTCTCCTGGCAGTGCGGTAAAGTTATAATTTTCTTCAACTATTTTACAGGCATCTAAGATCGGAGTTTTCAGTTGTGGACCACCTGCGATGACACGAGGTGTAGAAAGCGCATGTGCAGAGTTGAACAAAACCGAAGGAGCTGCATTCATTCATCATTTCGAAAATTTCTAAGAAAAATATTTCCCCACTCACTACTCTGTTGGTGGGTTTCTGCTAGGCTTTATTATGGTGTTAGACGTGGACCACTATGTAGAATTATCGACACTTGAAAATATATACTAAACGATCCATTACATGCATTTACTATCGAACACAAGGTCACATCAGCACACTCTCACTAAACACTACATAAAGTACTGCACATGGTCGTCAACTTATTAATACATTGTCATTCATTGAAACGAGAAAGTTGTGTTACATATGTCTTATTACCCCTGCTCCCTTATACACAAGGTACCATAGAAAGCACTTAAGATTTATATTTTTTATAGTCAAAAGCACTCATTGCTGCAGCCTTTAAATCAACAAGTCGTTACTTACGGACATTCAAGATTCGCTTTTTTATCAGCGATTACACTTTTAAAAATTACTCATAAAAACTTTCCATTTTTGAGTTGACCACCATGTGCTGTACTGTAGGTAACACGTGTCCAGTGAAGCCTACTAATTATTGTATATTTTGTTCTCAGTGGTCTGTCGTTAATATAACCTAAACTTTGAAGATATTATGAAACATTTTTAATCGTAATAGCTTGCATTCTATACATCTTACTTCATTTTACTGTTGTTTGAATAAATTAATATCTTTGTACTGCACACGTGTTCCATTGTCGGTGCGAGGAAGCGAGGCTTACGGCCGAAAACAAAAGAATCTGCAAATAATGTTGAGAAAGGCTATCGTTCTCTTAACGAGTTAGCTGGATGACAGGAGGAGGAGAATATCAGAACTTGGGAGGCAGTTTCCGTATAGTGCATCATACCCTGGGGCCGGTTATATCAAGCCCGTTTAAAAGTGGATAAGTCAAAATAAAATAACACTCTTACATCTCTCTTGAAGATAAGTGGATAAGTCAAAATTAAATAACACTCTTACATCTCTCTTGAAGAGAGGTGTAAGAGTGTTATTTAAAGTCTCTTGAATGAGTCAACTTAAATATTATGCACTGAATATGTAGTTGTAAACAGTATCTTTGTATTAAGGTTAAAACATAGTAGCTGTAAACAGTATCAAGTACAGTATCAAGTACTTCAAAGAGCTTGGGAACGAGGCTGTCTAAAGTTACTCTTTGTACTGTTGGCGCAAGTTCGCTTGTTGAATGAAGCGATAGACTCGCTTTGTATTTTCAACTTATCCACCGTTTAAGCTAAACGGGCTAGATACAACCGACCCCTGTACGTTTTCTTAAGAAATGGATATTATAACAGCAATAAAGTTTGTTCATGAACTGCGATTAGCCGAGTCTTTGGGTTAGTCTTAGTTAAGTACAATCCTCGTCCCAATGTTTAGAGATTTCGATCTAGTGTTTTCGTGTGGGTACCGTTTCCCATTAAAAGCATTACGGAATATGTGCTTTCAAAAGGACCGGCACATTAGACCGTGATCCAACACCGCAAAACTGAAATGGTGTTAATGAAGTTTCAACCCGAAAATCTAATCACTGGTTCACAATTGTGCATTTCTGTATCGGTGTGAAAGATAATACAACTTGAATAAGTTAAAAAATACGCATTCTCTAACCTTTGACAGCTCATCATACACATCTGGGGCCGGTTGTTCGAAGGGCATTTTGCTTAAACGGTGGTAAGTTCAAAATGGAAAATTATCCGTATTTATTGAACAACTGAACTGAAATATTTCGATGTGAATAGTTTAATTTTCAATGGAAGTGCATAATTAATGCAAAAGATGTAGGTTCAGTCATTCACAAGATGTATGAGAGCATTTTCAAATTCTGGCTTATCCAATTGTATTTGTTTCCCTTTTCTGAAATATTCAGTATCCGCTTGTTTCACGTACTCTGTCTCGTAGCTATGAAAGCGAGGCTACACGCAGTTTACGCGCCAAAAATGTGAAATTCTACTTCCTGCAATCTGATCATCGTGCATCTGATTGGTCGAGAGGAGTTCTCTGCCGAAGGTTCGCATAATTTAAAATTTTAAATTGTAGCTATGTGTTTGGTGGCATAAAAACCAAATTTCTTTCCAAAATTTGGTTTATTTTAACGATCCTTGGCGCTTAGTGTTACTGGTTTCAACTAGAGTGGCTAGTTGTGGTGTTCTTAGATTCGCCTAGCAAGTTATTGGACGAAGAATCCGCAAGATTTGAGCAGAAATGTCGCTTGGAATTCGATCTCGCCTGAACTTCGAAATGAATGAGTGCGTTCAAACGTTATTTTCCCCGCCACCTAACGGCAGGAGTTCTTTTACAACAATAAGCGAAGAAACTAGAGAAAACCTGGATATGTTTGACACGTCTTTCGAGTCGACACCTGACTGGGGTTCCGAGCTTTTAACGCCAACATCGAGTGATTCTAGTCCAAGTTTTATGGATTCACCCTCATCACCAAGACGGATGTCACAACGTGAGCCAATCAGAAGGACTCCACCTAATTCTCCCCCTTCCCTTCGTGCCCTGAGACTGTTCGACACCCCACATACACCTAAGACTTTACTAGAAAGATCTAAGAATTTTGATGTTGTCCAACCCGAGAGCCCCGACATACGAAGTACCCGCCCAAAGAGGTTTGCCTTAAAATCAAAGCGATTATTGGGTGAGAGAAAGCCCTTCTCTGAGCCAAGGAACCCTGGCGGGCGTGGACAAATTGAGGCAAATATTAATCCATTCACACCGAACCATAATGAAAGCACAATACAGAAACATAAAAGAAGCCGTATGAATCTTGATGGGTAATTTTGATTGTTTTAACTTATTTAAAGCTAGCATATAGAAAGTGCAACCTCTACATCTTAGGCAGAGTCAAGAATGTGATATTTGTAATGCAGCAAACTGCTCATATTAACCATCATCATGAACTGGTGGAATAGATGATAGACTTAGTTACACACTGAGATCATTCCCCACTAACGATGTAACCCTTTGATTGTATTCAGCCACTCTGGAGACATTCCAAAAAAATTTCCCATTATTTTATTTCTTTATTCCCATTTCCCACAATCTTATTATTCTCACTTAAGTCTATTCCCCAAATCAATTAATATGAAACTTGATACAATATTATTTATTACAATATTATTTAAAGGTTGGGTGCAATCCCATAATGTAAACAAATGCTTTAAATATCAGCAATTTAAAATCAAGTAGCCTATTCCCTAATGTTATAAGCAGTACTGATGACCAGAAACAGCTGCAGTAACCACTCTTTAACTAAATTTCTCAGTAGTCCTCTGATGTACGCCTTTGTTGCTTGACTTATAAACGACTCAAGGCAGCTGATAAAGTACTTAAACATATTTTTGTTGTTGAATTTTTGAACTACAGAACTAGCAACAAGTTGTTAAAAGTGCCTTGTTCCAAATTATAAATGATGTATCCCCTATCCCATTTAAAATTGATTGCATTTAAAACAATTTCATTAACTTAGTGATGACCCGTTTAATGAAGTTGATGTTGATGCTGAAATTCTTGGAAATCCTACTAAGGTAAACATGGAAATGTTAGTCTAGTTTCATGTATTTGCCAATTTTTTATTTTTCCAACATATATTCCTGTAAATCAGAAAATAGGATTTCTCCTCAACATTGTACCCCTCTTTTGTCGTAAAAAAGACAAGCTCTAGCTGATAGGAAAGTTGTAGGAGGACTGTACCCTAAATTAAGGTTTAGCTGAGAGACTAAATATATGTACGATTTTGTAGGGAATGGGGTAACGTAAATAGCAGTGATGTAATGTATAGGTATAGCAGTCAGGGTAACTTTTAAGGGTACTATATGGAAAAGCGTTTCCTCCAAAAAACTCGTTCATCTCGACCACGAAACTCCCAAAGAATCCTGAAAATTCCTATCCAAGAAATTACTAAAGTCGCAGATCACCAAAAATTAACCCTTAGAATCTAGACATAAGTTCAAAATCTCTAAAAATTCCTATATGTGACAAATCGTTAAAGAATCCTCACAAATTTCCCCGGCCCAGGCGTGCAAAATCCAAAGTTTTTTTAAAATCTCAACACCGTTTCTTAGAGCGTGACAAGCCCAAGGCTGTGTAGGCTCCTAATGCAGACCCTGTAAAACTGTATCTAAACCCCGTAAAAAAACAAAACATTTTGCCTTATTTTTCAAAAAACTTTGCAGTTTTACTCATTTCCTTAGGCTTAGCTATTTTATACACGCTATTTGAATCTCCAACTCGAGGCAGCAATGAACGTTTGTAAATTCTAGTCTCGTGTTTTTGTAATGCTGGCTATAATGATTATTTAGAAACTTCACTTACGTGACAATAATATCTCAAGATACAACGCTGAATTTGTCGAACTTAAAGAGATTGGTTCTGGAGAATTCGGATCAGTTTTCAAATGCTTGAACAGATTAGGTAAGGCGATGGAGTTTATATCATAATCAGGATCTTGTTGTTACTCACGAGATTTACCATTTTTCTTAGATGGATGTATTTACGCTCTTAAACGATCAAAAAAGCCAGTAGCTGGTTCCATTGATGAGTAAGTTCATGAATGTTGTTGTCACATTGAGTCAGTGAATGCAACCGAATGAGAATCTTTCCGTATACATTTCTGTATTTTGACAATAAGTGTTTAGTTACGATTTAGTATTTCACTGTTTCTTTCATATTAAAAAATCCTTCATAGACATAGCTAGTTATCATTTTTACGGGACTAACGACAAGCAGTATTTCATCTAACCCACCTCCCGCGCAATTCTTCCTTTCTCTCCCAATCAGACAAAATGCCATCCGTGAAGTATACGCTCATGCCGTGTTGGGTCGTCATCCACATGTGGTTGGATATTACTCTGCCTGGGCTGAGGATGACCATATGTTGATACAAAATGAATATTGCAACGGTAAGTGATTTCCGAAATCAACTGTGATTTCCTAACCTGGATGGTAAATCCAGCGTGTCTACTCATGGTCGACAGCCCATTAATCCAACCAAATTCCGTAGCAACATCGTGCTAATGCTATACTGCAGACTAATTTACGTGTCAGTGAAGTGATATATCCAGCTGATATGTTATTTAGTGCCTTTATTCGCTAAATATTTCATGTGCCCTGACAAGTTTTGTGTGAACTGCTTATTACTTATCGTTTATTGATGCATGCAAACATGAAAGGCAGTATTGTTAGCATTTTCATAGCCGTTTCTTTCTCCAGGTGGTAGTCTAGCAGATGTTATCGCAGCAAATGAATCGCAAGTGAAATTCATGTCCGAACCTGAATTGAAGCTATTATTATGTCAAGTTTCTCAGGTTGGTGTATTTTTCTGCCTCCATCAATCTATTTTAACAATTGCTTTCCAATTTCTTCTTATGAGTCATAAACACTATTATTTCTATTCCAGGGATTGAAATATATCCATTCATTAAACTTGGCCCATCTTGATATCAAACCAGGCGAGTTTTTTAGTGTTTAAATTTTTGTTTTCCACTCTATGCTAAAGTATACTATCTTGCGTTTGCCAGGCAACATATTTTTGACATCAGGTTCAGAGAATGACGTAGATTGCGACGATGATAAAATGGATTTTGATGGATGCAATGAGATTAAAGTTCAGACCTATAAAATCGGGGATCTTGGTCACGTAACCTCGATAACTGAACCAAAAGTTGAAGAAGGTGACTGCAGATATCTACCAGCAGAAATTCTTAGAGAGGTATATGCTTGCATTGATATATTCTAGCTTTACTTGCATAAAACCACAACCTGATCGATGGCAGAATATGGCGACTCGTATTGAAGCAAGAATTTGAATATATATTCGGTATCTCAACGCTGTAAAATCCAAGTGGAACTGTGCGGTGTAAGATAAAGTAAAATATGACTATTTCGATGCATTAAATGAAATGGTTTCATTTGTTCTCATAGGATTATGGAAATTTACCAAAAGCAGACGTATTCTCGCTTGCTTTGACTGCATTAAGGGCGGTAAGTTGTTACAAACGGTGCGGGGTTCACTTCATGAATTTACAGAAACTGCTTGGGTGGTTTTTTTATTCCTGTCAAAGGGGGGCGTAGGCTGCATTTTTCCAAATGCTTTTTTCAGCGATTGGAGTATAATATATAGAGAATTCTTATATGGTTACGCGGAAATATGGAATTTATTTCGAGTGTTGAAGATTATTGCTCTTCAACACGAGGAATAAATCCATATTTCCAAGCAACCATGTAATATTCTGTTAATTCTATGAACAAATTATAAGCAAACGACAATTCTTAGTAACTTAAAAACAAAATATATATTAAAGCGCGCACATTTAAAATAACAATGTTCAGTCAAATGTGAAGTTGTAATTATAGTCTCTTGAGCGTGTATATAAATATGGTATAAAATAAAAAACGAACGTAAATTGTGAGCTAGAAAGAATTTTTGATTGGTCAAACATGTTTCCTACGCAGTTTTTGATTGGCTTGCGAAATAATATCGTATTTTTACGTGTGTTTGAATACGAGTTTTCTCGGTGGCGTAAAACTCTATATAACACTCGTGTTCATATAATAAATAGAAATAATGGTTGACAAATACCTTTATTATTCCTTCTTAGCGCTGTGTGACTGTTTTTTTTCGTTAGTATTCTAATGACCTATGTTTTCTCTTAAGGGTGGAGTTCGCGAGTTACCGAAGAATGGTCAAAATTGGCATATGATCAGGTTAGAGTTAAATATATTAAAATACAATCAAACAAAGATAATGCGAGTTGCTGCTCTCTCACTCGCGTTTCACTTGAACGTTTGTCACCAATTATCCGTACTTTAATCAACGTAAAACAGTTTATCTGCTTAAAGCTGATTACTCGAGTCCAGTCTCTATAACCACACATTTAACTGGATCATCAACTCAAAGTTTAATTTGAGCAGTTTGTGCGGTGATGTAAATGATATAAATTTGTATAGCGATTTGTAAATGATATAAATGTAAATTTAATGTTTTAGTAATATCCATTTTTTGTTTAGACAAGGGAAATTGCCATCCCTAGCGCAATGCAGTCACCAATTCAATAATTTATTAATGGTACGTAGCTAATATGTAATAATGGATTAATGCATTAATTTGGATACTTTTAGATATATTTTAAAAAAATTACTATTATTTTTTCTTGTTACTTGTAGATAATGACAGACCCTGATCCAGTGTGTCGTCCTTCATCATTAGACTTAACTAAACATCAAGTACTCTGTCCATTTGCTAACAAATCAAAGGTAGAGAGAAACGAATAAATGCGAATCATGTTTCAATATTTTATATATGAATTATTGTTATGCTTTAAGTCTATAGTTCATACTACACAGTACTACACATTAATACAATTCACTTTCAACTTTTTTTTATCATAGGACCAATTAAGAAAAGAATTGAACACAGAGAAATTTAAAAACGAAGTTCTGACCAGGTATAGCAGGGGTTTTTTCAATAAATTGGAGCTTTTTTCCAATTTCAAGTTAATAGCACTTCAGAGTCGCAAAAAAACCCCGCCGAACCTCGCAAACATATAGAACTAAAGACTTTGAAAAGCAATAGGATACCCTGTGTTTTGCTACGATACAGTTGTAGTGGGAAACGGCCTTGACTTAATCAATATTCTTTACTGAAACTACGTTTTCTGACGTATTACAATCTCTCGACAGGGAACTGGAACAGACTCGTGCAGCAAATAAAATGAACCAAGGACCAGGTCGGACATCAAATGGTCGATTAGTGGGTCACAAAGTGAGCCGCAGTATGAGTATGTCTGTGATCATGTAGTTTTTAATCATCCAGCAAATTTTAATATGAATAACACGGAGTAACTTTGTATTCAAAATGAATGTCTGATGGGATTCTATCACTACGATGGTCGCGCGCACCGTCAAATCACAATGAATGTAATTATTAGTCCTTTCAGTAAGCCTTGCAATTTTTAGAGGTAGCAGGTCGAGGGCAGCTTAGAGTTTGTCCTCCGAGATATAAATTGCATTTTTCGCGCTCAGTGCTTGAGCGGTACTGATTTTGAAACTTTACTTCTAGCCGAAGAAAATCAAGTTCTATTTTATCTTAATGTGTTTTAAAGGATATGGTTGAAAAGGACTTATTATTTTCAATCAGAAATTTTGTAAATAAACATTTCCTAACGATTTCTGTATAGTTAGTAGAATTGTCTGTTAGTTTTTAGATATTTTAGTAGAATAAACGTTATCAAGTTAAATGCCGGGCAGTGGGCTCTTTAAACTGAGGCGACTGAAGTAGCCTCAAATTCTATTTCGGATTAGTAGATTACACATCGACCCGTTCAATGTAATTCGCCATACTTATATGATTTGGCCAAAAAAAAGTCTGATTTCATCTTTATCTATATAAACCGGAAGAACCGGTCAAAAGTACGACGCCTAGGTCGTCGTCTTAATAATATAAATTCCACTCGTTTTTGTTGTTTTAAAAATCATTGGCAGATGTCAAATTCAATCAAGAAAAGTTAGAAGTAATATTTAAGAGATAATATTAAACCTACCAAGGCGATGAATTTTGAAATAAATCAAAAAGTTATTAGAAAGTTTACATACAGGAAATGGCATAAATTCTAGGATAAACTATTTCCTGGTCTTCTTATTCTACATATTGCAATAAAAACGTCTGTCTTCAATCCCTACTTTTCCTCTGAACCAAATCACAAAATTTTTTAACGAAATCTCGATTGCCCACAAACTAAATTTCAAGGCAAATGCATCCAAATACTTCGCCGGAATAATAAAGCATATGTAATTTTCGATCTTTAATCTAACTTATAATCTATTTCAAAGGCAATGACGAAAATTGTCTGCCGTTCACTATGTCTGCTCAAAAAATGCCCTTGTTATCTTTTTTAGCCCGCAGCATTGCATTTACATTGCAGGTATCCTTGTCTATACATTAGGTGGGAAAATCCACTGAGCTATACTATAATTCCTTAGATGTCTTAAAAACAGCCCGAGATCTTAATCGCACCGTAAAATCTTATCTAAAATCAATATGCAGATCTCTCCCGCACTATTGGCTCTTAATACCCCCCTTTCCATTCCCATTAGGAGGTTTATAATCAACAATATCTAAAATCCAAAGTCTAGTAGCAGAGATTACAATACCAGGTAAATTTTACTCAAAAGGGTTGATAGATCAGCGAACAAATTACTGCATAAGTAAATTGCAACCAAAATATAAAACACTGGGATCATGGATTAAATGAAGCATTTAAGCACTCACCCAGGAACTAGGTTAAGCTCGTAACAGCCTTCGTAGAAAATTCCCGTTGGAACGAGATTGGCAACCCGAACACTGACATCATGCTTTCAGGCAGCATTTCTCCCCACGCGTAACCTAGTATCTAGATAACAATTTAACGCTTCGTTAAATAAGTTCGTTTATCCCCCAAAGAACATGATGACGACACCGGAAAATGGCAATTCAACACCACAGCAAAACGAAACTCGCATTAAGGGACCCAATACTACACCTGACACAGGTGCCGTTCCAATAAAAGAACGAGGAAAACGCGCCAAAGCTGCTTCAATACTCATTTCTGCGTTGGCCGCGATTGCAACCGTGTCTTTCTTGATCGTAGCCGAGGAAGGTAAAGAGAAATTTTATTTATGGCTCTTTCCTTCCTTATTAGGATTATTCAGTGTGTTCGCTGGTGCATTGGTCAGCCGTCATATTAGCAGTCGTCATAATGCATCACCCCTTTTCTGCGCAACATTGTTTGACCTTTTCCCGTCTGCCAACTCAATGAAGTGCCTTTCAGGATTAAATTGTGTGTCATACTTAATAAATTTGCTAAGATCATGTACTATGTGTGTTGTAACCCCACAATCAACTGATATTAACCATTAATATCAATATTATTTATATCAACACCTACTCTAAAAAGATATGACTGATCATGGTGCACACTATCATGATATTTATCATTATTTCTTACGAATTTTTCTGTGTTGTTGGTTTTGTTTTTACAAACAGCGCACCAGCGGTTTCTTGAACGACATTCTGAAATTTTATACCCCGGTTTTCCATACCCATAGCAAATGATTTTTCCTTTATCCGACTTGCCAGATTTACCGAGAAAGACGCTCTCCTCCTTTGGGTTTCCTTTTTCTGAGAGTTTTTGGGTTTCTTCAAAACTTCTTAATGATACTTTAAACTCGCTAAACGATTGTTTTTTGTCTCTCTGCGTTACCACAGTTGAAAACGCTTTGTACTCTTCCGAAGGTAATCCTTTGATGATCATCGCGATCAGTAGACTATCACTTATTGTTTCCCCAGCAGTCTTTAGAGATGTGGATGCTGTCTCTGCCCGCACCATATAATCTGTAACAGATTCATCGCTCGATTTCGTAGGAGAGGTAAATGGTTAGTTCAGTGTATAGAGATATAACACGTGGTTTGCCCTTCGATAAATAATGTTCACGCTGACGCAGGATTGCCAGGGCCTTTCGTCCATCATTTACTGCGTCTCGGATGATAAGCGACCGACTTCGATCATCTAGTACTTGTGTCAGCTCGGCAAATGCGTCCGCGTTTTTGGTTGTGTCTGCTCGTACTTTGTATGGTATTGCTCAATGTTTTTAGCTTTGATAGCCTAGAAACATAGAAAAGATATAAATTAATAGTGGGTGCATGTAGAAAAAACATTAAATATTGTAAAATATAAATATAAAAATTGTTGATATTATAGCAGTATAGACATAGAATATATAATTCTATATAGACAAACTGTATTAAAATTTAACACTGCATCAGCAATTTTTTCAAATCATTGTGTAACTAAATTTCTATATCTATCTTTATATCTAGCTTACATACAATTACAACCAGCAACATAAAGGATTTTCTTGAATACGGAAGTAAACCCGAATGGGGGGGGGGTCTTAGGACGAGCCCCGCAGTGCCGGTGTTGCATTGAAGCCAAGAGCAGTTGTGTGTCTTAGTGTCGATCTATATACATTTAATAAAATAGTTATATTTAGGTATCTAATGGCCCATAGTAAAAATCACAGTTAATATCCTAAAGTTGAATACTGTCAGAAAATACATATTTAGCTCCAGCCTTTGTTGTACTATTATAAGTATTATTGTGAGTCAAGTCTTGAGTCAAGTCCAGGTTTTACAAATTAGTCCACTCCAGGTTTTACAAATAAGTCCAGTCCACGTTTTACAAATAAGTCCAGTACAGGTTTTACAAATTCGTCCAGTCCAGGTTTTACAAATAAGTTCAGTCCAGGCGCCGGTTGTTCAAAAGTCGGTTAGCTTAACCCAACATGTTTTTCAAGTTTTTTCGGTGCAGAAGCATATAAACCAAAACAGCGGAGTAAGATTTAACCCAGGGTTAGCGCTAACCTAGCTTTGAACAACCGACCCCAGGTTTTACAAATTAGTCCAGTCCAGGTTTTACAAGTCCAGTCCAGGTTTTACAACATGTTGCTAGGAAGCGTTCTTCGTCGAACGCAATAATCACCGTGGTAATAATAATTTTAACGCTTCGTTTATCCCCCAAATAACATGATGGCGACACCGGAAAATGGCAATTCAACACCACAGCGAAACGAAACTTACAGTTACGGATCCAATATTAGACATGACACGGGTGCTGTTCCAATAAAAAAACGAGGAAAACGCGCCAAAGCTGCTTCAATAATTATTTCTGCATCGGCCGCGATTGCAACTGTGTCTTTCTTGATCGTAGCCGAGGAAGGTAAAGAGAAATTTTATTTATGGCTCTTTCCTTCCCTACTAGGATTATTCAGTGTGTTCGCTGGTGCTTTGGTCAGCCGTATGTGTCTTTTATTTGAAGAATGTCGCCATATTAGCAGTCGTCATAATGGCAGTAAAATGAAGATGTTCAAATTCTGTTTCAAAGGAATTGATTATGGAGCAATTGGTGCATGTATGGGTTTAATCATTATGGTGCTTGCTGGATTTATGATTGGCGGTCTAGTTGAGTTGGATTACAAACACGGCGCTATCTTGTGTAGTGGTGTAGGAATTGGACCACTTATCTTACAAGTTCTTAAGCTTGACACTCTTTCCGCTGTTCATATTGAAACTATTCTGGAAGATCAACAGACGTATGTGGCTAATGTTCTAGCATGGCATTACTATTATAACTACCTCAAAGAGACGCTGCCAGAAATACCAGACTTGATTAAGGAAGCTGGGTTGCAAAACCATCTCTCTACAATGAAATTAATTATTCTGATTCCACTAGATTGTGACACCGCGGTTGAAATTTCCACGGTGGATCCAAATCATTTCACAAAAAAGGGATCTCTGAGATTAAAGAAACAGCCTAATATTAAGCTGCATGTGTACGAAGTTAAGTCTTCTAGTGGAAAAGAATATACTCTTGTGATGCAACTTGCTAAAATACCGTTGGACACATTGGATTATATGAGCAAGCACGCCGACATCCTTTCAGTTCACAAAAAATCGCGCCAACGCGAAATCAAATTATTCTACCAGACACTTAATGATATTTTGGCGGATTGCGAGAAAGATTGTAGACATAGATGCTTGCTCGTAACTTATCACACGAAAAAAGGCCGTGATGGCACATTAGCAAACGAAATAGTGCGACTAGTGAATAGCGAAACTTTCTCCCATGCTGAGGATGATGTGTTTGATGAAAATAGTTATGCAGCTACCAGCACAACCCATAAAGGTAGCACGTCTACCAGAGATGAAAATACCGCCCACGAAAATACAGATCATGAAAGTACCAAATGTGATCTTACCGACGACATGGCAACATCTGGAAACGATTCATCGCTTGAAACATTTCCCCTATTTAATATAGGGAAATCTCCGGGCTCCGGGATTAATTAGCATATCTCGATCCCATGCAGATATTGCGACCTTATACAGGGTGTATCAAAAAAAATGTCCCAAATGTAAAATTTCCGTTTTTCAGGATATTTTGCAGAATTTGGCAATTTTTTGTGTTCCTAGAGATAGTTAAGACTTATCTGGTATACCTAGGCTAAGTTTGGTTTTTCATTTACAAAATTATGTTACCGGGGGGGTGGTTCCTTTCCACTGATATTGAGAGGGCTTGCGCGCGAAAATGTGAAGCTGAAATTCAGATATTATTTAACTGTCTAAAAGTAGGAAAGCTTTTTAATAAGCTGTCAAAGTTTCAGGAAAAATAATGCAAACTGGGAGCAACGCGCGACCCCTAAAAGTGACAAATATTTCATTGCGCGCAGTGGATTAAATGCATGGTTGATTTTAGCGTGACCGATCTCATGCAAGGCTGTGCAAATGAATAAATTAAAGCGAGAAACTGAACAAGACGACGAAGCGATTTAATAACAAGATTTTTATTCTTGATGTTAATCCTCAACATTTCTACCATTTCTTTCTAAGCAAACTGCGGCTCGTCTGAGCATGGTAAACCGTAAACACTGAACGGCGAACCACATTTGTCTGTCCTGCCTCAAATTATCCATTTCGTTCGAAATTCTTTCTTGCAAATCGCCTACGCTACCACCGGCAAATCTAGGCGAATGGACAGACAAATGGTTCGCTGTTCAGTGTTTAGTATGCTCAGACAAGCCGCAGTTTGCTTAGAATGAAATGGTAGACATGCTGAGGATTAACATCACGAATAAATCGCTTTGTTTTTGTGTTCAGTTTCTCGCTTTAATTTATTCATTTGCCCAACTTGTATGAGATCGGTCACGCTAAAATCAACGATGCATTAAATCCACTGCGCGCAATAAAATATTTGTCACCCTTAGGGGTCGCGCGTTGCTCTCAGTATGCATTATTCTTCCTGAAACTTTGACAGTTTATTAAAATGCTTTCCTACTTTTAGACAGCTAAATAATATCTTAATTTCAGCTTCACATTTTCGCGCGCAAGCCCTCTCAATATCAGTGGAAAGGAACCACCCCCCCGGTAACATAATTTTGTTACTGAAAAACCAAACTTGGCCTAGGTATACCAGATAAGTCTTAACTATCTCTAGGAACACAAAAATTTGCCAAATTCTGCAAAATATCCTGAAAAATGGAATTTTTACATTTGGGACATTTTTTTTGATACACCCTGTATACACTGAAACCGAGAACAGATGTCAAGGATTAAAATGTTTTTCATATAACTTATAGTTTATGAGTAGAAACCGTCAACATTCGGTAGCATCTTTGATTATCGGTGGCATCATTTAAAATACTTATATTTTTTGCATTGTACGTTGTAACGAGCAACGAGCGAGTCTCCTTTGCGGAGAGCAACGGCGCAGCCAGGCACTGGGGACGAGGATGCCGCCTACCATTGAAAATGAACCTCTTCAGGCTTTTGCTAGCCTGTTAGCAGCCTGAAATTATGCCTAAGGAGGCTAAATAGTAAATAGTTTTCAACTGATTCCATTCATCAATTGTTTTACTCGTTATACATAATATTAATTATATATGTAATGTACTCAATAAATATATTAAAAAAAAAATAGATAAATAAAAAAAATAAATAAATAAAAAAAAATAGAAAAAAAAATAAAAAAAATTTTTTGGCATAACTATAGAATAATAGGTTACCATATAATAGGGTAAGAAAAAAGCTTTAATAGGACAACCTTTAGTTTATTAATAATTGAACATGCTTTAGGGTTGATTTAGGGCTAGTTTTAGCTAAATATAAATATATAGTGATATGAAAACACGACAATGGGGATTAATATACACTGGCTTGTTGCTTTATTATTAATAATGACATAACTAGATCAAGAATTTTGACAGCATATGGAAAATTAAAAATTACTGATGTGCAAATAATATTTCTAAACTAATAATCAATTGTCGCATTTGCGTGACCACCTCCTGTTTCATAGATACGACGCGAGACAATTTAGTACGAACGAGACCATTTTTCGGAAGGGTACCGTCTGCTCTTCTTGCCCCCTTCCTTCTGCTGTAAGAGATCTGGGTCCGGGATGCCCTATTTTGCTCCTATTCGAAGTCCCTGGATGCAAGGCAGTCAATACACCCTTCCGGAAAGCAGATGTTTGACTATCGAGCCTCGTTTTCATGTTACACACTTACTTTAGGCCGTGTTCTATATTGTTGTTTGTGACTTTTATGTATTAAATGTATTAGGTTTTTAAAACATTTCTTCGCATCCTAGTACCTAGTGACGAAAGGGTGTATTCTTCTCGCACAGTAGATGTATCCTTGGCGTATATAAGATATATATCTTATAAGATATATATCTTATATACGCTCTGATGTACCCTAAGCTTCTATACGTTTTCTAGTGTGCACGCTATAGGTTTCATGTCTTTTAAACTTTTTCATACAGATTTTAGATTTCGACCCTCAACAAGATTTTCATTACTATTTTCAGCGTCATTAGACTGGTTTTGTCTATCGTAAAAAAATATTTACTTCATTGGTCACTGACAATGGATCGTAGAACATCGCCGATGAATCACGACATGAGAACCAGGCTTAAGCAACATGTTGGTACAGGTTAATCCATGAAGAGCACAGTCACTTGTCACCCCACTACTTAACAATAGTTTTCATTGTTCATTGTTAGGTAGTGGGGTGACAGGTGACAATAGTTAACCTACCAATAGTTTTAACCTAACAATAGTTTTAACAAAAATTTTACCAAGGTTTTATATTATCAATGGTTTCCCGAAATGAGTCTCACTACCGAGTAAATCGTCTTTTCTGCGAGTACGTTAACTATGAGATAATCAGTATTTATCCCTTAGTATCCCAACCGTAACCAAAGTACTCTACCTAATCCCCCACATAAACATGGCAGATTTTTTCGACTGTAATTATAGATTTTCACATACTTTGTAAACTCGTTGTATTGTTATTGCCTATTGGTTTCTTTCTTAGCCAAGAAATGCAAGGAATAATATTGGATGAAACTTCACTTTTCTTCAATGACGTCAAGTGATAAATTTGTTTTAAGAATAGTCAGCCGCAAGGGTGAAAATATCGACTGGATTGTCCCTTGTCAAACTGCTTTCAGAGATGTTTTGGTGAGCTGTGCTATTTTTGTAGCTTCAATAGTAATAACTGATGCGTACTGGATGTTAATGTCACTTATTCAAGTTTTTAGCACTTGTTTATAATACTCACATTCACACACAAAAATTATGATTCCATACTTTCAATTACTATATCCCAAGCAGTTTTGAGAAAGTGGCAAGATTAAGTTTACTAAAAACCCCTAAATCATAATTATCCTATCAGTTGAGGCATATACATTTCATGTTAAATGATGGTCCAAAAGCAGTATAAAAGTATAAGGAGTATATGACAGGCAAAAAGTCAGACAGGATCAAAATTAACAACCCAGAGTACTAATCCCAAGCCACTCGAAGTTTAAATACCTCTATTATAGTTGAGTGTGTAGTAATTATAATTTTTTTATTTAGGAAATTGTTGCAAAAGTTCATACCGGTGGCACTACAACAGCATTTGAATGTATGCTAAATTAATTATATTATCATATAGATATATTGGCTCTCATGGTCTATACAAGATGAAGCCTGATTGGAAAAGGTGTTGGGCCCTCCTCTTAAGTGGCAATTTGTTTTCTGAATTTAGGATAGCAATCTTTAAACGCTAGCCTATTCTTATTTCAAAATCTCAAGCTAATTGACTTAAAATTCTATTAAACTATTTCCCCCCTCTCTTGGCTGATCTGTTGCCTGCCGACTTGCTTTTCAATAGGTTTGCAAAAAACTGTTATTGGTGTGAACTAGCTAATTTAGAGACACTTTCCTTGTGATATTAACCTCTAGTATAGTTTTTTATCTTTTTTAATTCAGATGAGGACGAAGATGGAGACAGGATAACAGTTCGAAGTGATGAAGAATTAAAAGCCATGATCGATGTATGTTTCATAAATTTAAAGGATTTGTGATAAAATTATTCTGGCGGTGCCTAGGAACCAGAGGGAACAGAGGCCACATGCCCTCCCAAAAATTTTCAGGGGACCAAAAGTGCCCTTTTTGTGATGAAAAATGCCTTTTTGGAAAGACTAATGTAGCTGTGAATGTAATTTAAAAATCGAAGGTGCCCTTTTTGTTTCCTGCGTATGCATGCCCACTTACATGTGCTTTTTTGTAGAGCAAAAATATAAACCACACTAGTGGTGTCCTTGCAGCTTTGGCAATCAAACGTGCCGCTGGATGCTTTCTACGCCCCTGTCTTCAAGGGAGGATGACCCATAACAAATTCATTTGACGTCTGATTTTATCACTACTAAATTGTAATTTGTATAATTTAGTAGCCATTTGTTAGACTTTGCAAAACTGTGTTATAATTCTTTAAAATAGCTCTCAGCTGCTTCCAACTGGATTAAGCATTGTTAGCAAACTGTAAGATCAATGCTGTTGAGAAAACCCTTGCCTGGGTACGAGGTTGTGACCATATTGGTTTCAAAGAGGATCCTTAAGCTGCTGCATCAAGTGCTGATCTAAAATGTTTTATTAATATTTCAGTACCACTGGATGGGTCAAGATCCTTCAACAACACCTTTGAATGTCTATCCAAAAGGTACCATATGGTCAGATTTTCCAAATCATGTGAAATGTTTGTTATTTACAGTGTATTCACAATCCTCAGTTGAGTAAGCTTTCAGCAAGCATAGAAATAACTAAATACTGGAGTGATATTTGACCTGTTAAATATATTTTCCAGTTAGTTGTCTTTAGTGTACACCATCTTTTGATTGATGGTTACACCCAAGAATAGTTCACATTCTTCATGACTAGGCCTTTGTTTATTTCCCTCTCCCTGCTAGATTATATTAAGCCTATCCCTGCCTATAATTCCTCAAATGTCAATTTTCCTCAATGGTTTGTTCTGCACAGATAGGAATTTAACCTTTACCTACACAAAAATTCAAATATTTTTAAGCTTGTAAAACACCAAGTAAAAGGAATGTCCATGGTCTAAAAGTATGTCATTAATACCATGCCTTTCACTTCGTATTCATATTTAAACTATATATTTTATTGTGTATTATAAATTAAATTATATTATTTTGTTAGGTAAACACAAAGGCACCACCGGTTGCTATCACAACAACAAAGCAGATTAGTTCCAAAGCAGTGCATGAGTAAGACCTAGACTGAAATATTTTTGTTTGTTGCTATCAACTTTAGATAGAAATGTTGATGTGTGATTCATATTTATCATTATTTATAATTTAGAAAGGTACCTGCTCCACCAGGAAGCTTGAGGACAATCTTGGCAAGTGGACAGGTATGGTAGTCTGTATATAACAATTTTGGTAAAACAAGCTCATAATGAAATGGTAATAATATTACGTACTGCATCCTTATAATGGTCAGAGTCATTTCTAGAATAACGAGATGTTTGATTTTCGTCTTAATTATTATTGAATCTTTTGTTTTGGTAAAACTAGGTTTCCCACGAGGAACTTCAATATCTCGAGATTCTGGGTCATGGCATTGGAGGAACTGTGTACAAGTAAGATGTACTAAAGCCACACACAGTTTCTAGTGACAAATATCCTGTAATGATCGATTGACTCCCTTTCTTGTCGCGCAGATGTTGTCACACGACCTCTCAGAAAACGATGGCTGTCAAGGTATTATAATTCTTTGTCACAACTCATGCAGGCTATATATTTGTATGTCACCATTGATACCCTGTATTGTAGCTTTTAAATTGAGAGTATTTATAAGCGCCGCTTTGACTGAGGAGTTACGTACAAAAGCGAAAAAAAATATCCTGATCTTTAATACAACACTTTCAGTTGAATTAAGTCGAGTTTATTGCAATAGTATAGTAAAATCAATATATCATAAAAATGAAAAAGTGTGCGCTGCACCTGAAATTGTAATTAGATCAAATAAAATTTCATTATCTCTTCAGGTTATACCTTTGGATTTGACTCCAGACGTTCAAAAACAAATATTGTTAGAATTGGATATCCTGTTTAAGGTTCGTCTTCGAAAAGTTATTTCGGAAGAAATGTGAAATATCGGCTATTTCATGCTTGCATTATGCCCGCGCGGAGTTTCCACTGCATGCGTACTTGCATGAGACCAGCTCTGTACTAGGAAACTCGTGTATGATGCGATTCCCTCCAGTGATTCCAGGGGCTTACCCCGGATTATCCGGTCTCTACCTCCTCCCTTTCTCCCTCTCTCCACTATGCTATCCCTTGGGAACTTATAATGAGGCGACCACAACTGGCTAACACTGTAAGGACTAAGGGACTATGCATCAAATCATGAACTACCGACTTACAGCAAGCGAAAAATTCTAACAGTGTTTCGTAATATACTAGTTACTAAAGGCTAATTTCCACTCCGGAAAACGAGCAGCGGATCGGAACGGATCGGATTTTTTTCCGAGCCTGGTCCGATCCATGAAGTGATTTCGGATCGGATAAAAAAAGTTAAACTATTTGAACTTTTTTTATCCGTTCTCGGACGCTTTCGGATCAATATAAGCCAAAAATTTCAACAGACGGCGCACGCGCGGATTATCTTTCGTTCCGATCCGATCCGCTGCTCGTTTTCCGGAGTGGAAATTAGCCTTAAGTTGCAGCAAGGTTGTTTCTCAACAACTTGCAAGTTGTTGAAAGTTTATAAAATGCAGATAATGACAATTTTTGGTCTTTAAATATAATCTATACCAAGTCTTATGTGTCGACATATCTGTCATAATTTGGACGCAAACAGTCTGTAATGATATCTTGCATCGTAACAAGTTAAATCCACATGTTGCTATATAAAAGTTTACTGTACCATAGGACAAAAAAAAGAGTTTAGAAAGGTTACCGCTTTGCATGATACATATAAATTGTATTTTATTTAAAATTTCAGTGTGAGTCACCTTATATTATTGGTTTCTTTGGCGCGTTTTTTCTTGAAAGCTTGTAAGTTTCAGTAAAATATGTACAGTAGTGTGCTTTAAGGCGGATCTAATTTACTTCTGACGTATGAAATGTAGTTTGTTATTTATAAAGCATTACTGCATGTATTGTCTTTAGTTCATCTGCTGTCAATATAAGTTCCAAGTCAAGAGACTATAAAAGTATAAAACAGCTATTATATTAACTTTGGCGGTGTATTTTGCGGACTAAAATGATAAATTTGCCGGGCTGAAATATATTTTAGCCCGCTGATCTAAGTCAATCAGAAGATTGATTGAAGTGTTTATCCATTGCAAATTTTTTTATACACAAAAATTGCCCATTAAAGTTAATATAATAGTCATACAGTTGATGTTCTTGGGCATAAATGTGTTTTAGGCTCTTCTCAGAACACATGAGATAAAACGAGTTCAGAGTCGGGCCAAAAACACATTTATGCCCGCGAACATCAACGCTATTGTTATATCAGAAGTGAATTGGATCCGACAAAATTGGATCGTGTGAACAGACCTTAATTAAGCTGAGTAAAATCCTTCATGGTGTAAACATTGCACTGATGAGACAATCTTCTTTAGGATATCAATATGCACCGAATACATGGACGGTAATTTATTTAGAAAGCATTGATGTATACTTGATTATGTGTATTTATGTACATAACTGTACTTGTTAACCAATTGTTTTATTTATTTCTGTTGCTGCAGGAGGCTCGCTTGAAATTTATGGGGCAATTCCTGAACCTGTACTAGGCAGAATTTCAGTGGCTGTAAGTTATGATTCTGGAAAGTGGCAATAAATTTTGTTGAACAATTGTACCCGTTTTTCTTTCACTAGCTAATTCACGATCATTTTATTCAGCAATAGTTTGACAGATTAATTCTTTTCTATCCATGAAATGCAATGTACGCAATGCACCAGTACCAAAGTATTTTGCAAAAATATACCGTTAATATACTACAATTTTCAGGTTGTCGAGGGGCTTGTGTACTTATGGCAGCTAAAAATTATGCACAGAGGTATGAAATTTGACCTTTTTAATTGTAATAACATTATTATGATGGATAGTTTAATTTGTAAATTTCTTTCAGATGTGAAACCTTCAAATATTTTAGTAAACACAAGGGGGCAGATTAAGTTATGTGACTTTGGGGTCAGTACACAGGTATGAAAAAAACCATGAAAGTTTCTATATATTGTTTATCTGGCAAAAGTGCGCAAATTTCGAGAAGTTCTTAAGGTCTATAAAATAGAATTTGGTGTTTTTAGATAGATGGGACCCACCCATCACAAATTTCGTTTATTAATATTTCAACAGTGATGTTAGAATTCATCTTTGTACTTGTTCCAGCTTGTGAATTCGATTGCGACAACTTATGTTGGAACTAATGCTTATATGGCTGTAAGTGAACTCAAAGCACCTCGTTAACTTCTTCATTTATTTACTTATTTAAATTTACCAATAAACATGCTAGATTTAACACACGAAAGACATAAATAAAACATAAATATACTAATGGCAGGGACACGCTACAACTTTCGCCAATTACAGCGGCCCTTAACTTCTTAACATCTTCACCCAAACTCAAACAATTTTTCGGATCAGTGTACCAGCTAGGGGAGTCATATGTAGCTACTATGCTATCGATACGAAGTTTTTAATGTTTTTGAAGAGTTTTATCGTTCCCAAAAGAAAGGCAACCGTATTTGGTACAACTTTCAATACACAGCGGTCAAATTTGACCAATAATTCCCTGCCATAGTCTCTGGCGCGTCTTGCCTCACGTGATCACTCGAGAAACGAGGAGAGGAAATCACAAGGGGACTATTATTGTATACTGAGCTATACATATGATTTTTAACACTTCACTCGATGCATGTAAATTCTAGAGGTTTAAAAGGTCTTAATTTCGGCATCGCAAAAGCGTAGGTTCGATTCCTGCCGAAGGACCTATAGTTGGCTTATTTTTCTATCAACTGTTCCTGGCTTGAATTTGAAGTGTGTATAGTTTTACTCGAAATTAAGAGCCTTTAAACCTCGAGCTATACATATAGTTGTAGCAATGATATAGCTTAAAGAGAGCATGCAAAGCACCCTACAGATTTCTATTTACCGTTAGATGTGTTTCTCTATAAAATTGTATTTCTTTGGTTAAGCCTGAGCGTGTGTTGGGTGGAGAATACAGTATTCGTTCAGAAGTTTGGAGTCTTGGTATATCAGTCTTAGAAATGGCTCTAGGAAGGTTTCCCTACTGTAAGGTAAAAGACAAAAGCCACTAAATTATGATTGTGCTTTTCAAGGTACTCTATATAGATTCGTAACATATTGTGGTAAAGAGCATGCGTAACATCAAGTTTTTATGTATAGTGTACTACTATTACGAGACAATATATATTCCGTGGGTCCTGAACCTTTCGTTTTCTCAATTCGATTAAGACCGTATTGCATCTGAGTGCATCATACATAATACCATCCAGAATTTTGTGTGTAATCTCTTTTTAGGAAAACTCGGAACCAAAAGTCTTTCTGGTACGTTTTGATAAAATACAGCCTGTAAAACTAATACTTTCTCACTCATTCATCACCAAGTCAAATAAACTCAGTTCTGATTTAATCCAGTTTAATATCTTCCATAAAGTTATCATAGCTTGACTGTGTAGAGCCTCTTCCAAAATCTTACACCTTTTGACATTTTTTAGCCAATTGAATTGATGCAGTGCATTGTAAACGAGGTTTGTTAAAAATTTTCTTTTTTCATAGAAATTTAACCAAGTTCCAAATGTCTTCCACTTATTTCAAACTTCAACCATAACCAGATCTTCCACAAATTGTTTGGATATAACAGTCCTCATAGGGGGATAGCAATGACAAATAAAAGAAACAAAAAACTTTTAAAAACAATGTAAAATATATCCTTCAACACAGATCCCCCCCCCCATCCCCCTCTCGTTATTGTCATTTTAAAGGAAGTTTCCTTCAATTGTGGAAGCCCTGTGACCATAACTCGTTTTACGATTCACCCTGTTTCATGACATGTGTTCACTTCTGGCTATGGAGAATTAAAATTTATTTTAAATATTTCGCTAAGAGCCCTCCCAGTTTGCCAGTTGAGAAGTTTTCGCCAGATTTTGTCGCATTTGTCAGCACTTGGTAAGTATCTACTTTGCATATTTTTTCGTTGAATTAATTAATGTGTGTATACGCAATCACGTTATTATTGACATCATCCCTGTCAAAATAGTGAAAGCCCCATTCAGGGCGGACTGACCCATCCGGCATTCCGACAGTGCCTGGGGGCCTTAACAGTCTGTTAGTCTATAGGGGCCTTAACAGTCTGTTAGTCTATAGGGGCCTTAACAGTCTGTTAGTCTATAGGGGCCTTAACAGTCTGTTAGTCTATAGGGGCCTTAACAGTCTGTTAGTCTATAGGGGCCTTAACAGTCTGTTAGTCTATAGGGGCCTTAACAGTCTGTTAGTCTATAGGGGCCTTAACAGTCTGTTAGTCTATAGGGGCCTTAACAGTCTGTTAGTCTATAGGGGCCCATTGAGCTAATGGTACGGGAAACGATTTATAACAACATTTCACAATGCAAATTAAACCCCCAGGTAAGCGAAACTTTATGGGCCTAGGAGCTAAAAATCGTCGTTGAAAAACGTTCTGTGATACACAAGTTTAATAGTGGGGGCTTAAATCAATGCACACACCCTGTCTCACATTTTCGAGCGGTTTGGCATTCGTTTCCATGCCGGAATTGTTTCAAACACCGTCAATTTACAGCAGTGATTGAAGCTAATTTGACATATTAAGCATGTTTTACCTTGGTTGGATCTTGTGGACAAGGCGTCTAAGCAATAATAAAGCGACAAAAACAATTTTGAAAACGCTCGTGTGCACATAGCCTTAATTATTTCATTTTTTATTAGTATGCAGAAGTCGATAAAGTCAAGACCCACACCTGAAGAATTGAAGGCGAGTTTTATACGCTTCTTAAGCCTGGACCTTCCTATAAAGCTATTATTCTCGTAAAAACTCATCCGCTACCAGCGTTCTGCTCGAATTTAAATTATTGTTGAATTTTTAACAACCAAAAAATAAGACGTATCATGTAGTTTTGTATTATTTACAGGACCATCCATTTATTTTACTCAACAACGATGGCAATATAGAAATAGTTTCAATGTGGGTGTGCAGGAAACTAGAGGAAATCCGAGGACGATCGCAAAGCTTAGATAGTCCTAGTCAAAGTGAACCAATGATACATTAGTTACTTGTTGTGAGCAAACAAACTGCGATGATTTGTTTTAAAATGATTCCTGGTTTTTTCAGAAGCCCAAAACAACAATAGCTTGGGAACCGGTTACAATTTCTCAACTGAGCTAGGGTGAAGAGAATTTTGAAAAAAAAAATTTTGAAATATCTTATTCTTTATTATAATTTTGACATAATTTTAAGAGCTCCTTTAGTAATAGAAACTAAATTTTAAAAGCTCTTTAAGTAATAGAAAATAATAGAAACTAAATTTTTATCGCCCATACCCTTTAAAGGGTGAAAATATACCCCACAAAATCTACCCTTTGAAAGCAAACAATGTTGACAGAGGACCGTATTGATGCAACTCATTGTCGGTCATTTCATGGATTATTTCTGAAAATATTGTAAGAGTTCAACTTTGTTTTAATTACTCTACTTTATAATTCAAGTCTTAAAAGGTGTATATCGTTATTTTTTTATTAACATGCACCTTGCTTTATCCAACCCAATACATGTAATATTAGTAGTGACTGGTCCTTTAGCGCGTCTGTAAAAATAAGATGTTTTAATTTTTCTTATTTATAACTGATTATTAATTAATATAAACATATAATGTATTCAATTAATTATACGTGAAATGAATAATAATGAAAATAATACTGAATTTTGTAGTTTCTATCTGGCGCCTCAAATGCTTTTAACAGTCCGTTGATGTGAATTAGTGGGGTAACCCTTTTCGCAATTTTAAATCTCAGGATTTGGAGTTCGCCAAAGATCACAGTGGTTGTGGGTTTTTAACAATTTATTTGAAATTTTGAATTATTTCTCGTTTCCCCTCTCTTTTACACAATCTCCCCTTTGACCCTTTCACGTTTTCTTATTTCTATATATCATATATGTAAAGGAGTAATGGTGGCTATGACAGGTTAATGGTTTGCGTAGATCAAATTATCCACGAATATCCAGCAAAGCTAAAATATATCCCAATTTTTCCCCATGTGGAATAGATTTTTTACAAAAATATAAATGCATTTCATTTTCGTATTCGATTTGTCGGATATCTGTGCGTATTGCGTAGTCAGGAAGTTCGTAGTAATACAAAACGATAGAATTTCGATTTAGAAATAAAGATTCTGTTTTCACGGACACTTAATTTCACAACCAGAGTAATCTTCGAGTGCTATTAAATCAGGAATCCATAAGATGGCAGAGAAAGAGGAGTCTGTGACGAGACGTTCTAAAAGTTTGAACAAAAAAAATTTCGACGAGAGACCTACCAGTTTTGAACTGGAAACGGATTTTACGAACACAGAGACTAAATTGGTCGTTTTAGACTTCCTTTCTTCACAACCAATTGAACATTTGACAGCGAGAAACTCGAAGACGAAAAGAGTTTCGTTTTCGAAAGGAGAAGATCCCAGCTATTCAAGCGAAAGAAGAAAGTCGCTTAGTAAAAGCTCTAGTGATGTTTCATCTCAAGAAGCATATCGTAATCGTTATGTAAAGCTAGCAAAATCTGGCAAAACATTGAGAAAGCAATATTCGTTACGTTTAAAAAGAGACTTAGATGAATATCTCAAGATTCGGGGTAAATCAATGGATGATTTGTCTGATTCATTCAGGAGTGGTGCCACAAATGAGGGTGAAGTTGAATACCTTCATCAGAGGTCTTACACTGAGGGAGAAGCCTATTATAGGTTACGATCTAGATCCCCCCTAAGGAATGAGGGTGATGATGATGAGGGTGATGATATAGCAAAGCCACGTAGAAAAATATCAACCGAACTAAAGGAAGGCATAATTAAGTTTGATCCTGAAACATTACATCATGTTGTCAAGACAACAGAAAGTACAAGTGAAGATGTTATGTATGTATATTTTTTGTTTATTGAATTGTTTATTAATGCAAATATTGGAAACCATAATAACTCATTTTAGGTACAAAAATCGTCCAGGAAATTTAGACCTTCCCGCACACCAAGAAAGGAGATTATCCCCTGTTCTCTCACCAGAAAGTCAGGTTGCTGCTCGACTTGAACTAATATCACAAGAAATACTAACACAGTACCCAGACCTTTTTAATGAGCAAATTTCACGAGTAAGTTTGCAGGACTTGACATATGAGAAATTCGCATCAGTTGCTCGCAAGGTTATTGAGAAACACCCAGGAGGATGGACAAGAATTGCCCTGGTTTGCTATTTTGCAAGAGAGCTAGCGTTAGAAGATGAGTCGACAGATGAACAGTTGGATAATTTGGTCAGTTTTAGTTCAAGGTTCATCTCAGAAACAAGTGCAGAGTGGATAGCCAGCCAAGGTGGATGGGTATGTTGATAATTAAATAATTCATATGGGTACACTGTTTATTCAGGGGAAAAATCTTTTTACTACTCAAAAATATGACAATTACTTCAGAACAATATTCTTAACATAACATTCTTATAATAATATTCTTGAAATTTTGATGCCGGTAACATTAAAGTAAACAATTCAACATTTTAACATTGAAATTTTTGTTTACATTTTTTTGGTAGTTCCAGGTAACTTCCAAATTTATTGTGATTTAAATATATGTGATTTAAATGTTTGTATAAAGTTATGCATATTTTTGTAGGGAGCTCTGGACCTTGATGATTCTGAATATCTAAGCCCTTCAAGAGTACGAGAGAAGCTAAAGGAACAGCCAGATATGATTGATGGTTTGATATATGGTCAAGCTAGTTCCAGATGGTTGAACTACTTGAAATATGGTGTGGCTGCTTTAGCAGTCGGAGTGACTGTAGCATATAATGTGGCTAAATGATATGCTGTTGCATTTGTTTGTACCTTTAATTGTACATAATGGTTAAACCTTTGCTCAGATCCTGTGAAGCATGATTACCATGAATTTTAGACAATTGCCTGAACATTGACACTGAAAATTTTACTGCTATATGATATTCATTCAGTCCAATTTTGATAATATATGAGCTTTAATATCTTATATTTTATCTTGTGTTGAACAGACAATAACGTGACATATTTGATTGCTATGTTTCTACTTATGTATTGTAATGTGCTTCACAAAACTGTGGTGCAACAGTTCACAGAGTAGAGCAATTTATGGGTTGAAAGCAAAAATTGGGGGTTAGCATCAGGGCATGCATATTTCTATATTCTGCTCTGTCTTACAGATTTTGACACCATCCCAAATATCAGTCATTTAGTTTTAAATTTTAATGGATTAGTATTATAGTAAGGACCAGGTTTGGGATTATAAACCACCCCAAAATTTTGCTTAAAAATTGAATTTTTAGAAAATACCAAAGTTGAGTTTTTATATATTTATATATATGTAGATAAGTTCCAATATAACCAAGGAGCAGCGTGGCAGCGTCTTCAAACAACTTTATATATATGCCCTGTCAGATCTATTTTATATATATGCCCTGTCAGATCTGTTCAGTGTGTTGAGTAATCCTAAACTCTGACCAGTGTTGCCAAGTCAGTTTTCCTAAAAATCCCAATATAGCTCCCAAAAAATCCCAAGATTCCCTATTTTCCCCACAAAAAATCCCAAGATTTTTTTTCATTAGTTCTCAGGTCCCCTCATCAGGCGAAGTGTTCAGCCATGCGCTGACCGAAGCCTGGCACTACCCTAGAAGTATCATAATTACGATTAGTAGTCGATTACCATAACAATCGATCACATTTTAAAACAATCAATACCATGCATGCTTGCTTGCTTCGACATCGCGTTTGAAAACGTTTAGAAAATATTTTTAAAAAAGCAAGAAATCAAAAATGTCAATCAAATCTTACAGATGAGCCCGTAGTGCATGTGTACGAAATACTTGGTCTTGTATAATCGATAGGAAGAAACCTTCTCACTGATCTCAGCGCTTAACTGCTGTATACTCTGTATGGTATATTAAAATATTTAGTGAATATCAGTTATACTGAGCAAGCAGATTAATCAGTATTACAACTATCATTATTATAACATTATCTTGTCTTTATTCTAAAAAATCCCAAGAAAAATCCCAAGGTCTTATTAAAAAAATAAAAATCCCAAGAAAATCCCAACAGCCCCAAAAAATCCCAAGATCTTGGGATAAAATCCCAAGGTTGGCAACACTGACTCTGACCCTATCCCTTACTGAACCATTGCCTGACTTCAAGAGTATCCGATTGGTAGGAAATCGGGTTAGATTTAGGCGGGATTAACCATAATCAACCATAAACATAATCTAAGACCTAATTCCAACCCTTGCATAATCTTAACGCATAAGGATTAAATTCGTGCATTTAGGATTTCATTTACTGAACTTGGAATTACATGTATCACCGGAAATCGATCCGAAGCCAAACGAAATCCTATATCCCTTAGCTTCACAGAAGAAGACCCTGGGAACGAGGTTGATATGGGTTTATATCCCTTCTGTCTCCTCATCACGCGGCAAAAAAGATTCACAAGAATCCCCTTTCCACGCGTGGCACCACGCAAACCATATGACGGAAACCAACACAACGCAAACGACAAAATTAATTTTTTTCCGAGCAGGAAACAACCAACACTCATTGCAATTGTTTGTATAGGAAAATATTGTTTTTACTCTCCGAATATAACCATAGTGAGGGTTCGTTTTGAGGCAGGAGGCTGGTAGTCACACGGCACAGTCCGTTTTATACAGATACAGTCGCAGAATCTTAAATCATATTTATAAAAAATGGCTGGTGTGCAATTGGCAAGACGTTCGATAAGTAAAGCTGACGCCGAAAGGCAGTTCGATCTACTATTTGATGAATATCTGAAGGATGGCAATTCTGATTCTGGTTTTGATGGGGAAACTCAGCGAGAAGCTGGTAGCGCCGGTAAGTTAGTTACTGATATATACATGAACAGGAATTACAAGTCCACTACAACGGATTCAAATATGAACCTGGATAAGTTATTTATATATTTAGATATATGTCGTGCGTTTATCTATAATAAAGTTGAAGTATTTTATCACTGAAAAATTGTAGTAATTACTAATTAGTCTACATGTCATACATATATAGTTTCTTAAATTTCAACATCTGAAGCAAAAAATTCCAGGAACTTGTGAGGGCTGGTCTCACAGGGGGTGTGAGGGCTGAGGCACACCTAACTCATGTAGACTAGGTTCATGTCCATACAGTTAGTAAGACAATAATGACATGTTATGAAAATCTGTCAATTAATATCAATCATATTAATCAATCATCTGATGAACAAGGTGTCCCAAGGCCCCAGGCCATACTTCAGTTTGTGAATTGTTATTACATAATTAAAATCTAACATCATATCCTTTTTGCCTCCATGGTCCATCAATCTAACCATTCTTGTTTGCTGCAATAATGAGTGATTTGCAAATTGAGGTGAGGGTAGACATCTTAATGTCTTCCTAATTTGCTTCAGGTGAAGAGGCAGATGAAGTTTATATCCCAGGGGAACAAAATGAGCGGCGTGAACAGCAAAAAACCATCCGTGAAGTTGCTCATGTTTTACAATCACTAGGAGATCAATATCAAAAAAGATTTGGTGCTGGCCTAACTGTAAGTTTTTTTGGTGGATAAGTACTCTTTTTATACCTTTTTTTAGAATTTTTTTATGATCAATATATTTTTCTTTTGATAAATTTAGAAGTCTGGTTTTATTTTAACTGCTTTATTCAAAGATCAGGCAAGTGCACTTGAATATAATACTTTCAAGAATACTGTTGAAAGTCTAACAACCACAGAGAGAAGTACAGCAGACTTTGTCTTCATGATGTGCTTAACTCGTGATGTGGTCAAGCATGTTGGAGATTTTGCAGGAAAAGCAAAATCATTTTTCAGGAGATTTATTGGACAGAGTTACATTCAAAAGATAACCGAGGCTGGTGGTGTGGTAAGTTTGCAATATGTAATCAGTAACCTTGTGGAAATATAGTACAATTAACCAGCTTGGAAATGTAGTGCAACCAGATTGCATCAAGTAATCTTGAGTAACTGATTATTGACCGAGTAGGAGGTCTGATAGTGCACAGTAAAGACCAAGCAAGTGAGGTCAATTTAATTAAATCTGTTAAAAAAAGGCTGAACTGCATGAGACATCCGGGATACTGATCCAGATTTGTCAACCAATCGGAATAGAGGATTTTGAAAAGCCATATATTAATATTGTTTATCCCACCCCCACCATGCCACATTATATAATTACTTTCACTGCCAGTATATGTGTTTCTGTTTGGAACAGATTTGTCTTCACTTTCTTTTCCCAATCAATGAAAATGCCCAATGACTCAGCAATGCAGTCATTAGACTTCTCGTGATTAGAAAGTTATTAATGTGTATGTCATTTCTAATCTTTTGTTTCATTCTAGAAAGAATATGTGGAGGAGTAGTAGTGATAAAATGATTATCTATTTTAGTGGTCTCTTTATCATAATGCTTCACGCACACTCTCAAATTAATTTAATTCTAATGATTCAATCAATTTTGTAAATTTACGCATTTTTATATAGTTTTTTAAAGTATGTGTGCAGTGTATTACTGAGTGGGACATGAAAATAGATGTAGTCATGCAGTTCAATATTGGTGATCTGTTCAGTGTTGTGATTGAGTAGATTTTCTTTAATGAACTGCAGAAATTGTCGCTAAAATTCAACAAAGAAAATACCGACCAGAAATAGCTTTCTCATGATTAAGTTGCATTATACAGACTATACATAATATGACAGAGGACTGGCTTTATGTTTTTCATATCCCTTAGGCACACATTTCTTACAGTGTTTCATAACATGAAAATGATGAAATGCACATGCTTGTTATACATACATTTCACAACAAATGTATTTAAAATAAATTTATTGTAATGAATGTTGAATATTCGAATGCTCTTTGTGACTTATTAATTAGTGGATCTCCACTAATTTATTAATTAGGTCACAGGTTTTTTAATTCAGGCCATTTCATTTGCCTGTCTGGTATATATGGCATTATATATATGCTTCCATCATATGTAGTCGTTTTCTTTGTTAGTTCCACATTTGTTGCTGGTGCTTCTTAGGTTCATGAGACCATTGAGATGAAATTGACGAAAATTCAGGACAATATATTATGCTAAAAAGACACACCTAATATATATATAAAAAAAGGTGCAGGCAACGACAACACAAATAATATGCGCAAGAATAGTCTCCTGTCTGTAGAAATTCATAAAAACCTTCAACATGACCACTATGTTTATATAGAAATAGAATCTTAAACAGACAATATATACGGGTTTTATTTTGAATAGCGCGCAGCGCGGATCAAATTTCCTCTATAAGACCACAGATAAGACTATAAAGCGTCTTGCTACTGGGTTTCCATGGTGACAACCAAGCATAAACGTTAACGTTGGCGGGTAGTTTTGGAATACTTGAAGATGGCTGACATATCTAGTGGGTAAGCGAAGTGCATTTTTCTTGTTTTTTGTCGCTTTAAAACACACGTATGTGTTTAGAACACAGCGGTCAAATTAAATTAATTTAGAGTGTAATGTTATAGGGTTTTTTTTGCCTGATTTGGCACTAAATAATGACTAACATTAAAGCCTTGAAAATAGATTGATAGACTAAAGATGAGGGACATTGGCACATTGTAGATATTGTATGGTTGTACGAACATGTATTTTCACGTAAAATACTTCAAATTCTTGCTTTTCGAATGCGATTAAAAAGGAAACATTCTCGTATAAACTTTAGGAATCGTATATGAAAATGTCAGCCTGAGCGCAATAATATTGTTTATACCATGACCTTAAGTAGGTACCTGTACATGCCCTATCAAAATTCAAAACAGCAGATGAAAGTCATCAGACGCTTAAATATAACACGCATTTGGGAGTCTTGGGTAAAAACCTTAAAGTAGTGTGTTCTTAGATTCAGAAGCCATGCAACTAATGCAAGCATAGGATCTTTATATAAACATATTAAAAGTCATTGGCATACTGTTTGAATATATACGTTGCTTGGGTTTTTCCTGACCAGTCAATGCCAAGGATTATAAGCCATATTGCTATTGTCTTTAAGACCTGTTTCCTCAGATCCAATTCACCTCTGACGTATAAGTCTGTATTGTGAAGAAGTACTGCATTAGCTACATGTAACATCCACCAGAAGCAAAATGGATCAGACAAAATTGGATTGTGTGAACTGACCTTTAGGTCGTTGATATTTAAACTAAACAGAGCTTAATAGTGAATTGTCAATGTATGTAAATGAACTGCGTACATGAAATACTGTATATGCATCAAGGGTTGGGAGGGATTCACTTTCTGAAGAATTAATTTCAATTCATAATAATTAAGTCAGTATATTAATACTGTGTGGAGGTTTCTGAAATGACTTGATTCCTTATTTTAAAATATTTTAAGATGTATGCCCCATTCTAGGCTATTGTTTCACAACCAAAAGATACACAAAAACCATTGAAATCTATAACTTGTTTTTAAACATTTAAGCAAAACAATCAAAGCTCAATGTTCTGACAGTTAAATGTTAAAAAAAAAATCATATGGATAGTTTTTTCTATTAGGGTCTTACCATTGGCAAACAGAAGTGATCCATTGGCTTATTGACTTGTTTCACTGGGTTTTTTTAATGTTTTGTTGTTTGTGAAGGTTTATCTTTCTTTTTAATTTATAAGTTCCATGGAATTTAAGCTTAATTCTCAGTGAGATAACTAATCGAAAAGTGATAAAACTAACTTCATAAAGTTAAAAACTAACTTCACAGGTGTAAAAACACCTGTCTTGAAAATGGACTAAAACAATTATATATTTCATTTATTCAAAAATCTTTGCAAAGTTGGAAAGAATAGATTTTTCACTGTTTAAAAGATTTTGGTATTTCACTGTCCAATCGCAGTTTATGTCACTTTGAAAAGTTTTCAATGTTGAGGGCAACGTACCTCGTTCCCAGGGTCTTCTGTGTTCAAGGCGCAATGAGATTTGGAGGAGGATATGTATTTGAGAACTTTTTTAAGAACTGGCCTAGTTTTACATTAATACGTTTTATGGTCAGCACTTACTGACCAACAGAGTGTGAATTAGCAGCAAAATGTCATTCAGTTTAACAAGAAACATTTTTTTAACTTAGCCACATCTTACCCTATTTTTTTTGACTAGCTAAACAACATGAAGTTCTTGTCAGTCAATTTAAATTGTGCCAACTTGCAAAATTTTAAATCTTTGTCGAAATTTTCCCAAAACTCGTTCCAATCTTACCACCTCCCCCAAATAATGTTCGAGCTCGAGCTTCGTGACTTCACTTCCAAAAAGTGGTAATTACAAGAAAACACTTTCATGTTTTTTGTGTTCTTATTTGTATACGTGTGCGGGGTTTGGGTTTGGGTTTGCCTTGTTTGGATCTTGAGTTTGTTGCCAAGCTGATATCCTACTCGTTTATTAATTATAAGATTGTATATGAAGAGTAATTTCTATTATACTACGTATTTTTGTGTTGTTTTGTGTGGTTCTATCCTTTGTTAGTGTATTTTGTTTTATTAGCCGGTGTTCTAAACTTTACTGAGTTTAATTAAATGGATATAGCTTTCAGCGTAGACTATAATTTAAGCCCTGCCTTTTACATCTGTCGTATTATGCAGACAGAGAGTCTGAGACAGTCTTTTTGAGAGGGCTTTTTCCAGATTCAGTCGCAACGCGAATATTTTTGGCTTTTTCACTCAATTCAAAAGTGTCGATCGAGCCCCACGCATTTCATTCACACGTACCTATAATGAGTTTTTAATTATTTATCTAACACGAGTGGGCAGCGATATTTTTCAGTGTTTATCAGTCCTTGGTTGACCAAAATAATACTAGCTGTGTCTGAGTATAATGCATATCTCGTTAATATACTAGTTTAGTTTCGTTCAAATACACTACAACACCCCACTTCATCGTATTCCTAGTTTGTATATTACATTTTAAATAAAACTGATGAAACCAACTTTCATTCGGATTAGTTTAATCTTACAATGTTTTCATTTACAATTCACAATTGTGTCCAACGTTCCAAATTTGTTTTTATGTATTTTTAATTACTCGGTCAAAATCGGCAATAACTTTTTAATAATTACTTCATGAACATAGACAATTAACCGTTTCGAAGTCGTTAATTTTCGTCATTTTTCGCGAACTTAAAAGACATGAGAATAGCTGAATTATATAAATATTGATACATTTATGCAAAATTCGTATATTCTCGAGCATATAAATGAGCTACGGCTTGTTTTAAGTCGACGTTTTCTGTTTGAGATTTCGTTGTATTTTTTTTGCGAGGAATTATGAATTATTGAAACAAATTACAGTTTATTAAATATTTATGACATATACACAGGATCATTACGTGTTTTCATTTTCAATATTGTAATTTCGATTTCCAAAATCAAAGCGTTTTTTAAAAGAGGTGGGCAAAAGTTTAAACGCTTTAGTCCGAAAAAGAAGTTACGAAGTGTAGGCCAGTTTTTTAGGCGGGAAATTATATTAACATGACGGGAAAAGAGAATGAGAATTCCGAATTTCGGAGGTAGTATACAAAATAATAGATAGTTTGACAATTAGTATGTATATTATGCCCTTTTTGATGATCGTTTAACATTTTTTTAATGTTAAACATCATCAACTGCTTATAACGTTTGAGAAATTCTAAATTTCTAAATATCCGGGGAGTAATGGCATAGAATTAATCGTCCTGACATAGACACTGCATGCATGCCGTAGGTCTAAAATGGAAGTTCTAAGGGTTAATTTGAGAAAACAATGAGAAGATAACGGTTTATATATGTCAGTCATATTTTCAATTGAGTCATTAGGGCCTTTTATAAAATATATCGTATCGTCTGTTGCGAATCCATTCGTATTAATAGTCATAGTGAAGTCTAGTATTGCCAAGTCGCTTATTTTCGGACAAAAAGTTTGTGTAAAATTTGGCGAGTACAAATAGTGTCGATAAAAGAATAGCAATATATTTGTTTATTTCAACGAATAATCCGATTCATTACAAGCATGTGCACGCGTTGCTTTGTATTTTATCAAACTTATCACCTCGGCTCAGAAGCAATATCATCTTAAGTTACGAATTGTCTTAAAATTGCTTACGTATAGTGTGCTTAAAAAGCTTATGTCATCAGTTTGCGAGGATATTTGAATTAGTTTGCGAGGATAGTTTGAATTAATGAGTTATTCACGTTTTCTGGGAGGGGCCAAAACAATTAGTTTCGCGATCAAAACAGTACACTTTTGCCTATAATTGTAACTAAAATTTGTAGCTTTGTTATGGAGTTTAAGATAAACAGACATGGTAGGTATAGACATCTTATTGCTCAAGAATAGATTTACAATTGAAATAATTCCCCTAAAATCCGCTATAATAGATCAGTTGATTGAAAAATAAAATAATAATTATAATTGCACTTTTCAAACCACGGATATTTTCATAATTTTGGATGTAAGGTAATTTCGTAAGGTAACTTGGATGGGAGCGTCGAAAGTTTTTCTGCAAAGATAGAGCCTTCATGTTAACGTTTACCTGCATGAAGTGTATTGATTATGTATTTATTGTACAGTATACTGTTTAAAGTTGCGCAGTACTGCTTTGAATGCCCCCCCCCCATAATTTAAGCCCGAAAAAAGATGTAAACTTCTGCGTATGGTGTGAAAATTGCATTAATCCCCCCCCCCAAAAAAAAGAAAAGGCTCGTGGGCCCTGTTAAGGACCGGGGAGTGGACTTAATGGCAATCGCTAAAAATGGTTCCATTCAGAGCCTGAATCGCCCTGTACTGGCTGGTTTGACTAGATTAGAAATGGATTTACTTACGGAGCTCTGCAAACCTAAGCACCACACTCTAACTTAGAAAAAATTAAATGGGGCCAGGGGCGTACATTCAATTACCCTAAAGCTAATGCTTTACATCAGCCGTTGCCATTCACTCTTCCCCCCTCCTGCAAAATTGCATCCATTTCTTCCGCCGCAAATATTTGTTTAACACTGGTGAATCTAACTTCAGAAGATTAACGTATCTTTGTGTTTGTTGAATTGTTTCAATGCAATGATGACATATGTCCGTTCTTGTTTTATAGTTTTGCAAGTAAGATTATGAATGGCGCAATAGCTGGAACTATTGGCGTCACTTCAACATTTCCACTGGATCTTGCCAAGACTAGGCTCCAGAACCAACACAATGGTTCAAAAAGAATTTATAAGAACTTGTAAGTGAGTGGTATTTTAGGGAAGGTTACGCATGCATGTGAAAGTTTGAAGCCATGCTTTTATCACCCAATCGGCGAGCTTTGTCTGCTGTATTCACTGATGAATAAAATCCGTTGTTTCATGTATTTGAAGTATTGTCCTCCCTTAATGACTACATGCAGACCAAGGTCGGTGAGTAATGATGACCAGAAACCCACCCGCAATCCCACTGCTGTCAGTGCTTGCATCTAATAGGTGGTTTGCAATTGCCGCTATCTTGGTTGATTTTTCAAAAAATGTGAAAAAATATTTTTTTTCGTCGTTGCTGTATTTTAATACCCGCCCAATAATACGACACAGATGATAAGCAGTGGCAAAATAAACAAGGAAAAAGTAAATCAACGCAGTTTATTCACTTGAAAAGCAGAAGTAAACTTTGTAGAATCAACCAAGATGGCGCCTAATGGAGCATCTTATGAGGCACGTCATATGCAAACCAAGAATTAGAATAAGCAATTATGCATTTTTTTGAACAAACACATTCACCAGTCTCGTCTCTAGCACAGTTGTGTCTCTAGACTCCCCCTACGCGCGTGTTTCGAACATGCCAGTTGATTGTTCCAATGAGTGAAAAAGAGCCTTAACTTATTAATGTGTCGATATGTGGTCTTATTTCATATCGTGTTTTTCTAAATAATTCTACTCCTCATTCAGTTTTATAGCACAAGTCAATCTCTGAATAGCTCTGTAACTCGTGTTTAAGATATCTCATCTTATGATCTTTCAGAGTTGATTGTCTGGCAAAAGTGTGCAGAATAGAAGGCGTAAAGGGATGTTATAGAGGTAAATAACATCTCCACATACCGCAATTGTCACTTCACGGTCTCTAGGTCTCATGAAAACCCTGGTCCATAGTCTTGGTCAAGTGGGATGACCGGGATTTAAAGGCAATATATTTCCATAATCCAGAATTTTTTCTGACCAAAGCTTCGCCCTTGGTCCTTAGTGCTAATTTAATCTGCCTCGATTAATGGTTATACTCTGATTTAAAAACAGCCCATGCTCTGCATACCGTTCTGTTTGGAAAAGTTTTATCCTTCCTTAAACAGAAAAGAAAAAACGTTAGCTGTTAAGTAATTCTTAGGAGTCCATCGATCGTCATTTTCTGCTCTGTGAATGAGCTTCAGAAATCTACCAAGTTCTCTTAAAATTATTGTTTCTTGACGTTCACTGAATTTCCTTTTGAGGATTGTTGGTTAATGTTCTGCTTGTGAACCCGGAGAAAGCAATCAAGCTTGCTGTCAACGACCAAGCAAGACAAATCATGGGGGGTAAAAGGTAATGCATTTTTTCCTGTGGTTGACCTCCGTCTGCTGAACCCTGCTGCACGCGATCGTGCTTAAATCGAGACTTCAAATAGGATATTAAACAATGTTTTATTTTGAAACTCATTCATTTGATTTCTGATTGTTTACAGTAAAACTTTACCTCTACATTGCGAAATGTTAGCAGGGGCTGTCGCTGGACTTTGCCAAGTAAGTTTGTACCTAATCGTGACGTCCATATATGTGTTGTATCATATAGATGTATATAGTTGTTTTATATATATGCTGATTCAAAACTAATTCTTAGGTAATTATTACAACACCAATGGAGATGTTAAAGATACAAATGCAAGTTTCTGGAAAAACAGGTACAAAAAATACCTAAGGTACCTTAAGAGTGTATAAGGTGTATAAGATTTGATGTTGTATGAACCCTTAATAATATCTAACATAGTCCTGACAGAACGCGAAAGTCCTCGAAAATCGAATAGATAGTTCTTTCAAATAGTTGCCAATGCTAATGGTTTGTTGTCAACTCAATTTGTACAAGTTCTTGAATTCTTGAAAACAGCCTTGAAAGTCCCTAAATTCCATCCTCATAGGAATTTCTGAAGTACATACGGGCAATGTCTAACCAGTAAACTGCATGTTTTGTAGCTGTCAAGTCTATCGTTCCAAACACCGTGAAGCCTCTGTTGACAGCCAAGCTGCATACTGCTGCAAAGAAAAGCAATGTCTTCACAACAAGAGCTAATATCTCTGCCTTGTCTTTGACCAGAGATCTATTGCAGACGAAAGGAATTACAGGAATATACCGCGGCTTGGGGGCTACACTGTTAAGGTAAGGTGCATGGCGAGGTGTGGAGCGAGATGTTCTGAGAAGAGGTCTTATTTAAGATGACCATATATGAACGTAATCCTCCTCCGTTTAGGGACATACCTTTTTCCTGCCTTCATTTTACAATCTATTCTCATCTCAACTTCTTGGTAAGTAACCTAGAGATCTTTCCACCTAATGGTCAGACAAGAAAATTCAAGTCTCTGCAATTATGAAAAACTTGTCTGAGATTTGTAGTTTAGTGAAATCTTTTTTTATTGTTGAGCTTTTCAAGTTGTTGAGCTTTTCAAGCGGTTTTAATAATTCCATGCTTAAAATCCCGAAGTAAATATAAGGTCTAAACCCTAAATCTATACAGATTGAAGGTTGGTATTAAGGTTGGCATGGAATTACTCATACCAACTGTGTATGGGCCACCGTTTCAGTTTTATGAATGGTCTTCCACTCACAGTAGATGCCATCTCATATTTTAAAAACGGGATAAGTAAATTTAACTCTATAAACTTGGCAGGGTTATGGTCCGAATGGTGAAAAATCTAGCACCTTACACTCCTGCGCCTCCGGTCTAGCCTCCGCACTGATCAGCGCCTTAGCCGTTACACCATGTGACGTCATAAAAACAAGACTTCAAGTCCTTCCCAGCGGGTATAGCGAACCTAGATACCTGGGAATCCGAGACTGCGCTACACAGATATACAAACACGAGGGGCTTGGATCCTTCTTTAAGGGGGCTGTGCCACGTATAATGGTTATAGCCCCTTTATTTGGCATCGCGCAAGCTGTTTACAACTTTGAAGTCTCCCAAAGGTTGATCGAAGTCTACAAATCATACTGAGGGAATACAAATTCAAATGGGTATTTATTTAACCGTCGGGGGCGGTTGTACGGAAACTGGATAACGCAAGCAACCTTAACAAGCGGATCTCTTCAACTGTTGTAAAAATACTTCAAAAACAATAAAACAACGAAACTAACAGATAATAAAGAAACATTCTTTCTCAGCTTTCGTACAACCGATCCCTGGGTCGTTTGGGTGGGATTTTTTTACTAGGGTAACGGGCAGTGTTATCTTTATTTATAGTCAATGTAGCAATAAAAAAGTTACCTTAAATTTTCGGGGAAGGAGAATACTGCCCTTTCTGCGGCCCTGTTTACTACATTAACTGACAAACTTGCATACTGTCAAGAGATGTACTCGTGTACAGTCAATTCATAAAAGATTGTCGCTTGAAAATCGTCTTAAACATGCGGTGCACACGAATGATGGTTGGCAATCTATTTTGAACCTAAATTGGATTAATTAATTAGCGTCGTTAACTAATCGTTCAAAATCACGTAAGCATGGTTATTTTCTCCTCCGTAATATAACTAATCTATCCTATCATGCATTGCTTGCCCGATGTGTCTGGTTTTCAGGATAACACTTTTTGAATTCACTGTACACCGCGTTAACTATTATTTCACTGATTTTTGAGCCCCATTTACACTACACTCGATTTTTTGGTACGGCACGGCTAAAATTGGCACCCGTGCCCAATTTTACTAGTGCTCATGCTACCAAAACAAAGGCCGAGCACAGATGAAATGGGCACGGGTACCCATTTTAGCCTTGCCGTACCAAAAAATCGAGTGTAGTGTAAATGGGGCTTTGATGTCATTTTCATCTACGTAATGATGCCATCAAAATAGGGCCCAGATTCACACCTCCTTAGTCAAAGCGATGCCTGAATAGATATTTTAAAAGGTTTTACAATGACAATAGGGACCCTTAAGATACACCAAATCTACGACACGGACGTGACATGAAATCAGCCGGTAGTGTTAGGAACCCATTTTTAATTAGTTTTACATATAGCTCTGGCCTTGTTTTACTAAAAGGAGTCCATAATTTTGTGAAACTGTGGAAATGAAGACAGTATTACTTCACGTCCGCGTCGTAGATTTGGTGTATCTTAAGGTCCCTAATAATATATTTTAACATGATGCATGTTCTAACTCAGAGATAGGGTGTTGGACCCAGTTAGACCTAGTCAGACATAAACCAACACCGTTCACATGTGAATATTTTGATATATAATTTTTTGAACAGTTAATATACGGTAGGAGGAAGTTCATTATCGAAAAAATTTTCGTGTTGCCCGGGCAACATTGTTTCCAATGACAAGTTGAACTATGCAATGCAAGTGTAAAATAGAGTATCGATCATTTGCGGAGATATTCAGAAAACTACCTTTTTCTACAAAATACGACATGTTATTCTAACAGTTTATAAAATTTACATTTTCAAGTTCAAAAAAACCTTGATAGAACGCCTGTATTTTACTTCATCTCACCATGGGAGTCGGTACCGATCCGTCAAAAAATCTGTTGGTTTATATTCATAGAACTTGGAACATTTGATTGAGTTCAGTGCAAGGAGGCGTATGCGTCTCCCCCTGTCTCCCCCACGTACGCCACTCATGCTTTGTTCAAGTCTGGGCTTTTGTTTGCAATACACAAGTATACGATGACAGTTGAGATTTATGGATTTGCATGTGGTTTGAAGCCTTGTGGATTTAGTGGCCCCACCTTAAAAAGGTGAAGTGGGTTTAAAATACAGGCGGTAGTGATAATTATAATCAAAAAGTGAATAATTTGCTTGAGATTTTTGCTACCGAAATCGTAAAACATCTTACACAAAAAATGATAAATTCTATCCAGTTGCTCAAGAATCCCCGAATTTCATTAGGTATAATGTTGTTTACTGAAAATATTTTTTAAAAAGGTTGTGTTTTGTTACATACTAAGGCTGGTTACTATACATATAAATCATGTATATATTGTAAAATTATTTTGCTACCTAAATGTTGGAAATTATTTATGCAGTTTATGTAGGCAAAGAAAAGGTATTTATTTTAATTCAATGTTTAATAATGTTCAATTCCCCTGAAATTTTGGTTTAGATTTATTGTATTATATTGGGTATGAAGTTGTATCATTCATTTTGTCTTATAAATAGAGTTTATTTGAATAAAATTATTGGTTAATTTTAAACGAATGCACGTGTTTTAATGCGTTTTAAATTTCATATGGGCCGGAAGGAGGATAACCCCCCAGACAATTTCCTCCTGATAGCAAATCATATCTGTTGATCAAATTTGCTTCATCGTAGGTACTTAGCTAATACTTATAATACTAACCTTAAAATAGGTCATTAGAATTCCAGCTGTTATGATGGATAATAGGGGGCACATAGCATTAATGACATCAAATATTGCACCTCTCCCCCCGTCCCCAATAGACCTTGCATTATAGACTACTTTCTTCTCCACGCAAGGAAATGCAATCGAATCACCACAGCTTAAACTGAGAGCGTACTGAAATTAGTAAAAATGCAAAAATGGTAACAATTTACGTTTGTCGTAAAAAGGTATACAAATTTGCAAACTTTGAAAGGCTATATTTTCCACATTTTACAACATTTCGCAGCCAAACTTTGCGTTTCTACTAATTTCAGTACTCTCTTTTCAGCTGTGGTGATTTGATTGCATTTCCTTGCATCGATCAAAAAGTAGTCTATAATGCAAAAGGTCTATTATTCCCCCTATCCCAGATTTTACCGCTGTCCCTAAGCTATTATAATTATTAGTAACTGAACCGTTTAAGTCCGCCGCACACGAGTGCTATCAGCTGAGCTAACGACCTCGCGAGCCACACGAGGTCTTTAACTCAGCTGCTAATAGGCAGCTCTCGTGTGCGGCGGGCTTTAGATTATTGAGCAACTAAACTTCGTGTTAGACGCCGTTCACGAATCAATGTGTCAATGTTGGGGTGTAAATGGTGGGTGTTACGCGATGCGAGGTCACAAAACGTCACACTTAAATAGGGCTAGGGGGTAAGACCATGTGCCACACGAGAGCTATTTGCCGAGCTAAAGACCTCGCGTGGCTGTTAGCTCAGCAAGTTACTCTCGTGTGCGGATAGTTTTTCGTGAGGAATTCGCCTCGAGAGGCAAGTTTCTCACATGCGCGGATGGTTTTCGCGGCTGAGCTAACTGGTAACTGCCTCGCGAGGTCGTTAGCTCAGCTGATAGCCCTCGTGTGCGGCGGGTTTATGAATGGCCTTGGGCGTTGGTGAAAATTATCCCGAAGAAACAAATGAACTTTCGATTATTTCCAGCACAATCATTTAAATATTTCATTTTCGGGTGATGGCAAGCAACTTTATTACAATGTTTATATAATTTGTGTTTTAATTATCCCATAACATATTGAGATTGTTCTGTATTCTGGAAGACACGTTATTTTAATCGGTGAATTTTCGCGATGGATTCTTGCCAAACAGACGCTCTCGGATTTCAGGCAGCATCTAGTAATAATAGAATGGTACATTCAGGAATTTATGGTGGAAATATGGTGTTTGTTTGCACGATGCCACGATTGCACGATATAATTGAGACAGAATTAAGCTCTCAAGTCTCAATCACTCAATCAAGTAGAAATAGCGGCATGATACAGTCAAGAGGTGATTGAGATCCCCCATACAACGAGTTTAGTAAGTGTGAGTGAGGTTCAAAACACAGGGATGATGCAAATCATGTAATTCGTCCATAAACGTGACTTCTACATGTGAATGATATAATATACAGCATTCACATTACGTGAATTATTTCAGGTTAAATATTAGAGAACAGATTGGTATGTGCGATACAGGATTTATCATACATAAACTATATCAGGAAAATATCAGATGTGACAAGGATAAAAAGGCGATAAGATGACAATCACTGACCTGGCTGCTTAATAAATTAAGCCTGCTCTCCAGAGTATTTTGAACGTGGATTGTTGACTGTTGACACACAAAATCCACTCCCCCAGAACTGTAAGGAAAATTAACAGTGGACCAAGGTCACTTTTTATTCTGTTGGAATGTATACTACAGATGCCAACTCATTGTATTAAGAATACTTATAAAACTATCAAAATTAATGTTAAACATTTAGACAGTTCCTGTAACATCAATTAACCTCCAATCTCACCTGTTGGAGCTGAGAAAATTATTTTCATCAACATCTATTTTAACATCTTTCTTTGTAGCATCCTTGAATCTGGAACATGCCTCATCTTTTACTTTCTGAAGAAAAGTACAAGGGGCAAGAGGTGAGTGTAATATTGTCTAGCTCCAGATAAGAATGAAATACATGTGTACTAAATTATCTGGTACACTGGCAACCAATGAGAGTTCTATCAATCCATTCATCCCAACTGACGGTTGAATTGTTGCTATTTGCATTGAAATAAAAACAACTGTACCCAAGGGTACGGTAGCTTACTAGTGGTATTTGTACATTGATTAATTACTAATGAAATTTTTGGCATTACAACATTCACCTTAACTAAATCTAAGTCTTCCTTTCTGCATCTTATTGTCACCTCTGACTCAAGCAGCTGGAATAAACCCTTAAAAATACAAAGGTGAATAGAATAATCATGGTCATATTTATAAAACCTTGAGCAAACTTGGATCAAAACCTGCATATCCAGTTGGGGTCAAATTTGATGCTCATCAACTTGTTTAAAAAAGATCATCACTTATCAGTAGGCACTAGAGCCTGGAGATGTCAAGCAATAAAAACCGGACCAATCTGTATTTGCAACCATAGGATTTTGTATTGTACCTGGGTAATGAGGCCAAGTAAAATGCTTGAATATTTCTCTGAATCTTTTGTTACATCAGCCAACTTTTCACAAGCATCTTCCAAAATTTGCTTAAAGATTTAAGATCACATGTGTTTCAACAAGTGCTTATAAACCAATCATCTGGAGCCAGTTTTTCAACAGCTTGATTAGCCTAATCTGAGTTAAATACATGTCTATGAACTAAATATTCAAACGGCCTTTTCGTCAAGTTGAATAGATGTATTCTTCTGGAAATCTATTCTGGTTCATCAACATGCAAATATATACATAAAAAATTGCAATTAAGAATAAACCTATAGTCAATACTATCAGGCTTTGAATTAATCTCAAGTGCTTACATTTCAATCTTTATGCTAATCCATTATACCAACCTTAATATGGTCATCTTTAGCTTTCAAAATTTTTAGCCTTGATTGATTAAGTGTGTTTGATCTCTGACTAAAATTTTGGTATCATAATGATTGTATGGTTAAAATACAAAAAGTACATCATTTATACATGGCTGCTTTTAGAGTATTTAGCTATGTAACGGATAGTTTGGCCTGCAGACTTAAGCTGTGAAATAATATTTTGAATAAGCTTGGATTTAATATGAAGAAACATAAAGGCTGAGGTACTGTTACCTACTGAAGAAAAACTGAGGTGGATACACAAACCAAAGCCTTGGTCATTTTTCATATTTTGTGAATCAATATTTGCTTGACCATTCATTCAACAAAATAAAATATGAATGTAAAAATTTGTTTGTCATAGAGGAGAGATGCACATCAGTGAAGTCTGTGAAGATGTCTTTGCAATTAAATATTATGTAAGTAAAGTTTTGAAAGTATCAGTATTGTGGAAAATATCCTAATATCTTGTGCCACTACATCATTGCCAACGGTCATGGCAACATACATGATGACTTTTAGCGAAACCAGATATTACCACAAAAAGTCTTTTTGGGGAAAAATAACTTTTAGTGTGTCTAATAGTAATTGATAGATAATTATGTTTCAAATTTCATATTGACCAAATAATGCCTTACATTTTCTTCTGTAATGCAACTTGTTTTTCTTTCTTTTCATAATACGTTTTTATTTTAAGTCGTTCTTGTTGTACCAGTCTGCCTTTCTCTATATTGAATTCTTCTTCTGCCTGGTTATAAAATTATGGTAGTTTTTTAAACAGGATATTTACTGGGGAAATAGAAAAATATATAATGCTTCTTTACGTCAAAGCTGGGTTCATGTTCTATAAGCAAAGATGTAGGCAGCAATGACTACCCCACAAAAGATAAGATTTTATTGAAAGTGAAACAAAAGGTGATTTTTCCTTCAATAAAATTTATACTGAAAGACTGAAGCTCAAGGACTGCCAGTTATTTTCCATTAGCTTTATGTTTTGATATGTTTGGGCAGGGTTTGGGTCATCACCAACCAGTGCTAGACAGGCCCAATCTACCTCTCTATGCCCCTGGGTGAATTGTGGTATATGAAATGCTAATCAAGGTAAAAATAGTTGATATAAATAGTTAATAATATTAATATAATATCTTTCATATAAATATAAATACACATACTTTTGCATCTATCTCCTCTGCCTTCTCTTTCGCCTCTTGCTCTATAAATGCCATCATGTGTTTTATCTAAATGACAAAAATCGATGAAACGAAGCATTGTCATTTGTCGATAATAAAATATTCTTCGATCAAATTATAAGCGAAAGAGATTACCTTCAAAATTTTACCGATCGTCTAATGTGATGTATCTTTTACTTACTTGCTTTTGTACTTCGTTATCGTACGCAGCCATGGTCAAATTTTCAAAAAAATCCTTTGAAAATAGATGAAAATTGGTAGATTATAAAATATTTTAGGGAAAAATTTGTTTTGATAATAGTTTATATTCACGTGAAAATCACGTGATTATTTTTATTTTTTGAAACAGTGTTTCCACTTTGTTGAAAGTGTAGAAATTCGATGAAGAAGGTGGCACTTGGCCTGAGTATTACTCACTTGGTATTACTGCACTTCTTTCGTTTTTTTAAATAAGATTCTATACTCTATTAAGATTTTTGGTTGGAGATTTACATCCCTTGAATTCCACTGTACTAGTGTACTAGACTTGCCTTGTACACTTTAAGATCCTAAGTTAAAAGTACGTCGTTTCATTTGAATCTCCACTTCACTCTCCTTCTACAACTTCTATCTCCAAAATTCAGTCCTGAAAATACCATTTGTTACGTCACGACTGTGGATGGGTTGTCTATAAATCTGTCAGGCAAACGCCTGCAGACCGCAGTTGCCCGCAATATATGATAATTCGTTATAAATTATACCATTAAACTAATACCCATACCCCATGCTAATATAAACCCTTTCTACCACTAGACAAACCTCTAATTTCGGTCCAAGTTAAAGTCGTGTTTGAATGTTAAAAATCTTAAAGTCAAGCCGGACGCATTGCCAGTTTTTCTCATCAAAAAGTCGAGTAATCTCTGATGAGGTCAACTTCAAGGTCCGGGAATTCTGCAATTTTAATTAAAAACATATGTTGTTTTCGTTCACGAACTTTGTCAAGCTAAATCGCGCTGTTTCTCCAAAAAGCATAATCTTGACATCGCGAAATTAACTGTATTCGTCTCAGTAGAATAACTTATATTCTAAATTTCTAACGGGTGGCTTTTGATGATAAACTTTAGCATAAATAGCATATATTTAGTGCACTTGAAAAAAATAGAGTTAAAAAAAATTGCTGAAGCAAAATTTGAAATTTTAGATCTGTTCATTTTTTATGTTCGTACAATAAACCAGACGTGCAAGAATTTGGCCTTTTGGTTAGCGATTATTGCTACCGGGGATGAGTAGAATGGCTGCTCTCTTGTGATTAGATTAGAACAATAAACTAACAGAAAATATATGCAACAAGAGTTAAGAGCGTTCGAGATTGACTAAATATGAAGCTTATATCAGATGGATATATATTCTAGGAATAATATTTTATACTTTCTAAGAATAATATTCTATATGCATGTTTGTTACTGGTATGCTTATTTTAAAAAAACGCTTATCGTACGATTATCGTAAGATTGAAACTGCACGTTTTCGTGCAAATTAAAATATATTAGTGTCTATACTAGTGTCTATGTGGAAGAATTTGCGAGTGGGATAATTGAAGCATGAAAGTTGATACGTATACTTTAAAAGGAAAACAACTGCCTAATAGATGCGTGGGAAGTAACTAGAAGGAAGCTTTTGAAAGAAAACACTAAATCAGTCAATGTTGAGAATTACCACTGAAGAAAAAAGAAACTAAATAGCATATCTTTGGATAAACTCTGAGGAGATTGCTTTGACAATGAATCAAAAAGTTCGCTCTTAGCACAAAGAAATTTTCTATATAGCTATACCGAGCCACCGAGACAATCATGATAATGGTTCTTCATAATAAGTTTTTGCATGCATGTTAACATTGTAACGGTCAACTCCCCGGCAAAATATCTCTGACTCAACCACACGCTTGCCAAATCTTATCAACTCTTATCTACGTCTGATCAGGGCGTGTATGCGTTTTGTTTCACTGGCATTATCACATTATTCACATATAGCTAAAAAGAATATAAGATCTTGTTTTCAGCAAAGATGAAGCATATATTATTATAATATTGAATTATTGTTTATTTTGTTATTGAATATTGTGCTAAGAAATTTGGCGGAACGAACGGCTTAAGCCGACTGTTGAAAGCCGCGAGGAAAAAACCCCTCCTCGCCCTCAGTTTTCTTCATTCTAGAAGCATGTTTGAGTTGTTTTGCCAGCATATTTCCGGCCAAATACCATCGTATAACCAAATAGTGAACATTTTTCTACTCTGCTCACGCAAAACCTTTGGCCAGAAGTAGAAATGTTTTTGTAGGTGAAACTGAAAGATTTGCGTTAAGTGTCAACATATTCCTATATATGTTTCGGCTTTTGTTTTGCTTATAAACTGCTAACTACAAGTCCTGCATGGAATGCCATTCCCTACATGGACTGAAATTATCGTGTTTTCGCGTGACGCGTTTTCACCTTTCAGATCCCATCACGAACAGCTGTTTGAGCCTGTTTCTTCATGTTATAACACATTACAAACGCGAGTGTTGGCGATTACATACTTGTATTTTCTATTTCATGGGATTCCTTAACCAAGCTGTAATCAGTGGTGTCTTCTCTTTCGCGCGATAGTAAATAAGTCGGTTTAAGACAAGTACCTGTTACGTGATGCCCACTAAGGCACCAACCTGCTCGAATTCGCAAGCTTTTTTACTTTTAAACGTGGGGGTGAGTAATGATACTTTTTAAATTACGAAATACGCACATTTGTTAATATAAAACTACCTTTGAAACTATGCCGTTATACAATTTATACAAACGGAGATAAATCTCATAAACTTATAACATCCGTCGGGCTATTCAGCGAACAGATTATGTTCAATGTGTATATATGTATATTTGCATCGAAAGGCAACTATATGCCTATAAGGTCAAAGGATCAGAAACCGGGAACAATTTTATCGCTCTGACAGCAACTTTGCTATTACAAGTAGACAAGTTAACACTATCATTCAACGATATATAAAAAAGCTGGAAAAAAAGTTTCCAACAACTTTGACCCAACCTGACCACGATGCCATGTGTTGGACAAACTGATTGCTACTATACATGCTGGATTTTATTTTTGAAACTGTAACTGTTCAGTATAGCTTTATGCCATGTAACGTCACTAGGTCACGTATACGACTGTTGTTTTACTATAAGTATAAGAAAAAACTGTCAAGACCATCTTGGAAATTTACGACATGAGAAATTTAATGGCGACACACGGGAATGAAATCTGTCAACACTCCATAGGAATTTCTTGTAAGTTGTAACATTGAAGAAGCATGACTGTCGAATTGCTACACTAGAGCAGAACAGAATAGAAATTAACTCCTTTGTTTGAATCAGATGAAAAGTGCCCTTTTTGATCAAACCTCTCTTATAATTCAACGCGCTTGTTTCCCAGATCCATGCAGTAATTATGCGAACGGAATGTCGACTAAATTTTGCGTTGCAACGCGATTTTAAATTCTCAAACACGCGCGCCTCGGAATTTCCTAAATGTTCCATTTTGTTTTCAAAGCGCAAAAGTTCTCTAGCAAGTTAAAAAAAAGGATAATGAGCCTATATGCACGCTCCTGAAATACAATTGACCTTCCTATAGGGAATAAACATTTCGTGAAGAATATTTCAATTTGTTCCCGCAGACAAGGAACAGGTGTAAGTCATAATTCTCATTAGTGACATGTGTGCGTGCAACGTTCATCAGTTGCACCAGTGTTAAACCTCGGGTACAAGGTTGTGTTGCACCATGCGGCCTGCTTATACTCGCCTAAGTGTTTTAACCTGAAAAGTGCATCTCTGTTCCGCGTGGTGAAATATATACTGTTTTTAGAGTTACATCCTGCATGTTATCAAGTGGGTACCATATTTATGCACGCGTTATATTTCAATTAATGGGCTTTATTTAGGAGAGAAGACCATTATTTAGGAGTCATATTGTTGGCTTATATTATAATTGCCAAATAACAAGTTGAAGCAAAACACTATTTAATAAGATTTAGAGTTAAAGCCAGCTATGTATGCCTCTAGGTGCTATAATCACCACAGCTATTATCATGCGCTTGTCATCGTAGCTTATAGAAGCAATATAGTCGGACAACTACCGCATTTCTAAACCGTGGAGCTAAGCGGCCATGTGTTGAACATCGGTCACGTTCGATTACCGTTTTTGCTGTGCAAATGCCAGCTGCTTCTCAGCATATATGAATGATATATTGATTTTGAAATACAATCCCAAATAAGTTATTCATGTCTTTTGATCATGTACATCGATGGTTTTCATAAATGTGCCGCCTGCAGAGTCGGTTGAAGCCAGAATTAGAAGACTTATGACTTTGGTATAGCCTTTAGTTCTTGGCCTCTTGGGCCCCTTATCAATCCATGCATGCATGATTATAATATATTCGCATTTTGAGGTATCGCAATGGTATGGTTATAGCTATATAGACGAAGTTTGGATATTAGTATCAAAAACGAATAAAACATTTCAAAGTTTAAGTTGAAAAATGTTTTTTCCGAGTGGGTTTTTTCCAAGTTTGTAGTCGGGCTAATCAATATATTCAAAAGTGTTCTTTCCAGAGTCTATAGCACATGTTACATTCTGACTGAGAGGTAATATGCCCAAAGATGCTCCATGAAAAAGTCTGAATTAAGCTGTGTTTTCGCGAATAATAATTAACATAATTTTAACTGATAAAATTTTCGCAATTGCAAGGACTAAAATATATATTTAAATTTTTTTTTGTTACATCTATACAAACACTGACTGAGATTTTGATACCGCAAGACTGATTGTAAAAAAAGTTACATATTTCTATTTCTATACACGAATATTTGATGTATTTGAAAGATAGCAAAATAATAAGGATCTCTTTGTCTTTTTTTCACACTCAAAGAACGAGTAACTTAATGAAATTCTTTGGCAACAATAAAAAAGTGATGCGTTTGATGTAGTTTGAAATCTAATGCATGCATGGGGTTCTTCGTCACTTTCGTGGCCGACTGACACTAAAAATTGCCTTTGCATTAAAACGAAGAAACGGCCGTGAATTGTAAGAACTTTTGTAAGAACCCGTTTAATCCTGGGGGACATTACATTGATTCAGCCAGGATTTTTGGATATCCGGCATCCAGAATTCCAGACTATTAGCTTGCAGTGTCCAAAGCGAAATCAAGAAGCAAAGTCAGCCTCACGCACTGCTACGACACGATAAAATATAATTATAAGCATTTGTAGCCATAAACACTGGTTTACATACATTCTAACATAAACACTCGAATCACAATATTTATAACTAAATTATACTAGAATTTTCTTGCTATCTTGATATCGAGTATTTACACTTTATCAGTTTATCAAATGACGCCATTTCACAAGTCAAGAACATCATTTTTTCGAATTTTTGCCACATTACAGAGATAGACTGAATCCATTTGCTGACGTCTGACAACAGCATGAAAACGTAAGTGAATATTCTCTTCTCGACGTCTGACGCAGCAATAAATATTCATAGAAAATTACTGTTAGTGCCGATGACAAAATTCCAATCATGTTGTTATTTGTTATCGCAACATAATAGCTATATGAAAATTGGAAATTAATTGCAACGGAAATATTTTGACTGGTAAAAGAGGAAGCCTGCTGGTGGGGGACTCTCTTTTAAAATTTTTGTCATTTTTATCTTACCTAAATTTCCTGACGCTTCAAACTCTGAGATCGTAAGCGGTAAGTCTGTCTCTTTGACCAAAAGTCGGTGAAACTGAAACAAGTGAGAGGAAGGTTGTTATGAAATATTTCAAATTGTGAGACGCTTTGACGCTGCATAAGAGATCCTTCGAATAATAAAGAGGGTTTTTTATTTTTTTATTGCCACAATAAAAAACATACTGAAATTAAATTTGTAGACTAAAGGAATTTATAGTTTAACCAAACTCCAGGATGCGATATGGCATCGAAAAACTTGATTTAGAAATTAGAACCAACATAAACTTGACTATAGGTAAAGTCACATGGTAAAAGCTGGAGCCGGATTAGCCCTAATTAACCAGATTGCTATTCAGTCTAATGTGTATGGCAGCCGGTTGGCTAATTTTGTGTCTTTTTCAAATACTGTGAAAGCAGCGATTTTTGCGCACGTATTAAGGATATTCGTTGACATAGCAACGAACAAATAATTATTTTTCGCAGATTCACATGAACTGGGAAAGTGTATTAATCATGACAAACCACTCCTTTATACCCGCAAGCCATAACTGTGGTTCCCCCGCTGCGTGGGTTTATTGCGTGGGTCACGTGAGGTCAAATTATGTTAATAAAAGCCATGCTCATTGTATTAGCGGATTAAAAACTGTTTGACTGTCGCTTCGAACGTTACTGAGTGAGCCTTGAATTCTAATACCTGAAAGGATTTGAAATCAGTCTGTCGAATACTCTTCCAAAAGTCTAGATATTGGTGTGCTTAGCTATCTATAAGATGGCAGTAAAAGACGAAGTGTTAATCTTTATACGGAACACTGCTTCTGCTCTTTATCCTGAGTGTAAAGTGATTGTCGCTCCGACTTTGGTTGGTGTTTACCTAAACAAAAGCAAGGATGTCCTAATGAGAACCGCATTGAGCCACCATTGGAAGTTCCAAAATCGAGGAGTGCTCGCGTTGGTTTACCACCCTGTTTTAAACCGCCTAAAACTGATGGTTTTCGATGAAAAAAGCGGCCGCGTTCATTGGCAAGAGACATTCGGTGATTATACCAATTATGAATGCATTCACGAGGTATTTCATATCTTAAACAGCTCGAAAAACTTCTGCCAGAAAATTGGACTCTTTTATGCAGACGATAAGGTCGCGAAGATGGTCAACGGAACGTTGGAAGTTTTCTCAGCGCAACGGAGACGCGAACAAGCACGAAAGGACCGTTGTGGCAAACTCGTAACACGGTCCAAGTCGTTCAACAACACGGAGCGTGTAAACGTTGAGGTGAAATTAACACGCTCGCATTCAAATTCGATGGGAGACATCAAAATACACAGGACCGCGTTGAATCTGTTCGAGGCAGAGGCGAGAAAATATGCTTTAAAACAGACGTCAAGAAGGCCAAGTCTCAGAAAGATGTTCAGCGGACTACGGTCATCATTTAGAGTCAGAATACGAAGGCGGGACAGTAATGAGGAAAATGAAGACAGTAAACGAAGTCGGTTATCAACGGGTTCAGGAATTGAGGAAAAATCGCAACTCAATCAGAACCAAATGGAACCCAAAGTGGTCCCGGATGAAATGTGCCCGGACAACACAGAACATTTGGATGTACTCGTGAATGAAATGGACACATTAAGCGCGAACTGGAAATTGACAGATGTTGAACTGAAGGAACTGTATCGGTTGAGCTTTTTCAAAGAACGAAATGTGCAGTCTACTGATTTATGCGCAACCGAATTATAATAATCGAGAATATAATCTCGTATAACTTGCTAAAAACGTGAATGGTTCTCTTATACTTAGGAAGGAACCAGAATGACTGGCTAGTGGCTAAGTGCTTGGATCAATTAAGATTTTTGATGGTCAATTAGTCCAGAATAATAATATCTACAGTCGAGAAACGTGAGCCATATTTTATCAATTTACCTTTAACCAAATTGAATACGAAATTATTCCACCACACACAAAAAAAGATTGGTAGAATCTTGCTTTTTAACGGGCGGAAGGAACTTAAACAAATTATATAATTACAATCCTTGAGAAATAATTTAATCGCAAAAAAACTCTTTAAGAGATAATTTCTGCAATTTTCATACCGAAATTTCTTATTGTTTATTCGCAGCCTTATATAGTAAATATCTTCAGGTAATGTTTACGAAAATTATATGTTTGTGTTGTGTTGCTAATCTAAAGTCTTTCCGCCAGGGATTATTGAGGGAGTTCTCTACAATCGAATAATTATCCTCGATGTATATAATGGCGCCATTGACTAAGTCATGTCAATGGGCAATATATTGTACAAAAGTGTTTCTGTTAAATTATCCTTTATATGTACATAAATTATGTATTTGTGCGTGGCAATTATTATATTTTATGAAACTGATAAACTGCATGTCTGCATCGTTGTGAAAACGTTAGTTCTGATTTCTCTATAATGTTTAATGTATAGAAAGCTCATATATATTAATGTTATGATAGCGCGAACATGGGAAGTGTTGCTGAAGGAACTGTGCCGAAAGTCTGTCTTCTAAAACACCAAAAGACTACCGCGTGCCAAACAAATCTGCGCTGTTTGTCAAATCTTCTTATATTTGTCGCGTGCGTCCATATTTAGCCAAGCTAATGTGATGACATATGTACACGCAGCAAAAATTTAGGAGTCCAACCGAGTTCATTTATGATGAGCGCACCTTATTTGTCTGTAACCTTAGAGCCTCACGCAGTAGGTATAGCCATAACTGAGGCTATAGTTTATCTCTGCGCAAGTTACGAGATCCTTGAAGATAATATATTTTCACTTTCTGTTGTCGGCAAATGCTTTTATTTGCGATAGGAAATTGAGGGTGTCTCCCTAGTTAACCACTAGAATGGCGTGTCCTCAACTTGGCAGCCAATTTTGTCTAATTAAACTGCGGAAATATTTGCTATCAGATATCGTCTCGTTTCTGTTCGTGTTAATTAGTTTTCGCATCTCAGATGCTTTGTTTGGTTGTTTAATACGCTTCCGTCAAAGCAGACATTTTGAAAAGATCGTATCAATGCCAACCACTCTGCAATCATCTGGGTAAACAGATTTATTTGAATGAATAAACCTACCATACCTGAACTTTGAACAGAACATTTGGCAAGGCTGCGATAATTTCTGTCCACCTATCAAATTAAAAAATATTGGTCTTCAAATCGCAAATGGTTTTGATTTTTTTAAAATATCTATTAAATCCTGTCTGGTTGGAAAATCCCTGTAGATATAAACTACCTAAATGTTTATTTTGATGTAAGTTATATTACCTCTTCCTCTCTCAAATATGCCGGCCGATCACAAGCTTATTATAAAACCATATACGGCGGAAAACAAAGTTTCTTTTCTAAACGATTTACACTTGCAACTCACGCTAGAACCATATGTGTGGAATTTTTACGTGTAGAACTCCGCAGATGTTTTTAAATCTACCCAATTAATTAACGTGTGGACAACTGACATAATGTCAATGATTAATAGTCGTAGACTCAGGCAATGCTCACGCATGCCCCTTTAAAAGGCATTTTATCATTGGTAAACAAGACGAGTGTATAAATATAAAGTCCTTCGCTCTCCAATTAAACGTCCTGTGTCGGATCTGCTCAAGACGTTTAGATTTGTTTAGTGAAAGTATAAAGAAGACATGGTTAATAATAATATCAATGATAAATTTGATGGTACAACAATTAAAAATGGAATTTGGCGCATTTTGATTATGAAAGTTCATATATTATATTGGGTAAACGGTGCATAAGACATCAGTGGAAAACATGCATTCAAATGGTTCTTGTTGTGAGTGACATGCAATAGATTACTCCACCCGAACTAGCTATTTCTGGCCGTTCTACTACGTAAATTACGTCACTATGGACTTCCTGACCGTCATTCATGTACTTAGGGGGTCATTATGAGCCTTTTTAACTTCCATATGTCTCTTTGCACAATTGTCTTTTAGCACAGCCAGATATTTCAAAAGATTATCGTACTTTTAATTTCCAGAAGAATTAGATTAGAAGATTTCAGAAGATTATGCTATACTGCTCGCCGGATTTTTCTGGATTGCAGCATATGCAGTTGGTTGCACATATAGAGCACAAAATATGAAAAGCTTGCACGCTGTTTTGATACAGCTTTGATAAACATACCCAACTTGACCATTCGCATGCACGCTTGGAAGTTTCAAAAAGCTTCGGAAATTACCCAACATGGTAGCCAGACTTACTCCTTATTCATTGCGTGTGTTCTGTAGTGTTTTGCATGACGTCATTGAAAATTCCATTTTTAAATTAAAAACAAAAATTTCGAAATATTTCGTCCCGTGCGGCGAATTTGATTGCACGCGTATGTTGCGGGTCATGTAAAAAATGAAGAATCGAGATATCTTAAACTTCATGATCAAATGTCTCAAAAACAAAGTGCATGTTGATTGTTAAACTTTATAACTTTGTAACTGTATCTAGAAGGCCATCTTCATCCATTTTTTGCTGTATTTGCCGCGCAGTCGTGAAATATTTTATTTTCTTGCATAGTTTTGGGTTTACCTGCCATCAATGCATTTTATTTTAGCAAATATGGGGGGAGTTACTTCCAAGTACTAAAACTAATCCATGACAATTTTAAGACCTAATTGGGAGTTTTTCGTTAAAAATAGTTTAGAATGATTGATAAGAAAAATTGCGGTCAAACCAAAGTGTCTAAAAAATCATTTATATCATGCAACATCTAGAATTGCGACTACGGCTATATTTGAAATTTAAATGTTTTTACTACAAATATATTTACTGTTCATATCAAAACGTGCTAAAATTAGGTAAAGTTATCAGATAAAGACAGAGTGTGAATATCCAAATTAGTGAAATGTGTCTTCGGCACATGAAACTTTACACATGCATAAGGGATAAGACTTCTGCTACATGTCCCATAAATTATATATAGTTTACCGTTGGGCATAGTATAGATAGTATTTGTGACGTCCAAAGACTCTGCATGGCTGAAATAATTTGTTATCGCGAAATGCTATCCAGGCCTAGGTTTATAGGCCAGAAATTCGTATTCATGCTCCAAATTTGCTTGACCCAAGTCATCTTAAGTTTAGTTTCCCACCATACTAAAGTAGGCTCACAGTAAGTAAGGCAATCTCTGCTGCAGTTCTAACTTCTAATGATTCCTGTTGCTAATGTTAGCTATTGCAACTGAATTCTGAGCGATGTTAAACACACCCAGCAAGGAACTACACTGATTAATATATTAAATTGTAACCGCTTTTGATAGTTGCTACATATGACAAATACCTGAGCTTCAAAGATGAATGTGATTCGGGGTGAATTTTGCATTTTGTTTCGAGCATTACCAATACCAAACAATCTTCCCGTTAAATTTAAAGCAAAGGTAACTTCATGCGAAGACCATGCCTGCATGTATGGAAGCGATGTGATAAACTAAATCAAGTCTAAAATTTTACACTGTCATTTGCTTCAGTACTGTAAACTGTAAAGAGTGATTTTCAGGTAAAACGAATCCTGTAAACTTTTCAAAAGCGTACATTGTTATTAACTTTGTTGAAACTGACTAGAAAAGACTCAGAAAAGAGAGTGTACAAGGAGAATTCTATTGTGTCAGCTTAGTCGTTAACTATTTGGCATATTTTGCGTGAAACGTGTGCAGTATTTTCAAATAGGTCACCTACCAGACTTGGTATTTTACTGTAAAAACATAAGACTGGTTCCGTGTAAACAAGGGTTAAGAAAACACTGTGTTGTTATAAATCTCTTGTTATCTATGCATGTCCTTCAAAAATTTCACCCGTTTGGGCTGTTGAACCAACTTTTAATAAGCAGCCGAAAAACAAACGTTCTTATTCAACGTCTGACGTCTCGTAAACAACTTTGCTAATGCACAAGTGTTGATTCATATGTTTCAATGAAAAACTACTTTTATTTATATTAGACAGCTCTATCAGTTGTCAACTGTTTTTCAATGTTTTTCCTAGTCGTCAGCTGAAAGTCGTCACTCATTCACGTACTATCTAGTTGTATTCCAAAGAGTACCTCAGTAAACTTAACGAATTTTGTAGACAGCTTTATCAGTTCTAAACGGAAAACCTAACTAACGATTTAATCAAACAAATGCTGGTATTACTAGATAACCGTATCAATTTTGTAACCGCAAGTTTATTTTTCCATGCAAGTGCTACTTTAGGAGACCATGCATGCTACTATAGATTGGTTCAAAAGTTCCTCACTTCTTTTAATCACGATCCCAGATATATGTACATTGGAATAATGGAATCAATGTGGATTGTTCTTGTAATTTCACTAAATGCCTTATGCTATAAATAAGATGAGGCTACAGAGGTGTAAACATACATGATGGAATTGATTATAAGCATGGCGAATTCATCCACAAAATAGATTATAAGTGGATTAACTCAATACATTTCATTCCATTGTGTTTACGCGTTCGTACGTTCAACAATATGTTTACAGCTAATTCAATAAAACTGTTGCCCCTCGTAACATCAAACTTAAAACCCGAAGCGTGCGAGGGATGACGGGTTATTTAGACTCTTTAAATTTGGAAATTTAGCTTTACAAGAATACCTAAGACTAAAACGATGACTCACATTAGAAAGTATATGCTAGCTTAAAAAGCAATTTGCTGACTTGAACAAGGCATGATAGTAAATAGTTGTAAGCCATCATTCCATTGCACTTAGAGCAACAGAAGTCAATACAATTTAGCTGATTATGAAATCGGTATCAAATATGGCTGAATATTAACCAACAATAGTCTATATTTATTTGTTTTTTTGATTTGTACGAATGCGCAATCACATGCATCCTTAAAACTGTAATAATCTTAAATATAACACGCATCTAATCGGTTATTATCATTCGTTTGTATCCACTAGCGATGGCATGTGTAAGCTTTCTGATTTCTTACTGTCCTATAAAAGGCTATAAACTGTTGATATAGAATAAACACTGAAAATCGTGGTCATATAATCGGACCGTTGTCTGCACGTACTAACAAGCTAAACCTCAAAGCTTGTTATATTTTTTACCTGCATGCAGTTTTGAATTGCTGGCCCACGTTTTGTGTGTTTATTGTTTGACAAAAATTAAAAAAAAAGAGTTCAAAAAAAATTATACCGACAACAGATTCAAACCTACGCATGATTGATAAAAATATTCATGACATTTCTCTCATCCTGTTTTATACAGATCAGCTGAATGCCGAGCTAATATCATGCATATGTGCGTCGTCCGTGTTTTTTGTCATTATTCTTATCCTAATCGGTCAATATATAGCTTGTTTCCAAAAACATGCTGAACTAGCTTGCCTAAGAGATGGTTTCATTATCGCATAGGAAGGCTCAGTTACAAAGAAATAAAAGGCCGCCTTTACTCACAAAACATGCAGGAAACCGTATTACCCTATATATTACCAAATATATTCGAATCAATACATTGCAAGTCGAAATATGTGTCTTAAGCCCGTTTTCCACTATAGATAAAAAGTAGTAAGCGTTTCTACTTTATAGTGGAAAATGGACTCTATATAGCTAAAGCATGGATGGTTCGGGCAGCTTGAAAAGAAACAAGTACAATATCATTATTATCATACTGAATAATACGGAAGTCCGAATTTTATCTCGTCAACGAAAATTTCGTGTCTGTACGCATTACTTAATTAATTAATGTGAATGAGGAAAATATCTCTTTCTCCGCGTTTTATTCCCTCTTCCGCGTGTTTTATCGCTCTCTTCCGCATTCCGTAATTCTGGATCCGTGTTTTATTACTAACCATTTAATTGTCTAGTTGTTGTCAAACGAATCAAATCAACTTCGTGTTATCTCACATTAGTCAACATATTGTAAATGTCAGTAAGACCACCCGTTAGATATCCATAAATCACAGAAGTTGAAGAACTGCAATTAATCCATTACTCCAAACCAAGAAAAAGGAGAACCGTTATCATCAGAAGTGCGACAAAAGAAATAAATCGTGAACTAAACCATAACCATAAGTCTAAGATACAGTACAGTTTACCGAAGCATCATTGCGTCATTGTTCAGGATTCAAAACTATAGCTAAAAAACGCCATAGGTCCTATACATGCAATGAAAAATAGAAAATATTTCAATATAGTATAGCCCAGCACAGTACTGGAAACATCGGTGCGTGGCCCTATCTTCGTACAATCAGCAGTTTTTTCAGACATTTACCGATTGTGTCGGAGATTTGAATACCTCGACATTAGGAAGATTTTGAAATTGAATATGCAGAAATTCAGAAGATGTTTGATCATGTTTCCGGATAGTAAGGGAAGTCATCAGGGATTCAAAGAAGATTTTATGACTGCATACGAAATCTATACATGTTCCGATTCTGGCATTCTGCAACTTAAAGTTCACGTGACCTAGTACTATGCGGGCAAATTACGCGTTTATATCCATAAATGTACTATCATACACACAATAATGTGGTATGGTGTAGTATAAAATAATGAATGATAAATATCGCATTTTACCACTCTACAAAATGCATGTCTTCTATCACCGCTAACGCAAATCTGATTTATCACTGCATAAACTTGGTTATCATTGCACCTTAGAATAATCCCTGAAAGTTGCTGTTCTTAATTTCTCATGAGTCCCAAGAAGTATCTTGCCGTCATTTTTCGTGGCTTCAGAAAAATTTCATTTTTCACCCAAGCATTGTGAAAAATTCCTTGTTACACCGACTGCCAAAATAAATTGGATGAAAAAGTGAATTTCCGGGCACTGTGTGTTGATACATTTCTCCTAATTTTTTGAGAACCCTTTGGCGATATCTAGGAGGCCTTCTACACAAGTCTTATCCGGCTTGTAATATTTTTAGTAAGAGCATAAAACCTTTAATCATCGCAAGGTGAAGTGAGCCACGTGGGTGTAAACTGTAAAATACAGAACCCCTGAGTCGCTGCCCTATATTCGATACATATCATATGTTTTTAGTTCTTGACATCTCATAGATCATAATATTCTACCTGATTTGGGAAAGATATGCAAATAGACAGTCCAGATTAACGTCATATATATATGTATCAACGTCAACAAACAGTGAAATCGTGGGAAATTGTCGGAAAACTTCCATTTCCAAATTCCAACACTGGCGCCAGGGAATAGCTTACAAGGTCAAACCCGTTTTAATTCATGGCAAAGACCAAGTAAGGGGCGTGAACCATTACTAACTGGAGTGCGCTTTGAATAGGGCATTTTATCGCATAGCAATAACATTTACCCCATCTATAAGGAGTATCTGTATTTAGTTCCATTGAACTGTAAACAAACTGGAACGCTAACTCTGGGAAGAAATTGAAGCCAGTGCTTCTTACTTTTTCTGAGTTTTGAGCTGAAATACTTGACGCCAAATGTTGAGCCGTATATGAAATTAAAGCTATTAAAAAGTTAAAAATATTTCGTGTAGAAATTTTAAGACTTAAGGTTAAAGGGAAATATCTAAAAATTATTTCAAAATTTCCCGATTGGCGATTGTTTTTTTTTTAAATATTTCGCCATATTTGCCCGAAAAGGGCCTGCAGGGAGGTAGTTTGTAGTTCAGTTAAGTCTTGAATATATATACACCAAATATAACTTTTTTGGCACACAGCCTAACTGCTGGCGTCAAGTATTTCGTCTCAAAACTCAGAAAAACTATTTTGGCTTCAAGCTGAATATATAGGGATGTTTGTCAGTCACGAGTTATCGTTCCAGTTGTATAGAGTTCACTGTATAGTTCACACATTAATTAATGAGGCACCCGTTCACTTTAGAAAAGGGGAAAAGGGGTACCGCGTAGTTGTTTTCAAAAAAGTCCTGTAACAGACACTGCAACGATAGGTAATGAATAGGTTGGACCAACTAGTTGAAGACATCCAACTGAACAATGACTTTTATGCATGGATGGATATGGTACTAATGTGACGAAGGAAAATTTTTACTGAAAAAGATTACAATTTTAAAAACTTTTAAGCTGTATCAATTCTTTTAAACAATCAAAACAAGGCGGGACGATAATTTTGCCTCATTCATGTGGTGCAGAGTATCATTAATGATAAGAAGCAAGATTCAACTTAGACATCATTGCGTCCCACTTAGAAATTTCTGTTACAGTCTTTTTGCTGAATCAGAACCGCGAATTTGTAAATGAGAAAATGTGCTTTAAAGATTTTTCTCAATCTAAGCACCATATAAACCAGAAAGATAAAAACTATTCAGTTAATATGGGCTTCGCATTGAGCATCCTTCCAAACTCTTCAGCTTATTACTGGATTTACTGTACTGTCTGTTAGTGTCGCAAAGGATCATTTACATAATTACACATATAAAAGAAGGTAAGTCCCGATTAATTAATGCAAAGCCTCATTTCAGTACTATATTTGGTCAGAGGTGTCCCCCAAAAACGCATACAAGCATTAGCATTTTGTAAATCTTTTCTACAAGCAAGTGTCGCGACCTTTTTTACCCCTATAAAGCCATAACATGTCTCAAAATGGCTCTAATGATCATTGCTTTGGCATGCAGGAAGACTATTGGGGGAGGGGGGGGGGGCAGGGGGCATTGATCAAGCATAATTATAAGGTTTACGACGGTCATTATAGAGGATATGAGCGGTGGCGGGCAGTCACTACAAAAATACCTAGGAGTAAACTTTGTGTGCTTTTTACCGGCTGTAGTCATTACCGAAAGTAGACAGGCCACCCTTATATCACGGCTGGTTAACTCTGATGGGAATAATTCGGGTTTAAACGTGTAACAATGGACAGACTAAAGTGATGCCTGCTCCAGTCCAGTATGCACATTGCATAGTCCCTATTTTCGTGATCTTGTAATAGTGTAACTACTATTAATGCTATTTACAGAAGATATATAATTAACGTTATTATTGTCGTAGTACGAATGTCTAATTATATACACGAGAACGTCAATCCGGGGAGGGGGGGGGACAATGGTTATATAATAAACTATAGAAATGATAAACGTTTCTTCCTTAAGTTTACACTCCACTCCAGACCTGTGCATTTAAATACTTCATGACTTAATGGATGAATTATATCACGTGCACTTTTTAACTACGGGTGCCACAGTCACACTAAGGGTCAATGAGGTATTAGGATCAGAGCCGGGATGATGTCATCTATAACAAAATCTCGTAATGCTATCGGCATGTAGTAGCAACCCCCCTAGCCTGGCACTGGGCTCAATGTTCAAATTGAACATGCTTGGTTCCCAAGACATATAGTGAAGTGAGAACGCTGCGTTTGTTGGATATCACCGCTATAAATAGCACCTGTTGTCCCAGGACGGAACTAACCTAAGGGGAGGGGGTGTGAAATAATCAGTTTGCAATCTCAAACCCACCAGTTAGAACTGAAAACGAAAGGTTTCTTACAAATTAATGCAAAACAGAAAAACTTCACCCTAGCGAACTTAACGCGAACTAGCCCAGCTCCTAGAACTAAAGTGCACCTGAGGAGATGAGAACTGAGAAGTGTCCAGAATATACTTAGAACTCAATGGACCACTAATCCGGTTGGAATTTACTGAGTAGATGAGCCGTTTAAAGAAACTAAATAGGGCAATTGTTTTCAAAGTGTTTTTCATGCTTCTTAGCAGCACTAGTTCATGACTTGTTTCGAGCAATCCGGTTCGGAAACGTAGGCGAAAAACTATACGTAATATTTACACATATTTATAATGCTTTTATTAATACGGGTTTCAACGATTCGAGAGTTAAATATGATAATCTGCCTAAACATTTACACAAAAGCTCGAGGTAAATGTTCTTTTTAACAACTTCACCATGACTTCGAAGACAAGTACCGAACATCATCTTTTCCAGACAGTTCCCTGGTGATAACCCTACGCATATCCCCTTGTCCCTCCCTCGTTCTGAGCTCTGATTGGTCAGGAATTGTGTACTAATAACAATATTATGACGTATACCCCACATCGTTCTACAAGCTTACTAGGATCAACATAACACCGTCATTTCTCATCGAATGTAACCTCGAAAGATTAAAAGAACGTTGTAGAATTCTTAACCAGCTGTTGCAGAGTAATAACTTGTTAAATTATCTAATAATACAAGGCGAATTTCGTGTAAGATTGACACATCAAATACATATTTTGCGTGAGGGATTATTCGTTCGAACGCGTTGTGAAATTGTAGCTGTTAGTTGTCTACCACGATAACTTTTAATCTGGCTTATAGATCGTGGATTGTACACCTAAATAAGGAAACCATATTGGCAAAATTATGGATGAAAATGGACGTTTAACAAGTCAGGAATTGTTTAAAGTTAAATTATCGCTTTCTTGTCTTTCGAATCGTGTCACTGTTTGCCCTGTACAAGCTAAACTGTATTTGTTGAAAGGTGAAACATGGAACCATTTTAAAACCGGAGTTGCTGCTGTTATTTTTAATACTGGGGAAAGTGGGGACAGAAATCCAAAAGGGGTCAAGCTTTGTTTAGTCGAGCTAGAAAGTGGCTTCGCATCGTGGAATGAAGATTTGTCTGATAATTCGCAGTACAAAGCACAGGACACGAAGTTTCATACGTTGATGCTACAAAATAATAATGGTGCTAATATGGCCGGCTTACAATTTGAGGACGAAGGAGCTGCTTCGTTGTTTCTTAAAGAAATTATCGACTCTATTGAGGAGCTAAAGTCTTCAAATAATACGCTAGAATTGAGCAAACTTGAAATAAGCTCTCGGAAGGAGAAGGCTAAAAAATTTCGCAAGCTAAAGAAAAGTGAAATTTCAACTCCATGTCTTTTCACACATGTAACGAACATCAGTTCGACACAGGCCGACAGTTTAGACGAACCCGAAAGCCCCGATTCGTTTGAAAGTAGAAGTGGATCTACCTCCGCCAGAAGCAGCGATAAAATGAAGCGTTCTTTTAGTTTATCGAAAAGAAGATAGATCTGAAAGATTCTCTGTCAAATGACAACGTGTCCAGTAAACCAATTGTAGCAAATTAGTCTGGGCGAATTTCGGTTATTTGAACACCAGCACTAGCATCACAAAATCAGATACTGCCCCAAGACTATTTCTCAATAATAAGTCATGTTCACAGTCTAGTTTATTACACAAATCACCAATTGCTAGTGAAAATCGAGCCCAGAATACACGAAGTGACCCTTATTATTCTTCGACATTAGGAAGTAATTAGTTGCAATTGCGTATTGTATATTATATTAAATTTGAGTTAAAATCTCGTGAAATTCTGGGGAATCATCCTTGAAAACTATGCGTATAATATATGTAATGTTATTTTTATTAGAAATCCTTTCGAAAGCTAAAAATATGAATGATTTTGAACTAAGCTTGTATATTTATATGTTTATGTTTTTAACAAATATATCAAGCTGGGTTGAATGCTCATTTAGTTACAAATCAAAACATAGACTTAGACCTTCTAGAATATTTGATATTTTGCTGAAAGCAAGAATAGTCTGGGGTTTCTTAAGTTTATTTTACAACAGAATTTCTAAATTTTAAGTTGATGTCTCCCATTGGAATTTAATATGGCATCCTATCAGCCCAAGAATGCATTCTCTTAAGCTATTAACCAATCAAATTGGGGATTAAGATTTTATGATTACACTTGGAATAACAAACATTTGGTTAGATCAGATTACAAACTGGACAAGTCATAAAACCTAGACACAGTATTACTGTTTGTTAATTAATGTACTATATGTTTTTAGCAAATCTATGAAAAAATGTAGTTTTATATAAATTTCTTTCAAAAAGAAAGTTCATATTATTTTATGGAAAAATTTGAAGTATGGGGAAAATAGATTGAATGGTTTTTGTTTAGCTACAAAGGTCGATGATTTGATATTATGATTGCCCAATTTCATGCTAGCTAATGCATTCTACAATATGTTCTTTAATGTGAATTATGCAAGCTATTTTGGTGTGAAGTGATGCAATATCAGGGCAGTCAAGTGTTGACAATTTTAAAGAGTTTTTGCATATTAAATGCTAAACTAATATATTATAATAAATACTATTTTCCAGCAGTGTCACCAGAATGTGGATGGAGTGGATGGAGTTCATGGTACAAATAGGGTTGGCTGACTTGTCATAGCATATGTTATATCAGTATATATACTATATAGTCTCAGTCTAGGGTTCTTTAATTCTTTTAACTAAAGTATAGTAATGGTTGGACTTGATAACTTTTTGATACATTTGCATGGGAAAGCATTGTAAAAACAACCAGAGTTTTAGCTCTACTGCAATAAAATGGGACTCTGGCACATCAGTTCCGCTTACCCATATGAAGTTTATTTAAACTGCTCTTCTCATAGCAGATATAAATAATTGCCCAATAAAGGCAAATACTAGTTTGTAAGGTTTGCAAAGGTGAAAAGGTCAATTGTCCCTTTGCCAAAGTTGTCTTTTAATTAGGATTCCAGGGGGGTGTACAGATATGATAAGCAGGGATGAAGTCACCCCCCTAGAATTGATCGTCATGCGTCGCTGCGTGACCTTTCCATGACAACATCAAAGTGTCAAAATTCAAAATAAAATTTGTGACAAAAATAGTATGGCCTCCGTTGAAGATGAATGGCGATTTCGTCTAACTTTAATCCGCCAGTAAGTTTGTTTAAGTGAAATTAAGCTTGTGAACAACTACTTGCGAAAGGAAGTTGCTACGCTTATAATCGCTTGTATGAATTTCCTTTGTTTTTAGCGGAGAAACCGATCAGAATCGCAACAAGATTATCCAAGGTATAAAATCCACACATGCGTATATAATTTTTTCCTAACATATGGATGGTTTGTTTAGTCAAACTGTTTTGTGCGAAATAAACACAGTACACATGCTAAACCTAGCCAAATAAACGAGAGTATGTATATTAAACGCACTGATATAAAAGTTATGAAATAAATAATCGTGTTATACGTATTCCCACAAAAGAAAATTATTCAAAGAACTTTCTGGGTCACATTTAAAGTCTGAATGCATGAAAGTATAAAAAGGGTCAAAACTGATTAACTGAAACTTTACTTGTGAATAAAAGCAAAAGATACTGCAGAATGAAAGGGAGCCTAGAGTTTGGTATGAATAAAACATTCCCTTTTCTGAAAATTAACAACATTTTTTTAATATGCCCTCCAATGTTACGCCGTTACGCGTGAATTGCTATTTGTGGTTAGTGAGTGTAAATACCTCTTTCTTTAATAATACTAGTCACTATTGGCTCTGTGCTATTGGCATGTGACTTGTCGGATACATGCAATTGTCAATTTGTCATTGTTCTTGTAAACACTTGAAATTTTGAAAAGGATCAGCAAAGGATTTTATCTAGGTGAACTGTTTATTTTAGGCAGGGTTAAATAACATGGATGGTGAAGTAGCAATCTTTATTAATCTTTGTTATTGTACAATGCATAGTTCTAACAACTAGCTAGCATATTATTTTGCTTCCCAAATGGAACTAATGGCTTCTATCAATCACCCATGGGGGCATGATAAACCCACTTTAAGTTGCACTGTGATTTGCCCTTTTTTAGTTTCTTTGCATTACTATAAAAAAATTACTATAAACAATACACTCAGGACTCTAGCTATTACCATAACTAATACGGTCCTATTGTCTTAGGTCAAGACAATACTATTTTGAATGAAACAGGGAGCGAGCAGGTTGAACTGGTTGCAACCAGATTAAAATATGAACACTTGACAAGAATTTATAGCAGTGATTTAGAACGAGCATTAAAGGTGTGGCATTTATTTACTATAAATTAATTCTTACTTAATAATTGCAGAAAAAAAGAGTTACAATTATTTTTTTGCTTTTAGACAGCAGAAGGAATATGTTTAAAAAATGTACATTTGAAAGACTTGAAGATTTGTATGGAAAAAACATTACGAGAAAGGGTTAGAAGTGAAATATCAATGCAATCAAGATATTCAAAGTGACTTTATAACAGGCCATCATATGTTTTTATTTCATGTGTAGAATTATGGTGAGGCAGAGGGTAAATCACGTCAGGAGTTAAAAAAAATGTTGGGAGCAAACAAACTACCACGGGGTGCTGAGACTGAGGCACAAGTCCAAAAACGAGCTGTGGATTTCTTTGCAGGATTATTAAAGGATGTCAAGCATTTGCGAAAAACTTTGACACAGCAATCAAATGTTGACTGTAGTAAAAGTGATGACTTGAGCTTAGAGAATTCCCAGCACTCAATGGGTGAGTCAAGTGTGAATGAACTACGGACAGGTAGTGATCCCAGCTCTGAGAAATCTCATCAGTTTCCTCAAGATAACAATGAATCAACTGAAGGTATTAAACCTAGAACAACATCTCTTCCTACTTCACATAGAAGCAAACAATTACATTCTCCAGTTTTGCTAAAAGATCTTTGTTGCAATGATTCCGCAGAGTGTGACCACACAGACAAACCAATTCATATTGTTGTTGTATCACATGGTGGGATTCTCCGTCATTTTATGTCATATTTCTCCAAAAACTTTTCAAGTCAATTCCCAGTTGATAAAAAAAAGCTTTTGCGGCAGATTTGCCCAAATACAGGGGTGTCGGAATTTGTCATACTGCTGGAGGGTGACAAGGTGACAAACATTGAATGTTTGCAGTTGTACAATAAATCTCATTTGACTTAAGAAAAAAAGTCATGTGTTGGTCATTCATCAGACAAATCATCTAATTATGACATAACCGGACAGATCCTTACAAATGGCATTTTAAAAATTTGAGCACTCATCTTTTAAATTTATAGGCACAATTATTGGAGAATAGTTAAATTCATGGGGAAATTTTTATGTAGTGTAGCAGCACTGTAAATTATAGCACAGTATATGTCTTTATTGTATTTAGTATTGAATGCACTATTGCATATTTATACTATTATAATATTTCAAATATTTGTAAACAACTTGTACACTAGATTGCATATATAAATAGGTTTATTATATTAGCTCTTTAAATAGAACAGTATATACTCTAGGTACTGCAGTTTATGGCATATATGGTTTGAACAAATGTTGCACTTGTTACATCATTAGCTTGATTTAGTTTATGCCAGAGGGGGATTGTTATCTGGACGAGCAAAATAGCATTACCCAGGAAAGACTTATAGAAGGCCAGTGGTATATTCAAGGTTAGTAGAAATAAATTATGTTTATATTTTAATATTTTAAAAAGCTTTAATATTAATCATTGATAGATTTTTTGTTTTGAAATATTCTTTAGAAATGCAAACTAGTTATTCTAATAGTTATATTCTACTAGTTTTAGTAGTTTAGAAGCTCAATTCTCAGGTTTACACCAGTTCACTCATTCTATACTTCACTTTAGTATAATCCACTTCCTGGATGGCTAGATCAGTAGTTCCTTGACAGACCTTGAGTACATATCCTGATAGATATCCATACCATACGATGTCTATATGGGCAAATGTCTATTGCAGCATAATCACTGCTCATATCAGAATTTTTGTTTGTCCTTTTTTAAAGAATACAAAATCATAGTCGCTAAAAGTGTAAAAAATAAACAGAATATCCAATGCAGAATGGTTTATATCAATCCGGACGAGGTGTGGTGTTGTGTTCTCCATTTCTTTACGTTCAACGCAACAGATTGTTGATAACAGCTGTCAGCCAAGATGGAAATAAATTCTCAGTTATTCTACTTTTACAAGTTAAGAAAAACCGAGTGATTCGAAGAAGTTCACTTTTTTGCGACGATATCACAGCCTTTTTCATTCAAACGATTCAATCTTGTACTTTTGACGTCACAATTAAGCTCGTGCTGATATTCCAGGGGGGTATAAACCAGAAAATAATCCCAATTCACCAAAGTAATTTCTTAATTCTTTCTTAATTTCTTCAAGAAACCTGCCTCAAAATTTGCTTGAATATGGTGGATTATAGCAAGTGGGATCATATCGAGGTAAATATGTAACGAATAAGATTGAGAGCGCTTGGGAATTGTTGTTTCTTTAGATTTTGGAAATAAATTTTGACACATGCATTATTAAATTTGAGTATTGAGCATCTGTCTTGGAAATGCAGCCACATGATTTATGGTAGCAACTAGCAGTTTCTGAGTGAGAAAATGATGTTAGTTGTATTACTAGTTCAGTGTTGGTTGTGGAGTAAATAGAGTTTGCATCCAAAATGTTTAGTTTCTCTTTGCCCATATTTATGAATTTACAGGGTGAAGGTACTTATCATCTGTTGCTGTTCAAATGGTGCATATGCACCCAACAATTCGTAGGCCTGGTTTGAGTTCATGTTAATTGTATTTGGAAATCAACTATGAACATTTATGATCAAAGACTGAATTGTTCAATGTTCCAAATTCAGTCAATAAGTTTAATATTTTGCCAGTTAGATCATAGACACATTATCAGACTGCAATTCTTGTAGATTGTGCAGTGTATTGTTCAGATGTGCTTCGTGCAAACAGTGACTTTGTGAGTAACAAATATATTCAGTGCTGGATTAAGTTCTTTGAACAATAGTTTACCTAAAGCCTGAAGGACAGACAAATTTGCATATGAACTCCACATCCATATTTTCAAACTGTGTGCTATATATGTATAATAGGGCCACATACTTTTGCTGATTAAGACATATATTAGTACAACTTTCTACATACATATATACCTTTAGTTTTTCTTTGTTTGAAAATATGTGCTTCATTTCATATTTACCATTAATTACCGTGTAATCATAACTTGTGGGGACCGTTACATTATCTACTGTCTGCAACGCAAGATTTGCTAAATATTGATGATATTTCAGGTCAGCGATGATGAGGATGAAACCCACCCAAATATTGATACCCCAAGTTTGTTTCGTTGGAGACATCAAGCAAGAGTGGAAAAAATGGATGAACTGAAGAAAGAAAGAGAGACTGTCGACAGTGAAGCAAAAATGTAGAGCTTACTGTAGATAACTTTCTTTTTCTGGATTGCATATTCAATAAAGACTCTACACGTTTGGAGTTATTTTTGTTGATATATTTTTATTTTCTTAGGTATGAAAACAGGTTGCAAGAAGTTCAGGAAAAATTGAAGGGTGCACAGCTGTCTGAAAAAACAAAAGATATTGAGAAATACAAGGAAGATCTTAAACAAATTCAGCAACAGGTGAAAATAAATAAGTATTGGCAGATGTATTTCTGTCCTGTAAATTCGTGATGATGAGATTCTCATTTTTGGGATTGTCTTGAGGAAAGAAAAAAATAACTTAATTGCCCTAAAGGTGGCTAATGAGAAATACTGGGTGTCCCAGAGAAAAGTACTCCGGTTTGATTCATAATAGCTTCTAAACTAGCTAAGCTATTAAACTGAAATAACTTTCACTAGATTGAGGGAAGACTAACTTAGATTTTGATATATTACAGTTGTATTTTACTTTAAAATTTACGGAGATATCAATGTTCAAAATTGGTAGCATATTTCTGGAGGTGTCTAAATTATGCAAAAAACGCCGTATCAAATGTTAATCAATATAATTTAGACACATCCAGAAATATGCTACCAATTTTGAACATTGATATCTCCGTAAATTTTAAAGTAAAATACAACTGTAATATATCAAAATCTAAGTTAGTCTTCCCTCTATCTAGTGAAAGTTATGTCAGTTTAATAGCTTAGCTAGTTTAGAAGCTATTAATAATCAAACCGGAGTACTTTTTTCTGGGACACCCGGTATGTAACATGTTTCAAGATTGCTTAATTTTTTCTTAGGAAGATCATTTCAGAAAGAAGGAATTGGAGCTGGCAAAGAAAGAAAAATTACAGCCATGGAATGTTGATACTCTCAGTAAAGATGGCTTTAGTAAAACAGTAAGTAGGTTATAGTTACATATATTATATTATATAAATATAAAATAATATATAATTAACATTTAAGAGTAACCGCATTTTACTGTATAAAGCAAGTTCAATTTAAATCTGCTGATTTTCTGTGACCTAAGACCATGCTGTTAGCAGCCACAAGCCATTACAAAAAAAACATTTTAAGCATTTGCAGTAGAAAGGTTTTTGTTTTTTCCACTTTAAGATTATCAACAAACCGAAAAGTAAACAAGAAGAAAAATTAACAGAAGAGGAGAAATGGAAAAGATCTGTAAGAAAAACTATATTGCAATAATTTAACAACTCATTTAAAATGTCAGTGGTCTTGAAAAGCCATGAAAATGATCCTATTTTCAGCAACAATTTATGGATAAATATGAAAAAGAGATCAAGAAATTTGGAATGCTTCATGAATACCACGACTCAAAGGATTATCTATTACAAAACATTCAGTTGGTTGGGGAAGACACAGCAAACTATCTCACATTATGGTGTGTCAACCTTGAAGTTGAAGAGGTATGTGTGCCCGGCATTAGTCTTCGACAAATAGATACTTTCAATGAAAAATAGGCATTATGACATTTTTTTGGTCACTATTATTTGTTGGTTGCCATTCAACTCTGGGAGAACAGTGTGCTTAACGCCATGTATACCAACAACAGTTGTTATGGTAATAGAACAACAAGAGTTGTTATTCGAGCTAAAACAAAAAATTTCAATCAAAAACTCCTGTGGAAGAAATTTTTAAGCCAAATCATATTATTTTATGCCATATAAAATTATTTTATGCTAGACTTCTATGCTGCTTCACACCTGCTTTCTTCTGTTCATATAATTCAGCTCTTTTGATTGATCATATATATTCAAACACCATCACCTGTGAGAGTCTAGTCAGATTTTTTTTGCCTGAATTTCAATTTGTTTCTTTCACCTTTACAAGCTACACAAAAGTTTTTTCATTCAAAATTTTTCAAATAGGTTTATGAGAGTAGGAAGTAAGTTGGTTACCTACTAAATTAGTCATTACTGATTAACTTTCTTTAGTGTTGCCCACTGTTACAAGTCAGTAAGTACACCACAATATAAAAAAGCATCTTGATTTCAAAATGTTAAAGTGTGAGAAAAATACAATATATACCCATACAATAGTCAACAAATTTGTGTATGGTTGTACAATGGGTGTTGCTGGAACTCATTCTTCCTGTTTTGATCAAAATTTACTAGCATCCTTCTATTTCAAATATTATCCAATTACCTCACAAATGCGTAACTTTTCAACCAGAAATGTTTCGACAATTATGCAGCACAGCAGTGAGCCATTTTAACAAATTTGCACATGTTGCAATCAAGCATAAAGTCAAAATTATGTGATTATTAGAATTTAGAAATATATGCAATTTCGTTTGCTGAAAGACTTCACTAGGATTATCGTCAAAGACTTGATTTTTGCTACTTGACAGAAACACGACTTGATGAAGAGAGTTGCTCATCAGACTATCATCATGCAATATTTATTGGAACTCAGTAAAACGCTCGAAGCAAGTCCACCACAAACAGTGAGCCTGTTTTTCACAAGGTATACAGTTCATAATGATAAACGGATCACGATATACCCAAATTCCTGCACGAGAAACCATTTGGTAAATGTGTTTTTGTAAAATAACATTCAGCTTTGGTGCAGGTTTCAGCGTTGGGTACCTTGGGAGGGGGGTACCTTGCTGCTGTCATATAAAATGATGGTCGAAATCCTACGTACTCAACCATTCGAAATCCTACAAAATCATTCAACATATTTCTGAATACCTACTGTATGAACATTTTGTCTCATTGTATTTCGTGTAAGCAGTTATATTATGTGTACCCTAAACCAATATTTTCCCAACTTAGAATGGCAAAGGCAAAAACGGATTTCACAGATTACATTCAGGCGTTTGAAGATGAACTTGCTTCATTTATTGAGAGGGTTGAAGGGAGAGCAAAAGCTAGAATTGAAAAGGCCCAAGCAGAGGCAGAAGAGGTAAAGATTAGTTTTGTTTAACTGTCTTCATTTTGAGGTGTTTCATTAAACAACCACACGACCACATGGAAAACGAATACAGTGAACAATTGACCCCCTCCGATTACTAGATTTCAAGTTAACCCCCACTTGAATTCTTGACTTCCCATTACCCTATCAATAGACCTTTTCGGTAATTACGTCACAACATTTTAACATCACAACGTTTTAAATTTAGAACCACCTTAAATAAAATGGATTTCAAGTTTTACTCTCACGAGCCACGTGCAAAGATGCAAAACATCCTTCTTCAACACGTGCATGAAAAATATTTTTTGTTTTGACCAAAAAAGGTGGAAGCCATAACACGCCATAACATAAGCCATAACACGAGAACGAGACTGAATGGCACAAAACTGCGAGCCTCGTTCCCGCGTTATGGCTTATTTCCTCCATACTTATTAGTCAAAATGAAAAATTATTTTTCATGCACGGGTTATAGAAGGATGTTTTGCATCTTTGCACATAGCTTGTGAGTAAAATTAAAATCCATCTCAAGGTGGTTCTAAATTTAAAACGGTAATATTGTGACGTCTCATTGGAAGGTCTAGTGCATTAAATAAGAATTTCGTAACTTTTGGGACCCTTGACATCCCTCGTTCCCAGTTCTTTCCGCGTACTTATATAGTCGCCAATTTTCTCTTTGCATCTTATTCTCAAATTAGTGACCGAACTCAATCCTTCCCACGTCAATTCATCTGTTATTAATCCAATATCTCAATACATACAGTAACGACACGAAGAGCTAGTGCCACCAGTTGCATCAAGTATTTATCTTATTACGACGCATCTTGTTGCAACTAATTTGACTCTGATATATCTAGGAGGAAAGATTAGAGCGGGAAAAGAGACTTGGACCAGGAGGTTTAGATCCTGTTGAAGTATTTGAATCGTTGCCTGAGGTATGTGTACAATAAAGCGGGTTTAAGTATGTACTGTTCACAATATTTACTACCCATCTAATGAGTTCATTGGTAAAGTAATTCCTGAAATACTAAAAGAGAATTCTAAAAGTGTTTTCCCATGCAGTAAGCATAGTTTCAATAATGGGTTCTTCCACTGAGTGTTTGTTCACGGTAGTATGTTGTCTACGTAAAGAGTGGAACAATTTAAAAACTAAGAAAACTGACCAGTTAATTCATTTTAGATGCTTAAATTCATTTTTCCTTTCCCCAGACTGTACAAGAATGTTTTGAGAAGAAAGACATACCAATGCTACAGAAAGTATTAGGAGAACTCCCGGAAGAAGAAGCGAGATATCATCTTAAGAGATGTGTTGATTCAGGCCTATGGATACCCAACGCTAAAGATGCCAAGCCCGACCTGCAGCCTCAGGAGCCTGAGGAGAAATATGACGAGCCAGATGAGCCATGATGTCACAGGTTAGCACGTGATGTTAACATTCGTCTACTTCTATATTGTGTGGTGCACTAAAATTTTGTCAACTGTGTAATTGTATATTAGTAAAGTTTTCTTTACTATTAATGATAATAACTTGCATGGCACAAGTAAACATCGGGCTGGATAAGTGGGCCCGAGTTGTTAGTCTGCATTTATAACAATTATTGTCTGAATGGTGGAAATTTCGAGTAACGAGAACGGTTGCGAAAATGACCTCTAAAATTTTTCGACAGAAATCAAATTTGGGGCCCAAATTGATGTATAAATTAGATCACTATACTGCATCCAAAGTTCAGTGGTCAAAGCGCTTAGTCTCAGGTTTATTTATGTCCAATGAACATGGGACGCATTTCTCGCACCCTTTGTCGTCTTGAAATTTATGGTTATTTATAATTATTGACACACTCGAAACCTTCATCATTATAATTTCTTCCCTAATATGATAATCTAAAGAGATGCACAGGGTCGTGCCGGGTGCCGCTAAACCTAGGATGTTTATTTGTCACAAAGAATAATTAGACAGATCTGGAATTAGTAAGATCTCTTGTCTTAATAAGCGAAGTTCAGATTTGACTACTGCTACGTTCAAGGAAACATAGACCAATCAAATGTGATACTTCTATCAGATTGACCAATCACAGGTCAATCACAAGCGTTATTCATTATGGTAAATTGACAGGTCATATCGGGCGGCAGGACGTCTTGGAGAGAGATATCTTTTTGTGTTCTTCAATGTCTTTTCAAGTGCCTTTGAAATCGATTTTTTTTTAATTCAAGCAAGCTATTGCACTTACAAAAAAAATTCGTCGGGTAGAACTGAATATATGAATACCCCCTCCCCTCGTTATCGTTCTAGTTTCGGCCCTGCACCCGAACGAACCCTACAAAAATATTTACACATTTAGCATTTCAAGGGCAACACAGATGCAGGAGTTGCATGAGAGGCATTTTGCCAACAAAATGTTGTCACCTTGTACTATGCAAAGTTTTTACTTTCTCAAGTTTCGCTGCAAACTTAGGCCATCATTAAGGATTTAAGGTTGACACAGACCGAACGCGATGCGAATTTTCAGTTTTCAGAAGCATATAAATTAAATTCTGGAAGTAAATTTGGAATCTATGGACACCAGAACAGTCAAAATGTATTATCGTTAAGTAATCTACTAGAATATTATGATAGTTTAAAAATTTATTTACTTTTGGAAAATAAAAAGTCGCGTCCTGTCTGTGTGGGCGTTTATCGTTACCATGCACGGCGTCTGAATCGAAACACAAAACACTCCGAAAAACTCACCCGCAATCGTGTCGATTAAATATGAAATATTATTAGTTAGCCACATGTATGAATGTGAAAAATTAGACCACCCATAGCATTAAAACTATTCGCAGGACAGAACGTATAAAAAAATTAAAATGAACAGCAATCAAAATTGCAAACGAGGCAAATTGTAGTTTCATGTAAGAATATTGATAGTATGCTTGCAATCTTAATGCAAGTCACTGATCTGATAAAACGCTCTGGAAAAAGCAATTTTACTGTACCTAGCTCAAAAGCCAGAATTCGCTGAACTTCAGTCACAACCACGCGAACCCCAGCCCTAGTGATCTCGCCCGTAAGGTAGTATTTTTCTCCGTTCTGGATCTTCATTTTTCCGGCGTAGATACAGTTGCTATATCCAGTATACTATCAGATCAGTGGCGCATGTTTTATACCAAAGTGCTTTTTAAATGATGCGTAAATAAAGCTTGAAAAGTTATTTCCATAGCGTTCTGTGTATTTTATTGGAAATTCCCACTAAACTTCATTTATATTGTCGATGTACAGTGACAACAAACTACCTCTAAAATCTCGTTTGTGCTATGTCTGTGATTGTATGTCTTTTTTAAACCGTTAAATAGATATTAAATAGAGCATGCAAGACTTAAACAAGTCTTTAAGTTTAAGCATTTTCATTGACCAGAATAGTTTATTTTCTGGCGGTCTCGTAGTTGGCTTCAAACCATTGGCATGTTTCACGAAGTGCTGAAAAAGATATATTTTTACAATTTTACTTACATCGACATGCATGAAAGAGACAGTATATCGAGATATTTTGTCTATACTACAATCGTGACTACGCCTTGCTGCACGAACGTCTAGCATCTAATGGTCTGGCCATGCTTTGTACCAGGAAACCAGGAGATCGGGGGAAATATGGTGAACGTGAAAGCAATGACATAAAAATAAACCAACCGGAGGGTTTTCCTTCGTAATAGTATACGCAAAAGTGATTAACAAACCTCATTGTGACTTTCCCTACCTTGTTTTATATCAGTAAATTTGAAATCTGGCCTGTATTTTCTCAGTTTGGCATTACTTGCTGTTTTCTTGAATTGACCATCTGACTTTGATGTGTCATACTGGGAAACGTGTTAAGATGTATATTTTAAAATAATGGGTGTATTATAGCACAGAGAACATGGCAGATATTGACAGAGAAGTGACAACATATTATAGCTGGATGTACTAAATGAGATCAGAGTTCTGAAGGAGCTCTTTCATAATAGTATCTCTGGCAACTTTGTGTTGTAACCTTGTAGTTGGATATGGTTAGTAGATGTATTATGGGAGGATAGTGACATATTTAATATCACAACCCGGATTTCTGAATTTTATACAAAGGATACAGTTAGTTGTCCTTTAAAATCCATAGCTTCCACTATCATTTCTACAGCTTCCTTTATTGAGACCTCCTCTTCCTCACCGACCGACAAAATGATGGGAGATGGTTCATTATACTCTCGCAATACCCAGATCATTAGCCTGGCAAGATCCTTAAAATATTCGATTAGGATATCAAACAACTCACGGTTGAACCCATAAACTGTTACAATGGAAACTGCACGCTGCACATCCTTTTGCTCATCTTCCCCGCCTAAATTTTTAGCACTGCTCCCTGGGCAAATCTCAAAATCCGCCTTTGCAGACACATAATCTAATCTAAGACATCCGACATTCGTACGACGAATTGATTTCGACGTAAATTTTGTCAATGTTTGCGTTATATTTTTCAGGTAGTTTAACAGCATAATCGTGCATGATAAGTTATATTGGCTGTTAAAACCTTATCAACTTGGATACTATACCAGGGAGTAAATAAACTGTCTTCTTGGTTTCCCTGTTCCCCAAACTTCAAAAGGTTTGCCCTCCTCTAAGAATTCAGTAATTGTTTTGTTAGTTTAAATTTTAAGCAAAGCAAACGAATACAGTGGAGTTGTACTCCCTATTGATTGTTTTAAACTTGAAGAATGACTAAGATTGCACTCATACTTTTAGCATGATAAATCTTGTTTATTAGTCCAGGAATGACATGGCCATCTTCCAGATTAAAATTATCGTAGGGCCCAAATACATTAGTTGGAATGACACTGGTGAAATTACAGCCGTGTTGGGTATGATATCCCCTGAAATATAGCAATGTTAGCAAATATAGAACATTTTATTCATACTGCCTAGTCTGTGGAAATGTGCTATACTTTGAAATAAACCAGGGGGGCTCACATACTTATTCTGGATGTCAATCATTCGCTTTGCATACGAGTAACCAAAGTTTGAATCGTGCGGTGGGCCATTGTGAACCATTGTCTCGTCAATAGGGTAGGTTGTCTTGTCTGGGAATATACATGTCGATAGACACGAGACACATTTTTGAACCTGTGAAATAAGCCAGAGAGATGGCTAAATTAGAAAGATGTCCATTTGAAACCGCGTTCATAATATTAGGTCTGCATTAGAGACGTTTTGTCTGTATTTATAAAGGTACTCGTCTCCAAAATGTGGTCTGTATTAATAAAGGTACTCGTCCTTGAAATGGGATCCGGCTGTATTTATATAGGTACTCGACTCGTTCTCAAAACGTTTTCACTTTCGTTTTTATACTAAAATGATTTCAAACACCGTCATATAGGCGGGAAAACGTTCAAAACAAAATCTTTTCGGCGTACCACTCAAAATTAATTTATTTTTGCTTTATTCTTCATACTATGTTTTGAACTAAGTTTTGAACAGTATTTGGTGCTTGCAAAACACCAAGCGACAAAGTTTTTCAAAATATAGTGCGGCTATCAACAATGTTATTAAAATTAATGTCAACGCCATTGTCACTCAAAATGAATACAAGTTACTTCGATTCAAGTGTCATTTTCGTCTCGGCATATCCCGAGAAATCTCTTTATTTTATTTTAATATTTATTTTTGATTATGTAGTAAGCATACTTTTTTGGTATTCTTGGGGTTTGTAAAACGTTTTTAACGTTATAAATTTTAGTCAGGTCTTGCAATTTGCATGACGATATAACTGAGGTTTTGAGCACATATTACGCGACATAGAAAAATATCTCCTCAAATACGTCTGTCTAAAATATGTTATTAGTTAATAGCTATCAGAGTAGTATCGGTGGAAGAGAAGTATTTTTGTTAAACAGATGTTGGCAATAAATTGTTCAAAAGAAAAGATTTGCAATTAGAAAGATGAATTGCTAAATTGCCGCCAATTCTAAAGGCTGTTTTCCACTTACGCGTTTTGCATACGCACGCATACGCACGTACACGCACGTAAAAGTCGGAATGTTACCTTGTGAATAAATCGAAGGAACTTAGTTTTCTGCATATTTTAGTATGCATTAGTTGACCTAGATGTTAAATAATAAAAATTTAAAAGCGTATAAAAAACGCGTAAGTGAAAAGCAGACTTAAGGTATTGGATTATTTACAAAAATGAATAGAAAGGTTCATGGGATCTTTTCATGATCTACATGATGTCCCCATAACAATGGTGGGAAAGTGAAAATCATTCCTAAGATGAATGTTATGTATGTTTCAGTCAGATTCATGATTATCATATGAAAGTTGATTATCTGTTAACACTTCTTAATATGAGAGCTACAGTTATAGGATGCTGCACGGCATTGTTGGATTGTGTATTTGTCAACCAGGAACAAAATCAATTAACATCTCTACTCATGGACAAAATATAGGTAAGTTGGGTGTGCAATGTCAATTTGAGCCATAATCTCAGATAAAAACCTGCCTGTTCATAGGTAGGTTTTTAAATTACCTCATTATTTTCAAACTCAAAAGAAAATAACAATTACGGCATTTTTCTGTTGCAATTTAATCACAAACCTTGTATTCATAGGAGCACTGCAATACATTGTCATTGATGAGGATATTTTGTCTCTAAAATAGAATTTTATCATAAATGATTAAAAATTATTTTAAAATTCAACTTGTAAGGAGTAGCTGGATTAAACACTTACTAGAAAATCAAGATTATATTTCAGGTTCCTAAACAATCCTCCAACCATTGCAGCCAGATGGATGACATGTGTTGGTTTGTATTTCTCAAATATTGCTTTTGTTGCTTCTTTATCACTGTTAAGAAACAACAGAAAAATGCATAACATGCACATAGCAGCAGCTATAGATAGAGCTTGATTCACATCTAATTGTTCACATTGACATCACCACACCCTCTGTGTACATTGCATGTTACGTCGACAATTGCATACCCGAGGTCACCATCTTTTGAAGATAAAAATATCCATTTTTCATTCTCCTGTTTTTCCTCAGTTTCAGCAATTGTTCTCACAGCGCGACCAACAAGGCCTGTTCCGCCTGTCACCATGATCACTTTTTTCTGAGACATTTTCTTTTCTCTACAAATGTGTTTGTATAAAAAGGTTTGTTTAAAATTGTTATGATAACAATACAGGTTATAGGTAATACTGATGCTTTATTTACCTTGGACCTACTTTGGCAAGAAGGTATTAATTGATTTTACAGCCAGCAAATTCCATTATGCCAGTCCTTGTTTGTACTATGCTATCTTTGTACCATGCACTATGAACTCTGTTGAAATTTTTACTGACAGCAATACAGAAAAGCCATGCTGCCCATGCGAATACTGATTATATAACTATCCTTAGCGTGTAATTGTTTAATTTTATGGTTCTATATAAACAAGTGACATGTGTGTATGCCTTTGATAAGGATTAGGAATGCACTGTACAAAATAAACACCTCGAGCATAAACACCTCGAGGTTGGTCTAACACTCTACCAATTAAACGATACATTTATTCCTTTAAAAACAGCTGATATTAGAAAAATAGAACTTTTTATTCACTTACCGCCTGTGCACTTGACTTTGAACTGCTAAATAAATATTTAGTATAAATTTGCGTTTTTGTAAATCGGATCTTTTTGCCAACGTTTCTTTCGGCTTACTCCAATTATTTATATTATCAATTGGAATTAGCAAAACAAAGTACCAAACTGACACAATGATCAGAGAATGCAAAGTCTGATTTTAAAACGTTGCAATTATGTTTAATTCATGATTATGTTAATTATTCCAATCACGAATTATTCATTTCCGTACGATTCTTACATAGTGCTACAATGTCTCCATTTATAACCCATACCAAAAACATATTTTTCTACACCTTTGTGTTACGTAAGATTCAGCACACTATTAGATATCTATTTATTTTTTAGTCTTTAGAGAGTGGTCCCTACCGCGAAAACCGAAATTTTATAGTTTCATTTGCCCTTATCAACCGGGGGGGGGGTGAAAAATTTGGAATTTCTTCCATGAAAATTCTTTAGTAAATAATAAATATTAATATCATGAAAAATGGCGACGTCAGATTCTTCAGCAGGTGAGATCTTGAATTCGTTTTTCTTGTCTGATACCTAGATTTACCTCTGAATGTGTCTAAAGTCATAGTGAAATACGCAGTTTGAATTGAACTCTATGTGACATATATTACATTCACCTGTGTATTTAAGATCATTCAAATTTTCGGAGTTTTATAAAGGGAAACTTCCGAATATTGGCGAATTAAATTGTTGGATTCTGAAAGCACTTTAGCGTAATTAAGGATATTGACTATTTTACATTTCGCTTTTTTTATCATTGATGGTAAGAATGAAAAGGTTTTCAGTCAATTATTTTTATATATTTTATACTGCAGCAATAAAAGTACGTAATCCATATATATTTGGCGTATTTTATGGAATTATAATTGGTTTATAAATCTCGCTGACGCAGTGCTGCAAATAATAAACTCTTAAATTTATTGATTTTCTTTCAAATACAAGACAAACTACATATCATGAAAATGGTTGAGATGTTCTTGCTCATGTTCTTGCTCATGTTCTTGCCCAACATCTGCAGCAAGATATTGCTGAATCATATGTATAGTGAACCTCTACCTTCCTTTTTTTAATTATGTAATTAACAGTATCTGAAATTAACAGTATCTGAAATTGTTTGATCCTAAGCACTGTGGTAAATGCCTTATCATTAGCACTCTTGTTACTCTTGACATTAACTTCCCCAACCAGACTGAAAAACTGTGCAAATTCCATGCCAACAATTTCATTAGTAGACATTAAAATTGTGCCCCAATATCTTTGTCATGTAATATTTTCATTCCATACTAGCCTGCCAGGTAGTTGCCACTCTCTTCCACAGCAGAATTGCCTTTTGTATTTTATATAGGGTAGAAAACAAAAGTAACACCCCAGCTCTATGCCAATGCATGCTAATGATTAACAAAAGATGAAAACAATCACAATAGGTTCAGTGATCAGAAATTTTTCAAACTTTGTAGCAAAATTTCCAATTCTCCAAGAAAGTTATGAATATTTGTGTGTAAAGTTTTCTAAACCAGGCTATAATTCAGAATTATAGTCTGTTTTAGAAAGATTCATAATTAACTTGCAATCTGCTTTGTAAATGTAACTTCTTATCAGTTCAGAATTCAAAAGGATCCAATGAAATGCATTGTTTACAAAATGGAATGTTAATTTATTATGAATTTTTTAACTTTGTAGCAAACTTGCAAATTTCCAAATGAATATCTGTTTATCCATTTGTACTGTTCTGTAGATCTTTATTGATGTTCTATAGCTCTTTATTAATGTTCTATAGATCTTTATTAAAGGTCTAAAGACCTGTTACTCTTTGTGGATGCAACAATGCAACTTAGATTAGCAATCACTGCCACTTGTTAGGCAGGCCACTGCCACACAGGCAGTTTCTGCTTACTTTTTTAAAAAAATCCTTTTTTAAATTATAATAATATAGTAGCTACACATATACAGCACATTTGTTGACCTGTCTGGGTTTACAATGCACCTGGCACATTGCCAGCTAGTAAATAATATGTGAAGGCCTCTTTAGGCTTTCAATTTTAGATGTAATTTTAAAACTAGTAAGTTATTCCCATCAGTCAAAAAGAGACAATAGCATCAAAAGTCATCGTGAAATTGAAAGTGTAAAAATTAGTATTGATGTTTTCCACCCAATCAGAACAATACAGATCGAGAGTACTCACAGGGGATCTACCTGAAGGATTTTTACAACTTGATGAGAATCGAACAACTTCCAACCCGACAAGGAATGTTCAACCACAACATGCAATGTATCAACCCAATGTCCCAATGCATGTTGTCACACGAATAAAGGTGACGGTTGCTCAGGTATGAATATGCCAACCTGGATATGCCAACCAAAATACATACTAATATATTGGTAATTTTATTGCTTCAATGCATTGTATGGTGGTTTAGTTTACTAAGTGCACCTTCAGGCATTATTTGGTTGATTTTACCTATTGTTTTAAACAGGCCAAGCTTGCTAAAAATTATGGGCTCACCAGAATGGACCCATATTGTCGTATCAGGATTGGTCATCATGTATTTGAAACACAAACTGACACAAATGGTTCAACCAATCCTCGTTGGAATAAGACAATTACATGTCCCTTTCCACGTAACTCTGTCAACTCCATTTACATTGAGATCTTCGATGAGGTTTGTTATTGTCTATAACGAGATTGATTGTATGTGTGGTAGAAGCAATTTAAGAGTTGCTAATGAGTTGTATTTTTTTAATACTCCTTGCAGAATGCCTTTTCTCCAGACTCCCAGATTGCATGGGGCTTGATCAAGATCAAGGATGATCTGCCTGATGGTGAGACCCATGATGAGTGGTACCCATTAAGTGGCAAGCAAGGTGAAGATAAAGAGGGTATGATAAATGTTGTCATGTCAGTCATGGTGAGTTCAGCCATAATTTATTAAGTATTAAAAGCAGCCTCGTTGTTCTTGGCTGCTGATCTACTTACTGTACCTGTCAACTGTATTATTAATAATTGGGCATAAGATGGTAAATGGGTGCGTATGAACTATGGAGTTAGTTTGTGCAAGAGGATTGAACTCGCATTGTATATTTGTACGCTGCAACGTACCCATTCGAAGCTTCTTGAAGCTGAGTTTCATGATTTTTCTCTAATACAAGTCGCTTGTAATTTACAGTATTAGGGCCTGTTCATATGAGACGGGCTTTTGATGGCCCGCTTGATGTTTTCTTATGAGCCCGTTAAAGGCGAGATTACGCTTCGTTCAGGTGGGAACTCGCCAGAGCCGGGCTGGCCCGCTGTCCCAGGAAATTTGCCCCCCCCCCCCAATTCCTGCCGGGGGCAATATTTCCTACGAAATTTGGCCCCCTCGAAAACATAAACTTTATAGTTTATTGCCGCGAATTCGAAAATCACGAAGCTTCTTCTCAAAGCAGACCGGGCTGGCCCGTTTCATATAAACAGGTCCTTAGCCTGCAAACAGTAAGCGGCGATCCTCAGAGTTTCGGTTTCAAGGAAATGCACTTACGAATTGGTGCCCTCAGGATAAACTCTTTCTTTCTACAATTCCCAGGAATCAACTGAACCGGTCCCAGCTACTCCAGTGATGATTTTCCCCCAAAGCTATTCAATCGCCCCACAGGTGTACTACCCACCCGTGCCTTATGCTATGCCACAGCAAATCCCCGTCTCACGGCCGCCCCCCGCTGCTCAGGTCAGACCCGATGACGTCAAGAATATCAAAGATATGTTTCCTGATATGGACGAGGAGGTGATTCGTTCGGTTCTTGTGGCCAGCGGTGGTAATGTCGACGCAGCTCTTAATCATTTGTTGAGTATGAATGAAAAATGAACTAATTATACGAAGTGTAGTTGACGTATTTCTTCATAGTATTGTCTGCATAGACTATAAAATGTGTGGAAATGGTGATAATTTTACAGTTTAGTCTTGATATGCTGATATAATAGCGTTAAAAGAAGATATAATCACTCATCACATCTTATAACAGTTTGTTATTGACGAGGTAGGCCGTATCGTCGCAGAATTGTCAAAACATAAGGCTTGCATGTATCAAACGAGACACGAGTCGTGGCAAATTTCAACTTTTAAATCTATGATATGAGAGACAATTTTTGCTGAAATCATTTTTAAACATATGCATGCAGGCAGTTGCTCAAACTGCCATGCACATTACCTCGTGTAACTCGTGTACCTCGAGCGTTTAAGTGAAGTTTTCGGTGATGATGAAAAGGGCAAAGTTATGCATTTACTGCCTCGCATTCGTTCCGGATATTTGAAGATATTTCAATTTTCCCGGCTGGTATGCATGTGTGGCATCAAGTAATAATGCATATGTTTGCGAAAGAAAAAGTTGTTAACTCTCTAGGAAGTTTTAATTTGCAGTTTGCGTTTTATGACACATATCGATTGCGTCGTGTGTCTGAAATGATTTTTTGACAATTTGATTGACATGTAGTTTGTAGTCGAAAAATGATTTTCTTTACATTATAAACACCAAACATTTCCGCTTGATACATTAAAAAATGATTAATTCATAATTGTGTCTGCATGCTTCGAAGGTTGGTATATTCTCTTTACCATCTCCTTTTGAGCTTTTATTGCTTAAGATATTATTAAATAAATAAATAAATAAAGTAGATTAGTTGTAAAGTTAGATTAAAAAGTGTGGATTGTATACTGACCTGACCTGTAAGTTGTGATAATAAATAATTGAATGTTGATTTTCGAAGGCTTTTTCCTTCGTAAATGTGGAAACAGCTCGAAGTATATTACAGGTTATTTCGTGTGAATGAGGAAAGATCGCAAAGATTTATGACATGGAATTCGTAATATTCTGCATGAAGCTTTATCTTAATAAAAAACCTATTTATTGACAAAACTATAACCTAACTACGTAGGCACAACAGAATTGAGCGCTAGCTATGCCTATATGATGGAGGTTGTGACCAATCCAAGTCCTAAAGTAAAGTATTACGCAATGTGTATAGAATTGTTTGATATTATCCTTTCTTTAACGCATCTTGTTTTCACTTATATCCCGAGCATTTATATATAGGGCAAAACTTTGCTGACTAACAAGAAGCATTCAAAGACGTGGATGTGCACTTGGGACTGTGATCGTTATATTAATGACAATGAGGATTACAGGTACGGTGTCTATATTTTGTCATAATTATTGTATATTCACTATATTGAACTGTAATTTACTTAGTATCCAGGTTTCGACTCTACAACTTTTACTACTAAACAAGCAAAAAACACCGGTAGTGGCGTTGACCTTAAGGGGGGGGGGGGTTGTAATTAGGTTGGTTACAATGGGTTGGTTATTAGAAATTTCAGAACCCTATTGTGAGGGGGCGCATAGGTGGTTTGCAATTGCCACCGTCTTGGCTGTTTTTCAAAACATGTGCACAAATAATTTTTCGTCGTTGCTGTATTTTAATACCCTCCCAATAATACGACAGAGATGATAAGCAGTTACAAAATAAACAAGGAAAAAGTAAATCAACGCAATTTGTCCTCTTGAAAAGCAAAAGTAAATTCAACCAAGATGGCGCCGAATGACTGAGAGTACAAAAAGTACAAAACATTAAATAGTCGTCACCCTGGACCTTGACTACTGTTTGCCTTTTTTTCGGAATGAGCTAAAACTAGTCAAATTAGTCAAGTTTGGCTAGAAATACAGAAAAAGGGATACAAAATGTGCCATGTATTTTTTCTCGCATTTTACAATATTTCGCAACTAAACTGTTAAAGAAGTGAAAAAGTGAAAGGCTTGTCTATTGACTTATGTTGTTCATAATAAAACCAGGTCTCCGGCCGGCCAGCCCCCTTATGATCAAAAGCTTGGTCCAGTGTTCCTATATTAATTAAAAGCGCCTGGGAACGAGGCTGAGCTTGTTCAGTTACGGTCAGTTAATTGAAAGGCTGAAAGCCAAATTATGTCAAAAACAGTATAAAATGGTCTCCCACGATGAGAAAATTGTTCAAAATAGCAAATTAAACAAATTCTAGATGAATAATTTGAGAAGCAAAATTTATGCTTCTTTTGTAAAAGTAAAAAGTACAATCTGTCTACGCCTCTCGCAAGGGAGGAGGGGGGGGGTCGTAGTGGAAGGTTTTTTCCATTAGCGCCCTCTAATGGTGTAGATCCTGTCACACCACAGTTGTCATACACAACGTGTATAATTTCATCGGGGTTAAATATTAATTCCTATTGAACTCTCAATTATCTTTGATTGTCCTACAAAATTGTCCCGTTTTAGACTTCTAATCTAGTTTACACTTGTTTACACTGTTTTTTTCTTGAACTTTCACACAAAAATTACGCAAAACCTGCATTTGATGTTGTCAAATATTGATAAGTTGGCCATGTTCATCAGGCTTTCAAATGACCCTGCATAGCAACCTCCTGGCAACACTAAGTGTTCTTTAATGGTTTGATGTACATCAATGGTTGCCTGTATCCTATTGGCTATGTGCTAACATACTTCATTAAGGAGCATAATCTTCTTTACATAAATAATTAGCAGTTTAAACAACACGCAAAGTCTGCTATGTTTATACACTGCAGCGTTCCAGATACACACGACAGTCTGGTTCAAATATCGAAAGAGTGTCACTGCAGTTTCAATGTACTCTTGATTCTTTCTTTATTGAAGATTCTAATCTGTAAGTAATTGTTCTAATTTATTACAAAGTGTTCGGGAATATTTTCGTAGCAATGTCTTATGACACACATTTCTTGCCCCCATTTCATCTGACATCTGTCTCTTTGTACGCGGTGGTCAGCACACTCTGTTATGTTTTATTTAAACAAGTGGTCGCTTCTATATTATAAATAATTGTAGGAAAGTTAGAAGATTCTATAGTAAGCTGTAAACAGCAGTTTACAGTATAGTTAGTGTCTTTATGTTAGTCTCTAGGTTAACAGCGCGCAGAAAGTAGATATACAGGTATGTAGAAACCAATTTTAAACGGTCAATCGATTTGGCTAAGCTAAGGCAAAGATGATACGCTGTAGACTTGACTATAGTATACGTAAACGTTAAAATATTGTCTTCTATCATACAGGGAGGATTTTATTAACGGCTAACGCTTTAACTGAAGTCTGTTGATCGGCTAGACAAGATAGTGGTTCGTGTGCAAGATAGTGCATGATTCATTTCAAGGCTAATAGGGTGAATAGCGTATATAAAGAGGGTCGAATGATTGACAAATTAACATTAACGTTAGGCAAAATCATGTACTGCATTTTCGATTTTACTACAAAAGTTCAATATTCGTTCAATTTGGATTGTCAGCCAACGTTTATCCTAGGGCGTACTTCAGACGTCATTTCTTACGCACGGATTCGTTCTACGTATTTCGCGAATAATGCTATAAAGTTCGCTGAAGAGTTGACTATGTGAGGTTGTTCATAGCCATCCACAAATGCGCCGCGCTATGTAGCGTAATAAAGGCAGGTACTGACTACTCTGGCTCATTTCGCCAGAGCCATCTTCCATTTTTGATTTTCAACGTTGAATTTGACACGATAATCATGTGGTGACTCCATAAATGCACTTTATTCCGAAATTTGCCATTCGTTAAAAAAACGAATCGTTTAAAAAAGCATCCAATTTTGCTCGACCGTTATAACCAAACTCACAACTTAATTAGTCCTGTCGTACAAAAATTGCGGCGTTTAAGAAGTGGTTTGAAAACCACGGGTATGTTTGTTTTGTTGTACAGAGAAACTTTTGAGGTGATTTTTAAGGCCCCATCCACGCGTACAAATCGCGACATCGGTGAACGAAAGCACAAGTTGTAGCGCGGCATTCTATATATATATATATATATTAGAATATATCGCGCAGCAAGAGTTTGTTGTTTAGTTTTGAACATCTGTGTATGTAGCACAGTAGCACTATAAACAATAGCACTGTGAACACGGCCTGCATCCGTTCATATCATTGAAAATACAATATATAAAATAACTCATGCATAGTTTGCGCTGTGCCTATGGCTGTGTTTACCAGAATTTTATATTCTAAAATGTAAATTAGGGTTGTCCAAGCTCTTCGCACTTTATTTTTGCGATAGCCACAGCTGCATAGAATCCCTCCCTTAGAAACAAAGCCAACAAGACCGCGATTACAGTGTTTGTACCCAAGTGGAAAGTATTTGTTTGGGTCTCGATTTGTAATGTTTGGGAAATGTTTGGTGATGTTGGATCCAAGGTTGGATCAAGTTTTATAAAAATTCGTGCAACATTTAGACTTTTGGCTGTAGCAATGCTGGCTAATGTACAATCTTGAACAGTCTTTCCCATGTTCAAACGACCTCAAAATCTGTTTTTCTTTCATACATGCTATGTTTGAACCCTCATGAGAGTTATCGTTTGTTTTTTACCTCGAATCGCTCAGTAATTCTTTGGCATAAATTCCAAATACGTGACCGCTTTTTTTATAGATTACGACACATTAAGTAAGAAATCCATCCAAAGCGTTTCCTGTTTTGTTCCCAACTTTCTGATGCAATCCTTTGACTTTGCATGTGATTATTGAATTATTCAAATGAAAAAAAAAATAGTGTAGCGCGCCCGGGACTACTCCACATGCATGCACAGTAACATTTTTGAGAGTTCTCATTAACGAATATATAACGTACGCAAACGCTATACCTACTTTACTTTAGACACAATTTGGAGCCAATTCAATATATATATATATATATATATATATATATTGTTATTATTTTGAATATTTCCCATCGGACCGTGTGAAAAAATGAATTAAAAAAGAATGAAAAAATGTGGATATAACGTAACACTAGCCTAGTGTAAGAAATTATTTAAAATGGAATTTTCTTATATGTGCCACTTTGTTATGTTTTTGAATTTGCCTTTTTCGCCGTATAATTAGACTACATAAAAGACATATTCTCGTTAAAGACGATGATATTTTAATACATACACAGTAGCTACGTTCAAAAACCGTATATAAAGTCTAAAGAAGTATAGTTTTCAAAATATGTCACTGCTATAAGTATATAACGTTTACCAGCGCGTGTTTAGTTTCAATAAGGCCACGTGAAATATATTCCTTGCATCGTGAAATCCGAAGGGGCAAAACGTTCCCTATTTTAAATTGATACAATTTTATATAATATATTATCAGTCAATTAAGAAAATATAGGGTTCGAGGTTTCAAACATTTAAATTTCTGTAATTCCCGACCTTAACTGTCACAAACCGAAATAAAAATTTACATGACACTTTTCTGTCATCTCCAAGTTATTCTCAGATTGACTTTAAGAACCATTGCAAACAGTGTCAGAGGTAAGAACCCAAATCGAAGTCCGTTATAAACCATTTATATATCAGTGTAATGTCTAAAATCAGTTGTGTTTGTGTGAAATTGGCAATTGAAATTAGAACTACGAAAGTGAACTGTCTTAGAATATCCTGTCGGGCGCATGGTGTCGAAATATTTTTTATAGTGAAATATGAAGGTGAACTGTCTTAGAATATCCTGTCGGGTGGTATCAAAATCTTATTTCTAGTGAAATATGAACAAAATCCTGGAAAGCGAAGCTCTAGCTTTGCTTAAAATTTTAGCTTATAGCTTTAGGGCGGTGATAAATGTCAAGGGCAGGCTTGTCAGGCCCCGGCCAAGGCCAGGTTCTATGTCATCATGCGTATATATTGACACCAAAATATAAGCCGGGATACACCATGCCAAAAAAATCA